GGGAATAAAGACACACCCCAATTACAATATATACTCCCCAATGGATTCCTGGGATAGCGACAATACACGGCCCAGATCTCTCATCTATGTGAGAAAATACCTTTAAGCAGATCAACTTCGGCCCTATGCTACACGAGACATCACCTGGGTCAAGGTACATGGCATCACATTTGCCAGTGTCTACCGGCCATGTGACAACCCACAGGAAGTGGATGATATTCTGGAAGTATGGACTCCACCTTTTGGCTGTGTTATAGCTGGAGATTTTAATGCTGGCGATATATCCTGGGACTCAAGCAATCCAGGATATCACGGTGGCGTCATACTGGCACAGACTATGACAGACCACAGACTGGATCTGATTTCTGAACCAGATGTCCCAACACATAACGATGGAAATATACTGGATCTGGTGTTCTCAGATGTCCCCATGGCTAAAGCCTCAGTCAATGATGCACTTCAGTGCACCTCAGATCATAAGAGATTACGAATAGTCATTCCAATTCAGGAAGATCGGGACCGAGTTCTTAAGGCCAATTATTAGATAGTACTGGACGATAAACTATAAGAGCTGGCAGACAGTGTCCAAACCAGGATTCATGAACTCCCCCGGCTGGGTGTATCCCCTGGCCAGGTGGATACCTTTACACAAAGCTTGATCAATATGATTCAAGGCTGTATCAGGACAGTGGGCAAAAAGCCCCGTCAATCTAGGCCCATTGCTTGGTGGAATGATGACTGCAAAGCAGCTGTTCAGACATACATGGCCCTTTCTAAACAGACCATAAGCCAAGAAGGGCAAAATTCAGCCCGACAGGAATTTCGCTATGTGGTCCGAAAAGCTAAGAGAGAGTACTGGCAGACTCTAATTGATTCAGCGACTGAACCAAAAGACCTGTACAGAATTGTTTCCTGGCACAAGCTGTCAACAGGATTGCGTTCCCCCCCAATCATCATAGGGGACCAAATCTTTGAGTCACAAGAGAGCAAAGCAAATGCACTACGCTTAGCCACGCTTGAACGAAGTACCCCAGAAAACGATATTATCAACCCCTGGTCTGCTCAGATCACACAAGCCAAGCCACACATCCCCCTTGAATACCATGTCGGACTAGAAGAGGCTGAAGGGTGCATTATAGGGACCAAGAGCAACTCCCCAGGAGTAGACACCCTCACAGTACGGATTCTGAAAGCTTGCTGGCCAGTCATTAGGGAGCATATCAGAGCCCTTTTCTAGACCTGTCTACAGATTGGACACCACCCTAAACCATTCAAAGTAGCTGAGGTAGTGATGATCCCAAAGCCAGGCAAGAAAGACTACTCTAACCCCAGGGCCTACAGACCAATATCGCTATTATCATGTCTTGGCAAAGGCCTAGAACGACTCATTGCAAAAAGAATTGCCTGGTTTGTCATCAAACTTGGAATTCTAGCTCCACAACATTTTGGAGCTCTACCAAAGCGCTCTGCCACTGACCTGGTAGCTGCACTCATACACGATGTTGAGCAGGCCCTCGACCAAGGCCTTGTTGCAACAGTAGTCACATCAGATGTGAAAGGGGTCTTTGATGCTGCCCTAATGGGACGGCTGGTGGGTCGTATGAGAGAACAGGGCTGGCCGGGCTTTCTTATAAGATCGGTCCAGTCATTCATGTCCGAGCGGTCCGCAAGGGTTTGATTTGAAGGTATTGTGACCGATATTAAAGCTCTTATTTGTGGGCTACCATAAGGCTCACCAGCCTCTCCAATCCTTTATATGCTGTATATAGAGCCGATCTGTGCCCGACTCGGTATAAAAAGGAGACACTTTGGATATGCAGACGACCTAGCGACTCTCTGTATTGGAAAGAACCTTGAAGAAACAGCTACAGAGGCTTCTGAAAACCTTCATTTACTCAACCAATAGGGACACAATAATGCTATTGAGTTTGACCCTGACAAAACCGAGATCATGCACTTCTCACGGAAAAAGAACTCAGATAATCCTCCAGTCCGCCACAGGACAATAAATAGAACAGCAAAGAACTCCATGCGATGGCTGGGTGTCTTCCTGGATAGAAAACTGAACTTCAAAGATCACGTTTCCTACTGGGCCAAGAAAGCTAATAGGGTAGCAAACCACCTTCGAGGACTATGCAACACAGTCAAAGGACTTCCAGTAAAGTCAACCAAGAGGGCTGTGAAAACTTGTGTTATTCCTATTCTTACACATGGCCTGGAGGCCTGGTACCCAGGAATAAAAAAAATTAGGAGCTTAGGTGGGACATCAGCATGTTGCATTAAAGGGCTTCTTAGGACGATAGATGCTGTACTACGAACGGCAATCAGAGCTATCTTGCCAGTCTGGAAAACACACCCTGGACATATCCTACACTTTGAATCACAGATTCCTCCAGCAGGAATTCTTGCAGAGTCAATAAGAAGACGTCACGGCCTCCGACTCGGACGAATAGATCAGAGATACCCTCTTGTTGGCAGGCTCCAAATACAAGCTCGCAAAGAACCAACAAGGCTACAAAGGAGCTTCCAACTAGTCCCTGACTTCCAGAGACCAATACTCACCAAGCCATTATGGAAAAAGCCCCCAGTCCATAAAGACAAAGACAAAAAAACAGAGCTCTTTAAGCAATGGCTACAGGAAAGAAATGCGAATACTGACCTTGTCATCTATTCAGATGGATCATAATTGGACGACCAAGGCACAACCCGCACTGGATGGGGCTATACCATCAGGAAAGGCGGCACTATACAAGAAATATACCGGGGAAGGGGCAGACTTCTACAAGCAGAAGTAATGGATACTGAAGTCCATGGTGCTCTCCAAGGTCTTGCAGCAGCCAGGGCAATTGGACATGAAAAACAGCTATATGTCTGCCTGGACAACACATCAGTGGTGGATGGGCTCAATGGGACTCCACCCGAGACATCACAGAAATTTTTCTGCGATTCCAAGAACTCGCCACAGCACACACTCCTGGAGTGACCGTCAAGTGGATTCCTGGATACAGAGATATTGATGGTAACAAAGCTGCCGATATATTAGCAAAAGAGGGTACTATGCTAGAAATAGACACGACAAACCTTCCTATAATCTCTTGGGTCAAGAGAGATCTCAAGAGAAAGGGCAAGAAAGAGTTCAACTAATGGTGGAAAGACCAATCAGAACCTAGGTATCAAGAAGTATACTCACATACAGTAACTGAAAGAGGCCTTATATCCTTTAAGAGGAGCACTCTACACAGACTTCTAGCGGCCAGATCTGGACATGGCGACTTTGCCAGATACCACGAACGCTTTGGGCATACAGACTCGAACAACCACTGCAGCTGTGGTGAAAAGAAAACACCACAATATATTTTCTTTTATAAGAGGCTAAGAAAAAATCGGTTGTTGCCTAGGTACTCGCCTAGGACAGCCTATTTATAATACTTAGGGGAGAGGAGCACAGAATGGGTAAAATTCGTGGAGAAAAGCAAATTCTTTTCATCAATCTGTCCTCGATAGATAGCTGTTCTTAAAGGACCAGATGGATGACCCCAAGGTCATACCGCCGCAACAACGGGGATGGGCCCGTGAGCGGGACTGACTGTACTTATTTTCTTGAGATCTCCACAACCCTGCGATACAGAGGCTCTGGGAGGCGTGGTTTGCACTACTGAGGAGCAATCCCCCACGTTAAATACAAAACAAACAAACAAACAAGTGGTCACCAACTAACTTATGCAGTTGGTGATGTAGGGTTCCTCACCTGATGCTTTGCGACGCATGTTCATCTCCGATCCTCGCTTATGTGTTTCTGTTGGTGGTGTTGCAGCTCCTGAACAAAGAATCTGGAGCCGACATGTTGGGTGTTACTCGTTTCGCCCGAGGTCGTGTTCCCTCAAGATTGCCAACACTGTTCAGTCCAACGCCCCAAAAGCCCCATGCAGAAGCCCACTCTGTGTATATAAATATGACCCAGATCACCAGCCAAGAAGATAATCGGCCATGAGTACTTCTGAGCCATTGTTACTCCTGCGAGTCCGAGTCACTTTCAGCCACTTAAAGCATTTGAGACCTACGACTATATACCAACAAGCTTTCATCGCATCTCAATTTCAGAGAGTGACGTGAGAAAGCACGTCACTCTTACTCAATAATATCACTGTCTACGAAAAGGAGTGTCATCAGGTGATGAGTCTAGCAGTTCAGATGATGGTCGGAATTGAAGGTGTTTTTCCCCCATTGCTTAGTCCTATCATCTCTGTCGGCCAATGACAAAGGACTGCTTTCTTCGCCAGCCACGTAGTAGCCTTGACGGGTATTTAGCCGACTACTTCAGGCAGGCTGTAGGATTGAACCATGTCTTTGGATATGGTTTGAGGAGTGACTGTTTTACTTTGCGCATATAGTCGGGTATTATGCCGCCATATTTTCCTACGGACTCCCTTTAGTCATCCAGAAACGTCGTCTTCGAACCAGACCCAAATCCTATGCTTACTCGTTATACTCGTCGTGCCATTTCGCAACATTTATAGCTGTAATGATTACCAAATTACTCTTTGTCCCTCAGCACCGTGTTGATCATGGCCAGTCTCCATCTCCACGTGATCTAAGGAAGGAAGTCTTTTGTGTACACAAACGACGGGATTCGATTTGGTACTTTATGGTGCCCGCGTGGTTCCTGGAGAAGCTCCGGGTTCTCTTTCGCTTTCTAGACCTCTAAAAGCAGATAAAGCGTGATAAGTACAGACACAAGTCGGAAGGAAGTCTCATGGACAACAATGAAGACAACTCTGTTTAAAGGAAGCAAGTCATTGTGTCTAGGTCAATCAGGCAACAAAGGATTGTTTCGTCGATGTTCTTTATCATCGGAGCTGCTATTTAACTCTGGTGGATTCTGTACTACAACTACTGCTTATCACTAAAATACCCCGTGTAAACAACTTAGCACAAAGTCAACTTTTTCTGTCACTACTCCACCACAACATCACGCTGCTCTCGAGATCTAGCACGCAAGGATGTGCCCATACCGCAGATCTCTCTACTCGTGCAACCACGCACAACTCTCCAGCGAGCCCGTCAAGCCCTGCCAGGCGCAGAAAAACTACGACTCAGGAGCCGCCAAGGAGCCATGCGGCATCGTGGAGACTCACAGGCCCACCATCAGGATACCAAAGCAGTGCGGACCCTGCGAGGCCAAGAAGATGTCCACCGACCAGACACTTGCCTTCGTCAAGAAACGGATGGCCAGTTTGAGAACTTGCCTGAATGAGCGCCACAATGGGTGCATGAAACGCTTGGATGAAGCTGGTGCGAAGCGCGAAAAGGTCCCGGAGACAGCGAAGACCGCCGAGAAGATCGAGGATCCGGCTCAGGCGTTCCTGCGGAAGAAGATGATGGAAGACGACTCGCATCTGATGATGCTTAGCAGCTTATGATGAGATCAACGACAACTGGAGCGGTATTTGAATGAGCGTCGACTGGTGCTGGACACCTATGGATGATCAACCAGGTGAGTGAGACACATCTTCCAACGGACCCATCTTGAATTCATTTGGTAAGTAGTCTCTTGGTTTGGTAATTAATCTATAACACTTGATGTGCTTATTACCTCACGTCGTCCTCTATGTGCTTTGCGACTTACTGGATTAAAAGGTTGGTAGAACAAGTCTGAGAATCAGGCGATTCTAGCTGAATGTTGGGGCAAAAGCGCCATCGCCACCCACCACGATGCTGTGACAAAGGGGGGAAGGCCAAGGCAGGAGGAGGACCGGTGCGACTTAGTGGATACATTCATCTTCCTGTTCCGACCGCCGCGTGAACCTCAAAAATATGCCGTCAGCGATTTTCCAGAATACCGGGGGTTTCGAGCGCTTTCTGTCAAACCTCACAAGTTGACCGATATTAGACGTAGCAATCTGATGAGATAAAGAGTGTATTCCAATGCTCCTAAAATCATGCAATACCATGTGCGCAATCTTCCCTTCCATGTCTATCCAATATACAGTGTAATGAACGTGGTATCATTTACCTTTTCATCTATCCAGTATACAGTCTAATGAACGTGATATCAATCGAGCCCTTACAGCTCCTCATAGTCAGAGTCATCCTCCCCCATTGGATCACTCGAGATCGCTCATGTCGCTCTCCCAGTCGCTGGTGCTATTCGAGTCTCTCTGTCAGTCATTGAGAGTGGTTTTATGATAAACGGTACTTACTCATAGGAATCCTTGGCCAATGAGTTGGTCGTAGAGCGCTTAATGTTTTCTTCCATGTCGCACAAGTCGCTTCCCCAGTCGCTAGTACTATCAAAGCCTCTCTGTCAGTCGCGCAAAACGGGTTGAAAGAAGCTGGTCTTACTCATAAGAACGCTTAGTGCTTTATTCCATGTCGCTCAAGTCGCTCTCCCAGTCGCTGGTGCTATTAAAGACTCCGTGTCAGTCGTGCAAAACGGTATAAGTGTAGCTGGTCTTACTCATAGGAATCCTTGGCCAATAAGTTGGTCTTTGGTGTATCCCTGGGATGGGTGATAACACCGGCAACAGCTGCGCCAATGGCCATGGAGACGATGAGGAGCTTCTGTGACAGCATTTTGGGGGCGAATTCAGGGGTAACCTAATAATGAAATGTCGGTAGAAGATGCTGATGTGGTACGGGCATGTAAAGTGAAGATGATGGTATGGTAGATGTGATGTGTATGAAGAGTGTACTACAGTTGATGTCCGGGGATTCTTGCTCCCCTTTATAGCAAACACTGGAAGCCAGCACACATCATAGATTTGGTACATGATGCTCTTCAGTCACGGCGAGTCCAGGATCCTGATGGTATGAAAGACAGAATGCCAGATAAGGAAGGATCAATGGATTTCTTGGTATGAACACATCGGTCTTCCATATGGAAGGAGACTCCATCAATAGCGTCTGGTCCAAGACAACTGCTTATGGCGGTGGCAATGGATTCAGACCCTCGATAGAGAACAGCGACCTCGTTTTGTATGAGGCTTGGCTGTTGATCCCATTCCCACGGGGTCCGCCAAGGTCTGGGCAACCGCCATATCAGAACACCGAGCAAAAGGTCGACACCCAAAATGTTACGAGTAAAGGATGATGAACCATGGCAGCTTCCGTTCCTCCTTAGCCATCTGTTCAGTTCATATTGTATCCACCGGGACTAAATCAGCCGATGTCCGCTTGCTCTATTATCACTACCATCTTTCTCTTCCCGCTCTGACATATGCCGACCGCATCAGGGTCCAATTCTCGTCGTCTTGTCTATAATTAGCACGCACCACACCTTTCTTCTGCGGATATAGAGAATTGCACGGGCTCGACCGAGACCGGTATTGTGACTGCAGCCGACATGCGGATGGACCTCATCCATGACATCTCGGGTGGAGGTTCCATCCTAGCCAAGCGGCCAAGAGCAGTGGGTGCCTGAACAATCGTCATCCCAATCAAATAGTTCAACAGGGCTGCGAGGACGGACACCAGCCGACCATCTAGGCAGAGAGATGCTCCGTGCTCTCGGAGGACCCGATGGAAGACGCCGGGAGATACGCTGACGCGAAGCTCATCATGCCGGAAATGTGGGCAGCAGGCGACGGCCACAGAATCCCGATCCCGTCACCTCATTTACGGCTAGACGCTCGCCTCCGTCACCGGTGGTACATCGTCGAATTCCACCGCACCGGCACCCCGGGAAACGGGAACAGCCTAGGTACCGTGTGACGTCATCGACTTCTACCAATAATGGGCTATTAGATTGAACGAATATACTCAGTCACACTTGTACTATGCAGGAGAATCCAGGCCTCTAGCAAATAGTATCTCGTTGGGGAGCAGGCCTAATTTTGACTGTTAAGGTTTAAAGAGCCGGACACGTAACTTACCGAGACAAATTTACCTTTCGTAGAAGTCCTTTAGGATGAAACTGGGTTGATGGCTATGACAGTCACTGGGGCCCGAGGCAAGTGTCAAGGCATCGGTCCTGATCGCGCAATTTACCCCTGTGTCGAGTTCAACCCAAGTTCTAGAACCAGACGAGGCCGGCTTTTGAGATGACAAGTAACATCTCACCCCCCCCTGCGGACCACCCCCCCACGGACCACTCCACACCACACCGCTCTCATTCAGATGAAGCCATCTACAACCACCACAGTTGCTAAATACACTAAGGTCGTGGTGTTTTAACCATAATACAGCTCCCAGAATCCGATTCCGACCCTAAATCTTCACCAGGGACCTCTTGTGGGACCTCTTCGCCTGCAGCAGAGTCCCTATAGACCCTCCTGTTCCTCAGCTCCATTTTGGCCTCCCTTATGTTAGCCATTGTGACGAATCGTTCCCCTGGTGTTGGTTTGACTGCTTTTCGAGTGGTATTAGCCTTTTTAGTCACTTGAGCCTCAAGTAGCTCACATTTGGCCCGTAGATTTGTAATGGTAGCAGCCTGAATATCCATGGCCTTGCCAGCCTTCTGCACCAACAAGCGCTCAGAGGGCCCCCGAAAGGAAGGGTCCTTTCTTTCGAGCTTTCAAGCATTCTCCCGCAAAGCCCGGCTTCCAGAGGGTGTTGTGACAATGGTTTTAGCTACCATCTCGAGAAAATCTGGTATTGTGACTCGCTCGGAAGCCTTAGGGTCCCTCTGGCGGGCCCTGGCCACCCCCTTGTCCTCCAGAATCACATATTTCGACTTCAACGCCTCTGCTCTGTTGCGAGGAACAATCCCAGTCTTTTTCCAGGCAATTCTGATGTTGAGGAGCGTCATTGTGTCCTTCCGGGCCTGCTCATAGCACTCCAAAACCTCCTCCTTAGATGGCCTGAGTCCCAGACGGCCGCTGGGCGTCTCCTGGAGTAAGGTCTTTAACCTTTTTTTTACCAAATTGAAGACTCCCATATCTAACACCTGGACTACATGGGAGCAATGAGGTTCATAAAAGATCAACCATACTTTGTTTCTCAAGCAGGTGGCTAGGAACTCGTTATTCGTGTGGGAGTCGTGGCCATCACACACCAAAACCACCCATGTGTTGCCGTGGACCTCCCGAATGTGAGGAATAAAGATACGTTGAAGCCATTCTAACGCAATGGGATTCGAGGTCCATCCATTGGACGACGTAATAAACCTCCAGTCGGTGAATTTGCCCTTATTTTGGTTGTTAAACCACTGGGCTTGTACGTTAATCCCCTTAAGAATTACCAGCGGCGGTAAGGTCTCACCAGATCCGCTCACACACTCTAGGGCAGTTATCCATTCACCCTTCTCGACCCCTTTCTTCATAGCCATGTTGCCGGAGGCCTCGGAGACCACCCAATGGGAGTCCCCAACCCCCTGGGCGATTCCCATTTCGTCGACGTTGTACCAGCGTGCTGGCATGAGGTTAACCACGTCAGGGGCGTCACACCGATCAAAAAAAATGTTGATATTTGCCGCTGTAGCACCATTCACTCAGTTGTAATCGATAATACGAGACTTCATTATCTTGACTTCCGGGTTTTGAGACAGGAACTTGGATGCCCAATTTTTTCCTAATTCTCGAGCATCCCCGGTGGCATAGAGCATCCGCTGGGCCATGAGACGGAACTTAGAGACCGCCGGAGAATACCCTAGCCTTGCTTGCCCCAGGGCCCAGCTTGCCAGCTTATGTTCGAGATACAGTGAGAGAGCCTGTTGGAGAGCGCTGGTCTCATTCCGCGTTGGGGTGCCAGAGATTCGTCGGTTGACGTACGAGCGACTGATTTGCCATTCGAGGGCTGACGAGCAGACTGGAGCTCCGCGTTGGATGGCCAAAATGGCAGCTTCAGCTTTTATTTGACAGTCGTAAAATGACATCATGAGATTCAGCAGTGGATAAGGATTCAAATAGTGTGCTTTGTGAAAAAAAAGATGCAAAAGTGATGGTGTAGATGGTGGATCACCATAATCCTGGTGGTTGGTGAATTACGCGTTTGTGGGTCAGAACGCGCTGGTCCGCGGGGGGGTGGTCCGCAGGGGGGTGGGAGATGTTACAGGACTTCCTCGGAGAGCCAAGCTACCAGCCTACGTGAAGTTTCCTTCGACTTGTCCAGTAGCATGTACATGTCATCTTGCTTTAACTATGTCGACGTCTGTTGCCCAATGATACCCAAAACACATGCGTTAATTATACCTATTGTATCAAGCGATCATGGACGAGTGAAGATGGTGGTAGAGTGTTACTTGGGCTACCTAAGGTATGGAATGTTATTTCCCCGGCCTGCCTGCCGTCCTACTCGAAGTACTGGTCCAGGTTCCCAGTCGTAGTCAGGATACGGGGCCTTGAAGCCCGCCTCTTTGGCCATCAACGCCGCTGATACTGCATCGTTCCTCAGCCTGTCGGCTACGTGCCAGGCCTGCAGCCCATGGTTGTTTCGAATGTTAGGGCTAGCATTCTGTTTCAATAACTAGTCGGCCCCTTGGTACTAGTCCCTCTTTGTAACTAAGTGTAATGCGGTGTTGCCTAGGTTCGTAGTAGCGTCCACCGGAACATGCTGCTGGATCAACCGGACTACCATGATCATTTGTTCTTCGGCAGCCGCCATGTGCAGCGCATTCCAGCCCTCATTGTTGATGACATTGATCGCCGCTCCCTTGCCCGTTAGACTGTCGTAAGATGTGGTCTGGCCCTTTCATACTGCGGCATGGAGAGCGGTTTCACCGACGCTGTCTCTTTGGTCGATAAAGCTGCTCAGGCTGGTCGCTTGGTTGGTACCGCGGGGAAATACATCGGTCGAGTAGAGGTAGCGCAGTATATCTACATGGAATAGTACATCAGCATATGTCTACGCGAGCCGAAGAATTCGACACTCACTGGTGTGGCCCTAGGCTGAGGCAAGATGGAGGACCGTCTGTCCCTTGTTGTTGAGCAACCGGCTGGTAAGCAAGATAGCTGCGGTGGTTTCATGCTTCGTAGCCAACTCTGCGACCTTTCTCTCCAAAGCGGTGACATTTCCGGTCTTAGCGTAGTCCATGACCGTGTCAATGTCCGAGGTGGTAACACGGGTAGGAGCTATGATTGAGTTAGTCTCATTGATTCCAGTGGCGGGCAATTTTGGCATACCAGATTGCGTAGACATGGCTACGGCTGAGAAAGCAAGGTGAAGAATATCGAGCAAACAGCAAGGTGAAGAGTCCCGGGGGGTTGGCAAGGGGAAGGTTGGAAAAGGTTGAATGGGGGAGGATGGATAGAATGGATGGTTGCTGGGAAGTGCAAGATTGTGATCCGTGGAAGAAAGGAAATGCAGAAAACTCAGTCAAGGGCAAGATATTTATAAGAGCCTGAGGGCTCCACAGTTCGTCGACGACCATGAGCAAATCCATCCCATTCGCTCAAGGGTCGTCGATATCCCAGCAAGTACTATATCAGATGGTTTAGATCAATCCAGTCGACGATTGAGTGCTACCAGTCGGCTCCACCCTCTTGACTAATTCATCTGATATATATTGCTTCTCTCCGACCTCACGATACCCCATGCTTTGAGGCCCAGTGGACGAGAGCGGGCACCAGGCTTTTATTGGTAGAACCAGGGGAACCCTCAGAGCAAACAAGACGAGGGTGAAGCCATTCACCCCTCCGTGATCCGCAACATGCCCCAGAGGCTAGTGGGGTGAGCTTGGGGACAATGAAAAAGTGTTTCTACACGAGGGGTCTTGTTGAGCTTGATTACCGGACGGAGCACGACAAAGCATGGCCATTCTGGGGAGAGGCAACCTCCTGTCAGACCATGGCCCGAATATGGAGCTGATCGAAACTGACCGGCTTCCCTGCCTAGGTACTTATATTGGCTCTCTTGGACACCTTTCCAAGGAATTGCTAAAGAAATACCACTGATTGCCCAACTGCACTGCGGCTATGGGTGGAAGTGGGACTCCCTCTCGACTTTGTCGTCACCCTATCACCACTGAATGACCACATAATGGCACGTTTGCCACACAAACTTCCAAACGTCCTGTTGAAAGCTGTACCAGCAGGAGCATCAAGCCAAAGAAGCCAATTGCAAGATGGGAAATCAGGAAACACTGTGCATGGAGTGCGAAGTTTCGTCCCTGCCCTGGTCCAACCATTCATAAGCGTATGTTTGTCATTTGCTAAGAGATAGGATGAAGATGTCCTCACAGGAAACTCTACCCATCCTTTCTGGTAGAAAGGTATTGACGGTATGACCGAGTGGTCAGGCACAGTGTACCTTTTCCACCCCCTGTCATGCTACTTGAGACCATGTGGAAAATCTTTGCACAGTGTACCTTCTTCATCCCATGTTCGGCTACTTGAGCCCATGTAGCAAAAAAATCCACAGTGTATCTGCGAGTTGCTCTGAGAGCGTGAACTGTCTGTGCCTTCACATCACGTCCAATGTAATGGCACAGTGTAGCTTCTGAACCCCCCCCCCCCCCCCCTTTTCCACCCCTATCCTGCTGCCTGAGCCCATGCGACAAGTGTTTGCACAGTGTACCAGGCAAGTCGTTCTGAAAGCATGGACTGTCTGTGCTTTTACATCACGTCCATTGTTTTGACTCTCCCCGGCGGCTCAATCACTAGAAAGGAGCACTCCCATCCCTAATAAATCGTTGTTGCAACTTGGATGGGGAGAAAATCAGCACCCCGTGATCAAGCCATCCATCCCTCATTTCAGACGAGTGAATGAGCTAGATCTCTAGACTCCATTCAGCAACACACAGTGACTCGCAGTCCTCGTCGAAATTCAACTCCCTGTGCTCCAAGCCGCCTCCACACTTGACCTGCCTGACCTCCTCTTCCCGTGATATGATTTCCCTCATGAGCACCTACAAAGCCCAAAACCACGAAGCCCTCGCTCAGCTCCTCCGTTCTTCTTCATCTTCCAAACCAACCAACCAACCAACCAACCCAAAACACCACAAACCACACCATGGACCCCATAATACCAGAAATCATACGCAGCCCGTACACACAAGCATTCAGCAATACCAGGCAAGCCCTCCCCCGTAACGCAACCCTCAACAACCTCTCCAAACGCAGCGAGCCCGACGCCGTCGGCATCATCGGCATCATCATAGCCGTCCTGATCATGGGCTTCCTAGGCGCGCGCTTCTTTGCCTGGACGGTTTGGGGGCAGCCGTTATGTCCCCGTGTGTACCCTAGGTCTCAGAATGCTAGGTCTGGTTCGTAAGTAGAAAGAGGGCTGAAAAAGGTGAGAATGAGTTACTGCTGGTGGACTTATAGCTGAGGGAGTTAATGATAGTGTTGCGCTGTGCAAGTCTTGATGGCAAGTTAGTTGCGTATTGAGAAGTGTTGCTTTGATTGCGTGTGGCGGTTTGTTGACAGTCGCTGTGCTGGTGGACTGCAGGTGCACAATCACATTCACACTAACTCAACTCTAAATAGCTTCAATCAATGACTTGAATAAAGACAGACATCGACGCTGTCGAAAACACCCTGCCACAATATATCTTACAGTAGCAGGTAAAGTCCACAGAGGCGCTGAGGCGAAATAGGGGTGTCACACCAAGAAAGAAAAAAGTAGAAGAAAAAAAGAATTGAACCAGCCGGGAATCAAACCCGATCCTCCCTCCGAAAGCGTTTATCCAAGTTCGGTTATCCAAAATCGGGAATGCAAACCATCTACACCACAGGCCCTCGCCGATTGAGTGCTGTTGTGGATTTTCGCTCTTATCCGTTGCTATAGGGGCTTTGTCCCGGATGTTGGTTGCAGAACAGGCACTGTGGTAGAATGATTAGCCGCAGTGCGGTGCACGTGCAAAGACAATAACACCGTTGACATCTATGAACCCTTCTCGTCAATGGGTTTCCATTCAAGACTTGGAATGAGACCTCACCTAGGGCTTGCAGATGATCTAGGTTGACATGTAAGATCTGTGAAATGTTGAAACAAAGCGAGACTCGAGCACGACAAGACAGGAGGTTTGAGGTGTGACAGATTTTGTTTCGTCATTGTATTCATTGGTAAGTACTGCGCATACAGCGTACAGACTCACACGCTCATGCATTGCTGCTCTTAAATCCATTCTGCAGGGCCATTCAAGCCCCCTGGACCTTGAAGGTTCTTCCACTTGCGGTCTTCCTCTCCTTCTCTTCATTCTCTGGTCTAGCACGTCGAAGAACTGCATTAAATCAGTATGGGTGGCTATCATGTCCACCGAGGGAGCCTTACCTTGGAGGAAGTCCGCTGTTCTTCTTCGCATACGGGAATGGATGTATGCCTAGGCATTTGTCAGTCAGGGTAATGGCGAGGAAAATGATCGTGGCTGACCTTGGATGCCTTGATGTGGTAGTGGAAGTAGTCTCGAAAAGTTTGGATGTGGGAGATGACATCCAGCATACGCTGAGGCGTCAAGTGTCGTGGAAATAGGACTATCTCAGTCAGCAAAGGGCACCCAATCTCACACAGCTCTTCATGGAGAGGCAAACCAAACGTGACATAACCGATCTCTCCTCCTGCATCGGTCTTGACTCCAGGAACCCCTTGGAGCTCGAGAGGTGGCTCGTTCCGGAACAGCACCTGTGGGGCATTCTGAATAGCTCGTCTTCGGGCATCGACGAATTCTTGAATGAAGACTTTGCCAAAGACCCGGTCTGTTTCTTCCCGAAAGACAGTGCTGAAGATGACAGTCACTCGATCGTGGCTCGCCTTGACGTATATAGCCTCCTCATCACGGTAGTGAATGGCCATAACGTCCCCTCCCTCTCGAACGCCTTGCGGTGCTTCTTCACTCGTGTATTTGGACGCCTCTTCCCTCAGTTTGTAGTGTTTCGTGTAGGCATGTTCGAACGGGGCAGCCATGGCATTGCGCTTCATCAAGGAGATCTTCTGGACGAGCTCATCCCGCTCCTCTGAGTTGATGATCAGCAACTATGCTGCCGTCTGGACATGATGTCTCTTGCTTACCTTTCTCGGCGGGCAAATCCTCCAAGTCAACCAGGATGGAGAAGTCGTAGCCGCTTTCCGGTGGCACGACATACTGGCCATACTCGCGCTGGAGGACCTGCTCGGCGCCGTATTGAACAAGCTCCTTGTAGCAGCGGATCTGAATAGACACAAGGATCTTGGACTTCGTTTCGGGAGTCGATATGTGAAAGGTAACGCCGTCAAAGTCGGAGACAGTCTGGTCAATGGAGGCCGGCGGTGCTCTAGACGGACGCCATGTTAGACGGTTGGGCGTGGAAGTTGGGGGCGTGTGTCAGCCTACCCAGAGAATCTCTCAGTCAGCACCGACTGCAGCAAGACGTTCTGATAGTCTAGGAGCAGCATGTTGGCGGCGGTTGACTCCCTTCCTCGACACAAAGACAGCGCTGTGGGGGGTCGTGCTGGTGGTGGTACTGGTGGGCTGGATGCGACGTCGAAGCAGTTCAATTGGGAGGGAGTTGGAGGGAGGCTGCCTTTGGTGGGGCTGTGAGCTATGGCCCCTGCAGCCCGCTTGAGTGGGTACGTCCTGGCAACACTCCGCGATAAGGATTTCTCGATTCTTATCGCGTCCCTCTCTGGGAAAAAGTTGTGGTGGGCTTTCTAGACTGAAGCAAAACATCGAGGCCTTCTTGTACGGAACACACTGGTCGGTCGCAAACATGGTCAAGTCCTACCTGTAAGTGCTACTGCATGCGAATCGCAAAGCCATGCGCTAACGTACTCCATACCAGGAAGTATGAACATGCGAAATCCTTCGGTGTCGTAACCTCCAGTACTTCCAATATCCTCTGGACCTCGAAAGATGGATCCAGCACCAGTGCAGGCCAGGCAGTCGTTGCTGCCAACGAAGAGGTCATATGCTGGGATATCAAGACCGGCGACATTCTCAATCGTTGGAGAGACTCGAAATGTTCCGCGCAAGTTACCGCTATTGCGCAAAGCAAGGTCGACAAGGACGTTTTCGCCGTCGGATACGATGATGGTAGTATTCGGCTATGGGACAAGTATGCGACCACCATTGTGAGCTTCAACGGACATCGCTCAGCCATCACGACACTTGCCTTCGATCGCTCCGGCGTCCGCCTTGCGAGTGGCTCCCGAGACACCGATGTCATCATCTGGGATCTGGTGGCCGAAGTTGGACAATACAAGCTGAGAGGGCACAAGGACCAGATAACGGGGCTGCAGTTCGTCGAGCCGCAAGAGGAGGTTTCCGAGGAAGATGGCTCTCAGGCCATGGTTCTCGACGGTGCACAGGATCCGTCTGAAGGCTTCCTCCTGACCACAGGGAAGGACGCTCTGATAAAGCTGTGGGACCTGGGCTCGAGACATTGCATCGAAACCCACATAGCCCAGACGAACGGCGAATGCTGGGCATTGGGACTTTCTCCGGACTACAGCGGGTGTATTACTGCCGGAAACGCCGGCGAGCTCAAGGTTTGGGCTCTCGATGCAACAGCACTAGCTGCATCGCGCCATCAAGTTGATATGGCAGCGAACAGGCAGTATCTGAAGGACCGCGGGACACTGTTTCGACAGGGTAAGGACAAGGCAACCGAGATTATCTTCCATCCCAAGCGAGATTACTTCGTCGTCCACGGATCAGAGAAGTCGGCGGAAATTTGGAGGATACGGTCCGAATCTGAAATCAAAAAGAGCATGGCCCGCAAAAAGAAGAGAAGACGAGAGAAACTCGCGCAGAAGAAGGTGCGCCAGGTGGATGGCGAAGCCGAGTTGGATGGGGAGGACGAGCAAGAGGAGGATGCTACCAGTGCCGATGTGACGGATGCTTTTGCGCAACATCTCATCATCAGGACAGGTGGAAAGACCAAGTCAATCGACTGGGCTGACACCCACGGCAAGAAGAGGCTTCAGCTACTGGTCAGCACTACGAACAATCAACTGGAGCTATACAACATACCGCTGAAACAGAAGAGCTCAAAGTCGAAGGAAGAGGAGGTTCCGGACTACGAGCGAGCGTTGTCAGTTGAGATGCCAGGCCACCGAGCAGATATTCGATCGCTAGCCTTGAGCTCTGACGACAGGCTGCTCGCCTCAGCATCCAATGGTAGCCTCAAGATTTGGTCAATCTTGACGCAGAAATGTGCCAAGACGTTGGAGTGCGGGTATGCGCTGTGCTGCTCATTCCTGCCCGGAGACAAGCTTGTTGTTATTGGCACGAAGAGTGGCGAGATTGAACTATTCGAGGTGTCGACAGGGAATCGGCTCGACAGCGAAGTTGCTCACGAGGGCGCAATATGGTCTTTACAAGTTCACCCGGACGGCAGGTCGATCGTTTCGGGAAGCGCAGACAAGTCTGTCAAACTCTGGAAAGTCCACGTTGTCCAGGAGCCAGTCCTTGGGACAACCCGAACAACAGCGCGCCTCAAACTTACACACTCGAGGACATTGAAGGTGACGGATGATATTCTCAGCCTCAAGTTCTCACCCGACGCCAAATATCTAGCCGTTGCTCTGTTAGATAGCACGGTGAAGGTGTTTTTCACAGACTCCTTGAAGTTATATCTGAATCTCTACGGTCATAAGCTTCCTGTCTTGGACATGGACATATCGTACGACAACAAGTTGATTGTCACTTGTTCGGCAGACAAGACTGTCAGGATATGGGGTATGGACTTTGGTGATTGCCACAAAGCAATCATCGCTCATCAGGACAGTATCCTGCAAGTCAAGTTCGTGCCGAATAATCATGAAGGCAATGGTCATCATTTTTTCAGTGCCAGCAAGGACCGAACAGTCAAGTATTGGGACGGCGACAAGTTTGAACAAATTCAGCGATTGGACGGCCACCACGGAGAAATTTGGGCGTTGGCCATCAGCCAAAGCAGCGAGCCGGCATTTATTGTCAGTGCCAGTCACGACAAGAGCATTCGAGTCTGGCACGAGACAGACGAACAGATTTTCCTCGAGGAAGAAAGGGAAAAGGAAATCGAAGAACTGTACGAGACAACATTGACCAGCTCCTTGGATCAAGACCCCGACGACGAGCAGAATGGAGAGGTGGCAGCCGCTACCAAGCAGACCTCGGAAACATTAAATCACGGCGAGCGGATTGCCGAAGCTTTGGAACTCGGCATGGCCGACTTGCACCTGATGAAAGAGTACGAAGAGGTGAAAGCGGCCAACCCCCATCCTGGCCCACCTCAGCGCGACCCGATGTTCTTGGCTCACAACGGAATATCAGCTGAGGAGTACGTTATGAAGGTTCTCCAAAAGCCCGCAGCATCTGCCCTGAACGATGCATTGCTTGTCCTGCCCTTTGCGACAGTCCCGATGCTCTTTACGTTCCTCAACATTTTCGCCATGAGGTCCATGAACATCCCCCTCACATGTCGGATCTTGTTCTTCATGCTGAAGACACATCACCGGCAAATCGTGGCTAGCAGGACAATGAGGGCCATGCTGGATGGTATCAAGACAAATCTTCGGAAGGTGCTCAAACGGCAGAAGGATGAGATGGGCTACAACATAGCAGCCCTGAAGGTGGCCGGGATGCAGATCCAGGAGAAGAGTGTCAAGGAGTATGTGGACGAGAACTGGGACGATGGCAACGACAGCCAGAACGTCAAGAAACGGGCTTTCGTGTATGTGTCATGACCTATCTGAGATGAAGCAGTAGACAATAAGATGTATACCAATGTCAGAGATCTGAAGAATGAACATTGCCTCTTGGACCACTTGATGGACGACCTGATGAAAATCGACAATCAAGATCCCAAAACCACCAAACCCAGCCAGTTCCCCCAGAATCAGGTGATAAGATACAGCTGTCCGTGACGGCAGTACCCTAGACTACGGGTAAGTGGCAGATTTTCAGGAGAAATACTGGTCAACTGACCAGGATGCCGACTATGTTACAGCCCTCGGCAGCTAGGTTTCCCTCGGCTCTTGGCTTATCATGATGAGCTTCCAATGCTAGATAAATTCTCAAGCCATTATTGACGAATAAGACCCAGAAGGACGAGCTGGGACGCAGGTGACGAGCCCCAGGTACTTGCTGACGCGACCTCAGCGCCGACGCCCAATTGAGTTGCTTGCTTGGTAGGCGTCCTGATGTCAGCGCAGAGCCTACCACTAGGGCTATGAGTGTAGGAAGATCCTGTAAGAGGTGATCTGGACTCTACTGTCATGACGGACATGACATACAGAGATAGCCGTGTTCTCAGTCAAGGAGGTGGCGGCCGTTACTTGCCTTCTAGATGATGTACCGCTACTCACTTCCCATAGCCCCCTTCTAGGCCTTTACATCCTTCCAAGGTTATTTGCACAGCTCTAGACTCATGATGAAACCTGGTATAGTGTGTTCGACCTCCCCACAGGGTGCCATCCATTACTGGAGCCAAGAGGACCGCCTTCACTCTCGCGCAGGGGAGTTGGGCTACTCACTGGGAGGCGGGCCGGTTGTTGATGGCTCACAGCTAGACGCTGAAGCTTTCTCTCTCTTCTCGCCCAAACCCATTTCCCTTCTCCTCGAAATTGACACATTGCTCCCCTCCTCCTCTTCTGCAAGGCGGGTGAGCGGCGAGATCTCCGAAAGGCAAACTCGCTGAACCACGTGATCCCAGTCGCCAGAATGCCTTCCATCCGTTCACCGCGTACCTCGAGCATGCATGACGAACACGCGAAACTCGTCGAGACCCGTCAAAATCCCGCGTATTCGCACCTCTTCTGACTCGGAAGCCGACAACGATCTTCAGAGACCAAGCAGCGACCGTCATAAGCCTGGTTGTCGGGTGATGATGAAAGGGGGTGATGAGGAAAGGGGTGACCCCTGAGTCCTCGGATTAGACTGGGTCCAATTATAGTGGAGGTGGCTAGCCTGCCCCTCCCCCGCACAACCCCGGCAATAAGATGCAGCTGTCCATCACCGCCTGCCGGGTTTGTAACTCGACCTCGGCATCTTTCGACGTCACCAGGTCTCGCAGGTACATATCTTTGGATCTCCTTGCGATGTCTCGACATACGGAGCCTCAAAACTGCGGATTTTCATATGGCGCTCTTCTGTCGAGGAAGCCCTGTCTACTATACGATAACGCGATAATACGATAGCAATTGTCCCCCGAAATTGACCCTATCCTTCCTTCCATTAAGGAGCCCGCAGTTGCCATGGCGGGCCCCGTGAGACACCCCATCGACACGAAGGCGCTGGAGCGCTACATCAGCGAGACCGTGCCCGAGATCGAGCTGCCGCTGGACGTGAAGCAGGTCCGTCCGCCTCCATCCACCACCCTCTCCCGTTCAGACAAGGTAGCCACAAGTAAACTAACATCAGACACCAAACAGTTCGGCTTCGGCCAATCCAACCCGACCTACCAACTCACCTCCGGCCCCAGCGGCTTGCGCTACGTCCTACGCAAGAAGCCTCCCGGCAAGCTCCTCTCGCAAGCCGCGCACAAAGTCGAGCGCGAGCACCGGATCCTATCCGCGCTGTCCTCCACGCCCGTCCCCGTGCCGCGGACCTACTGTCTCTGCGAGGACGCCGGCGTGCTCGGCACGCCCTTCTACGTCATGTCGCACGTCGAGGGCCGCATCTTCGAAGACGCCGCCATGCCATCCGTCTCTTCCCCCACAGAGCGCACGGCGCTCTGGCGCGCCGCCGTGACCACACTAGCAGCACTACACGCCGTCGACGCCGACGCGGTCGGCCTGGGCAATTTCGGCAAGAAGGGCGGGTTCTACGCGCGGCAGCTGCGCACCTGGCGCGCCATCTGCGAGGCGCAGGCCGCGACTCGCGACGTCGACACCAGGGCGCCGGTGGGCGCCATACCGCACTTCGAGTCCTTACTAGAATTCTTCGGCGAAGATGCAGACGCAATGCCGCGGGACAGGGCTACACTCGTCCACGGCGACTACAAGATCGACAACTTGGTCTTCCACCCCACCGAGGCGCGCGTGGTCGGCATCCTGGACTGGGAGATGAGCACCATCGGCCACCCGCTGAGCGATCTGGCGAACCTGATGCATCCGTTTTATTTCGCCTCGTTGGACTCTCTCACCCCATCCACTACCTCTCCATCCACCACTACCACTACCACTACCTCCCCCTCATCCCCCACCAATACCACCACCACTCTAACCACCAACCCCCTCTCCAACCCCTCCTTCACCACCCACCTCCCCGGCCTCCCCGCCCCGTCCACGGTCCTCGCCTGGTACGCCACCGCGGCCAAGACCTGGGACCCTGCGCCCGAGATGGGCTGGGCGGCCGCGTTCAGCGTGTTCCGGCTGGCGGCCATCTGCCAGGGCATCGCGGCGCGGCTGGCGACGCGGCAGGCCAGCAGCGCCAGCGCGCGCGGGCACGCCGAGGCCATGGGCCCGCTGGGGGAGACGGCGTGGGAGCTCGTGCGGAGGCAGCGGGAGGGGAGGGGCGGGAGGAGGAACGCAGGAGATGGGAAGGAGGGGAAGGAGAAAAGCGCCTTGGCGAAGTTGTGATGGTAGTAGTACGTGGCATCCAGTTCTCGACGAGAGTGCCCCGGGATGGAATGATTCCATACATCAGAGGCTGGGTGGGGGTCGAGGCAAATTCAACGCAACAGACAGAGCGAAAAACGTTTACAGGTGATCGGGGAAAACAGCATATAGGGGGTCCATTTCACCTGATATCCCCCGACTCTCCTAATCACGCGGGACAGACCGGCTGGTTGCTGCCAGTTGATTGATTGATTGAAATTCTTTAACGGCTAGAAGCCTGCTGCGAAGCCTGCTGCGAAGCAGCAGGACCCAGCTCTCCCTAGGGTGCATAGGGCCGTGGTAAGCTGTCCACCACTTCTAGCAAGCTGAATACAGTGGGTGATACCAGTATCATACCTCATGGGCTGGCAATCTCGTGACTCCGTGTCCACTCCTATTCAGGACTTCCGGACCTTGTGCTTTCAGGATCCAACTGGGGGATGGTGGTTGTGGGAGCCTCCTTTCTAGAAGGGGCCGGTTGCTGCTAGTAGACAGATCAGGGGCTTATTTGCTGTGCGCAAGGGCCATAAACTACCTACCTTAGGGATGCCAGCTATTGGTGGTCTAGTCTAGAAAATTGCACGAAGATTAGAAAGTGCGATTCGCACCAATCTTGAGGGCATCGACCGCTGTGAAGCTGTTCATTTGCTGTTAAACCCCGAATCGACAGCTTCATGCACACTTGCAAATTTACTGCTGCTTACTGGAAAGTCCAACGACACCAGCAATTTCAACCGAATGTGATCCAGCCCACAATTATCACATCGCCACAATGCACCATCTCGAAAAGGCGTGTGTACATGAGAATGCGCTTTGACTATGATTCCTACATGGTTATCGTGGAAAGAAAAATGCAAACGCTGACCGCCGGTTTTGAGAGAGGGATGTGTAGCCAGCCTCCCTATGACATCGCCCTTGACGTGAAATATCCCAGACCCACAACATCGTGAATAGAGGAGGACCATCAGTCTAAAAGCCATCCTGGTGGGTGCATCGTCATATTGGCGCTTGGATATTCGAGCAATGACTTGGGTAAATCGAACGTCAAGCATGTATCCCACGTGGTATCCCTTGCTGATAACTCCTTTTAACGCCTGGTTAAACCCGCTGTGTCAGTTTGAAAAGGAAAGAACTGCCCTTGAACCTGGCTCGTGTTGTGCCACAACAGATACCATGGATGCATGAAGAAGGAAATCAGAAATTCCACGCATCTATAATGCATGAAGATGCTGGAAACTGTGCGCTTGAAATCAGAACGTCGTTGAAGGCCGAATTGTCTCGCCCTCGTACAGCGTTATGGTGCAGAATTGTTCCTGGGTCGGTTTGCAGAGGTGTGTCATCTGCCTCGTCGTCTGTTGCCCCGCCGCTCTTGAGTTAGGCCTTGTATCAAAGGCAGTGCTAGTTTGAGTGGATTTTCATATGTATGTTCTGGCTGTTGCAATCTTTGCGTTCTTCCTCCCAAAGAAAACTCCTATGACTGCTGGTGGGAAGTCGTGTGATTGTATGCGGCATGGTCTGAATTCGCCATGTAGGTATCCGGGCCTCCCATGGTGGGAGACAGAGGGGCCGCATAATCATCAGCTGTGTTCAGACCCCTCATATTCAACGGGTTGATATACGGATCAGATGGGCCGCCCGTGTGTGGCTGAAACGGGAAAGTAGCGCTCAGGTCATACGCCGGCGAAGTGGGTGACCCAGACGCATTCGGAGAATCCCGATGACTCTGATTCGGAGCTTGTCTACCGAGCCACGGGTACTGTCGAAATAAATCATTAGTCAGTAAAGGAGATTTTCCCGGGACGCACCCCAGAATTCAAGAATGAAGTGGGGAGCGGGAGCGGGAACGCCTAGGAGAACGGACCGGTGTTTGTGACAAGCCAGTGGCCGGAGACGATCCAAACGAGCTCGGCCGGCCCGATGGGGGAGAGCCCCGAGCGCTACCATGACGCGGCCGAGTTCTCCGACGGTTCTCGTTGAATTCATTAGGGGGAGAACGGCGTTCTCCAGTCGTGGCATAGGCAGCCGATCGAGTGCCGTAAGCGGAGCTCATCAGCCTGCTGCTGGCTGTGGCGAACGCGCGGGAGTTGTACCCAAGCTCACCAAGTTGACTTGTGTATAGTCAGTAATTGCGTGAGATATAGGGTGTTCTTCAGAAACGTACCTCGCGGTTATGCTTGCTGATACAGCATTGAGCCCTGTATTTGTACCTTGCTCTGAGGAGTTCGTGTCTCGCGACTCACGATCACGAGACTGGGTCTGCAAAGCTCGGAACTGGATTTGTTGATGGCGCACAAAGTTGTAGACATCATGTTGGGACGTTGCATGGCGATATTGAGGTTCTGAAGGAACCTTATCTCTGCAATAGGGACAGCTGTCTGACTCTTCAAACCACTTCTTGATACAGTGATCACCAAAGACGTGCTTGCATTTTGGCAGTTTCAGAGGAGCCTCGTTGACACCTTCAGGGTTGGCTACACCGAAATCATTATAGCAAATGATACACGCTACCTCCCAGTCAGCCCCGTCATACAATCAGATAGGGCGGGACACTTACTTCTCTCACTCTCGGGTAGGTCTGACACGTCAACGCTCTGCAAAGAGGCAATGGCCTTTTTTGAAGCCACGCGTTTCCCAGAGACAGAGCCCCTGAGAAGCTGCTGCACTCTAGCAGGGTCTTCGCCTTGCGAACCCAAAGAGGTCGCCTGGTAGAAACTCACCGCACCCGGCTCCGGAAACGGCGAGTCGGGATCATCGTCACTAGACCAGTCTGAACTCGATGTGGGCATCCGAGGGAGGTATCGTCTGGCATTTGTAGCCGGTCGCCGCATATCATCTTGACCAGACGTACGTGCCGTCCGTTCAACTGCATCACGGGATGTAGACTGTGCTGATTCCGCAGGCGATTGTGAAGCTGCTGTGGTGGAGACAGGTGAGTTAGTCGGCCCACAAACGGCGTCAACGAGCGGGTTCGCGGCGGGGTAACTTACCTGTCCGGGAACCCTCACCCTCACCCTCATCTTGACCTTGACCTTGACCTCGACCGCCTGGGCCGCCCTGTATACTGGATTCCGGTCCCAAATACGATGGTAGAAGACCCATGCTGCTTTGCTGTAGGTAGTGGCGGCGTGAGGCGTCAGACTGCTGGTCCGGACGGACATTCTCGTTTGATACTGACGACGAAGGCTGTGCTGTGCGGGGCGCGGTCGAAGAAGACATAGAGTTGGTTGTAGGATACCCACCGCCGCCAGTTCTTTGGGAATGCCGCTGCGGGTTGTGGGCACTTCCTTGAGCCTGACCCGGGCCAAGATACCCCCCTGCGCTGTGTTGGGCGGGAGCCGTGCTTCCGAGTCGAGACGGAGTCGGTACTGCCCCGGCTGGTCGGTAGTAAAAGTGCGGTACGGGAGTGAGCATGTCGTGCTGGTTCATTATAGGGTACGGCAGTTGGTTCGTGGGGTTCGTGGGGTTCGTGGGGTTCGTACGGCCAGGAGCACGGGCAGGCGAGGGCTGGAAAGACTCGGGTACGAACCCAGGTTGCTGTGACAGCATATGATGCCGCCACTGTGGTGGTTGTGGTGAAGGAATCGGTTGCTGGAACCAAGTTCTGTTCGGGACGTTGCCGTAGACCGGATCGTAGTGAGAGGTCTCACGATTTGGCGAAGCCATGGGCGGATGCTGATTCTGCTGCTGTTGTTCTTGAGCGGCGCGCATGGCTGGACAGCGAGACGGCGAGCCTGAGGAGGAAGCTGAGGAGTTATGAGAGTGATGGTGGTGGGGGTGCATCACGAAGTCCATCGAGGAGGGATCCATGCTGCCGTCCATGGTTGGAGAGTACCGGCGGCCGGGTAGAGGCAGTCTCTCCCCAGTCGGTCTCTAGGGGAAATGATGCTGCAATACGGAACTGATTCCCGCTGATTGTATTTTTGTATCACAGAGGATAGCAGGGCTTGGAAGTTTGCAGATGAATGAATGTATGGTGATAATGTTCGGTGTTTGTGGCGTTCGGAGTATCAGGTTGGAGGTAGGTCCACGGGTATTGGGAATGGCGGTGGTCGAAGAGTTGCAGGCTGTCCGCTTGTCCGGGTCCGAGGTGGTGTTTGCAGGCACACTTCGAGACTACCTTGGCAACAACCACGCTCCGGAGTGAGGGGGATGGTGCAACCAGGCGTGAAGCAGAAATATCTCTACGAACGAAGTAGGAGGCAGGAAGGCGGAAGACAGAGGAGAGGCAGAAGGAGGAAGAGGAGGAAAACGACTGGAGGTTGCACAATCAACGAGAGACTTGGGTGAGTGAGTGCTGCAGTGCTGGGGTGAATGAATGGATGACCGATGACCTGCCTGACCGTCACTGTCCGTGTTAGCTGGAGTGAGCTGGGCTGGCAGGCTGGTCTGGACTGGCAGACTGGGGCTTGCAGTTGCAACTGCGGGCTTTGGTCCTTTGGATGATGGATACCTATGGAGGGGGAGGGGGAGGGGTTCGCTGCCTTAGGTATTTAGTCTGTCTGGGATTTGGTGTGGAGGGACCCGACAACTTACAAGCCAACTTGGACCTGGCAGGGGTTAGCACTTAGCGCCAATGTCCTGCTTGGAAGTTGTGCTCGTACCTTAGGTCGTATAAATGGGCAGTACTTTAGGTATTGCTGCACTTGTCTCAACTTCACTCGAACAAGATTTGCTCGCTTGAGGTTCTCAGGTGTCGTGCGGATCGCTGAGAGCTGTACAGCACCGGCATGCCAACGTGAACCCGGGCGCTGTGCTGGGATGGAGAGGTGAAGTTGGGTGCATGTACTGTATTTAGATAGTACCCATCACATTGATTGTTTGATACCTCTTAGCGATTAAAAAATATACGTGGCTCTTGTACTCTCGTATCTACCTCTAACTTCAACTCAGGAAGGCGTTTGCTCTCAGTCCCATGGTTCCGTGCACCTTTGAGGATAAAGTAAATCTGATGACTTTGTCCGGAACATGTACCTCTGTCGTCGATAATTCGAGGGTCAGGACCTCCGTATTTTGTTCGGTTTCCATCTTACAGGTATTTACCACAACCCTTGCGTGCCCAGTACACGGCCTTAACTTACCGTGCTACCTACTTTACCTAGGTACACATGAGAAAATGCAAGGCGTCTTTGAACACATGTCGTAACCGCGCACCATTTTGGCCAGCCTGCCTTCCATCACGTGCTGTACATGCAGGATACAGTAATAGCTGCTTCAAGCCCGGCTTGGACTAGCTAAGATAACAAGCAGGAAACCAGTGCGAGGACATGAACGAGACTCGCAGACCGCCAAACTCATTAGACCGGGTCGACTATCAGAGCAGGCAAAACATGCGGACGTAGATAGGTTTGCAAGCGACGCCCAGGCTGACAGGCTGACTGGCAAATAGCGGGCTTGTTTGGTGGGCTGGGGATTCTTGATTTATTTGTGGCCTCAAGGTTGATAAAGTTGAATCCACCGCACGGTCAAAGTGGCAAGTGTCCTGTTCATGAAGGAAGGGATCCTGCGGTCTCAATTCCGGCAGGTCGGCAACTCCCTGTAGCGAGAGTTATATTTACATAAGTAGGTTCCCTGAAGAGAAGCACCTTGCCGTCGTCGCCCAAACCGCATTCGTTTCCACCATGAAGTAGCATCATGTCAGCGCCTGTTACAAGGCTAATACAGCATTGGTTTCTGCCCTGTACGACCCCTCATCAGCTCACTGAAGTGCCCCGCATCCTCTGTTATCTGTCGTTCAACGGAATGGAAGGAACTGTGGTGAATGGTGAATGTGAATACAGCGGACGGTACGTGCCAAACCCGGCAGGTGCGGCCGGACCTCATTCACTGGTTCAAAAAGGTTTGATTTATCTCACTTCACTCAACCCGACGACCCAACGTGTAAATTGAAGACCTTCAACTCATCAAGGGTCAAAGTCCCAACTTATTATTACATACCTCATGCCTCCCAGCCACCGATGGCGAACTATTCCTGTCATGCTTTTACCCTACATCCTTTGTCCGAGGCTCTCCCCTGCCGCGTATTTGATTTGATTGAGAGGCCACAGTGACAGCCGTCGGCGCCTCTCTGCAGCAATGGGGACGCCTTCTATCACGCCCAGAGGCCAACCAACCGAGTAACCAACCGATGCAGCCAGCGCCAGCAGGTAGCCTGTAATCGTATCCGCCGGCCATGGTATGGGAATAGTTTTGTGGTCCTGCGCATGGAGGCACATGCACATGGTGCTCTGGATCCTGTTCAGCAACCCCATTCCAACCCATAGCACTTGCATTTGACGTGCACCCTGCCACCATACGATGCGTCCAGGTTGCCCCATCGGGAATATGAATCACCATGTAATCACCCTGTGGTTCGCGTCCCGGGTCGCCTTTTCGCCTTTGGCCGCCAGGGCACATGCAAGGAGGACCATTGACGAGGGAGCCTGCCTAGGTTGCCGTCAGCGTTTGTTCTTGATATTGCACCTCACCCCAAGCAAGCTGGAGATGAATCCTCCACTGATTCATATCTGCGACGCTGTGCGAGCGCCCGCTTAGGCATGGACCAATGCATTGGCTAGCACCCAGACCGGCAGGCATGTGTCGCAGCAGTCAGTTGCGGCCGAAGAGCCGTTTGTGATAAGAATCACGGCCCATCATTCCATGGACCGCCAATGCTTATTAGTTGCAGCACCTACTACATCCTCCCGGAGTCAGCATCCATCATCACCGAGATCGGGGCTATTAGCAAACGGCAGAGGGGATGACAAGGAGAGACGACGCATCGCTCCGAGCCCCACGACTAAAGCAGCAGGCAGATCACACTCTGGCGGTCACACATTTCCATTTCCTTTCAGAAGACAGTCTAGAGGTAGTAGCAGGTCAAACACACCACCTCACAGATCACGCAGACGGAACCACCAAGTTCCCTTGAGCCACGCATCGACTGCTCCGTGGGTCTCAGAGGTCTGCGGTCACGAGCCTTCAGCGACGTTCCATACCCATGCCAATATTCGCCAGCCGGCTCTGTGTGACCAGTCACGGCCAGGTCATCGATGCCGATATAATGCAATACCGCAATACGGTACACCGCTGACTGTAAGCCCGAATGATATTTGCCACGAAGTCTCATTCGGTTCGTCCAGTTCGGTTACGAAGGCATCAGGTCGCCTCCACCTCGTATGGCTGGATTGACCTGGAACTGACCTTATCGGCTCGACAAGAGGACTATGTAATGATACATCACTTTGCATCTGATCGTGCTCTGGCTCATAGCATGCTGTACTGCCTGTTGCCTGGTTTATTAAAGGCGAGGCAGCAAGAAAAGCATCAGGTCCATCAAGTGAGACCGAAGAGTGAGTTGGTCGACTGGCACGATTGGAGAGAAAGCCTTGCTTTTACTTTTCGTCTGTCAGTCGCAGAACCGGTCTGGCTGCATCGATGTACGATTCCAGTTCACACTGTTTCAAGGCCGACACAGAGCGGCAAGGCTGCTTATCCCTGTGCAGTTTGCTGACTCGCTGTCACAGGCTCGATGGCTTTTGACGTGCGACCCGACCTCACCTCACTTCGACCAGAAGTCTGACTGCAGCATTCCAAAAGAACAAATGCATATGTGACCAGAACAACATCTCTACGATCAAGGCCTCAAGGCTTTGAGTGACTATGACCTTTCCAAATAAAAAAAATTCCACATATCATCATCACCACGGGAAAGTAGCAGCAAGACATTGGAGTCTTGTGACGACTTGCCCTCCCCGCAGCAGCGGAGCTCGGCCACTCGGCGCAAACTCCTTCCTCGGCCTACCCGATCATACTATTATGATATTATCTGATCCAACTCTTATGAACGTTTCACAACATCAGCTCCATGCTCATCCTCGCCATCTCGCCAAGGGTGGTCGAGTCGGGACAAACACTTGCCGTCTACTCCGTCTGTCTCACTGAACCAATGGGGCCATGTGGCTATCTTGACTTCTCAGCTCCGCGCTGTCCGCCTGCCCGTTTCTCCCTTGTCGTTCTTGGTAAGATAGTATAGTTTCCACAACTCTAATTGGCTGTCAAGTGCGGGATCGACTCAAGGTCTCGCCGGGACACCCCTGCTTAACACATTCCAGCCGACCCTTATTATTTGCTATTGATGAACTTTAACTTTATCGTCAGTGATCACATCCCTTTTGTCATTATCTCACGGGGCCCTCATCGACTGATCACTTATATGATACTAGCAGTGATCAGACTGTGTACCCCATGCCACCAAGAGACAGCATCAACTCAGACAGTCGACGAAGGCTACTTCTCATGGTGAGTCTCTGAGCTTGACTTGCAGCGGCAGGTTCCAACACCAACGGGTTGGTGTTGGGTGGGTCGTCTGGTATCTTGACTGGCGACCCTCTCTCTCAGCTCTAGTACTCGGTAACGTTCCGGTAACGTTCCGAGCGAGCTGGCTGGTCGTACCGCACGTCAGCCAGAACTTCCAAATCACATCAGTAGGCAGGGAGGGCATGGAACGAGCTGCTCCTGAGTCCTGACGCGACTTTGACCGACATCAATGATCCCTGAAATCGAATCCGTTCCGTCTCCCGTCTATCCCCATATGATGCTGGAATGCTCTCACCGCATCGTTCCCGTCTCCGCCTAAACAGGTGTCCGCCGCGGTGTTGGTGGGTTTCCGTTTGTCGTCGGCTATCACAAGGGACAAGCCTCCGATCCCAGCTTATCGTCCAAGCGCACGCAATCATCGGTGATGAGTCTAACTCGCTGGCCGGGCTTGTCGCCGCCAATGCATACGCAGACACGGTAGTCAATTCGCAAGCAGTGTTTTGACACTTCAGAAAACTCCCGGGAGCTCGGCTTGGCTCACGCCCACGGGCAAATCGATCTCATACGGTAGGAAACACTGACCCGAAGGCGTCAACCCCACTGAAACACCACGAGTCAATTCCTGCACCGTCTCGAGCATGTTGTCGATCCATTGAACCATCAATCGGCTCCGCCTCCTGCGGCACCACGCTTGAACCCGTGACAGGTCAAATGGCGCGAGAGCTGCTGTTGGTGACAGCAGCCCCAGACCCTAGGAGCCCAGCATCAGAAGAGCGGCTGGAATGTCGCGCAATCATGTGCCGTGGGCTGCCAACTCACCAAGTAGTCAGAACTCAACGTAATGCGGTCGCATCGCCATCAGTGAACCAATCCCCTCTAACCCGGCAATCAGACTCTCGACAAAAAGACTGCACTATCCTTGGCCTGTACCCTGGGAAAGTCTCGCCGTCGCTCACTGCAGTAGGCACATTTCCACACATAACCCCTCGCCGTCGTCCCCGTGCATTGAACCTTTCGTTCAACTATTCGCTCGCGTATCGCTTTCTTTGTCCGGCAACTTAGGCAGTCAGTTACCGGATATCTCGGATACGCAGAAGATCGGAATGTCATGCTCAGGACGCGTGCATACCGCTTTCTGGCATAATCACCCTTCCAACGGCATCAACTTTGGATATGTGTTCATCCTCTCATTCTCACATTCTCACATTCTCACATTCTCACATTCTCACAAACAGTTCGACAGAACTCGCTGGAACCAGCGGCTAGGGTCCGAACTGGGCACGCCTTCCGAGCTGCTCCTCTGTCTGTCATTTTCGGGTTGTGTTCGGCCAGCTTTTAACTCGCATCATCTCTCACTGTTCCTCAGCCTTGCGTATCTGACTATTCTGCGTTTCGAATACCGCGCATCACTTGGTAGACAGGTAAGTCCGCGCCGCACCCTTGAGCGTACATCCATCAAAGTCATCCCACGAGAAGTGGCGGCGGGGCAATCCCTCGGAAGCGCAGATATTCGCCAAATCGAACCCTTACGAATGGTCTATTGCTGTGAAAAGCCACGGGGCTCGCGAGTGGTGAAACCACCTATTTTGGATATTGATGCCTCTGGGAAGTTCGGAGCGCGGAGTCTCCCGCTGACCGACGTAGACACGAACATATCGGGGCCCCCGATGCCCCTGGTGGCACAGCCGACGATGCGCAAATAACCACATTCCAACAGCGGGCACGGAGCGCCTGTTGGTGCTTCGTTTCGTCACAGACCATACGATAGGCCACAGGCTTTGCTTCAAGAAGCTGCAGAAAGGTGTCGGGAGCATCTTTGGACCCGAGTAAGTGGCTGAATGTCCCTTGTCGGCATATCAGGAATCTTCCAGCCCGCCATGTCATCGTCAATCACCAGCAGGCGTGAAGGCTAGGTAGGATCACAGGAAGCTATATGTGAGGTCAAAGGCTGCTTCTTTGTGCGGCTCGGGTTTTCTGTTCAGGGGTAAGCTACAGCCTGCCAGCATTGGCCTGGCGCTTGGCACGGCATCGCATCAAAAGCCAAAGGAATTTCGTACTCCAGTGAAGCGATGCTACGTCTGCTGAGGCGAAGGAAGCGAGTAGAGCTTCCGTGCTCGTTTCGTGTACCGTTTCTCGTGCAGCTGCAGCTCCTGTCATCGCCCGACAATGCCGACGTGTAAGTACGGCTGGGCATGAAGGTCGTGGCTTGCCGGAAGCTGAAGCTATGCTGGTGTGTGATCTCGATGCGGATGGCGATATACACGACTATGATGGTACTACCGGTAGCGAAATACTGTCTCGGTACCGCCAGGATCGCTCGCCATCGAGCCTTGCCATCTCGACCCAATCTCCTTGAGAGGAACACAACGGAAGCATGCCAGGCTGCCAGGTCCACGACATACCTACTGTTGTTGGTCATGGCGCCCATGGTGTCTGCACAGATGGATGGGCTTCGGAAGCAATGCGGGACCATATCCGACCTCGTGGCCACCAGGCACCCACCCACGGTCTTGCTATATAAGTCACGATGAAGGACCAATCTGACACATACGACCATAGGATCCGGAGAACTTGGCATCCCGTCCGCTCTGCCTTAAATAAGCCGGATACCGCCGGATTAGTAGTTGGGTCGGTGACGACCAGCGAATTCCCGGTGTTGTATGTTTTTGACAGAGTTTATTTAAAAAAAATTATTTTTCATTTTTGGCTGTGATTGTCATGTCTGGGGCGGTCGTGGTGAGCTGCTAGGAGCGGGCTCTTGCTTCTCCTGTAGCTTTTTGCTGGATATTGAGATTGTGGACGGTTAGATGCCATATGGTTGGTGATGGTGGTTGAAATGTCCAAACTATTCAGGTGGGTAGGTGGTATTAGGACCAGTCCTACTGAGCGGAGTCCAGGGGGTTGATCGTTGTATTTGCTTACCGTGTTTCCTGCGAAGGGGGAGCTGCCCTTGAACAGTGTATCTACCCTGTTGAAGTGGTCCTGTTGGTATACGTACCAACGTACTACTGCGTTCATAAGACTGTACTGGAGGGGGCTATACGCTCCCATAACTTAGGGCAGGGAGTGGCCTTCTACCTGGCCTCTTTTGGGGAGAAGGGCAGGAAGATAGAGGCGAGGGAACTGTAATACCGGGGACCTGTACACCACGTCTTCGACAGTGGATGTTGGCTCAACTGAAGTGGCATCCAGGTTGCCGCCATCAAGATTCATCGGGGTTACTTTGTGTGAACGGCGAACACCATTCTTACGTGAACTGGTCCGAGTGACTTCTACCTTGGAGACACCCCCTCGAGAAAACGGTGGGAACAGAAGTCTCCAAGCTCTCGTTCTGGTTGCCTATCAGTTGGCCGTCTTTTTGACCGACTATCAGATCCCCTGCCCTAGAACCCCATGATTTAGGTTAGCAATACGTCTCCAACCACAAATCGCGGTCGTTGAGTATACCCCCGGCTGCATTCGTCACCGGCCCAGGGAGCGTCTTGCTTCTAATTCGACCCCCTGTTCATGTCGGATTGTGCAAGTGGTGGTTGGCCTGGATACTGGGCTCTAAGTTATGGGCAGGCAAGAGACGGCCGTATCTGGAGGGCCATGATAGTCTAATAAGCATACCGCTACGGCCTGACATGGATGCCTGCGGGTGCATGTCCCTTTCTGACTGTCTTGTGCGCAGAGTCATCTCAGGAAATACGTGTGGATGCCGAGAGTGGCTGGCTGGTTGTGATCCACAGCCGCGGAATGGTGATGGGTAGCTGGGTGACGGATGCCAACGACGAAAGGGGGTAACCACCTATGATGGTCCTGCGCTGTGGGTGAGCACCCCTAGGTCATACCATTTACCAGAGATCAGCTGAAAGGCGAAGGGGAGATCCTATGTGGTATAACATATGAATTATGCTGATCTGGAAGAGCCCAAATTTGACGAGTGCGAAGTACTCCGCGACGTTTTACATTATTTCTAAATTGCACTCAGGCCAGAGACTTCAGTGTAGACTAGGAGGCGGAGCTCGCATGTCAGGGAACGTAGCTTCACCCGTACTCGATCATGTTCACTTTAGTCGCTAGAAGGTTAGGCCTGGGCAGTGTGATGATTTTCTCGCTGCTTGCTGGCTAGCCTAGGTACTGCTTCGTCGGCAGCCTCTCTGGTTACATCCGGCGTCGTTATCTCCTCGATTTCCCTACGTGTAATACAAGGTGTAATCATTGGCCAATTACCTTCAACGTCCTCCTTTAGCTGATCATCACAACTCAATGGGGTTCCAGATAGGCAACTCCAAAGATACGACCGTTCACAGACTCAGTTCTCATTCGGTCAACGAGAGAGCTGTATGACCAGCGCTGGCCGTTGTATCAACAGTAGAAAGACGCGTGGCCGCGTAGCGCGTGCGTTGCTATCCAAAGAGGAGGACGACAGACCGAGAAGAGGAAGGGATGATCACTATGCCTTCGACAGAGTTCTGATGATGTCAATAGCGCCTGGTGTTTCGGCCCATGACGCATACGAGTATTTGAGCGTCACTTGCATTTCGCTCTCTTGACCTCTTGAGTAGTATTCGGGTCTCGCAACAAGGTGGGATGCTGGGTTGAGCAGAGCAGGCCAGAAGTGGATGTTGGATTTCTGGACATGTTTATAGAGCAGTGAACCTGTTTTCGCATGGCGGCGATGTTCTGTGATTGGTCTGGCTGCTCCATGATCTCCGGACGACTCGAGACTGCGGGACCGACGGCTTTCTCTCGGATCATGTCGAGGATTTCCTGCGGTACGTTGTCTCCGACTGATCTGGAGGCTTCTTGGAGGGACTGCAGGTCCATCAGCAGCTTGATCTTTAGGAGAACCAGCGCTACGCCTTGACCCAAGTCCGGAAATTCGGAGATGAAGACATCACAAGGTTCAAAGACGTCAGCGTCCTTGATATTCAAGTAGGGTAGGCTCGCGTCTGCCCAATCGTACTGCCCGTCTGTACCCGTGTACCACCATTTGATGAAATCGTAGCATTCCTGGACCTTGTCGAGACGCAACATGATCGAGGGAGCTGTGCTGCGCAGACCCATGTTGTCGCTGCGGCAAAGACGGAACATGTCCATGGTGTGGTCCAAAGCATTCTCGACGGCTTCAGCGGTGTGGACGCGAAGAAGAAGGAAAACCCAACGAGGTGTCAGAAAAGGATCAGTCCGGCCTCACCATGACGAATATGAATGAGATGAAGCAGCTGGCCGCCCCTGAGACGTGTCTGGTCAACACCAAGGACCTCAACGTAGCCGACCAGCGATGTGGTACTTGCATTGCGTTTGAGCTTCATTGCTGCGCTCGCGGTTTCGTAGGTATCACAAGATATATGCAGTGTTCCCATCGAGTCTTTCACGTTGCGTCTGGCTCATATTGCCTGTTCACCTAACATGGTGTGACGAGAGGTCATATGGGTCTTGCGGCGACCGTCGGCTGCTATGCACATTCGCGAGTCGAAAGCTGGGGATCGGGACACACACATACCTAGCATGACAACGACAACGTGCACCTCCATGGATGTCATTGCGTTCTCTGAAACTTGTCACCGCCATCCGACATAGTCAACAGAACCAGCAAGTCGATGCGTCCGAGAAGGATGGGTCGGACATTGCGGCGGCGGTATAGGTATAGAAGAAGGGCGTGAAAAATACAGATGACTAGGGCGAGGCCACCCGACCGACATCTTAGCCAGGAGTTCAGCTACGTGGAATGATCCGCGAAATAACCTTCATCGAACTCAAAGGGATTATTATCCTATCAGCTGCCAAAGGGCATACCTATACCTGATGGTAAGGACAAAGGCGACGAAACACTGATGGGGATTCGCATTACCTTTTGAACTTGGAAGGTCACGAGTTCGCCTGAGGCCGGCCGTGGGCAAGACGCGTTGGCAAGGATTTGGGCCGACTGTATTTCGTCGGAGCGTATGCAACACAGCTCTCAACCATCGATCCAAAGCGAGTTGTTGGCGATGATTCCAGTGCAGCAAGTCGGGACCATAACTCGTCTCCGCCCAGGTCACGGCGTTCCATCTTCACGATGGCAATGTCATTGCTGTGAATGCGGACAGTCTAAGGGCGATCGTCTCGTGTGGTATGGGACATGGAGTTGGTTATCCCGGATTCGTCCGCGTCGACGCGTCAACGCGTCGCCTCGGCAATAATGTGAAGGTATGGGGAGTGGTAATACATCGACGCATCTCTAAGCGTCATACACGCCCTCATACACGGGTGGAATATACAGGCCCTCGACTGGGCGCATCCTGGCTATTTCGAGGAATTGACCCCGAATGCCAGGACGAGGTTTTTGCAGTTGGAGGTTGGTCATGCTTTAGAAGCTGGAGTCTCCGCTTGGGTAGCTGGGAGCGGAATCGCCGTAGCCGCCGCCGCCGCCGCCGCCGCCGCCTCCTCGTCCACGGCTGAAACCACCGCCTCGTCCACCACCTCCTCCGCGGCTATAGCCACCGCCACCTCCTCCGCGGCCGTAGCCACCACTTCCTCCTCCGCGGCTGTAGCCACCGCCACCTCCTCCACGGCCGTAGCCACCACCTCCTTCGCGGCCGCCGTAGCCACCGCCTCCTCCGCGCGAGAAACCTCCACGACCACCGCCGCCGCCGCGGGTTCCACCCTCGACGGCTACCTGGACACTGAGGACGCGGCCTCCCAGTTCGGACTCATGTAACTCCTCAATGGCCTTGGCGGCAGCCTCGTCCTCCTCGAACTCGATGAAGCCGAAGCCTTTGCTTTCGCGGGTCTCTCTGTCCTTGACAACGTGGACACTGGCGATGTTGCCGTAGGGAGCGAACTTCTCCTCCAGCTCCGGGGTGTCGACACTCCACGGTAGTCCGCCGACGAAGAGCTTGGTTGCGAGGACGGAGGGTGTCGAGGTAAACATGCGCGGTGTGTCGATGCGGGTGGTCTGGAATGCTTGCGATGCGGCGGCGGGAGCGCGGGCGACTGCGCGCGCGATGGATGAGCGGGCGAACATGTTGAAGGGCGGAGGGATGGATGGTTTTAGTGATGCAAGTCGGCTTCGGTTGATGGAGATGGGATTGAGTAATTAGGCAGAGATGCGCGCAACGGGAGAATGTTGGGTTTGTAGTTGTAGATGACCAGAAATATCAGACCCGAAGTTTTTTTCTTCACCATGTCATGTAGGGGTTGCAGGGTCTGTGCTTTGCATATCTGCGAGATGAGATGCATAAAGATGGGGCTTATCCTAGAGCGACACGAAAATCTGCACTACCCCTTTTAAAAACACTTCACCCTCATTTGGCATCAGCCACACACTCAACGTTCTATGGGACTGAAAGGCCCTGCAACAATATCACATGTGGTTTCTTGAGTCTTTATACACCATGAATTATCCTATGAGCAACGCCATGAGGTCTCCCCGATTTCTGGTGGTTGTTGTTGAAGGCGGCTCTTCCCCATCAACCCGCAGTATACCGGTACTCCTTGGTGACGTTTTCCTGATGGTCCAGTTCTTTCCTTCCCAAGGTCGAGTCATCACGCAATTCTCGTGTACACTCTGTCGTCTGCTCGCGTCTCCCTGTGCGCCAGAAGCCCGGGTCCTATATCTACGAGAAAACCCACGAGCGTTTCAAAAAAGCACTTCAGGGCTGCTGTGCGTCCCCGAAAGCTTTTGAAGGGTTGCTCAGGTGTTGCGCCCGCCTCCGTCGGGCAAGTGGTCGGACTGAGTTGCGGAGTGAAGAAAGGCAGCGTAGCCCAGATGAAGGAGAGCTTCGTTGTCAGTAGCAGATTCGAAAGTCTCAGCAGCGCCTCCAGCCGAATGCCCTGTATATAACCTTGGGGTACAGTCTGCTCAACATGCACCTTGACATGTCGCTTGCTCCTGCGTATAGCGGCCGCATTCTCCCCTACGAACGCTCAGCCTGCATCCGACCTTCTATGACCTTATACGTGGCAGAGATCGACCGCTTAGGTATCGAAGTTGCCCAGGCCGGTACCTATCTCGCAGCTGGTGCTGGAAGCGCAACTCACTTGCGTAAGGCACTGCTCGTGTTCCACGGGTCTCCTTCAACAGGGTTAGAAAATGTATGCCTAAGCTTCCGAACGGGGACCTCCGCGAGTAGGGAAGCTCGGGCTCGGATAGAGGAAGACAGCCAAGGGCCCAGTAGGTAAGAACGCGTAGGATTAGTTTTCGACTCTATTGATTTCGGAGGCTCCTTAATACAGGTTCAGTCGATAGTAGGATAGTGTAGAAGTGTTTGTTCTCAGGGGCGAACGGGATGGACCACGTACTAGAGGTAAGTAATTTTGTCCAAATGGGAGGAAGTGTACCCGAACGGGAGTTCGCCGTGTTCAACTTTACCTGGGCTGATTCCAAACAGTCAACCACGCCATCCATTAGGTACTTGGTCGAGCTGCACAGATAAAAACTTGGGCCTCCATATTAGTAGAGGGCGGTTACCGTACCCCAGGCAGCTCTGCTTCCTGCCTCCATATCCCTTTGCCAACCAACCAGTTCCAGGTGAGGTCTCCCAGCAGTTCTCTTGACTGCGGACGCCATTCTCTTTGTCCGTTCACCCAGGCTGACACCGCAAAGCTACCTAGCCTAATTCTGCCAACATCAAGGCGAGGGAAACGCTGCACCACGCAAGATAAACATCTCGCAAAATCAGACCCCAAGGTTAGTAAAGCTCCTAAACCTTCATTCCTCAATCACCCATTACCCGAGGGTATGGTCGAATCTCGGATCGGATTCCCATTGTAAGCTTCATCTACCCATCACTCTAGGCTCTCTTTCATCTCAGTGTCTGTTTGCCTGATCCAACTCGCTGAATGTCCACCCCAGAGCTGCGAGTGGAAGCCCATTTCTATCCCTCAGTAATACCTCGGTTCTTACCCACCAAATCTCTGACCTGCCTTCCAGCACACAACCTTCGCCCTTCGCCGTCACGATGGAGATCCCCGAGCAAATCCGTCCGTTCTACGACGGTACTTTCTTCCCCGACCATGGACGAGATCACACCCTGGAGGAGGAGGACCCGGAGGCCTTTTTTGTCGCTCTGTGTCATGTGCGATCAAAAGGGCAGCCGCAACTGCTCCCGATGTGCGGCTCCATACTGTTCCACGGCTTGTCAGCAGAAGGACTGGCAGTATCACAAGCTGGTCTGCAAACCACTTTCGAAAGAGTTCGCCGACTCCCGCTGTCCACCCAAGCATTACCGAGCTCTCTAGTTCTCCCAGAACAAAAGCAAGCCGGAGTTCGTCTGGATCAAGGATGTGTGGACGGAGATTGGCGATGGTCACTTCCGGGAGATCGACGACCTCATCTTCAAGGACTCGAGCTGGAAGCCCAAAACCATCTCGCCAACGACTTCGCAACATGCAATCACGATCAACTATTGCATTCCGGACCGCCGATGCGGTCGTGGTCTCAGCTTTAACATCGTATCCCGCCTCCGTCCTGTCAACGACAAAGGTCGCGGGATTGAGGATGCACCTCCCAACATCAAGATGAATGAATCCATTGCCCGACTCTCGCCAGCTGGTCATACTCTCGTCCAATACGGCTCCGCCCTCGTCTGGCCCTATAGCTACAAGAAAGGCACACCTTCTATGAACGACCCCTACTGGCGACAACGCTGGTCTTTCATGGAGCCCAAGGACTTCACAGCGCGAGACTTCCGCTCAGTCATCGACTTTCTCCACACCTTGAAGCCCAACTCTTGCGTCGTCGACCCCGACCGCTTTGCACTCTACCGCAACTGCAGAATTGTTTCTGCCGTCAAGATCAACTGCAACGGTGACATCGCCCGCTTCCAGCCCTTTCTCGCAAACGGCATCTCCGAGCTTCCCCGGTTCGAAAACGTCAGCGTCCCGGCCGAGGTCCTCGATCAAAACCAGTACAGCGCTCCTTGGGCCGAGTTCCTGGGTCTCCCCTGGAACGTCCAGGTGTGCCACACCAACGTCGACTTCTCCACGCAAGAGGAGCTTTCCAACGAGGACGCACGATTTCTTGTCCAGGATCGCTCGGTAATGGCACGGTTTGGCCAGACACCCATCCCGTTCCTGGCTAGGCCTTGTGAAGGTTCTCTCATGGTCATGCGCAAGGACGGCAAGCCGACCCACCGTCTGCATGTCCAGTGGATGACTGAATACTTGGAAGAGGTCACGGCAGAGAATGGAAAGCGTATGAACCTCCTCGCGATCATCATGGGGGGCGGTGCCACAGTCAAACCCGGATGGAACGACTTCCAGAGCAGCTGGCAGACCTATCTAGCGAAGCACAAGGGATCAGAGGAAGGCGTACCGGACCCCTGGGGCTTGCAAGTCACTTAGATCCACCCAAGAGTCAGCCTGGGGTTGTAATTTCCGTGGTGGACCAAATATCTCGAGGGCCTGAACAGAGATGTGATGGAAGAGTGGCATTGGGACTGGTTAGGCCTGACTTCACAGGTTGCTGGACGGGCGGTAGTGACCGGTTGGCAATGGGACTAAGCAGACATCGTCTTTAGCAGACACCCTACTCAGGACATTACATTGGCGAAGCACAACGCTTTCCAAGGTCTATGATCGGTGGGCGAATTCTTCTCAAGCACTTGGCGTGCACAGGTAGTCTACCATAGGGACGAGACTTCGTAGCCAAGAGCTACTGCATACCTTCAAGTCTTCTCCGCACGTTCTGTGATCTCTAGTCTCCAGTCATCCCCAATACCACATCCCATCTATCACCTTTCCCGTTCCTAGATTGCCCAAACAAGTATAATGCCCAGCTTAGAGCGCCACCCGCCAACCTACGATCCCCTATCTGAACAACCACCACTGCCAAAGACCAACAACTCACGCTGAGATCTCACCGTGTACATCGCCTCGAAGTCACCCACCACGCATCTCAAAACTTCCTATATCCTTTCCGACCCATGCATCACCACACCTCTCTGCCTCGTAACTCCCGCCCTGCCTTTTACTCCACATACCTTCCTTTTTCGCAGTACCTCGACGCGATCAAGAGCAAGCATCACCACCCAACCACCCTATACTTCCTGTACATGGACTCCCATAACTCGAACCGCACCAACCAGTCACTCACTCACTCACAAATCCAAGCCGCCATCACCAGCAACATGACCCAACTATATACCACTACTACACCACGTCATACCTATCTGAAACCACCAACCTAAATCTCGTGGAAGGGCTGGCAGCGAGCGGGAGGAACCGAGGCCAACCCACACACAAGGTAGATTTCCCACCACCACGAGGGGTTTTTCGTGTACTTCGGCTTCCTGGACTTTAAGCACTCGCACACTCTCTTTATGTTATCCAAACTAACTCACACCAACTTCCCCGGATGATGAAGTTGACCAACTACATCGACTTCAGTTCATTCATGCCCATCTTGGATGGCAGGGTATACCGGTAGCAGAAGACTATGCTATACTAGCATCACACGCTCGCTCTTCCACCTTCTATATTGATCTTCGAATCGGACCCGACTCAGCCATACCGAGTGTTCCCGCACATTGCTCTCATCTACACCACACCCCGGAACAGAACGAGCCGGCAAGTGATGAACAACATGCAGAAAAGCCACTGCTACCAGAGAATACACCCGCGGCGAATGATACCACATTCATAAAACCCCCTTCACCCCCCTACACATACTACATGTATGCGGGACTGCGAACACACCCATAGTACTTAGATATACATCCAACCGCGCATGCAAGTAAGCAAATACTGCATTACACAACAGCCCTCCACGCTCGTACATGTACGTCCTGCCCAAACAGGCTCCATCCTGCGTCCGGGGCTGCAGGTAATATCCCGCGACTCCCCTCCAGGCGAAGAAGGGGAAAGGGCGCGCAGATAAGCCACATACTCGCGGGGTGCGTGCCCCGGCGACCATGCAATAGTAAGGTATTTCCCCGCATGAACACCTGACGAGACCGAAAGAAAGGGAATAGTTCGTCAGTCAGCGCCCACCCCCTTCTCCCTTTTCGATAACCGCCAGCGGCTCAATCGGCAATGCTACCGAGAAGGGACAGCCCTGGGGGAGGCTGTTGCCTGCCATCATACAGCATACACACATCCACCTAGACCGATGCCGCGGCCCGCCGACAAATGTGAAGATACTATCAACATCCCCCATCTCTGAACACGCCATCGCCTGAATCCCCATTCCGGATTTCATTACTGATACTTGGTCCCGCGGCACGCTCAGTAAAACATATCCACTACAGGAGTTTACTGGCTGCTGCCTCCCATGTATATCTGCAGACAATGTATACAGTTCCAAGACGCTGACGCCGACCAGCCAGCAAGGTCACCACGCCCAGAGGCCAGCTGATGACGGGAGGAACCGCCGAACCCCAGATACAGTAGCGCATCACACAAAGACGCTGATCCCAGCGCCCTGACAACCATAGACAAACAGCAGCGTCCTTCACTTCTTGATGAGCTTGTACTTGCCGCCAATGATCTCCAGATGGCCCTCGCCGACCTTCTCGCCGAGGAACTCCTGCAGCTCCTCGTTGCTCCATGGGAACCCGTCGGCGATGAGCATCTTCATCATCATGGCGATCTGGCCGAGGGGCATGGTCGAGCTCGCGTTGGTCAGCATGCCGATGATGAACTGCCAGTACACCGTGCGCTTCTCCTTCTCCCTCCCGCTGATGCCCGCCTTGGCCTTCCGCGGCGTTGCCGGCGCGTCGGCTGGCGCCGCGGCCGATGATGAAGCCATGACGTTGGTATGCGACGCCTGCTCGGCGTCCGAGAGCCGCTCGATGACGACGTACCGCCCGTCGGGAAGTTTGCGGAGCACGCGCTTCTTCTCCCAGAACGAGAGCGCGGCCGTGAGGAGGTCCTCGTCCATCTCGAGCTTGATCCACAAGTCCTCAAAAGTCCAGCTGGCGGCATTCTCCTCGCTGAAGGCGTTAATGACAGCGGCCTCGTAGGTATGGACCTCTTCCAGGATATTTCGATCCTCGAGCTCAAGCTCCACAGTGGCCTGCCCCAGGTGATTGAGCCACTTGATCTTGCGCGTGGGCTTGAGGTGCTCGAAAATAGTCTCGTACATATTCTGCATCTCCGCTACGGTTGACGGTAGATGGAACCGGTCTTCGCCCACTTCTGGCCAGTAGAGGCGAGACAGGATCCTTGCGTGGATCGTCCAGTCGCGGTTCACCTTCTCAGGGTGGTTGATGGCGCCACGATGGATAACGCCATCGAGTCTCCTCGAGTCCTGGATATCCTTGATCATGACATCACAGGCTTGCAGCGACGACTCTCCGAACCTCTTCTTCAGGAGGTCTAATACGCCCTCCTCCTGCTCGAACGAGACTTGCTCAGACAATAGACGCTCGCCGATGATATTCTGAAACTCCTTGATGAAGACCTCGGGAGAGCCCAAAGCACCGATTAGAGTTCCGATGACATCCTCGGACTTCCGTCGCTTGTAGTTAGAGCCCGCGTCTACCGGAGGCGGGATCCAGGTCAGATCATCCCACTCCTCGTCTTGTCGCTCAGAGCGGTATTGGTTGGGATCGTACAGTAGCTCGACGAGCTCAACAAGCTTCGTCTTGCGTGCGTCGGTGTTGACTTCCTTGGGGGTCGACAATAGACCGGAAACAATGGTGCGAACTGTGTCTTCCCGAGTACAAAGATAGAGCTGCAAAGAGTATGCAACCCGATCCAGGAGAACCCTAGAATGATCCAGCTTGTGAAATGTCCGAACCATGGCGATGTAGGTGCGAAGGATTTCCAGAGTCGACCGTCCAGGGTGAAGCAGACGGCTCTGCAATGCAGTTGAGAACGCATCAGTAAGTTGTAACCGCCTCTGTGGCGTGGTAACCGCAAAGCGTAGATCTTCAATGCCGCCCTCGCTGCTCGGCCAGCTAATAACAATGTCGAACAACTCGCTGATACGAAGCGCGGCAAGCCGACCTATGCCGATTTCCTTCCACTTCTCCACGTCTTGCCACGAGACACGCAAGGTCCCGAGCTTGGCAGTGACCTCGACCGCCAGTCGAGAGTACTGATTCTCAATCCAGCTCGACAGTTCCTTAATACACTGGGGTTGTGCACCTTGAACATGACCTGGGTACAGTGGCTCCATATCGACATCTTTGTTGGGCTCCCACATCCCCGCGAAGGACTCGCGCACGTAAGAGACCATCATGCCATCCAGAAGCTCAGCAAACAAGATCTGAAATCTCTCGCCAGCCAGGCCGACGTTACAAAGTGACTCCACGAGCTGCAAGAGTTCGGTCTTCGACTCGTCGACGTCCTTATCAGACGACGATGTCGGCTGTCCTCTCGTAGTGCGATGGTTTGGATGTTTAATTCCGAGGACAGTCCTCATGAGCTGGCCCAAAACCAGTCGCAGGGCGTTCATCAGGGATTTAGACATGGAGTTGCCCACAATGGCGTGCAGGTCCCGCCGGAACTTCCTAAGCGCGGCGTCGGCCTGTTCCCCCCCCCATAGCCCGCATGATTAGAGACAATCCATACAGATACTGCCGATGCGCCGCCTCGAGGGTGCGCATGCTGCCTAGTACAACCTGAGTCTGGTCCGCATGACCGTCGCACACCGAAAGCAGCGGCAGGACGTGGCTCACGAAGTGCTGCCGTACCTGCTGGATGTGCCAGGTGAGCAGGTCATCCGTATGCGCGGCCAGGGGCAAGCGCGTAGCCGGGTGCAGCACATCTCTCAGGGCGCCGGCGAAGATGCCGTTATCATCATCGCCGAGGTCCTGCGACTCGGTCGGCAGGGGCCCGAAGGAATCCTCGGCCGTGACGGAGGGCGGCAGCGCAATCCGCGACGTGACGACGTGCCAGGACCGGTCGAAGCGGGTCTGCTGCGCGGCGTGGGTATGGTGGTGGTCCGGTGAGCTCATCAGCTGCGACGGCACAGCAGCAACAGTGGCAGTGGCAGTGCTGACACCACTGGTCGAAAAGTTCCATTTCTTCTTGGGCGTCCGCACCATCAGCGGCGGCGGGCCCCCAAAGTGTTGGCCCTGCTCCGTGAAGCCCAGCGAGGGCGTCGAGTACGGCGTGGGCTGCGAGATGTCTGTTGGGAAGACGGACTGGATTGCGCGTCGCCGCCTCGCGTTCCACTTCGTATCAGCCATCATCATGTGCCTTGCCGTGCGTCTTGTTGGTCGTCAATGATGTTGCTATTGCGGTAAGATGGCCTATTTTTGCCCTTCGCAATTTGGAACAACCGTTGTCATGAAGTCATCAAGTGATCAATCTCATCTGGCGCGGTTGGCGCTGGGCCATGGTCCCTCTCCGGCAGGCACTTTCGATGAGGAACTTTTACTGATCTCGGCTTGGGTGCATCGAATTGTCGTCCAATTCGGGAAGCTTAGCCTGTTGTAGACCAGCAATCGGATGGACCGCGCCGTGATGAGTGAGGCTAGGCGCTGGCAAAATGTTAGCGTTGTTGACTTGATGTTGGTGGAGTGATGCGGTAACTTTGAAGGGGCCGGCGAGGGGGCCATTCCAGGCAGGCGGTGAAGCCGTGTGGCGCTTATGCGCGGTCGGTAACTTTCTACGGCGCACTGTGGAACTTTGGAAGCTGCCTTGTGGCCGTGCACAGCGCCAGTCACACAGCCGCGGCTGACGCGCCTAGTGCTCACTGCTGTTGGAGGGTGAATCTACGTTTGCCCCTGTCGTGTCTTTATCATCGATAAAATTACTGATGGCTTGCTTCCACATCGTCATGCAGGACTACATTATGAAGCACTTAGGTAAGACAAAGGCGCACTACCATAATCTGATAGCATCTCTCTAAGCAGGTATCGTAATTAGGAGTGCTGTCAGCCAATGCGACAGCGAGACTGGAAACCCCTCCGTCAACGAATCACACGCTTCTCCCGCCCCGTCGGATAACGTAGCACGTGGTGTTAATGTGGATTTGCGTAACTCGAAGTTCCTCCGCTCTCCATCGAAAAACCCGCGAATAGAAATGACATGTCTGCATGCCTGCATCAACGTCGGTCAGACTTCATCAGCGGCGGCCGAATCGCCGCCCTCGACCTTGTCATGCTTACATACCTAACATGGAGGTATGGCATGTATCGTACCACGCGAGAGGAGGTAGGTACTCGAAGGTATCTCCCCCCAAACCCACATGGCAGTCAATGGTTATGAGTTCGCGCACGTTGATACGTCGATCCCGTTAGATTGGACGGCGCGCCGGAATCGAGGGGTGAGCAGCCCCGTATTGTACTCATGTGGTAAGACATTTTAGGGCTGACCAGCTGGGCCGCCTCGCTCTGATCTCACCAACCGCATCTCACCAACCGCATAGCTACCTCCGTGTATCTTCGGGCTGTGGAACCGCACGGTCGTAACACGTACCGAATGCCGAGTATTGGCGCAATCGAGGAGATGACTGTTTCTGGTCGATGAGACGAAGATCTGATGAGCATTGCGGCCCCCGCATGTGCCACCTACAGCGTGTGTGTGACAGCAACAGCAACATCAGCAAGGCGACGCAGAGTTCATGGTGCCTGCCGTCTCCTGGTGTGCGCCACGTGCAGTCGTCGAACACACAACAAACAGTAAGCGCATGACATGCGCCATGCGAGCTGCGGCCTGGGTACATTCGGTTTGAGGTACATGAGACTGCTTGCCACGTTGAACCTGCAGATCTACACGTGCAGATAAGGTGTCATGAGAGAGTGGCAAGACCAAGGATCTCATTCGCTGGACCCTGCACCGCGACCTTGCTCTTATCACCGCGGAAGCCGGTGCGATATACCAGCACTGCAGTGCTGAGTACTCGGAGTCCTAGCAGGAGGGCCAATGGCTGCAGCTGCAGCTGCAGTCGACAAGGCCTCGGCCACAGCTTCGCATCGTGAGTCTTCCGCGGGCAAATCATCAGTGGCCCGGATATGCGAGAACGAAGCTTTCCGAAGCTGCCGGCCGGCCGTGGCTTGCCGTCCAACGAACGAACGAACGTGGTGACGCAGGATAGTGACCAGGGGGTTGTTCAACGGCATAGTCCAATGGCATCTCTGAGATTGGAGAGCTTCGTAACGACGTGACCACGGCCGAAGGTGCCGTCGAATCAGCGATAGACGAGCAGCACGTCCAGGCCGCAGCAGCCACAGAGCGAAATCAAAGTACCACGCATCTGCGATGAGTCGTATCGACGCCGGCTCTACTACACGTACGCAGTAACCCTCGAGAACCAGACTTGCGCGTAATGCTTCCCGTCGCAGCGACTCCGTCATCCGAAGACTTGATGGGGTAAACAGGCCTGGCCATGGATGACTCGCATCTGCTCTGCTGTCTACCGTGGACTGGCCTGGTCGTGTCTGTCTGACTGTCAGTTGCGAACCACCCGAGTTTCGAATCGCCTTCATCTCGCTCATGCACTTCGCTGCGGAGTTGCTAGGTAAGGGATGACTGCGCTGACAACTCCGCAAAGCCGGCGGCATACGCGCTTATTTAGACTCCGAAGGGCGCGTTTTTGCCTCCCAAGCACCACCAGCCGGAACCTTTGTTACCGCCACTGACATGCCTGAAAACACGAACTATTGTAGCTTGAAGCGTGCTGTCGCAGAGTGTCGCACACAGGCTTCCATCGGGCTTATGGAAGGTTTCAGCCGAATTTGTCATGGTTACATAGCACTTATTTTTGGTCCTCGGCTGGCTGGGCGACCTGCCAATATGGGGAGGAGGGTTGCATAGAGGCCCGGCCACCCACCGGCTGGTACAAGTCGTGCCAGCTGGAGAAAGCGAGGCAAGCCCTGAAGGTTGAGAGAAAGTGTGAAAGAAGCTTCCCCTGGGCCGCAGCTGAACCAACCGAGCCTCGAAATGTTGGGGGCGCTCAGGGCGAGGTGGGTAGGTGACAGTCTCAGATGCTGCCGTTGCACGACGTCGGAGACTCCGCAACACAGCAGCAACAGCATCAGCGGCGGGCGGCTGACAGCTGTGGTTTCACAAAGCCTTACCTCACGTACACCGCTCTCGTTGCTATTGGGAGCCTCGACCTTTGCGGGCTTGTGGCCTTCGAAGAGTCGGAGCTGTGAGAACTGGAAATTCGGGGGCGACTGCGCGAGCCCCGCCGACCCCGGGCACCACCCCGCGGGGACCTCGGCCTCTTGGTTCAGCGAACCTGGAGATATTATTGCGACAATGGCGATCGTATGTAGGCTGCGACCAACCCATGTTTCTTTGCACATCTGCGAAACACATCAAATCCTGCTCGATCTGTTGATTCGCCTCCCCCGGTCCTGGTTTGATCGCAAAAGGGGAGGGCGCAATTTCAGATTGCGATGCGAGATGCGCAAGTATCGCAGTGCAGTGCGGCCACGGGTCGAGATCAGAATGACAATGACATGATATGACCCTGGATGCATGCTAATCACACCAGACCTTGACGACACACCCATGTGGTTTGGCGTTACATCGGACAAACGCTAAAATTGTCGACTGTCAAACTGCAACGCTCATCACTTCGACCGGTCCCGAGCAGGAGATGTCAAGGTTGTTGCTGCGACCCAGGCTTGTCTAGTGTCTACCCCATCGAGTCTGCCAGGGGTTTATCTACGCATCAGTTCGCCTATCCCCAAGTCAAGCTTTATTAGCCCATGCAGGCGAGTTTCCCTATGATCACATATCCAAGCCGCCAAGACAGGTCGCTTGTCGCTTGCAAGGGACACCAGGGGGGAACGACGGGTACTGCCGCAGCCCAATGAAGTCAGCCAGCCATGCACCAAGAGCTCGAATATGGCCGGGGAAGCCAGCCCGAGCCTTTCTGCTGTTGTCGAACGAGGGAAAGACGGGCAGTCCATGGTCGGCAGTCGAAGGAGTCGACCGCCGACCGTCGATAAAGGATCCCCTATCGGCGCGACATCCACGTTAAATGCCGTCCTTGGCCTCGAATTAAACGCACAACGGCCGACGGTGCTGATAGATGCCTCTAACTTTAGCACGGCCCGCGCGTTGGCTCATCCACCTAGTATACCTACATAGGGCAGGCGCATCGGGTCTTTCTCTCGCCGTTCACATGGAGAGCGCTATTTCTGTGTCCCGAACCCGGGACCGAAGGATCGCAGGATGCGCAAGCTTGGGAGGAAGTCTATAACTAGACTCGGGACTACACTAGGTACCGGTAAAGAAGGATCGCAAGCTTGATGTTAATAACTAGACTCGGGACTGGACAGACTAGGTACCGGTAGAGAAGGGATGACACATGGCATTGCATGGCATGGGATGGCATTGGCGACGAGCCGTACCGTCCGCCGCACAGACATCGTGGCTATCACATTATCAGTACCGTACATAATCATATGTAAGGTAGTTTAGTTTAGTTGGCAAGGGGGGAGATAGCTCGGTGCCGAAGAGTGGTGGAGTATGATTGATATATATCAAGATTGTGGGGAAGGGCTTGGATTTGGTGGGATGCGTGCATGTGGTTTCGCACTTGTCATGTAGGTACTGCAGTAGTATGTAGGGTATCTTGATGCCTGTAATGATGGGTGCTGGGTACATCATACCCGATTCTGGGAGTTGTAATTAGAGTTTGAACCTGGATCGTGATGATCACTGATGGTGGATGGCAGTCGATGGGAACTTGTGAGCCGGTTGATGATGAATAACGGTGTACCCACGAGGTAGGGAGTGGGGAGTAGATAGTATACTACCTAGTACGATGTAGTACATACTTGCCAAGGAACCAACCCATGCGACTGGAGTCGTCACCCCGCCGTTGCACGACCATGTGCTTCGTTATCCACGCCGTCGGAAAGCGGGATTCAGAGATCAGCGGGATCACCAGAGCAACTTGCTATCTTCATCAGACTGTACTACCTTATTAGCATGGCCTGTGGGTCGAGTGTCCCACATCCATGATGCTGGAGAAAAAAGGACTGGAGCTGCTGCTATTTCTGGCAACAGCAACACAGAACTCCACATACCTTAGTCCCATGGATTGCAACCCGACACAAGAACGCCTCGGCCGCAGCGTGGGCTATGCTCTGATCTCTCCGGATTCAGGAATGCGCTGCGCTTCGACGACATTGGATGCACATGCGACATGGGGGCGCATGAAACACGCGTGTGCCATCGAATAAGGTTTCCAGGCAAACGAATGTGATTTGCCACTGGTCGACTATCAAGCCTGCACCTGCGTCGACGATCAAACATGATGCACACTGCACACTGCACACCCCATCCATCCCGCCCTCAAAGGTTCATTGCGACTCGGCCATGCTTGCTTGCTTGCTTGCTTGCTTGCTTGCATCTGGGGTGGTGGTGGTCGTGGTGGTTGCTGTTCTGGTCCAGTCCAGTCCAGTCTGGAGAAGACCACGAGGAGCTTGTCACAAGTTGTCAGACGGAAATGGAAAGCTGCAAGTAACGTTTGGGAGATTGGCTGGCTACCTTAACCAGTGTCGCATTGAGATCGTCAACTTCGTCCTCATTAGTCTGCGTCTCAATTTGCCACGTTTCTTTCGCAGCTGACATCCAATCCAATCCCATCTGATGACATCGGAACTTTGAGAATGAGCCAACCGACCGACCGATGCAACCATTCCCCTCATCAACTTGAACTACTTGCTTACATGTACCCTTACCCTTACCTGACCTGACCTTACCTGACCCTACATGAACATGGGAAGGAAGTATTCTGAGGAACATCAGCCAAAAAGTTCCAGCCATCGAGATGTCCCATACAAACCAAATAAAAGAACCCAGAAGTGGAGGAACATAATCACATCCTAATGTCAGCCCTAAGGTTAGTTAGTAGTGTTGCTATCTATGCGGATGTACCAGATGTAGTCGGGACGTGCAGTCAGTCCTCTGATTGGTGTGCCAGACAAAGCGTGGCTGGTAACGGCGTTGCAGCCGTACTGGATACATTGATGTAGTAGCAGCCAATATGACATATGCAACATGACCTAGGTAAGGTACATACATACATGCAGAAAGAAACAACATGATGTGAGAAAGAGTTGGGAAGAAAACAAGGAAACAGAGACATCTAACCCAGAGAATTGAAGGGCGGGCCCCCCGTAGCCGTTACCGCCACCGTACGATGCAGTTTGCAGTTTGCAGAGAGCGGGTGATGCGGTGCGGTACGGTGCGGTGCGTCGTCAGGAACGAAAGATGCAGAAAACAAATAACCTTATTGCCGGATCGGGAAGTTGGAATGGTTTCGATGGCGTCGACCGGTTGACGGTCGACTGAAAGCCCCGTCTCCCCGTCACACGGGTCTACCCATGATTCACTGTAGTCAAGGTGGTGTGGCCTTGACGAGAAAACGAATGAATGCATGGAACTTATTATTATTATTATCATCATAGGCCTGCCTTCTCCACCTTGGTCTGAACTTCTGAACATAGCACGACTGGAAATAAGAAGCCCGTATTGGGTATTTCCGTCCAGCATCCAGCAGGTGGCTGCCAGGGCTCGGCGAAAACGTGGTCGATCGCCGTCCCCCGAGTTATTCACGTCCGCAGAGTAGGAATAGACCAAATCGTATGATGGGGGTCGACAATTATAGTCAGGCGTTATAATCACGGATTGCGGTCATGGATATTGTAATCGTGGATCATCCATTTTTGACTGTCCTCTGAATACCTGACACACCTATTTACAAACGCACCCCGAGCAGGGTTGGTGACTCGCAACAGGGGTATCTGCTCTCTCGCACGCCGGGCTCGCCGCTCCTGGCCCCCCAAGTCCAACCGTTCCCCAAGATATACACCCCAGTGGTATGTCCAAACACAGGCCAGATAAAAATACATCCCAGATGTACTTTACGTCCATCGTCTAAATCAGAGGTGTTGTTCCGAACTTCCTCAATGCACCGAGTGAACACCGTTTTCCGTACCCAGTAGCGACCGCCCATCCGTAAAACCGTGTGTCAAAAATGTTGTTATGAGAATCGAATTTGTTGGCACAATCTTGTCTCGCCTATGCGCGCTTAGGAGTTCGAATTGCGTCGCGCCTTGCACTTGTCGTGAAGTAGATGACCATTGCGCGCCTATTGATCTGAATTAGCCACCGACTTCTCTTCCGCATGTCAGAAAGGGCTACTTACAGTCGTTCTAGTGAACTCAGCACCGCAGTTGGGGCATGAAGCCTTGGATGCTTGTCCTGACTTCTCTCGTTGATGTCGCAACAGGTTGCTGAATGTCGAAAATTGTCTCCCGTTGCAGCCGTGTTCCCAACACTGGGGCTTGGGTCGACTTTGAACTACTCGAACGTGGCCGTTGTCGTGTACGGACACGTTGCCCGAAGGTAGAATTGGCGCCTGAACGGGGTACATCATTCCGGACTCGGACATGGAAGAGGCCCGGCTGCTGCTGCATGTCAGACAAAACTCATAGATTGGGAGAGGCTGTGGCTAGGCTTACCTGTACTGCGAGGATAGGCTGTGGGCGGACGGGGGTGGTGGGTACCCGTGGTGCGAATAATGCATGTTCATGTAATCGTGCGATGGTAAAGAGGAGAAATGCGGCGAAAACATGTGAGAGTTTCCATGCTCCGGCAGAGGTGACGCAGAGTAAGATGGAATGTAAGAATGTCCACTCATAGTCGTAACGGGCTCGGCCAGAAGAGAGATTTGCGAAGGCGCAGTTGTGTACACTGGCATGGGCGATGTCGAGAACTCAGACATCGTGACAGGTGGCGACTGAGAGGCGGACGAGTACGAGTGAGTGCTCATAGCACGATGGGCACGGTGTGAAGACTTGGAATCTCTTCGGGCTTGGTCGCGTTGTCTCTTCAATTCGCGTTGCTCAGGCGTCAAGATGGGTCGTGGTGGGCTTGAAGTCGGAGATCTCGAAGTAGGGGGTGAGAGACTTGGGTCCGAACCATGGTCAACGCTAGACAGGTCATGGCCCAATAGATCCGAGCCTGAGTCGAGCGACGAGGAAAGTCCTGGCCAGGAGAAGGAAGAGCGGGGGATTCCCATCTCCATCCTGGGATCGAACGAGACCGCAACGGCACTCATATTTGACTTTATTGGGTGTGATAAGTTGGAAGCTGAAGCTGGACGGTAGTCTCGCGCTGGCTCTACGCGCAACAGAGACGTGCCTTGTGACCGATGATTTTCACTCCAATCGGCGCTCAGAGCGTACTGAGAAGGTCCGGGCACAGATGGCAGGAAGGTTGCTCGATTCTGAGGAACTGGGCTGATATAGCTGTGCGAACGAGTCTCTCTTGACCTGGACGGGAGTGAGTAGAAGTCTTCACGACGGCGATCGAATCGAGGGGAGTTCATGGCGGGCAAAGATATAGGTTGCGAGAGGTGGAGGTCACACATACGATCTTCTGAATTATCCGAGAGAAGCGTGTGCTCATATATACGAGTGAACAAGATGCTGTTGTGTGGTGTGTGGTGTGGTCTGACAAGAGTCGTTAAGGATCGAAGGCGAAGTTGTTTGAGGGAGATGAGTCTGATAGAGAAGTATGGACGAGAGCGTTCAAAGCTATTGTTGGTGATGTGTGATATTTAAGATCTCTCAGCCTCAACGTTTAAGCCATGGGGGCAGGAACGCGGACACTTATAATTCATCGGTGGCAGTGGGTGGTGGATCTGACAGCTTCGACCTTACGTAGGGTGGGGAGGTGACAGACAGCGTACCGTTGAGTACATCGACGAGTCGAGAGGCCGTGGAGAACTGGCTTGACAGGGTACGAGTTCAAGGTACATGGGCAAGGCAGTCGAGGCTTGCAAGCTCTGGGGTACAGATGAGCAGATGAGCAGAGGAGCACTGAGGTGTGTGGGGTGGCACCAGGCAGACCCTGGTCATACTAGCCAGTGGACCTTTATTCACCAATGTACCCAAACGAAGTGAAGTCGACGGAGCCGACGGGTCAACGCTACGGGACCAGGGACACAGAGGCACAAGGCGCACAAGGACGTAGTGGTGGATTAGCGGGGGGTCAGCCAGACGGGTCCGAAGGTACCAGATTAGACCACAAGGGTACCAGGAGTAGGCACCAGCATATCGCGTGTAGGGGTTGTTGAATACCCCGGTCCATCCTGCTCGATGATGTTTTTGGGCGACCGCCGACATGGTCTTCGAACAGTCGGCTCCTCTGGATACTTGACAGGACATCAGAACCGGGAACAGGCGGCCGGCAACAAAGGTGGTTTGCCCGCGGGGGGTGTACGTGCAGCAAAGGCAGCGCTTGAGCGCGTGTAGCGAGCTCTGCACTTGCGACCGTCGACGAAGGGGCATGGAGAGCAGTGAGAGCCTGGAGGGGCAAGCTTACCCACTGACCAGGGCTGTCATCAAGACCAGTGGTGTGGGTCTCAAGTCAAGCGCGGCAGACCTCGACGAAGAGGTAAGCTGGCTGACTTGGAGTCCACCAAGCGGAAAGCAAAGTCACCCAAGCGACCATTCAGGTTCCTTTTGACGCGGGTCCGCCTCCGTGACCGCCAAAGCAGCCCACAATGTACATCGGCATCATGCCTTGGATACATTTCATGGGCATGGTGGACAAAAATATCCTCCATGCTGACATCGTGACTATCCGGTAACTTTTCCGTCTCTGGCTCGGAGTGCGATCGAAGACCAGGCCAGACGGATGACGTCTGCAACTTGCAGATGTTACTAGGTATGCCTCGCCCTCACGCTTTCGAGGCTGTGCGGTGAGTCCAGGCAGGAATTTGGACTGGTCAGAGAGAGAACATGACTCCCCATGCGACAACTGGACCACGATAGCTGCCGGCGACGGCGACAGCGTCTAAGGTCGAGCCTCCACTGGACCAGACCACGGAGCGCATGATGGACAGAGGCGAAGACGACTGCGGAGGGTGGTCTGTCTGCTCTCAGTACCTGGCCCTGGACGAGATAAGCCACGGCCCACGGCCCACGGCCCACGGCCCACGCCCGTCGACCGTTTGGCCGTTGACAGGCACAAGAAGTTCCGGGGTTTGACTGGGCGGGACGGTACCTCCTCTGTCGTCCGATCGAGCCAGGCAACGGTCGAAATTGCAAGAGAGCGAGAGCGGGAGCTTGATTGAGCCTTGGGGACGATGGAGGTACATAGGATCGGGATCCTGGGCGGGAAGACTGAAGAGTAAAATGAACAGTGGGGAGAGACTGGAGAGAGAGTGCGAGCAAGGGCAGGGCCCCCTGGGAAGGTCCTAAGAAAAATTACCCTTTCGTGTGGTCCGTGCAGGTATCTACCGCCAGGTACCTAACCGTAACCGTAACTGTAACCGACCTGCCTAGTGGCCTGGGCTGCCTGGCAGCCAGGGACAAGCGCTGGCGTCTAATTAATCGCCTCTCGTCATAACCCGCAACCACTGCACAACCTTACCCAACCATGCACAACCATGCACAACCACACAGGCTAGCCTAGCTAGGTGCATATTCACTCACCCATCATCCATGCGAGGCCATGCATAGGATGCATTGGATGCATTCGTGCCTCTTTAGTCTTTACGCCATCCGCCTCCATTGTCGACATCCACATCCGCCGTAACCTTGCTACGCCTCCTGGGTCTTCACCACCATCGACGACACTCTCCCCCGTCACAGAGCAGCACCAGCACCTTCGCGGGGACCTGGCCACTGACGGCGTGGTAGCGTGTCGGCCCTGGCCTCTATCCTTGCGACGACTCCTTCTGTCTATTCTAAGTATCTGGACCCTCTAGGATCGATCACTATACTGTGACATAGACGCGATACTAGTACTGGTAATGCTACTACCAAAGGAGGAATCTCATCGTCGATAACACCCCTCGCTTATTCTTGGACACGAGTAGAAGTCTAGTGTGTGCATCGGGACAGATGTGCAGGATGCTGGGGGGACTGTTTCCGCATGCAGGAGTGGCAGCAGGCAGTAAGATTTCCTCAAACAGAACCCTACACGCATTGCGGACCAAACCTGCGGGCTGCATTGGTGCTCTCCAACTGCTTCGAAGAAGGTGGTGTGCAACGAACGCCCAGCGCCCGTCGATAACGGGTCGGATGCAGTATCAGAGGAAGTTGGGATACCTGGTCAGTTGCGCCATCTTCGCCGAGATCTGATCAACACAGCTGCCGTGTGTCTGTGCTGCCCTGGAGCAGATGAGATCACGAGAGGCCTGGTCTGATGCTCAAGGCTTATCTAGGTACTCTACGCGAACTCAAGCCAAGTACGGCTGACCTGATGCGACGTTGGACCTCCTGCATCATGCTGCCCTTTGGACAGCCTGGTGGTCAATGCCTCATCCGAACTCCGCTTCCCTTGACCCCAGGTCGGTTGTCAAAACCCAAAGTTCTCGGCTGCTATTTTCGGACCTTGCTCATCTGTACTAGTTCCTTCATGGGTTATGGGGATGGGGCACGGCAACCTAATTTCCAGTGTACCCCTCCGAGGCTCGCCAGCAGCTGCAAGTACGGTAGCGATAGCGATTGTGGTGGACAGAACCGAGAAGTGGCACAGAGCTGGCTCTGACCTATGGACCGCTCCAAGGTTGTCAAGTTAGCCTGGCAAGTCCACTGCAGCTTCAGGAACCCTCTTCGGCGAATCAATCATCTCCGCCTTCCCCGTCTGTGCCTCGTCTCTGACTTGACGTTCGATATATCGGCATATCAGCGACTTCTCGCTCCTGCATGCCACGCACCATGTGTCGAGCACAGTCCCACCGAGCGCTAGCATTATCATATGGTGTCTGGTTTTCTTTGAGCACTCGGTGGTTGGCGCGCGAAATCGCGGTATCGCAACAAGTCTGCGTGGTGCCCTACCTGGTCCGGGCCTACCATGGTGATTTCCACATTCTAACTTTGGCCATCCCATGTCTTGACAATTTTAGCTTATCAGAACAGCCGGGGTCACGGGGCTTTTAGTTTCTACAGTACCGTATCGACCCAGGCCCTGTTCACCCTAATGAGAGCGGGCCGTTGAAGGCGACTACCACCACCATGGCACCACGCAGCCAGGTATGTACTACAGATATTCGATCCACCGTGCTTCTCCACCGCTCCCCTCGTGGCTATCAGTTGCTAGGCTCATGCCATAAAGTTAGAGCCGGCAAAGAACTTGCGACATAACGTTAGTGTCGAAACCCCGTCAGCCGATGGACATACTGACATACGTCTCCAGAGCGACGGTTTTTGCTATTCCCAAAATGGACTGCGTGTTTCGAATAGAGCGAGGTAGAGCCGGGTGGCCTGACAGCTGCCTGAGGTCGGGACATCCTTCTTTCGCACTTTATTTAGCAGCACTGCTAACTTGGCAGGTGTCGGTCATCTCATTCAGCTGCTCATGTCAGCTCTGTCAGCCGGCACGCCCACATGCAGGCGTACCACGACACGCCTTGGCTGATTTGTGCCCTCAATTATCGGCATGTCAGCCGACGACGGCCGACCCGCTTAGCTAATTAATGAGAATCTGGGGGCGGCGACATGGAACAGCATTGCGGCGTATTTGGTCAGCTCGCCGGCGCTCTTTCACATGGGCGCTTGGCGGGCAAATGGCAGATTCAATGTTCAGCTGTACAGTTGTTATGCTGCGCATTGGATCAGCTGAAACCGAACCAGGATATGAAACCTTCTGTTGGCCTTCTTTCGACGACCAGCTGCTCTTCTAGATTGTCCTTCGAACGGTTGTTGCGCATCCTGATCAAGCCAACACGGCGTCTATCGCCCCAGTGGGTTGGTTGGACCGGCCGGCGTCTTGGGTCGCGACACACGGCGATATACGCGCGTCACGTGCGAGTGTACTGGTCGGGATACCCCGGCCAACCTTATGGCACATGGCACATGGTGTCACCGTGTCATCCCACCAACTCTGTAGTCTGCAGTGGGGGACGTGGTGCCGGAGGACTGATACAGACGGGTCACGAAGAATGGCCGTACCCTGGGGTCGGAGGCACGGACAGTGGAAGACAAGTGTCATTTTGTTGGTGTGCCAGCACTGCGGGAGCCGTCCCGTAGTGTCCCGTAGTGCTGGTGCTTGTGCTACTGCAGGACTCAATACCCAATTCGCTGGGCTCCAGGGTCTTGGGGCTGTTGCTCTTTGGCTCCGTCCGTCTTCGCAGCTCGTCCGCTTGGGTTCGGAGGTTTCCCGTCCTCTCCCCCGTGCCAGCGCTCGCGCTCGTTCGGTGCAAACCCGATCAATTGGATCAGGTTCGACATTATCTGATATGATGGCATTCCCCACTCCTTCAGTGCCTGCTTCTAGTCGGTGTCATGATACATGCAGGTGATGACAGCTGAAGACGGGGGCAAACACCGAACAGCAGCAATTTAGGGGACTTCATTAGAGCCTCGCATATGGATTGCCTGTACTGATTGGTGGCAATACACGACTGAGGTGGTCATGCTAGGACTGGAAATCGCCCCTCCAAGTTGGCAAGTTGGTAGTTTTGCATCGGCCCTCGACCCCGAATCAAGCCTCACCAATACCATCGAGTCAAGCCCGATGTCTGTTGGTCGCCGCCTAGGTCTTCTCGAAGACACCACCGCACCATACCAAACCACACGACAGGCACCATGTTGGTTGGCGGGCGTTCTTGGAAGTTCTATGCATACACACATCCCTGCTATCCTATCCTCAGGAGCATGCCCATTGCTCATATGCAAAGCGGTAGCCAGCATCTGTCGTTCGTAACACACGCGCCACCTGTCGCTCTCCGCAAGCAACCAAACCGCATTTTCAGGTTTCACTACGGTCTGGGTTGCATTGGAGCTCTTGGTTTCCGCTTCATGTCTAACTGGACCGTTAGACGCCACGACTCGCCTAGGCATGTTCCATCGACACCCTCATTGTTCATTCACACTCCCTTCTCAAATTTGGTATGCTCACCGACTTTCCGTTCTCCCAACGCCATGTCGTACACAACCAGACATCGTGAGCCACACAACACCAACTTTCAGCACCCTCATATCGACTCGCCTCCACCAATGTATCACTTTGTGCAGGAGAATTGAAGGCCTCCCGCCGCCATACCAGCGTTGGTAGCCTCTTTTCCTCACCAGAAACCAGCGGGCCACCTTGTTTTCATGGTGCTTGGGCGATAAGCCACAACCCTGCAGATCACTCTGGCCGTAGATGAAGCGAACGCCGAATACGACACTGAAACTTGCCAGTTCAAAAGGGCATTGCCTTGCATCGCATCACCAGCTATTCCAGCTCCCCGACCAAGGCTTCTCACATCGGAAAGGGCAGCATTCCCTACCCCGAGCACGGCATTGGGTCGAAACCGGTAAGCTTCGTTACATACTCGGCTCTACTCATCGCCTGCAGACGTCCACGGGAGACGAAAGGGGCGCGAGTAGTCCAAGTCCCTTGTCACTTTGGAGAGACCGACAACGAGCGGGATTCTAATTTCTTACATGGGGATCGCAAACATGGCCGGTGAGTGGTCGACTCGGTTTCAGCGTAATAATTTCCGCCAACGTACCTAGCAGCCCGGATATCCAGCGAATACGCCAAATACCGGTACCCCAAGCTTCTTGCACTGGGCAGTCCAACAAGGCGCTTTGTCATTATTGTCAGCCGCAGAACTTATCAGAACTCTTGGACAGATGTCGTCATGGGCTCCGGAAACCCACGGGTGGCTCCCCATCCCCAGCTCAGCCCTGGATTTCTTATCACAATCATTGGCAAGCCCCATGAGCTTTAAGCCTGCGTTACTATTCATAGCACGCCGACCCATAAAATCTCCTCACTGTCTGAAATGAAGAGCGCTCTTTGACTGGTCAGCTGAGCACGGCGAGGTTCGGTGGGCTGTTGACGATCAGATGTTGATTCTCCCAGATCTGTGTCCATTGTCGACCAAGGTGCCCATATTCGGGCTCTGTAATCACCAATCCGCAGCGGCTCTGGCTGAGAAGAGTATTCAGGCTACATCTGGCAAATTTTGACATAAGAGGTTAGTAAGACTGGCATGCTGCAAGGGAGCTGTCGCCCGGCAAAGATTGGCTGGTCGGCTCGCATGGCAACAAGCACTCTTGCCGTCATCTCCTACTCCCATGTGCGCTTATGCGAGACCTGCAGCTCACCTTAATGCTCCCATACGACGATCTGTCTCCAACGAGGAACCTTTTGTTCGCGTCAATGTGCCTGTGCGGCAGACTTTACGCTCATCAGCTTTCATCGAACTATTCCTCGTTGCTAATTAAAGATCTTGAGCCAGATCCGGGCCTTCCTCTGTCCGATCACGGGAAAGCAGCGGCAAAGCAGCGACACTGGGCATGCATGCCCCCAAGACTTGTCTATGCAATACTGAGCCCCGAAGGTGAACCCACACTCAACTGATAGGCACTTTATCCTGCTATTTTCGGTCGCTTGGTAGGGGCATATTCTTCGCGCCCAAAAGCGCAGGAATTTGTGCCCTCTGGAGCATCCAAACGGCGTGAGAGCTTATTGTCAGACCGAGGTGTAAACACTCAATGGCTGACGTCTCTGGACCATTAGGATTCCATGGATTTCTAGCTTTCAGGCCGGGTAGAGCCCAGCGGGACACAAGAAGAGGTGACGTTTGCTGGCGTAAATACGGCCTCGGGAGGCTACGCCCTCGAGAGTACCGAGAAGACGCCTACTTCGCGCAGGAACTCTTCCCTGTGTCGAGATGTTTGCTTTGCCTCTCGGATTTTTAGGATCATTTTTCACCACGACATCTTGCGCATGATGTCGCTGACCGGCATCAGATCTCTAACGGGCAAGTCTCGGAAGCCGAAGGATGTGGCGAGGTCACTTCCATGCCGCGGGTGCCGCCCGCGGGTCGCGCGGCTGGGCCACCCCTTCAGAGTCGCGCGGATACCATGGTCTCTCGTCCCTTACCCCATACTCGACTTAGGCTCAAGATGGCTTTCGATGACACCTTGTGTCATGTCAATGGCCTGAACTGATGATGGGGGTAAAGTTGTTCGCGCACACACGCGTTTATCATAGCAAGGCACTGATCGAGAGGTGAATCCAAGCTGGGAGGAGGCCTCTGTGTCAGGCTCCCTGGGACTTACAGCACCGAGCCACCTGCAGAACCTGGCGTAATGGTACTTTCTGTCTCGCCGCCTCGTTGTGATCCTTTCCTTGTGCGGAGTTATAAGCATCTTTGTTGCGGGTTGGTGGTCTGCACACCAGACCATACACTACTCACTGTAGGCCCAGACTCTCACTGGACTCCGAGAGATCAAAGTTGGCTTGTTGTTTTCCAGTACATGAGGCTGTTTCCCGGCACCTGCTTATTTCCAGTTGGTGACACAAAGTCATCTGTGCCTCCTGAGAGTTTGACACACTCTTACTGAGCGGAATAGGCAGCTCTTCCCAGCACTCAGCTTACCACACGCGGCAAACCCTGCTTCATACAGCTGTCCTTCCAGTGTTGTTTGGTAGATTCAAGCAGACCCTACGCCGACCACAAGAGAGGCTTTTCCGGTTTCATGAAGACATCTCGGTGGGGCAGTACACCAGCTCGTTGAAGTTTCCCTCCCGGAACGGCAGGTCGAGACCCTCACAGACGTCGAGTTAACCCTACCGATACCTATGAATAGCGTTCTCTACGATGAAACAATCAGCAAGGTTGTTATCTCGCCTCCACCAGATATGCATCAACCGCCACGGTCTGCAAGCCTCGAACTCTAAGCCATGGCCGTAATGGGTGGCTAACCTAGCTGCCCCTGTCCCTTGTTCTGTAGGCTCTGGAGGGCTCCGCGGCCTTCGCTTCGGCAGACTTCATGCATGATTCGAAGTCTCGAAGGCGATTTGTCTTCGAGTTGATAGATCGACTGGTTCCAGAACTGCAGAACTGCACCAAAGGCCTGCTGATCTCTGATATCAGATCACGACAAGCTCTCTGTAACACGGTTTAGACCTGCAACGCAACGCTGATGTTGATTTGAGCTGCAGTCTCGACTCGCACCTCGCGGGAGCTGATGTAATATGTACATTGTTTCAAGGCGGTTCATGACCTCCCACGCATGGAAACCCCGCTCGTTTGCCACCCAGAGCCGAGGAGGTACCTACTGGCTCGGCTCGCTAGCTGCTGCTCGTGGCGAGGGCCTACTGTACTGTGGTACTTACGGCAGGCCCAGCAAACGGGAAATGAAGTATGCAAGCACTAGTATATTGCGACCTGCCCCGTCGCCACTCATCTGCATGGTACTAGTGTATGTGCAGGCAAGAACCGGTGGTGATCGAGGTGGGGTATAACACAGGTGACAAGAGTAGCCGTTGGGACTCCGATCATCGATGGTTGCACAGCACGTGGTTGACCCCCCCGGGCCAGTCAAGTTCCTATGCAACCCTCCAACTGGAAACCTGAAACATGAGATGCGCAGAAATACCTACTGCATACACCCATACATATGCATACACCCATACATATGCATACACCACCCTTCCGGCGCGGTGTTTCGACTTGCCCACCCTCGGTCTGGCATGGCCGGGTAGTACGGACGCATGCACGCAACACACCCTGCTGATGGACAACAGACACACAGACATGTTGAGACGATTAAACTTCGTGGAGTCGGGTCACCCCAGGCCACAGCTTCGTGTGCCTACAAGCGGTCTGATGCCATGCATGGGGTGCTCCGCACGTGGTCGTCTGACGATCTCTAAACTGAGAACAGGCGACGAATTCGGCTCTGCTATGGAGACTGACTTGAATTGTGGCCCTCGCGCAGAGGTTAGATTAGACGAGGCCTACCGGGTTCAGGGCGATCATCAAAAACACAGTTACTCCTTACCCCAGACAGACAGGGCAGACTGACGAGACAAGACGGGCAGAGATATGCTGGCTGCCAGGGGCCCAGGGGTGGCCAATGCCTCATCACCCGTCGATACTTGTGAGTACATGCCCTCCCATGCTCTCTCTCGCCTCTGGACCTGGCCTAGCGAATAATCCACTCACACCCCTCCCCCCTGTTCAGGTCCCCTGTTGATGTCTATATTTATCACTCGAGGGATCATCGATGCATATACTTTACATTGACGTAACTGTATTTACCAATATCGCGCACAACGATACCTGCTCTGGTCGTCCCCAGTCAGTACTAGCCTACCACTACTACCTACTAGTAGATGGAGGTGTGGGTTATACTGCAGCTCAACGGCACCGAGAAGAGGAAAGGGGTCTACCTTGACCGTTGGGAAGTACAGACCTCGCCATGCCACACCCTGGCCCCGTCCCCCGGACCACAATCCAGACTTATGGATGTACCTATATAGGCTGGTTCGTGCGCTCGCTAGTCAACGGTCTGCCATGTGGGCAGCAAGGTTCGTCTTCCTCCTCCATCATGAGCTTTACCGCGAGGAGAATAACGCCATGTCGATCAACGTCAGGTACTTTTCCTTCCGTCCCCGACCTGCGTAGTGCCTCTTCCTAATCTGTATCGCGACGGGGTCGGGCAGGAAGCCGTTACATCGTGCTAACTCTCCGCTACCGAACGGGCACGACGTCTTCCGGTTCGGCGGCGCAGGTTCCTCTTACCTATACAGAATTCACCAGGCAGCGACAATTCTGCCTGATCGGCCCATTCTTAGCACACCACGATCCATGGGGGACGACGTCGGCGCGGCGCGGATGATGATAATGATGATGCTGCTGACGATGGATCATGGTGAAGAGGGACCATGCACGAGATCACAGAGCTCCGCGGACCTTACTCCACCTTGCGTATGTACGCGGTGCTCTATATCGGGAAACTTCTCGAGCTCTCATCAACCGCGAAAAGCAAGAAGCGCGCCAAATCCTTCGTCAACCACGTTTTGGTACCCTCGTCGATCCTCCCATCCTCCCGCCGTCCCAAGCTTTCCCAGCCGGGTACCTGAATGAGCCCTACCTGGGCCGCATCTCGGACGCACCCAGCAGCGCACGACATCGGACACACAGACAGACGCGGGCGCGCTTGTTCAGCGCCCCTCTCTTTCTATCTTTCTTTCTATCTCTCTCTCTATCTCTATCCTTCCCTCGCGGGTCTTCTCCACGACCGGCCCCTCATCAGGATTCAGGCATAGCCTTTTCTGCTTTGCACTTGTGCGCGCTATATCTAAAGTACCTACCTACTAGACCCGCGGGTTGCCGGGTCCTAGTCTTGGTCCTTTTGGTAGACCCTAAGAACGGTAACTTTTCTCAGCCGCACTAGACGAGGGAAGCTAAATCCAGGTACCGGAACTTTCCTATACGTCTGCCTAGGTGAGATGGGAGCCGCGAATGAAGTCATAGCCATCGTCACTGTCAGCACTATCACGATTATCAACCTGGTAAGTTCGGCAGTCTGGCTGACTCTGCCGTACTACTTACCAGTAGTATTACCTAAAACCCCTTACGGGTATGATTCTTTCCCCAGTCAGGTACCACGCACTAGACATGGGGCTTTTGACCAGGGAGTTTTGTTCTGTAGAGCTATCTTTGTGGATACACTTGCTTGAATCAGGTAAAGCGTCGAAATACTACCTGACAGGGGGGAAAGACCTTTGTCTGTACCTATTTTTGTCTGACATCTCGTCCGGGGCCGGGCCGACAACGTGGCTGAGCGAGCAAAGTGAGTGGGTGAAGGAGTTGACGCGCAATGAAGGAAGGAACTTTAATCGTGCTGCCTGAGGTCGAGAAGCAGGTACGGGGTGCGTGTTCTCTGTTTGGGTTTCAGCTGAGCCATCTCGATGGGGATGCTGGGAAGGCTCATACGGGCCAGGTCAGTTGCTTCGGCGTCTGAGGTACCTTAGGTGGAAGCTGGACTACGGCGTTTCTCGTACTGCTATCCTATGCTGTGGTGTAGGTGGTGTGGTGTGGTGTCTTGCTGATGTGATAAGAATAGAAACGAGAAACTTGAAACATCTGTACGTACGACCCTGGATGCGGCGGGTTCTCTCGTAACCTCCGACGTGACTACCTAGATATTTATCTATACATACATCTCTACTTGGTCACATGCCTATTTTCGCTGCTGCCTTGACTCACACACACACCCACACACACACATACACACTCATCCAGACCCTGCTATGTACCGGCACTAGGGCCTTGCGGGATATACACTCACTGACATGCTAGGGTAGGGAAGTTTTGGTGAGTGTCGTCTGTCTGGTGGTGCTATAAACAGAAACAGGTGGCCTTTTGGCTATCTATCCGAGAGGGGAAATAGCACGCAATTGGGCCGTCCTTTTCTGAAAATAGAAACCGAATAGAGAGAGGCACGTAAGTGTATGACGACGTTTCACGGGAGTTGGAGCCGCAACAACGCCGCACGCTACAGTTATACGCCGCACGCCGCGGACAGGGGCTTAGGGAGCTAGGTTCATTGGTTCGAGGTTCGAGGTTGACTACCTTCCAAGTAGCTGATTGATTGAGTAATACGACTGACTTTATGGCACTGGTGCGTCAGGATCAGTGACGTAGGAGCAGACGGGGGGCGGCGTTGCGCCTTGCGCCGTTGCGGCGTCCATTGCGCCGTTGGCGGCGTTGGCGGAGTTGTGCTCTTAAGACAGGCTGCTGATGTGAGGCTTGCTTCGTTATACCTCACACAACATCACGTAGTTGCTGGTGGTGGTGAGGTGTTCCGTGGGAGGCTACCATAGGCAGTAGATTGCTGTATTTAGACAGTTCTCTTCGAAGGCGCTCTGGGCTACTGATAACATCATCGCGTCATGTTCATCAGATGTATCAATCAATGTCAAGCGAGTCTCGGCTTCGGTCCAGGCTCATGGGAGCAGTCTATCCGTAACTCGCGGATGTTCTATTTTAGGGCAACGCAGATTGAGCCATCTGTATCGCAAACACTCACCTCCCTACACAAAATTGGCCGTGAGAATCTGGAGATGTGGCAGACAGGATGATTCGGGATGGCACGAGATCGCTTGTTCAACATTTTGACCCCCGTCAGCTGAACCACTGCAGATCAGGGAGCTCAATATCAGCCATCATGTGGCGAGCGAATGAAGGCAGCGAATCTCTCGCCTACCCTCCTAACCCCTATCCTTCCACTTAGGGCCCACAACAGACGCCATAACATTACATTCACTATCTCTTAATAGCCCTTGATGCATGGTACTTCGGACAGACCATCTGCAAGTACCACCGTGACACTGCCCACCCTATCGCCAAGCCCGGGACTTGGTGGGAAGTGCCCATAGCGCCTCCATGTCTAACCAGACAGCAGCGCAGCTGTAGGATGTGACTGATACCCTATGAGGGTTCATCTGGGGATGAAGAGATGATCGAAGAACGACATTTATGCTGATACCTGGCGAGGCGCCTGGTTCAAGTATTGGCTACGTGCCCGACGTGATGAATGAATATGTCCTGCGCAGCTGCCTTGGGTGGAGGACAGACAGTAGGTGTCCGGGCATAGCTGCTTACCAGCACCCAAGGACTCGCAGTCAGTATATAGAGGGTTGGAATTAGTGCTGGTTCCGGTTGCGTGATAGTCTCTGTTGATTAAAGTAATGCCGTGGAGCAGCATCCTCAGCTCTCCCTAGAGTGCATAGAGCGGTGTTGAGCTGTACTCACCACGACGAATGAACACACGGTAATCAGGGCAGCACCAGCCTTATACCTAAAGAGCTGGCAATTCCAACTCCAGTCACTAGTTTCAAGCGTGGTGTGTTCGTTGTTCCGTGCATCGAGGTGAGTCGGTGCCTGCGAGCGGTTTCGGGCTGTGGTGATGGTTCGCAGTATAGGTATACAGCCCCTGATATTCCTCTTTAGGGGGCACTACGGCTTCACGTCTATTACTTTCGAAGCGCGCTCTATCTGGCCCTCGTTCTGCAATGAAACCACTGATGCTGTATTTGTATCGCTACTGGACGATGTCAGACATTCTCCTGGGGCATTGAGGGTGATGAAGCCCCGGCTGGACCGACAAGAAGAGCGTACGTCACTCTTGAGCATAGAGTGACTGACTGCAGAGCGGTGTCTTTCTGTTCAGTTATAAGTACAAGTACATTGCACGCACACACAAGACTCCATCGTCCACCAAACCCAATCAGCCCACACCCATCAACCGCCCAAGTCGCCATCCAGCCCCATCCATCCATCATCCAGAAACCCTCGGCCTCCTCCCCAGACGCGTATCGCAAACAACCGCAACCCTGACCTTCTTCCCCCGTCGCCTTACCACCTCATCCACAAACTCACCATTCCAACGCGCAACCCCCCAAACGAGCCAGTCTTGGCCCCGCAGCGCCAGGACCGGCTGCTCGGGGTCCAACGCCAGCTCCGCGTACGCCTCCCAAGCGCAGAACCCGTACGCGTCGCGCCTGAGGTTCCGCACCCGGGCCTCTTGCTCTCGGTCCGCGTCCCGCACGGATGAAGGCGCTGGGGAGAGCGGGGGTAGCGCGACGAAGAGCGCGCGCAGGCTGGGCAAGGCGTCGACGAACCTTAGGACATCCTCCGGCGCCACGGCGGCCGCGTTGAGCGGCGTGGCCATGACGGCCAGCTGGCGGGCCTCGGTGGCCCAGGAGGCTTGGGCCAGGGCTTGCAGGTCGGCGACGGCGATGCTGTCGTCGACGTAAACGAGGTCGGCGTGTCAGTTGACCCAGACGGCCGGGAGCTCCTCCGGGTGGCGGCCGATGTTGGAGTGGATGTCCGCGACCCGGAAGCGACGCCGGAAGCGACGCCAGCAGACCAGGGCGACGGCGTAGGCTTCGTGGTTGATCAGGGGCGGGTCTGGCAGTGGTGGTGGATCGCCGCATCTTGGGTGGTCGTCTGTTTCGATGTCCTGGCGGTCTAGCATCGCCTCCTCGAACCACGCCGCGGCTCCGGGACGGTACATTGCCCCGGAGTAGGGCTGGTCCCTCAACGTGTGCAGGTACGTGTGTTGTCGCAAGTTGCCCCGGCGGTTGAACCATTTCGGGCAGAATGAACATCTTATTTTCCCTTGCACAGCGCTGTGACAGGTACTGTGAGTGCTGTTAGCCATCCGTCGTCAACTCACGTACCGCGTGCATATCTTACATTTCGTGTTGCTCGAGGTGTCCCCGTTTCCTGTATGGTGGTCTGTCCAAGCATTCCAGGAAACCGCACATGTAGGGGGATGTCGGTCTGCGGGTAGGTATGCGGATAGACCGGTCTAACCACCCAGCCGGGTCTGCCAGCAGGTGGAAGCGAGGCGGTGGCAGCACATTATCCACGAAGTGGTACTCCGAGATCAGGAGTCGAATTTTGGGCGCAAGGTCGCCAAAGCGAGTAAACATCCGCGCTTCGGGCACAGGGTCCTTGCCTATCTCAACAGCAGCAGGCTCTCGTTAGCGTACGCTTTGGTGTCAACTTCGGTGTCCGCCCTGACTGCCTGTGCCGACGGAACCAGGACGTGCAACCCCGTTGCACTGTCATCCATGAGCGCGGGCGCGGCGTTCTTCCGATACTCTGGGATTTTCATGTCGGGTATTTCATCAGGGCCGTCAATGAGGCCGTCAATGACCATGTCTGGAGTGAGACTGCCGAAGAAGTTCATGACGACTTCGTTGAAGTCCGTATTCTCTCTGTGATCCATATCGGCGGATACTGTCCACGCTGTAGGCTGAAGGTCGAGGACCTACGTAGAAAAGTGATGGGAAAAGCATGCCCTTTTTGTGCGTGACGAGAGCTCGGTTCAATGTGAGACATTGGGGCTCATCCCTTGCTTCCCCAGCTAGTTGATGGACGGCTGGTTTCACAGGACTAGGCAACAGCACGAAGCCAAGCAAGGCTATAGGTGGAATATGCGATCTGAGAAAGCCGGCACGGTTGTATGACACCGTGACTGGCTTGCAGAGGAATCAGCTGTGATTCATTAATTTATATCTACATAGTATGCTAGCTAGCTAGCGAGCTGTCCTCTATCTTCTGCTTGATAACCCTATACCTTACCATCTGTTGGGCTCAGACGTAAGCTCAGCGACCTTGTCTCTCGCAAGATTATATCCTTGCCAACACCAAGTACAAGAGCACGTGGAGGTGCTTCTGCGAGGACCTTGCGTACTGCACTGTGGTTAGATGACGTATAGCTGGCAGTTATGCATTGGCAGGATGGTTGCTGCCGTCCCACCAATACTCCAGCATCCGTGGAATGTCATCGTCCATGTAGTCCCAACGCGCGGGCTTATCAAACTCAAGATCGGTTTGACTGGCTAGCTCACCGAGAGTATAAGCTTCCCATAACTCCTTTTTCTTCGCGCGACTTGATTTAGACAGTTGAACAAGCGTCGAACGCGCTGTGATGTCACTAATAGCCGACCACGGGCATAGGTACGGTAACGGGCACAGGCAGCACCCCTTTGTGTATCTATGTAATTGACCAGTATTAACGCCCGGACTGTAGCATGGGTGTGAGGGACTATGGTTGACAAATTGTAGGGGAATGAGGAATCATCCAGTAATTTCTCCAGCAAGCCACGCCTGGGACACGCACTGGACTTCGGTGATTTATGCCGTGAAATTGTTTTCGTGGGCGATTTACGGATGACTAACCTGTATCGCAATGCTGGACTTCGAACCACTGAAGCTGCGATCGTATGGCAAACCCTGTCGTAGAATTCGGCCCAATCACCGGAACCGTAGTCGCCCTGGTGTGAATAGGGGGCCCGGGGTCCGCGAGGATGTGCCACTTCGAAGCAGGCGTGCTCAAGGACGAAATCGGGCGTCGGCGGAGAAGCCACAGAAGTAACATCAAGGGGAAGTTTGCAAGTGATGCAATCACCTACTCGTCTGCCTTCTACGAGTTCCCTGCTGATGACATCTGAGGAGAGTAGTAAAGGTTCTGGAGGGGAATAGTTTCGTGGCTTATGAATGTGGTCCTGGGAAACATAGAAAATGCCTTGTTCCAAGAGATGCAGTTGACCGCCGCGGTTGTATAACAAGCTTGGAGGATAACTTGGATCGGGATGTCTGTAGCAATCGACAGGTGAACTGTTAGGTCGCCTTTGTGGAAAGTGCGATACTTGGTTTGAAATTTTGATTAGCTCCGGAACGCTTGTTTTAGTGTGATTGCTGGTTGACGCCTACCTCTTCGAACCCATTGTTTGACATCGCCGTCTCATCGTCCGACATGTTCTTCTCATCGTCCAACGTGTAAGTCTCATCCCAAGTAAATCCTTGGACTTCCGTGACATGTTTGGCGAGCTCCTCAAGCTTGCTGCCGTTCTGGACAATACTTTCCAGGTCGAAATCTGCCCAGTAGGCACGCTCCAGGAACTGTAGCGCGAAATCCCCGAAGATCAAGGCATCGCAACGGCCAAGGCAGCTGCGGAAAGAGATGGGATCGTCAAAAAAGGGCTTGAGTTTTTTGTTGATGTCCCACTCGACGAGTTGGAGGTGAGATCGCAGCTCCTTGCTCGTTTGGCATAGACGCAGGACCTCGAGAGTGTTCAGGTGCTTCATGAGTCGCTTTCGCACAGGCAAGTACTGGCTGGGGTGGAATAATCTGACGATTGGGCTTTGGGGCGTCGTCATCTCCATACGCTTGGCTGGAGGCTTACCCATGGTGGAGGTCTTTCGTCTTTGAATCGGAATAATAAAAAAGTTTTCCCGAGCAGAGAGGTCGCGAAGTGAACTAGGTGGCAATGTGGATGAGGCGGCAGAGTGAACGAGTTGGAGGAGGGGAATGGAAAAGATAAAGCAGTGCAAAAAATGCAGGACTGAACAAGATAGGGTCCAGGGAAGGGACGAGGCGGCAGAGTGGAAGAGGTGGCAGGTGCATAATACCACAAAACGACCAGGCAGGCCGTCAACGGAAAGAGCGTGCAGTGAATGCTCACCCTTCCGTGGTGCCATCCTACACAGTTGTTGGTAGAACAAATCGCCTCGTACAGGTAATTACGCGACTTGATATTCCAAGGCATCACAAGGAGGTAGGTAGCACCTCAACCACGCCACGGACAGTGTGGGCCAACAGTCAACACAACCGCTTCTAACAGCTGGCAGCATTCAGCTGGGCAACCACAAGTATGTCTGCAGTATCCCCACTAGTAAGAAAGAGTATCTATACTCTTTAATTAATAACTAGGCGGATAGCAATCGTATAAGCATAAAACACAGGAAAGGTTGTAGTTTTTTCCCCGTAAAATATTAAGAATGTATGTAAGTATTGTTTTGATCTTTTAGTATTTTATCTAAGAGATGGTTTGAACGGCGACAAACGGAATGGGAGTTTAACGAAAGCAAGCGCTAGTAAGATTAGAACCTACTTCCGTATATATGTCTTGTTATGTGTGTTGGTTTGTCTCCTAGTTAGTCATGAGGGCCGTACGGCTGGGTGGTATAAAGGTTATGGTAGTACCAGGCTGCCAGGGCAACTCGAGATCAGGACGATACATGGGCCCAGCCTCAAGTACCCGTCGTATTCTTTGCTCCCCGAGGCTGATCGACGACGATGCCGACACGACCTTGGCTGCCTATCTAGCTACCTCCCAGCTTCCACCCGGGGGCTCATCCAAAGGTAAAGTTTAGAGATAAAAAATAGCACAGAGAAAGACCACTTCATCGACAGTTCCCACACGCTGGCATACACAATGGTAAGGGACACCGAACCCGCTGAACCTAATAGTGCTAAATGGAATACACTGGAAACCCTGATACCCTCGCCCTGACTGAGAACAAGTGGGTTCGAATCCTGCTACGGCCCCCTTTCTGACCCGGCTTGTGCGAGTCGACAACCAGTACACGACAGTGGAGAGGCCCCATTATCGCAGAGCCCGATAGCCAAGCAGCTTGTCTCCATAATACCCACTCCTGCGAGGTTTTTCCCCTTGTGGTTTCCCTCGCCAGCAGATAATAAACACCTGCTTCATCCACAAATACGACATATATCAAACGGCTACTGGAACGATATGTACACCAGAGGACTGAGGTCCACTAGGTCGCTTTGTCACTGGACAGGAGGTTTTTCTGACGGAATCATGCTTGGATATTGACTAAAACCATCTGGTCACTTCAGGTTGGTACCGCTACAGCGAGGATGGGCTCGTGCGCGGATCTGAATGTATCTAGACTGACACCTCTACAACCTTGCGATGCAATGGCTCTGGGAGGCGTGGTTTGCCCTGTTGAGGGACTGCACCCACGATAAATAAAATCAATCAATCAATCAATCCCTCGCCCTGACTGAGGTTTGAACAGGTCGGCTTCGGTAGCCACCAATGTATGTAGCTAGCATACACATCGCGGACCGCTTGCTAGTCACATCGTCCTTGAGACTTTGGTGGACTCGCTGCTACGCAGCTTCCCATAGCTGTCAAAGACTGCAATCAACCAACTTAATCAATACGCCCCTGGAAGTAGACAATCAGATGCGGCTTGCGGACTGGATAAGCCCAGGAGAAACTCCTTGTATACCTGGCCGACGAAAGGGGTTTGTTGAGACGAGTGATGCTAACACGCACCCCTGAATCGTAGAGTCGGCCCCCTGAGGTCAAGTAGGGTTACAGCAACTATTGCACAGCCTAGAGAGAGGCAAATCCAAGCATTTCATCAGCAACACTCATATGAACACTAGCTATTACCATAAGCTACTTTCGTGCCAAAACGTACTTTCAACTACAGTCCTATCTTCGTGTGCACTTGGTATTGTCTTCTCCGATCCGGTCTGTTACCATCGAAGCACCGACCCGTGTTTCTGTTTCAGTTTGTACCTCCACAATAAGATAACCGACTTCTCACCCGGTCTACGCCCCTATGTGGTTTTCTTCCTCCGAGCTACCAATGGTTACTTATCAGTTCACAACTCAGAAACCTGCAGTCCTTCTCTCAATCCCTCAACCTTCAGCTCCTCGCCGGTGCAGCGTGCATAGATATCCTTGACATCATCCGTGGTGGTCTCGAAGTGCGATGTAGCATCGTAGCTCTTCGAAATGAAGATGTTCTCTTTTTTGCCGTCTGTGATGGGCTCGTAAAGCGGGATAGGGGCGCCCTATTGACTCAATCAGTATGGTGTATAAAACATCGCAACTTGATGGATGTTCTCTTACCATGAATTGCTCCTCGATCCTTCCCAGACGGTCCAGACCAGGTTGCAGCTCCAAGTGATGGTTGGCAGATGACTCAGCGATGGTAGATACGATGGCGATGTAATATCCCTTGGGGCACACATTGTGCGCCGAGGAGACGCAGGCGACGTAGATATCTGATCTTACGTTAGCTTCACCCCCATCCAGGGACCCCTTATCTAGCACTCACCGTTCTTACGCCCAACCTGGGACTGGGGGATGATCAACTGGCAAGAATCGTTCTCGTTCGTGCCAGCCAGGGGGTGCTTGAGCACGCAGATAGCCTTGAGGACATGTCCAACAACTTTTACCTTGTCGGGGAAGTACGACGGGTCACCCAAGATCATCTTGGCCTTGGTTTCAAACTTCATCTCGGGCTCGATGCCGGTCATTGTTGCCTTGATGCCCACGGCCTTGTCTCCTTCGTATTGAATCTCGTCCACTTGCGTGTTGAGCATGTAGGTACCACCGTAGATAGCCGAGAGACGGGCGAAACCCTGGGGCAGCTCGCCCAGACCGTACAGAGGGTAGATGTACGGCGACTTGCCGTATCTTGACACAGAGTTTCCGTACAAGCGGATACGCTCAATGGCCTCAGGAGCTTGGCCTGGCGCGTCGATGTGGCTGTCGGTCAGGTACAGGGCCATAGCATGGCCGATGAAGTCCCGAGTACCCGCCTCCAGACCGAACTTGTCGTAGACCTCCTTCATGGTGCATTTGCTCAAGTCGAAACCTAACCATGAAGAAGTCAGATCACAAGCATCTTGTACAGCCCCTATTGACGCCTCTGATAACCCATTTGTATCACTCACCCTTGTGTGTAGCGGGATCGTTGTGGTCGAAAGTGCCAACCCATTCGATGAAGCTCTTCATGCGGCGCTTCTCAAAGATGCCCATGAGGGGCGACTTCAGGGCCTCGCCGGCATCGGCGGGTACCTTGGCGATGGTGGCCTTGGGGCCGGAGCTCTGTTGGACGTAGCTGCCGGCGACCTGCTTGAACTCGAGGTAGCGGGTGACGTCGGTGGACACGAGGATGTTGGTCAGTTCGCCAGACGACATCAGGAGCTTGGGCACCAGGTCGATATTCCAGTCGTTGGCCCGGCCGTACTTCTTCCATGGCTCATCACCCTGTGCGTAGTTGCCGTACTTCTTGAACAGCTGTATCGATCGGTGGTCAGTTGTCAGTTATAGGCGGGGTCGTAGGTTCCGGTCAGGAGGGCTACGGGGGTAGGTATGTACCGTCTCGAGGTTTACGGAGGCAGCCTCTCTGTAGCAGAAGTTGCGTTAGCATCACAATAGCTGCTACTGGGGAGTGAACGGACTGGAAAGGGGGGCCAAAATGAGCTGTGTAGATACGCACCCTCCATAGTGGTCATTTCGGTCGATGTGCAGCACCTTCTTGCCCTTGACACTCAGGACACTGCAGGATAGCCATCAGTAAATACGAACGATGAGTCGATCGGCTGTTTGCATACCCAGAGAGGATACACTCGGTCAAACCTGTGGCACGTCAGGGTCTCGGGAGCTTCACGACAGACAACAGGACGGATATCAGATTGCGGGGCATAGAGGGGGCCATACCGGTGCCCAGGACAACGACATCGTACTCTTTGGCGATCTCGTCCATGGTGGGCGGTTACTAGGCAGTGTGTTTCTCGTAGGAAATGGGGAGGTAGAGAATTGACTCCAGGTCAAGCAGCAAAGAAGAGTATCGGTGAGAGGAGACAGGCGGCAGATTGTGGTGGTGGTGGTGGATATTTGGTGTTTCTGGTTGCGAGCCTCGAAATGCTACCTACCGGTACTGACCCCAAAAGCTGCGACCAATGAGCGCCGGGCCCCCCGCAGTCCGTCGCCCGCCGTCCGCCGTCATCATGCAGCCAGCAAGCAGCAGCTCTTGCTATCTGGCAACCCCTGGACCTCTCTCGACATATCAATGTCAAGGGCGGATTAACAGTAACAGCCTTTGCTGCTTTGTGTGTTGCACTTAATTCGTTTTCAAGGGTTGCCTTTGTTAACGGGATCAGGTTATGAGATCATACAACATGGCATATAGCCCCTAAGCTCTGAGTGTGGCGATACCAATAGGCCCGAGTATAATTATTGTATTTACATAGCTCTGATGTCTGGGAGCATCTTTCTATCTATATCGTAACAGCTGGTCTTTCGACATTGGAGCCGCGCTTTGACCTCGCTCCAAGCAGAATGTACATGTGACCCATTGATCATCTATCCCAGGGGCCTCGCTGGTGACTGGGGGCTGTCGGTATCTTTCGGCGGCATGGTGGACGGGTCGACCCCTTGGGGCTGTGTCGTTGAAGGCTCTGTCAACGGTTCCGCCTCTGCGCCTCCTCCAGCTATCTGTTGCCGTGTCCCTTCGCCAGCCTCAACCTGCTCAGGGGCACTTTCATACATCGCCGGGTCCAGATAATCGCTTGGGGTGTAGGCGTTTCCTATAGCACTGAGATTGACCTCGGGGTCTGCTTCACCCAGCTTCCTCGCATCCTCCCATAGGTAGTACCGCTCGGTCAGGGTGTGCTTGATTGCCTTCATGGTCTTGCGGACCTATCCACGTCACATCAGTTAGCTCGAACGAGACGGTATACCATACTGGTATGTTTCAGCACCAGAAACTTACCTCTGCCAGCCTCTCAGCCGTCTCTTCCGTGCCGGTCTTCAGCTGCATGCGGCTCCTCTCCTTGCGCGCCGTGGCGATGCGGTTCTGCTCCTTGACGCACACCCACCACAGCCTGTGCAGGTCGTCCCAGCTCTTATGGCGCAGCTCCTCGACACTCCACCCACGGCCGTGGTCGGCCTCCTCGTCGGGCTTCAGCAGCAGGTTTTCCTGGTCGTAGAAGAAGTCCCACAGCCCGTGGTTCGGGTCGACCTTGATCTCAGGCTTGAAGTCCGCCGGCTGCGGTACCTCCGACTTGTCTATGTTCATGCGGAACCGCGGGCCCGACCGGTATATGCTGCTCAGTCCGCGCAGCCGGTTGCCGTCGCGCCGTGGCCGCCGCATGCTTCGCTCGGGCGTTGTCGAGAAGGGGCAGCGGCTCTGCACAGAGCTTGCTGTTGGGAGGATGGCGAGGGAGGATATGTTGGCGTTGGAAAATAACCGCGTGTAATTGATAGTCCGGCCTATTACAGGCCGGATTGATGTCGGTGTCGCCATTAATGAGATGATGCCACCCGTGGCAGTAGTTACACAGCTCAAGCAGATCACCAAGGAGGTATCTTCAATTGATGGATCGCGAGCTCCAGCGCGATCATTGAATTTTTGGGGTTAATCCGAGAGAAGAAATTCCACGGTGGCTAAGCTGCAGGGGTGCCAGTTTCAGCTGGTGTGGCTGCGACTAATCTCGCTCTTTGCATATCACAATATCCGAGCATCACGAAGTCATCATTGCATAAGCCCAGTAGTCAGCGATCACGCTGAACTGGATGGTCAAAGTAAAAAATGTATGGCTGAGCATGCTCTGAAGTGTAAGTCCATCGTGATCCAAGCGCTCAAGAAACAACCTGTTTTGTTATACGCTACGTCTTAGAGTAGTACAAAATGCCGCAGGCAAATAGTTAGGTTCGCCGTCCGCGTCGTGGACTCGTGAGCAAACCACACGGTCTCGAGAGCTGGAAGAAGACTGTGTCACCTTGGCTATTGAACTGGCTCGTCTGCTACAATGGTGCATCTCGAAGCTCTTGCCTTTGGGATACCCTTATACCCGTATAGCAACATGGAGAGGGTGAGAAATCAGCTCAAGTTCCCTAGTACGGCCACCTTCTTGTCGATGAACAAGCCCTCGCGGTGCCCAGCTTCAAGAGTCCAGCATGTTAAGACGATGCAATGGTTGCAAATATGCAGTCCAGTTCTTTTGATTTCCCTATGCTTGTTCTCTTCGCTAGGATCGTGTTGAAACAGATCCGTAAAGGGTGCAGGCAGAGCCACTTGGACCAGAGTCCTTGTCTTGATCATATTCTCTTCGTCTTGCTGAAGCCGCAGGACGGCAACCAACCATTGGAAACTGATTGCAAGCTTTCTGATGGTATAGAGCCCTATTCTTGTGTCGTTGCTTTCATTCCTATCATGCGCATCTTCTATATGTGTTTGTAAACCCCCTTTTCCCGCTCGACCGTCTCGCACTTTGCATACCAAACCAAGATCTCCCTTCCGGCTTAGAGACAGTGATCCGTTGTATCAAGTCCAAAAGTACTGTGATATCCGTGTAGTATCCAACCATGTACCCGACGTTTGTGCAACTAGCTCGAGGCTCGAGAATGGTCGTGGAATCGTACATCGTTCCGTCGGAAAGCGCGTCTGGCTATCTTAGCTACAGGTTCCCAGCGAGGTAATCTTCGAGTTGATGGGGCCAAGCTCCCAGCGAATACCGCGTGGACATCGGGCGTCACAAAGAATCACAAGACTGGTAGATGTCTCTTCGACTAAATGCGGTTCGGGAAAACCGTACGGCTACACAGTCTCGGCAGTGCGTTCGTCTCGAGTCGATCCTAAGCTCGGAGAGCGAATAGCGCGCAAGAGAAAACAACAAAATGAAACAGTCACGATGAGCTCCGGCTTCCCAAGTACAAGCATTGTAAATAGAGTTGGAATTACGACAAAAGCCGGATGGACAGAAGAGTCAAGAGTCAAGTAGTCTCGCACACCAGCTTACCAGTGGAGAAGACGGGGACCCGCGAAGACAAAAGCGATTCATAAAAACCCGCATCACTCGTGCTTTCGACCCCCTTCTTCCCGTGTTCCCCAGAAGCGACCGTCAGAAAAAGAACCCGCTTTCCCCAAATATCAAGCTTCGACAGCGGCTCTGATGATGGAGTCATGGGGCGGGAGAACCGACGGGTATGGGGGCATATGGGGACGACACAGCAAAGAGAGGAGACAAGACCAGAGCTATCTACTACCAGCACACTACCGCACCATCTCCATACATAACCATCTCCAGCTCCCGTTTTGTCGGCACAGCTTCTGGAGACTGGAGACAGAAGACACATCTTGAGGGCTCCCCATAATCAGCCGTCCTGCCTTGTGGGGAGTCTAGGTTTTGCGGCTGAATAGGCATGACAACCACAAGAACAACTGGGAATATCAAAGACCACGAAAACAACAAGAATAATAATGACAAGCTACGATCTATCATCTCCCCTCTCGAAGTTATCCTGCTGCCTGCCGGCGACCTCCGCCACTAGTTATGCTAACAAGCAAGCAGCAACACAGAAACTCGCACTCACCGCATCCCGCACCAAGGCCTTCCCAGTCAGCAGCAGCAGCAGCAGCACATGACAAACATCTCACTCATCAGAACTGTTGAGCCAAACCGCGGCCGCGATCCCAACACAGCTAGAGTCGCGAGGAGCAGGAAGGGATTCCTCTGTTCTGACGAGCGAGCCGCCGGCCGCGCAAGGCCATTTCGCACAGACAAGAAGTATCTCTACATCGTCAAGCACAGACACCCGCCCACGAACCGTTTCGTTTTCACGATGCATCGTCAGGTCTGTCCGTCTACCGTAGACACACAGTCTGAATTTTGAAAGGCGGCTACCCGACACCCGACCCACCCATCCAAACCACCAAACTAGACAGAGCCCGCCGCCCCGAGATGCGCCGAGTCGGCCCCAGTCCAAGCTCGCTAGCCCCGTTTCCAACAATTCGCGAGTCCGGGATGGGATATGCGTGGCCGGGCTATTGCGTATACTAGTATATATGCGAGTATGGATCCCAGATCCCGGATGAGATGGACGGTGAGGGGCACGCCAGCGGGCAGAGAGTGAGGCAGACGCACACACACAGATAGACGGAAAGACTACCGTGTAGAAACCCAAGGAATCACCTGGGACACCAGGCGCACCTGACGATAGCCCGGCCACGGCCCAATAACGAGGCAGTTCGCGGGTTCAGGTAACGCGATCTGACAGCGAGCTACCTGTGTGTGTTGGGCAACATGGGTGCAGGAACCTGCATAGAGACGTCAAGGACAGGCAGTCCTCATGCTGTCATCAGGTAGCGAGGGGTTCGGCACACGGTCCCTTGGTTGATAATAGCGTCAGGTCAGGCCAGGCCAGGCCAGCTCAGCTCGCATACGCCGCCGCAGGCACAACACACCAATACACACGACAGGCAGCATGATGAATCCCACGCCTGGACCCTGAACTTCCGGCAGGCAAATGCCGGGACGAAAGCTTGATACGTACGGACATTCCTCCGGCTGAACACAAGGGCTTACACATATGGCTGGGATGGACATTGGATGGTGCTCATGTGATGTGATTGATGTCGTACAGTAGCATCAACTGCGCGCTATCCCGGTCGGGTTAGAGGTTCTGCTTTTGGTTCTGCTTCTTCAGCTGTATACAAAGCATCGTACGTGTAACGCGAGGTAGGAGAGGGCAGGCAGGGGAGATATCTCCACCTCCCGGTAGATAATTCGGAACGTGGATGCTGTCCCAGCGTGCCTGCCAGCGCGTCTAATCATTATTGTTATGCGGAGCAGTCAACCGGCCGGCAGGCAGGAAACTGTGGAACAGAGTATGCCGTTTCACGTTTTCCTGGGCGGCTGTCACTGAGAACCTTGTTAGCTGCTTCCGGGCTTTGCTTTCTGCCTTTTCGTAGTCTGAGATCGTCAGTCCTGCGACGATGTGCGGCCGATTGTCTGTCGGTGATTGCCCGACGCAACTTGCCGTAATGGTCAACACTACACACACCCGAGACGAATGAGACATCGTGAGGATATCGCTGAATCGTTACGACCACCGTGTTTTGTTACGTGAACCTCCGGCGAGCTCGCAAGGAGACCCTTGATTCAGTTTGACGCGCTGGTAGCAGCGGAGGATCTGACGCGTGATGGATATAAAAAGCATCAACAACATCGAAGATACCAAGACGCCATCCTCAGCGGATGTTTGCGGAGAACGAACCGACAAATTTGCGTTAACAGGATCAAGCCTGTTCCTCCACTGAAGCCTGATAGTATCGGATAGTCTCAACCGACGTTGCCTCTAACGGATCCTGCCTGCCGGTAGTTTGTCAAGATCTGTCGGAGAAATTCCGACATCCTTCAGCAGACCGACGTTGTTGTTTTGGGTTTGGCTCTGCCAATAGGTACGGTCTGGAAGCCTGCCGATGGCTTCAGAGTGGTTTTCCATAGACGGAAAAGCACAGGCTACCTCGTATGCTGGATCAACGCCTGCAGGGCCTAGTCAAATCCCGATGAACCCTTATTAGAAGGATAATCGGCCCTGAAGCCCTTGGCAGATTCGATGTCTACGATGTTTACCCAAAGGCAATGCAGCTTGGATCGGATCCAGGGCTGAAGGCAACTAACTGTGCAGGGCAAAGACAGTTCACGAACGAGTCGTGTGAAAGTCTGGAGTGCGGAAACGTACGGTCTGTGTTCCACACACTCACTTCGGTCGACTTGCTCGTGGTCAGCGGTGAGCAGGACATGACTCGAGCAAATCCCGAAAAGGCCGGGGGATGCCACCACACCCCAGTACATCATACCGCCACAATACGTGTGGTAACAGTTCGTGACCACCACAGGCTTGTCTTCGAAAATATTACCGCGTCACAAGCGCAAGCACACAAGCGGTGGCCGTTTGGAATTACTTGTGACCTTTGTGAGGCCGCGGCTGTTTGTGAAGATTGACTTGGAAGTTGATAGGTCAGACCTCGAATTCCACTGCAGGATCATAGGCAGTAGTCGACTCCTACAGAATCCATGGCTACGTTCGAGAAGCATTCCTCCGCTTCTGATCCTTGAGCTAAAATCAGCCGCTCAGCCTCAAAGGATGAGATTATCTTTTGGATCTTGTCAACTAAGATCTCGACTATTTTGAGAGAGCGTGACGTGTTGCTGTGTGTATAGCTGGAGCTTGGTATAGCAAGTTGTTGCTTGGGCAGGATGGAGGCTCGACACGAGCGGGCTGGGCGACGTAGCAATCATTTATAGGCCGATATGCATAAATTGAGGAGAAGTTGCGTAGCCGATCCACTTGCGGTTTAGACAGCTGGACGAAACATATCAAACTGCAGCGCATAGCGAATATGGTCAGGATCTTCTGCAGAGGTTGGGGTTGCGGCTTGCCCAAACTGGAAGCCCGGTTGTTATTAATCTCTGGGACTCAGACGGGACATCAGGTGTTCCCTGGAACGTCAAGACGTGTCAGTTGAAGGTTGCCCTGATGTCAGACCGACATGTAGACAAGCGAGATGTACTGGCCTGCAGCATGTAGAAACCGTGTGCTGGAGACCAGAGCAAGTTGTGCGTGAGCGGTCTGTTCAGTCATTATTTCCCGACTTGTCATCTTGGTGCGCCTGCAGTCGAGTCCGATCCTGGAGCTGGGCTTCCTTGGCTGGCTTTGGTGCTGCTGCTGCTGCTGCTGCTGAAATTGCTGAAATTGCATCGAGAGCGTTGTCCAGGAGCAAGCTGATGAGATGACAGTGCAAAAAGTGACGAGCATGCCGGCGGCACAGCGTCGGTGACAGGTCGTCTGGCCTTGCCCGAGTCCGGCAAGCTTCGCCGAAAGTATTTTCTAGTCAGCATGTGCGACGAGGTTGACTCGCACTCTTGTGAGGCGCTGCGGCCCTTGCGACGTGATGTGGGAGGAAACGCTGATAAGTTATTCCCGGAAATGAAGCAGCGGGAATAGGCCACGACGTTCAGTTCAGTCTCGGTGCGAAGACGGAGGCGGGATGACCAAAAAGTGGTCAGATTCACACGAGGTAAGAAGACGAAATAGTCGCCATGTAATGATGATTTGCTGAGAAACAAATTGCAACGGTTGCACACGACGATGGCGAGCAGATGCCCATGATAGTATAATAGGCTCTCGGTGGAAGCTCGGCCAGGACTGTCTGGTTAATCATGATGCAAGATTCCTGTCCTGCTTGGAGACTTCGACCCCCAAGCTGACCGCTAGAACGGGGCGTACCAGTACAAAACAAGTGCATGTACTGTATTGGGAGTCTGATTCCGCACCGTAGACCGCAGGGGCTAGCACGTTAAGCTCAGTTGGGTATCTTCCGCAGCGCTAAGAGAGGCGATCTCTACCCTGATGTAGCCTAGACTGACTGAGACCCTGCGGCTTGGCGCCTAGGGTTGAAAGCTAGGGGTGTTGCAGGATGACGTTGAGCTCTTGTCGCCGACCGAAGCAGCTACCTCTGTGTACTGTGTACCTTAGTCACGCGTCAAGAGTTTATGTCGTCTGGCGCTCTGTAGTAAGTTGCTGATTATTCAGTCAGGTCGGTAAGCGAACAAGATGGTCGAAACTAATGCCGAAGGTTGACATTATGTAGTGTGATGCAGCATACGACCGCAATCGTCTCGTGAAGCTCTCGTGGGCCGCCGTTGCTTATAACATGTGGCATGTGGAGATTCTCTTCATAAGATTCCACACCTCCTCAATGGATTATCCCTGATCCATGCTTGAGTGGGCAGATGGGTACTTGTGCAATGCAGCGATATTCTTGAAAGCGCCACAGACCCGCAGTCGACTGCTTTTCGGGTCAGCGAGCCAGATACCATATTGGGCATACAATTGGCTCACGATACAAGTCAGGTTGATGTGCAGATGTCTATGCATGAATGTAACTTCAACGTAGTAGTAGTAGTAGTAGTAGTTGCATATCTCTCTTGCATACAGTTAGTTCATAGACATATCGACAGCATTTTCAAAGCTTGAGCATTGCTGCTCCGCAAGGAGTTAAACATGGACACTGATACTGATGGCTTGTGCATGAAACCACAATAGTCTCGACAACCGATCAACGGCATCCGAGTAAACTGCCGTACTGCCGGTAGGAGATCCTGAATACCTATTTAAAGCAGTGGTTACGTACAGATATAGAGTATGCTAACCACGTACTGCCCATACCTACCTATCGATGCAGCCTGGCAGGTTTGTAGGTGCCTACATAGAAGGATTCGCCAACTTTCGTTTATTTATTACCATGTTACAAAAGGTCCAAAAGGAGGGGCACCCGCTTAGAATAGACGAGCAACCTGGCATCGCGTCGTACGTCGAAGAGACGTTAACTGACAGACTCGATAGTAGAGTGATGCTGACATGCTGTCGCTCGTCACAATCTATATAAACCATGCAGATGTGCGGTGCGAGGGTGATGCCCGCCGGATGCCATGTGCGAGGTGGAGCCCGGCCGTTGAAGGTTGAGGAGTCGACTCCTCCTCTGAGCCGCATCTTGGACCCCGTCCGTAGAACGTCGGTGGAAGGAATGGAGACATCTGATGGCGGTTACACAGGATGGGTTCAGATCCCGTCCGTCCACCTTTTGGAGGCTGAGAAAGGCAGCGGCGCCGCAGTGGCCGTGTCGCCGCGTGTCCACAGGTAGGTAAGGTAGTTTTGCGCCGCCAACCCGTGGCAGTGGTTGTGGATTTGGGGTCCTATTCCCAGGCCTGGGATCACCTTCAGGGTCCCGACTGCCACGGTCGAATCCACTCTTCTAGTCAGATCAATCATCAGGCGTATTCTTGTTTCTATGGCCCACTCCACAAGGTTAGCGGGGGCAATGGTACTCGTGTCCCTCGTGTCAGGATGCGACGGATTCGTGGTTTTGAACTTTTGACGACCTGAACCTGTCTCGCCTGTCTGTCTGTCTAGCGAATCCAAGAGACAGACTAGGTACCTCCCGGCGATGCCTCGTTCCAGGAAATCGGATCTGGCGCTAGCAGCACTGTCGCCGTCACATTCCCAGTTTGTAGACCGACTTCCTTCCTTCATTGTGACTGCGGTCTTTTTTTGGCTCGTCAAATGGCAGAGATCAGGATCCTGCTCAGGCTGAGGCAGCGAACAATTGCCACGCTAGAGCACCTCATCGGCAGAGGTTGCCGGCAGGAGTTTCAGCTGCCAATACAGGAAACACTGAGGATCCTTTTCATCTTGCGTTTCCAACGGAGCATGTCGACAAGGGATACTGCCTGGCGACTTTCGGCATGTATTTTTGGCCTGATCGTCCCTCGTCCCTCGTAGAGTCGAGCGAACTCGCGAAGGAATCAGCTGAGCAGACAGTGACGACCCCTCTTGGCATCCAGCTAGGGCGTCTAGTGACGACCCCGGGGCCAAGCTAGAGAGCATCTTGACCGTTTTGGGACTGTTTCGTTTGACTCAGGGGTCAGGCTTGCGTGTCGTGTTCCTGAATCGATGCTGGCCTCGAACGTTTTTTTTATCATTCTGTAACACGCTCTATCGCTATGCCTTTCAGAGGTGCATCGTCTGCTCGCACGGTCTCGCTCATCAGTCCATCATGATGTTACGAATGCATAGTTCATACCATTGGATCAGTGACTCTGATGGCTGTTGAGTTGCTACTCACGTAATAGCGTCCGGCCACGCCAGGAAACCAGAAAATCATCGTTACTTTCCAAGCCAGCTTAAAGTCAAAGCTGACATGATGACAGCACACGAACGGATCCTTGGCTGCGCCGGTAGGTAGCTTGGCTTGGTGAGCAACCAGCGAGGAGTGTATCATCGGTCAGTGTTCACACAGAAGCCAAGGATAAGGTATATGATCATCGGGCTCTCCTGCCGCATGCATGTTGATGGCTGCAAATAACCTTGGTTGTACGATCAGTGAACCCGGTTATAGGAGGGCTCTTGAAAAGGCCTTGCATGAAATGTTGCAGTCCAGCACAGAAGCAATGAATGAGCAGAGCGTGACCACCGTGAAGATGGTATCAGGCCTGTACACGAACGATAGGACCATGCATCGCGACCTGACGTCGAAAGCTTCCCTGACTCGTACTCCATGCCAAGTAGGCTGTTGCGACCCATCCAAGAACGCGGCTCACGCTGAGTCACGCATCGCGGATATAGTGGTATAGTACCACGGATATGTTCCTATGCTGCACACCCGGCAAAGTCCGGCAGGTTTCGCCGTGCAGGGTTGGGGGTCCCCAAGCATGTTGACGATATCCGAACTGCAAGAGGCTGGCTGGGACTTTGGTTAGCGTAGTTCACGGCTAAATCATGCCGTTAGACGAAGGATGAAGGATGCCTCTCATCGAGTCGCATCATAACCAACCAACGAACCAATCACTCCGCCACTCAAGCGAGCATGTTTGATAATAGATGTAGCCCCGATCGGCTATGCCATGACTTGCCGTTCGGAAACGGCACCATCCCACGCAGCAAACAAGCAGACAAGCTGGTGATTGTGAACGTGCGGCTTACCAAGCAACACATGCGGCAGCACCGAGAAACGGAGACAATCTCATTGGGCGGTCTAGAGTTATTCGTGTCGGTTTTAACCACGACAATGCATCACATGATCACCGGCGCTGTAGGGGCGATGTCACGATTCGACGAAAGGAATGAAGCGTGGAAGGGTTGAAGGGCCGAACGAAACGCACGGAACTAGCCGGATATAATAAAATTGCAAGGCAATGCCACTCTTCTATACCAGAATACCACACCGTATGCGTTTGGATGGCAAGATGAGTGGCAGGCGGTTCGCTACTGGTTTATTGCAGGTGATCATGGATCATGGTTCATCCAGATTGGGGTCTCCTTGGACTCGACGGTGAATTCCTGCAGGATCTATCATCACACAATGCCGCCGACTTTAATAGCTGCTCGCAACTCCCTCCTGGCGTTCCCTGGCGAAATCGAAACAGTGCAGTCTCATCTTACTTACAAGCGTACTCGACACGTAAGTTGATTTGAGGGCGAGGCAAGTGTTGATTGTTCAGTTGGAGTAATAAGAACGGTTGACGACGACGGTTGCGTCGTAGTCGTATGTAGTCGCAGTCGTGGTGTGTCTTAAGGCGGCATCGGGGAAGCGGTCCTATCAAGAGCGAGAACAAGCACAATTGCGGGATCAAGTACTCCCCATTCAGAAACAACCACAACTGTGTCCATGTCGACATTCGACGATACTCGGCAGTCTTCTGGACAATGGATGAGCATCAAGAACAACCAAAGGTACCCCCACGACGGACTGCGCAGGGGGTTCAGGAAGAGTGTAATGGTACGGTGCCGAGCAGCAGGCACGCTAGGTACTGTGTACTCCTTGGAAGTTGGAGGTTGGTGAGGCTGGTAGCAGACCTGGTCTGGTGATAGGTGCATCTGTATCTCCTCGCTCAGATATGCCTAGCCACTCCGTCGCATGCGCCCGTGCGTGATTGCGAGGCTACGTGCTCCGTCTCTGTCTGCAGCATCGCAGCCAATCCAAACTCGAACTCACCGCCGGGGGTACCTGACCTCCTAACTCGCGGGCGACCAACCTGGCCTTCGTGCATCTTGTCCTCATACCTTGGGTTGGGTACACCCACGCGCATTCAACAACACATGCCTACCAGCTTGACCGTTTTGCTTACATCTACCAATATCCTGCCTTTGAGCAGCAGCCCGTGAGGTGTCAGATGTAAACTGGGAACTAAAACCATGGGCTGGGCGCATCCGCATACATTAGATGTGTTATATCAACGGCGCTTCAGTTTCAGTAGACGGTGGGCTATCTATCGCCAGCAAAAGTTGCAATTGAAGGCGGCAGATGCGCGCTCAATGCTCATCCATGGGTTGTACCAGTACAAGGTGGTTTCTACACACGGTACTTTGGGGACCCTGACTCCTGCTTGCATGTGAAGGACCAGATGGATGACCCAAGGTCATACCGCCGCAACAACGGGGATGGGCTCGTGAGCGGGACTGACTGTACTTATTATCTTGATACCTCCACAACCCTGCGATGCAGAGGCTCTGGGAGGCGTGGTTTGCACTACTGAGGAGCAATCCCCCACGTTAAATACAAAACAAACATCCTGCTTGCATGTGTGAGAGACCCCGACTCGCGACTGTGCAGGTGGTTGATGAATGAATTAACGAATCTGACCAACTGAGAGTGTCTCGTAGTGGTGGTGGTTAATCTGATCGTGGCATCTGCTCTGCTCCCTCCCACTTTCCTCATATCTCGCCGCCCTCCGTACTTTCCTCTCCATATTGTTTCTCTCTACCTCCTCTCTTCCTCTCTTCTCACTGGACTTTTCGTCTCTCTCACCGCTGAGCAACCTCCCTGATTCAATTTCGTCGAGGAGAAACGGCTCCTGCAGTGTCGGCAGCTTTGGTCATCGCTGGGGAGATATACAGCTACCTATACACCACGACTATCAAACTCGTCTCCACGTGTCACCCTTTTCTGAGGGGCGGCGGACAGTTTGTGCTACGGCGTAGAAGCTTTGGTGGATTTCAAGATTCCATGTGAGTGCATCTGTCTATTCTGCTCCTTCGCTCGCGCATTGAGTGGCCCTGGTGATCCTTGGTTGCTTGACTGCTTGACTGCCTGCCTATATTACCGTTTTTATTATTTTTATTTTTATTTTTATTTCTCCTGATCCTGCCTGTCTCCATCCATCCCATCTTGGCTATTTCCACAGCGCGGGCACCCACCCCCATCATCCCGAAGCCTCCATCCCCACTTGCCTCTTTCTGTCATTGTCAATTGATCAGTCCCTTCCACCTCACATTCCTGGTACCTCTACCTTACCTAACGTATCAAACCAGTGCCTGCCACTGTCCCCAGCAGCAGCGCCCACTAATCGTCCGTGCGCTCTGGCATTGACAGCTGGCATTCAGCTGGCTCTCCGTGCAGCTACTGGTACTGGTACTGGTACCGAGAAAACTCTTCGGCGCAAACCTTGTGCACGCACAAATTCTGCGTCGGGAGAAAGTGCCCCCCATTTAAACCAGGCGTCACCATTTTTCCCACCAGCAGCTCGCCCCCGTCACTGTCCCCACCAATTTCTTCTCTTCTTCCTCCTCTTCCCTTGAGCCTTGAGGTGAAGCCTTGACAACCCACCTGCCGCCCACCCACCTGCCGACTCGCATCCACTTGGCATCCACTTCTCAAGTTTGACTTGCATCTGCATGCACCAGCATCTTGAGAGACCGTCACCGTCATCCGTCCCTCATTGCCGTAGTTGCGGTTGCAGCAGCAGCACCACCAGTGCAGAACCCACCTGGCCGCCCTCGCACCCACTTCAATTGATCCACCTCCCAGACCCATATCCATCCGCGATCAAACGGTTCTTCTCCTTCGGCACTCGTATCCACCCCTCACGCCGCGCCTGTTGCATGCTGCAGGTTGCAGGTGTACTGTGCTGTGTACCTGGACTTGGACTTGGTCGTTTATATCTGACAAGGGCCCCCTCTAAGCCGGCTAGAGAGAGACCGACCGAGATAGAAATTTCCACTCGACGAGCCACGCGCACACCGTCGATTTAAGCCGCCCGCCACGCGAGAGACAGAGAATTCACCCTCGACCGCCTGCCCGCCTGCCTGCCCTGCTGATTCGGTTCCGATTGAAATAAGACGTCGTCCACCACACCGCGCACCTCGAGCAACGGGTCCCTCATTCTCCACTTTACAAACACCAGACACACACGCTTTTTGGGCCCCCATCCCATCAGTCCCATCTTCCTCACTACCGGTGTTGGAGCCTCACAATCACGCACGAACTACTTTCGTCCACCAGCTCCATATTCGTCCCCAATTCTACCCCAAAACCGTTCCCCTCATCGCCATTGTTCTCTCTAACCTCCATCGGGAGCCACATCGCCAACCTTATCGTCGACTATCACGCATCCAGCACTGGCGTCAGCTTCTACACCGTCGTCGTCGGGTATAGAAGTGGAGGATTAGTAGGACATTTGGGCTGTTGTCGGGATTTCGGGCTTTTGACTTCCGGCGATTGCAGTAAACACCCGCCACGCGATATCAGCAACAACGCGTGTCGATTGTTTCGCAGTGCCCCTCAACCACATCATCGTGCAAGCATCGTTTACTCGGTGCTCTGGCTCGACTCCATTCCACACGCTAGGTAACTCAGCGCACTCGCAGTCGAGGGACGCCCCAGGTTGCTACGTCTCGAGCATTCCTGGTCCATCGTCTGCCACCCTCGCCACGCGTCGACCTCTAGATTATGGACAGCGCCCCAAGCCAGCACCCGTACTCGTCTAACCAACTAGGCACATCAGGGTCGCCTTATCCATCTTCGTCGGCCGTTGCACCTCAGCAATTGCAGCAAGGTTCGGTCCAGCACACCTTGCCCCCGTTGCACCAGAATCACACGGCTATGCAATCACTCTACGGTAGTCATCCCCATACTCCGCGAACGCCGTCAGCTTCCAGCACTCCGCAGCCTCAGAATAATATGAGCCAATATCCGCCTCCTAACGCAGGTCACGGCCGGGGCTACAACGGCATGATGCAGAACCAGTACCAGAATCCTCAGCCAGGTTACCCAACCTCCTCTTCCATGATGCCGCAGTCTTCTGTCGCGGCTTCTCACCCGCAACCCATCGCGCCCGCTCCCGCCGCGTCGCGACCTCCAGTCCTCCGTCCCATGCCCGCCGGTGGGGTCATGCCCCAGTCTGGACTGCCTTCTCCGTATGGCGGCAGCCCCATGATGCCTCATCAACAGTCGCTACTCCAAGATCAGGAGCAGCCCACCCACGTTGTCGGGTCCCAAGGTCGCCGAGGCATTCTCCCGAGTGCCCCGGGAAGGCCCGCTGCCCCAACAGGGACTGGCGCCTCCAAGAACACGGTGATCCCGCAAAAGGACGCGGACGGAAAGTTTCCTTGTCCTCATTGCACTAAGACTTACCTCCACGCCAAGCATCTGAAGCGCCACCTTCTCCGCCGTAAGTTTGAAGTAGATCCACATGCATTGCTGATATGCTGACATGCTCACCAGACACCGGCGACCGCCCATACATGTGCGTGTTGTGCCGCGATACGTTTTCCCGAAGTGATATCCTCAAGCGTCACTTCCAAAAGTGCTCGATTCGTCGAGGAAACCCAACTGGGGCGAGCCATCTGTCTCATCCTCAGGCCCACGTTAAGAAGAACCAGCAGAATGTTCAGAAGCAGGAGGGTGACATGAGCCACATGAATGGCATGAGCAGCATGCCGGGTGACCCTGTGGTCCATCCATTCGGTATGGTCCAGATCCAAGATGGTTTGGGAAACATGGCCAACGACCAGAATCAGCTCTCTAGGTCAAGCAGCATGAGCCGCATGGACGAGAACAACCGAGACCGTCGAAGCATGACCGGAGGCTACAGCGGTGACGTCCCGAACTCCATGTCCTCCAACATCAACCCTCAGCTGGCCAACTTCAACATGCCGCCTAACCAGAATGGCATGATGTACCAACCTTCGGGGTCAGCGCAGCAATCTGGCCTTGACTGGTCTCAGATGTTCCAACAACCTGGTGCGCAACATACCTACACCAATTCGTTCCCTCCTAATATTGGACAGAGTCAGACCGCAGTCAAAATCGAGCCTAACCTCCCCTCCGAGAGAACCAATGGCACGCCGGGCCCAGCCTCGACCGATGGCAACGATCGATCACTATTCTTCTCTCACTGGGACACGCAGCCGTCACAAGATGCCTTCCGACATCTCTCCGCCCAGATAATCAACTTCTTTTATCCTCCTGGCACCGTCGTCGGCAACCAATCGGCCGCCGTCAACCACTTTTTCCTCCCCGCGAATATCAAGGTCTTCCTTGAGTCGTATTCGCATTTTCATGTTCATTTTTCTTTCCTACACATCCCTACCTTCCACATCATGAATGCATATATTGGCTTAATCGCGGCCATGTGTTGCATAGGAGCCTGTTATTCTGACCGCGTCGATCCTGTCCTCATTCGAGACGTTATGAGCATCCTCAACATAACACTCGAACGCGACTGCAACTCACTATCCGGTGCCGGAGCCCAGCCGCCTTTCAAGGTTGAAACCGGCAGGGACAAGAGATCAACAGAAAAACTACAAGCACTCGTTCTTATGGCTTGTCTTCTGATCTGGAACGGCACTCCACTTCAACGCGAGACCGCCCGGCGGACGTTCCCTGTTGTGGCCGCCATAGCCCGAAGCTCGGATTTGCTGCAAGTCAAGAGAGACTCTTCCCTCTACAGTGTTCTGCATCAGCCAAACCTGGATCTGCAAAGTCTAACTCAAAGTCATTTCGACTGGACTGCCTGGGTCGAGCAGGAGGGACTTATACGGCTGATGCACATGATCTATCTCGAGGATGTTGCGCGTGGCCTCTATTTCAATTGCGAGCCTCTCTTTGACGCCTTTGAGATTCGAATCCCACTCCCTGCCGACGATGCTGCGTGGGATGCTGAGTCTGCCGATGAATGTGCTCGGGCACTAAATCTGTATGGCTCAGATGTGGTCAAGGTAGCAAATCCAGATGGTTCTCAGCGTAGCAAGCAGCCCGAACTAGATCGTGTTCTCAAGGCCCTGCTCCATGGAACCATTCAGATCCAACCAGGAAGCACGAATCTCTATGGCAAATTTATCCTCATCCATGCCTTGGTCGCACAAATTCGACGCGCAATGGTCGAAGGCACCCTGGCAGGGCTGAATGGTTCTGTCACGCCTCTTCGTCAGAATGACTGGGTCGTTTCAGGTGGTTCGGAGGCTGGAAGTGGTCACGCGAGCACGAACAACAGCGGCAGAGGCACCCCGGTTCCCGGTTCTCGAAGCATATCACCCCAGGCATACAAAAGCCTTTGCACGGCACTCGACAAGTGGAAACAGTACTGGGATATGGATATGGCGATCCAGTTCCCCCCGTCTGTTTCGAATCCTCGGCGACATGGCTTTTCTCGCGACGGGACACACTTCTTTTGGCTTGCCAAATGGTTGATCAAGAATACGGCCCCTGGCGACATGCAGCAGCCCCCGGATCGGCGATTTGCGCAAGTCATGCACTTGCTCAAATCTGTGAAAGCCTGGGTTGAGTCAGATGGAGCTTCGAGGGGCGAGGAACTTGGCTCCGTTGGTGAGATCAGCAACGACTACGGTGTTAATGATCTGACGCTGGATATAACTCACCTCTTCTCGCCCCTACCGTCAGTCATGGAATACTCGACCATGTCTTCCGTCTCCATCAAAACCGAAATATGAGGAGGATACCAACCACCAGTGGACACATTCGCGCACCTTCACCTAGCATTCGTGGCGTTCTCGATTTGATTTCCTTTCCAGCCTCGTCCAAAAGTTTCCCTTCATTCACTCTGCATCGAACCAGCATGATGGTGGCAAGATTGCGCTTTTGCATTTTCCGGATCGGTTTGCGACGCACTAGACTGGCTGTGGCTTTTCGCATTTAGACTCGCTTAGATTGACCGACCTGACGGGTCAGGTCTTACACCCCATGTATGGGGTGATCATGATGGTTGACGTCTAGGCTGTCTGGCAATACTTTGACGGGGTGGTGTCTTCATTCCGGCACGCGTTTCATAAAAAGGAGCATTCAGCAGTGTGGTGGGTTTGGGGCGAACTCACGAGCATTGCTTTTGACTGGTGGGCAAGAAACGACTAGACTAGTGGTACGTGATGAAGTATATGTTTTGTTGCTGCATATTTGCATTGTCCTTTTGAGTTCTACGTCCTATGTTGGCTGTGCAATGTTCTAAACACAGAAATCGTTGCACAGTTTGTGACCGGTCTTCTCGTGACTAGTTCCATACGTGAATGTGATGTGATCTGTGAACATGTCATAGAGGCATCTGACGAGTGGTGATTCTTCTCGGTTGATCGTGTATCTGGGATATATTATCTCGACCGCGAACTTGAACGCGTGCATATAAGTAGGCGGAATACTTTGCAACCGTTGATACAGTTGGGTTCCCATGTACTCAGCACCCTGCCCCATGATCACAAGCCACCATCTACTTTCCGTGCTATCCACCTACTTTGGGAGTGGTTCCTGCGTGGTCTTATTTGAAGCCGAGAGTGGACTCGGTTCGTGTATGTACGTATGTGTTTGTGTTTGTGTTCGTGCGGGTCGAGTGAGCTGTGTCTTATTGGGAGAGGCAAACGGGTCGCACTGTCTATTAGTTGTGAAGGGAGAAAGAGGTAGCATCACGGCTTGGATCAAGGGGGTGATATTGAATAAAAGATGGGTTCTTTGGAGTGAAGGGGGGCTTCTTTCTTCTGGCACATGGAGGACGCGCTGGGCGTGCTGGACTGACTGGTGGGTGGTCTTGTGGGAGTTGTCTTGTCTAAAGATTGTATATGGCTGCGCTGGACTGGAGTCTTGTGATAGGATATTCCCCCTTTGCATGTTGATAGTTCGGTAAAGGTAAGGTGGCCAAGAAGCGTTCACTATACTTACGCATCGCGCATCATGCAGACCTCTGATTTATTGTTTAGAGGTAGACATATGTATCTTAATGAGAGCAAAATTAGGGCGCAGCAGATGATCGTGTCCGTCAGACTGACTTAGCCTAATTTCTATGAGGGAATCAACTGGGTTTTCGGAGATGTACTATCTAGTCCTCATGTAGGTACATATATTTCCTTTGGGGGTTTTCTAGTTTTGCTGAACTACTGGGATTTGAACTGGGTGTTGTGGTGTTTGGGCGTCGGGATGTCTTTTATCATTTTCCAATACAGTTCGGTGCAAGTTCGCGTTGGCTTTGAAGTCCGAACTTTGCTAGAATCTCAAGTCTGGAAAGGCAAGACGATCTAGACGTATCCATACGCGACGTACCGGATGGCCTTTTTCTTGATCACCCTCCCCTTTCTGAATCTGACCATCTTGTATGTTCAACGCACAGCTCGTTCCGCAATGCTTCTGCTTCCAGTCCAAGTCGGGAGGCTCCAGCCTACCCAGTCTTCGAGCACTGCATCTGGATCTGCTTCAGCAGACTCTAGCAGACTTCAGCATAGTCCAAGCCCAGACAATGCTAGCCCTGAAAACAACAGCCCCCCCGGTCCAAGAAGCACCGTGGTCCCAGCCTTCGTCACGCCTTTCCAAAAGCCTTCAGTGGCTAAAGACCCTCCCCGCATATATCATGTCCATCGATAAACCGAACGATCACCGGTCCTGATTCCTCTCGACGGTGGTGATCTTGGGCGCCATCTTGCTGAGGGCCTCCCTGTCGGCCTCGGTGGGCGTGAACCCGTACCGCTCCTCGGCGCGGTCGGCGAGCTGCAGGCCGATTACGCCCCAGGCGAGCAGGCCGACGCCGACGCCGATGCGGGTGCGGCGCGAGAGGTTGCGGAAGGATCTGATTGGGGGCGTTAGTCAGCTGCTGCTACTTGTTGCCATTGCTTGATGAGGTGGTGTGGTCGTGTTTTTGATTTCTGGTATCTCTTCTTCTCAATGTTAGGTGGTAGGGAGAGAGAGGCGGGATGAGTAAGTACGTGTCAGGTGAGTTGAAGAGTGTGTAGTGTAGGGGGTGGTAGGCGAGGACCGACGAGGCCCGGCTTCGGCTTACTGGATGAGCGACATGATATGTGACAGGACGCGCCCTCCCTCCCTGCTTGCACGATCCAAGGGAATGGCAGAAAATAATCCGACCGAGACTTTGATTTGTGCGCTCACGAGGTCGTAAATGTGACGTGAGGGATAGCAAATAAATGAGAGACGAATCAGACGCTGGAGGGCGGTCGTCTAGATTGTGATGGAAATCGATGACTGGGCGTCCGGCGCGGCGGTTGTCGGCTTGGCTGACTGACTGGCGGTGAAAGTGAGACTGAGTGGCTGCGATATACTGGCGTTCGTATCACGTCACTTATGAGTTGGTCAGTTGAGGTACCTGTTCCCTCACGTAGTAATTTGTCTCACGGCATTGCGTTGCATAAGGTATGTATTGGAGATTTCTCATGTGAGGGAGCACGGCAGTGTGGCTCTTCAACCCCATTTCCAGCCACAATAACGGATGGGTCACGGACCAGGGTACAAGGTACCTTGGAGCCCAACTGGTACCCGTTTGTACCAGATTCGTACCCAACTGGGATGATAGCTACTTCTAGGATGGGGACACCACCCACCCTTTCTTTCAATTAAGCAACTTCCAGAATCCAGACCAATAGCCACCATTCGTGACCTTAGTCCTGATTCTGGAACCGCTACCCACAAGGCACAGCAGGTCGTTCTGAGAGGGAGAGAAAGAAACGCCACGCACAAGCCACAGACAGGGGTATCGGGTTGAGCTTGGCATTTACTTAAGCGTCACCAGAGATCGCTGAGATGATGGTTTGCACATAACGGAATGCTGACTTTTGATTCGCGACGTCGTCTCTATAGGTACTCGGTCGTCTATCAAGCTGATACACGTACTCAATTCCTCTGTAACCTACAAACTTAGGTAGGTCGGTACTGGAACGAGCGGAAACTAGGCACTTATGTCGACTACATTCCACTGAAATGGTCAAAGCAGCGCATGCTTGTTCCAACGGCTATGATTGAGCTGGCATTCATTTTCCCTACAGGTCGACTGTCCTATTGCGTTCGCAGCCCCTTATAGTCCGCCAAGCGGAATCCTGTATGGATTCAAGTAGGCGTAGCGATACCCCTCGGCGCTTGTCCTAGAGCTTGAAGATGGATCACAGCCACAAGCAGTCGAATAACAACTCCATGAGTACCCCATCGAAACTTTGCAGTCGATTAAGCAGAGGGTCAATCCAAGCAACTGCTCCTAGGATAATCGCTCATTCCACCGTATTATTCGGCTTTTTGTTTCCGTCCCTTGTTGGAATTGGAATCAGTCAGTCGCGCCAAACTTTGCCCGGTATCCCTCGATCTGGCTGATATCATTGTCGGAAATGACGCCCTTCATGCCAGCAATGATGTCGTCCAGCTTCACGATGGCGATGATAGGGATCTGGTATTCCTTGCGCAGCTGGCCGATGGCGCTCGTCTTGTCAACCCCCTCCGGCAGCGTCTCCTGGCGGTCCAGGGCCACCACGATACCGGCGACAGTACCGCCCGCGGCGCGGATCGTGTCGATGGCCAGGCGCTTGGCGGTGCCAGCAGACACGACGTCGTCGATGATCAGCACGCGCTTGCCAGCCAGGGGCGAGCCGACGATGTTGCCGCCCTCGCCGTGGGTCTTGGCCTCCTTGCGGTCGTAGCTGTAGGCGGCAGACTGGAACCTCCCGCGGTCCATCTTCCACAGGGCGTACACGACGGACGCGGCCAGCGGGATGCCCTTGTAGGCCGGGCCGAAGATGACGTCGAATTCCGGGCCTTTGGCGACGATGGTGTGGGCGTAGGCGTCGGTGATGGCCCCGTGCAGTGCGCCCGTGTAGAAGTCACCCGCGTTGAAGAAGTACGGTGACGTCCGCTTCGACTTGAGCTCGAAGGAACCGAAGCGTAGGGCTCCGCCGTCGAGCGCGGCCCGCAGGAAGTCTTGCTTGTACTGTGGCAGCTCCATTGCTTCTCAGAACCCTTGAGTGCGAATGTCCAACGACTTGCAGTGAATGAGCAGCAGTTTGGTGATTATTCCAGTCACTTCCTCTTGGAATACTCGCCTGCCTTTTTGGCTATTGCGAAAAGAGCGTTGAGGCTGAACTGCTAATAATTTGTGTCTGCTACTTCACTCAGTTTTGCTCGTGGATGTAAATCTTTTTGGCGGGGCAGAAGAGGGGGAGTGAAGCTCATGCATACCTAGGCTTAGAATAACTTACGGTCTAATGTGAGATGCGCCACCCTCTAAGACTCCTATGAAGAAGAGAAGCAGCACGCTGTATGACTACAGTAAGAAAAGAAGAAAGTATTTTTGTTATTTTTCATCAGGTTGCGGCAGATTGACCTCTTGACAGCATACCTCGATTGAGATTCACCTTTGGGCGTCAGTAGTACACAGTAGGTTAGATACTGATTGGTGTTTCCGTTATCGATAATGATAAGGCACAAGCCCACAAAAAAAGTCTGTGGCTCCCCCACCTCCAGTTCGGTTGGCAGACTTCCAATGTTCTGCTGCCACCGCCCTTCCTTTTCGCAAGCCGGAAAACTCCAACAATCCCATTCAGGGTCCTCCGTATCGTCGCAACGCTCGTATCCAGCCGCCCATGATGAAGACCACCTGGAAGGATATCGCGCCGGTGCCGAACTCGCAGGAGTTTCTGGACATCGTGCTTTCGCGCACCCAGAGAAGGCTCCCGACCCAGATCCGATCTGGCTTCAAGATATCCCGAATTCGCGCCTTCTACAGTGCGTACAACCAAAAGAATATGCCTCTTGGGCAGGAGACAAAGTCGCTAACCGTTGGGGGTGTACAGCTCGCAAGGTCAAATTCACGCAGGAGACATTCTCCGAGAAGTTCCAGCAGATCCTCGACGGGTTCCCGCGCCTGCAAGTGAGTTCAACTCTATGCACAGTCCTCACCAATGAAGGTTCCTAACAAGGATTGCAGGACATACATCCCTTCCACAGCGATCTGCTCAACGTATTGTACGATAAAGACCACTTTCGGATCGCTCTTGGTCATCTGTCGACCGCGAAACACCTAATCGAGACAATCTCTCGTGACTACGTTCGCCTCCTAAAATACGCTCAGAGGTAATCTCCAACCACGACTAACTAACCAATGATAGATAAGCTAATGCCCTTTCAACCAGTCTCTACCAATGCAAGCAGCTCAAGCGCGCGGCCCTGGGCCGCATGGCCACTCTCACCAAGCGACTGAAGGATCCTCTTGCCTACTTGGACCAGGTCCGACAACATCTTGGCCGACTTCCGTCCATCGACCCGAATACGCGGACCTTATTGATTTGCGGCTACCCCAACGTGGGTAAGAGTTCCTTCCTTCGGAGCGTCACTCGGGCCGATGTCGACGTCCAACCCTATGCATTCACGACCAAGTCTCTATTCGTGGGCCACTTTGATTACAAGTATCTGCGGTTTCAAGCCATCGACACACCTGGTATCTTGGATCACCCCCTGGAGGAAATGAACACGATTGAGATGCAGACCGTGACGGCCATTGCTCACCTTCGATCCGCCATTCTCTACTTCATGGACCTGAGTGAGCAGTGTGGCTATAGCGTCCACGCCCAAATGCAGCTGTTCAAGTCTATCAAGCCCCTGTTCGCAAACAAGCTTGTGTTTATCGTCATCAACAAGATCGATGTCTTGCGCCCCGAGGAATTGGACGAGAAGACCGGAGGTGAGCTTCAGGCGCTGGTTTCATCCGGCGACGTCGAGCTACTCCAATTGTCTTGCAACACTCAAGAAGGCGTGCAGGAGGTGAAGAACGCGGCCTGCGAGCGGCTCATTGCTGAGCGGGTTGCGCAGAAGCTAAAGGCCGGCACATCAAGCAGCGGCACGGTAGGCGGCCGGCTGGCGGATGTAATGACAAGAATTCATGTTGCACAGCCTATGGATGGTGGCTTGAGGGAAGCTTTCATCCCCGAAGCGATCAAGATGATGCAGAAATACGACAAGAGCGATCCTCAACGGCGTCTACTTGCGCGAGATGTCGAGGAGGCGAATGGTGGCGCCGGTGTTTTCAACGTCGACCTGAGAGCAGACTACATCCTGGACAACCCGGAGTGGAAGCACGACAGGATTCCCGAGATCTTCGATGGAAAGAATGTCTCCGAGTTCATCGACCCTGACATTGAAGCCAAGCTGCAGGCTTTGGAGGAAGAAGAGGAAAAGCTCGAGGCTGAAGGATACTATGACTCGGACGAGGAACTCGATGATGCTGAGGAGGCTGACTTGCGGATCAAGGCCGAGATGATCAAAGAGAAGCAAGCGCTGATGCGCAACGAGGCGCGGATGCGCAAAGTCAAGAACCGCTCAGCCTTGCCTCGGCATGCTGTCAGGAAGCCTCTTTCACAGCTTGAGGACTCGCTTGATCAGTTGGGCGTTGACACTCACGACCTGCAACTCAGAGCAAGGGCGCAATCGGTCATGCGTGGTCGATCTATGAGCAGGAGCCGACTCGGCACAGAGGATACGAATGCGATGGACATCGATCAGACACCGAGGGAGAGACTGAGGTCCCAGACCCGAACAAGAAGCCAGCCGGCAACAAACCGACTCGAGGATGGTGTAGCAGATGAGGAGGCGAAAGACAAGATGGCGAAGCAGGCCAAGCTGAGTCAGAGAAAGATGAACCGCATGGCGAGACAGGGAGAAGCAGATCGCCATATTGGTACAACGATGCCCAAACATCTGGTATGTTCTACATTGGTCGTTGGTATGCATTCGGGGCCCCTTGCTAACAATTTTGGCAGTTCGCGGGCAAACGTACAGTTGGCAAGACATCCCGGCGTTAAGAGAAGATGTCCTGCTTTGCTTGGTATGACCTTTGCGCTGGTTTATCGGCAGGAGATGATATATCCGTTTCATGGCGTTCCGGAGGGGATTGGGACATTTGCTAGAGATGACATGACCAATGTGATTGCGAATCAACTGACGATATCCCGAGACTCATTGAAATGCCTGTGCGAGCTTTCATCTTACGTGAAACAGTATTGCTCCTGTCCGCCTATGCAGATATTGCCCGCCACCTATGTCGTCCGGTGAGACTCAAGTAAGGCGTGCTAACTGTGCAAATCCCGGCCAGCGTTTCCAGTCCAGGCATGTATACACACAGATTACTAGCCTACCTGCTCAGTACATCCATTCAAGTCCATCCACCTGGTATCTCGTTCCCTAACACTCAGTTTCCCTGGTCAATGTTCATGACCAGGGAAATCACACCTTCCCTTCCCTACAACATCAAAACTCTCTGACCTCCATCCACATTGCCGTCTTTAGTCATTCCCAGATCTGTTGGAACGCAAGCAACAGACACCACGGTTTTTTAAGTTCCTTGACAGAAAGTAGGGGCTTACGCCTGCTCTGGTGGTGGGCTCGTCATGTCGACATATAGGGGCTGTTCTTATCTGCCTTGCCTTGTGTATGTTGCTTGGTTTTGTTTTTTGCCGGACATTTCCTGTTGGCGGCGATGACTGACCGACCGGCTACTGCGTCTCAATGATCGCGAACGAGTCCTTCGTGAATGGCCGCGCGCCAGCGATCACGTCCTCGATCGAGGCTGCTAAGCATATATGCATAAGAATCTGCCTGCTTCTAAGGGTGGCCTGGCCGGCCACCTGCACACGCACACCCCGAATTCCCCAGCAACCACAGCCCCAGCCCCAGACCATAAGTTATGTACCGTAAAATGAGCGCCAATCTCTCACCGACGCCCTGTTACCAACGTCAACCCTTAAGGCCTCTTGGTACGTAAGTTTAAGGGTTCGATTCCAGGACGTGCTAGCAATAGCAAGTAAGTAGATGGGGTTTCGCCCAGATCAAGGCACGTTTAATGGGGTCGGATTGTAAACTAAGCTTTCTTACAATAATTTCTTTTTTTAAAAGATTTGTTATTTTCAGAGTAGCCAGTTTTTAAAATACCCCATTTCGCAACTATTCAATCACCTGGCAGATGCAGCTATTACTATCGGCTACAACCCGTTAGCTGCCGGTAATAATTCTTATAGAGGCATCTGTGACGGTGTACAGCCGTATCCACCTGGATGGATGGATGCTTAGTCATCAGGTCACGTGTAGATTAGATAAGAAGACCAGGAGCACCATATGTGCTGCAGCCTCGGCTGTACGCACATCTGTTCCTTTTCTCCCACCTTGTTATTTTGGGAATACAACACCAGATTCCACCACAACGCCGCAGGCATCGTGACAGCATCTCTCGCAGCATTTCATTCGCGAGGGCAGCATTTCCTTTGCGGTAGCAGCATCTCCCTCGGCGGCAGCATTTCTCTCGGCGGCAGTATCTCTCTCGGCGGCAGCATCTTCACGGCATCATTTCTTTCGCGGTAGTAATATCTCTCTCGCGGTGGCAGCATCTCGTAGATAGGAGGTTGCCGCTACGTAATATAAGCAGTATATATTATTCACTTAGTTAGTATATAATCCCTTATTAAACGTAATATTAACTATATACCTAGATTATAAGGTGTTAAGCTATACCTATTAAATAATCTAGCAGTTATAAAATAAGGTACTTTAAAAATCGGATACTCTGGAAATAACAATTCTCTTGTTTAAGGGGGTCTTAACCCCCCCCCCCCCCCCCCCCCCCCCCCCCCCCCCCCTGCTTTTATATTCTTTCGCATCATGCATGATGAGGGCTAGCAGGTTATATGTGTGTGGTCTTCTGCTCGGGCCGCGGCGTTCTGGCGATGGAACCAACGCGTGGACGGTCATGGAATCAGTCCTGTTGCCATTTTCGACATTGTTCATGTGGGTTTTCGACCACTCAAGTCTTCCCGCTGGAAGATCTTGGCTCTCGTCTGTAGCTTCAGTGTCCTTCCTGTATTGAGTTTCTGCCACCCGGGCTGGCTACGTAGAGGACGCAAAGGCGGGGATGAGCTTTAAAGGTCAGCTTGCGAGCGCGTAGGTAGGCGTGAATTAGTCTGTCAGTGACAACGCAATGGATGAGGCCCCGTGCCCATAACAAGCAAGCAAGCATCGGTCGTGGGTAGATGCAAATAAAGTTGCGAAGAAGGTCTCTTCCTAAGAAGCAACATTTCGAGCAGCGTATCTTGCTCTGTACCACACAGCACATACCCACCCACCCGAAGATTGCAACATGCTCTCGAAACACATAGGTTAGTTAGTACCTTAGGTAGGCAATCCAAGAGCAGCCGCAAACACGACTGAGGGAGAGGTGGATTTCATCTTTTTCACAGGGGAGAAGAATCCGGCGACAGTCGTCAGGGCCTGTCCAACTAGCTGAGATGTAGAACTCCGGCCCGTCGACGCGGCCGGGACAGACGTAGGTACAGAGTTAAGAAGCAACTTGGAGATAGGCAGACAGCAAGCCATCTCTCTTTGCATAGCGCTCTTCCTGCGTCACCATTGTAATATCACGTCCATAATCCAACAACACGAGCAAGCAATATCAAAACGAGCCTACAACATCACCAGCAGCAGCAGCAACAGCAACAGCAGCAGCAGCATCCCTAAAACCGTCCACGCCTTCCGCCGTCTTCGTCCTTGACGTACACCACAACCTCAGTTTCAACCAGTCCTGCAAAACAAGGCCCTCTGCTCTGCACCTTCCCCCCTCACCCTCCTCACCAAAACCATCCATCATTCCTCACAGGTCCGTTGGCCTTACTGTCTGCCATGCGAAGCCATGGCCCTCCGTGACACTGGATGGTTTGACATACCATGCCGGTGGATAGGCAGACCGGAAACATCGTACAAACGGGAAGGAAGGTATTACCAAACTAATAATCTGGAATATGTTACTGGCAGGCTAACGCCGAGATATTCCTCGTGTGCAATATACCCGGGTGCTGAGTGGGTTTGGGGCAAGAGGGATACAAGAGGGATAACAAAAGAGGAGAGGGAGATGACGCCAAAAGTAGCCGTGCAAGGACGATTCGCCTCTGTCATGGGTCTTGGGGGACGTCACAAACCGTAAACAGCTCGAGCTTCTCCCTGTCCTTGTCCTACCAGCATAGTCACTCATGTATACCGTGAGGGCGTTGATCACCTACGATCTTGCTGATCTTTGGGCAAGTGATCTCTACCATTCAGCAACTCCTGCCTCCAGCCTCCAGCCGGAGTGCCTATGTTCCTGTCTATGAGGTCCATCCGGGAACCATGTCTATGTGAAACGCCTGGTCCTACCAAAGCACAGTACCGCGTCCATCGCGCGTGAGTGCATACGTAAAGGGAAAAGCAACATCCCCTTTTCTGGGTATCAATACATCTCTGCAAAGTGTTCGTCATCCTCATCCAGCAAGGCTAGGTAGGTAGGTAGGTGGTCATCAGGTTGCCATAATCTGGGCTCGAAATCTTCTCCAGTGGTGTCGTGGGCGTCGATCGGTTTGTAAGCCGAAATACCACGTAAAACCCCAATTTCAATCGTTCTGCTTGGGTGGCGAACCACCTAGTTCGAATGTCTGGAACGCTATCAGAAAAGAACACAAGCTGAGAGTTATAGGGATATATCTTACCATATCATGCCAACCTCCACCACCGAAGGAGGCCTTGCTCGGTCCGACATGCTTGAAGCCGAATCTCTTGTAGTAGTTGACCAAGTACTAGTAAGAAGAGTGTCAGACATGGAAGAGACAGTCAAGTAGGCCGCTAGAAATGCTTACCCCTTGCGCAATGAGCGAGAGACGATCGGCCAGATTAGAGTTCTTGACCTGTTGCAGGTATGCCTTCATGATCAGCTTGCCCATGCCACAACCCTGAAGCTTCGGATCAACCGCAAGGGAGTGGATGCAGATGGTTCGTCCGGTCTCTTGGTGACCTAGGCCCGCCGTGTTGGGCTCCCGGGTCTTGAAGTCCCGAGGGTAGTCCATGGCTTGGTCCGTCACCAACTCCTCGTTCGACCTCGTTGATATGATGTGAGCCATCATGACGCTCACAGCACCATCTTTGCGGCCTGTCTCGACTGGGTGGGCTGTGCGGAGAGTGTTAATCTCGAAGCCTTTGGCCTTGCCAGGAATAACGGTGCAGAAAACACCAAGGCACAGCTCTGGGCATACTCCAAGACGGTATTCGAACTATCAATCAAGTCAGAGATGGTCCATTGTGAGATATGCAAACAAACATGGGCAAAGAGCCCGTGAGACTGTATAGCAGGACGCCATTGGAAGTATGCAGAGTATTTTTAACCCAATGGAAATGCCTGTGGCGAGTACCGTCACCTTGGTCGGCTGGGGTCCTGCAATTTGGTTCGGTACTTATCCCTGGCATGATAAGGGGCAGTTGTTATCATCGACCAACTGCAGGCAAGATGACGCGCGTGAGGCATGTGACGTATCATGTCAAATAGCCCGAGGTGGATCCCGTCTGAGAAGGATCGAAGAAGCCGAACCTGGTGAGATCGTCGGGAAAGGAACCGAGAGGCTGGAAGACGGAAAGAGACAAGAGTACCCACCTTCTCCCGCGAGCACCGATGCGCCGGGTTGGCAAACGCCGCATCCTCGAGGCCGATGCAGCTCTCGAGGTCCGAGATGGTCAGCGGGCGGATGTTGGGCGAGAAGGGGAAGGACAGCAGGTCCTGGATGCCCTTGATGTGCTTGCTCTGGCGGCGTCGGCGCTCGCCGCTGATGGTCTTCTGGACCTCGGCAAAGTCGTCGGGCAGGTCCTCCGAATCGTCGACGGCGTCGTCGGTGGCGCGGCCGGCGTTACTGGTACTACCGGCAGAGGTCTGGGTCTTGGTCTTGGTCTCGTTCGGGAGCGGCTCGTCCCAGCTCTCCTTGACGATCGTGGCCTTCTTGGGCGAGTCCGACATCGTGGGGTATTTTCCGAAGCAAACAAACCGCGAGATTGTGGGTGTGGGCACGACGTCTGTCGACGGGTATGAGTCCTTGGGTGAGTGAATGAATGAGTATGTGCCGTGGTGGGTGAGCTGTAAAGGTGAGGCGGAAACGCGGGGTGCAGGTGGTTTGATACAAGGCTACCAGGGCAGAATCGGGGCCCGGGAACGGGTCGTCTGGTACACAGGGCAACCTTGATTGAGATACTGTGCCTCGCGTGATTGGAACACCGATCAATTGATTTGATCTATGCCGGCCTGACAACGGAGTGCAGGGCGGGTGACGGAACAGCAACGTGTGGTGTATTTTCACATCCACAGACGTTTTGGAGCTGATGTGGGGTGGCAGAAGTATTCAGGTATCGTGGTGATGAAGGTGGGAGTCGAGTCTATCAGAAAAAATAAACCATCGTTGATGAAACACACAAAGCCAAGGGTGGGCACGTGAGGAGGCAAGCACGAGCTGATTGATGAGTTTCACTTGTTCCCCAGTACGGCAAGAGATCAACAATTCCCCAATCGTGCCACTTATTAAGGTTGAGCCAGGCCGGGTCACTAAGGTACTGGTCTTGGACATATCAACTTCACTTCTTCGGAGAAACCAGAGGGTATCATTGCCTGTCATCGTCTGTGGTATCGTACATTGCAGCTCCCAGCTGCACATCAACTGTCATCCCTCGTGACAGTCTCCCAACTGAGTTCTCACTCTCTCCCCAAAGTCCTTTCTGCCAGCATCATCTATGGCGAGCACCTCCTCTCCAAAACAAGTCTTAGCAATCGAGGCTCGCGCTTTTGTAACATGCCCTTGGTTGCCCATCATGTTGCATATCCGAAGAATGCTGTCAAATAGAGAAATATCAATTCCCGTGTAAAGCCAACGCCGCATATAAGTGAAGAACTATCATGGTATTCCCTTTTGTCTTCTCTCGACTTTTCTGCCTGCTTTCTGTGGTATCTCGCAAACGCATCCGCCCGTGACATCTGCAACGCCATGGTAGCGTGGGCCAGCTCGTGGTATCATTTCCGGATTCGTTCGTGCATAGAAAGTCCCCATCAGTCGTGTGCCCGCCACCATCAACCGACGGTCCGGCGAAAATCGAAAGTAAAAAAAACCAAATCATAAGCGCAGAAACAAACTCAACCGAAAATCTCAAGTCGCGGAAAATGACCAGCACCGACCTATGCATCTCATCATAGGTCCGGGTATTCGTACGCCAGGGTATATCCAGCCGAAGGGGGTATAGCACGTAGAGCATCTAAAAGACGGGAATCTAACGGAAAGGTCCAATGTGACCGGGGTATCCTGAATTGGTGGAATGAGACGTCGACGGACGACCGCTGTCGCCAGACGCCCGCGTGCTGTGTCGAGGCGTCACGTCGCCGCCGTGCCCCATGTTGGGCGGCGAAAGTTTGTTGTCGAACCCGTTGCTGCCAAAGTGTCGCGTCGGCCAAGGGCTGTTGTCGTCATCTGGAAGATTGACGCCGCTATCGTTCCAGGGGTTGCGGTCAGCATGGAAGCTGCGTGTCGACTCGATCGAAATCAACGACGACTTGGATACGTTGCTCGACCCCTTGAAGAGCGTGTTCACCGAGTGGGAACTGTTCTTTCTGCGGTCAAGCGACGACAGAAGTTGCGATGGCTTGCGCAGCTTGTCAAAAAGCGTCGCCGTTCGCTGTTGAGTTATGTCTTCGCCGAAAGCTGGCTTCGTCGGTGAATCCGTGCCAACTTGAGCCGGCGCATGCTGCAGCAGTTTCGAGTCAAAGTACTGTAGAGAGTCCTCGAAAGAGTCCGACTTGGGGCGAGGCATGGCTCCTTTCACAATGGTCGCCTCCACATTAGCAGCAGCAAACTCTTGCATGAGGAATTCAATCGCGTCACGAAGACCACCGGCGTTGTTGCGAGTCAACTTCCAAAGCAGAGTCACGGTACGTTCGCCGTTGTCGGTCTTCTCTTCCGAGTTCTCATGCACCTCGAGCGTCACCTCGTGATGAGTCTTCAGCCTCGAAACCAGTTCGTTGACAAACTCGGGCGACTCGAGGAACTTCACCAAGCTTGGTGTGCGAGTCAAGATCAATTCGTGCGTTTCGGGGACCATGCCCTAATCAGGAATTTAGTGGTTGACATTCAGAAGCATGCCGGTGTTCGGCTTGGATTAGGCTTACCAGAAATTGATCAGCACACTGAGGCACTTGCCATTCCGGACCGGTGACCGTCACCTCATCGCTTGCCTGCTCGGTACTGGGGAAGACGATCTTGCAATTCCACTTCTTTTCCAGTTCGTCTATCTCTTGCAAGCGAGCAATGAGCTGTCGATGGTACAGACGATCGACGTGAACGACCTGTGAGGTGAACTCGGAGTGCTGCAGGTTAAGCTGTTAGGAACCATTCTCGGTTAAGCTGGGGATAGAGGAGAGGCTTACGGCCCGGTCCACCATGTCCAAAATTTCAGACTTGACCAACTCAAGGTTCTGAGCATTCCGGGCTGGCGTTCGGCAGATGACATTGTCAACCTTGACATCGTCATCTTCACGACCAATACCGCCTGACCAGTCGTCGGGTTAGCACTTTGGCATGTATCAAGGATGCGGATCTCCTACCTCGATCCATGGCATTGGAAAACTTGACGAAGACAGAGTGCTTCTTCATGATCCGTTGGATGTGTTGACCACCAATACCAATGATGCGCTTGTGGTACTGGTCGGGAACGTGGAAAGAGATGGAAGCAGGCATCTCCTGTTCAACAAGCGTCATACCCTGCTTCATCGACTCATAGGTCGGAGCGCTAACATCGATATCGAAATTGTACTCTCTGAAGCTGTCGAAGAGGATTTGCACGTTGCCTGTACCTTGTTAGTCGACATTATAACGGAGGCCAGGAGGCTATGTCATACTCTGCGTCATGATCTTGTTGATCTTGCCGTTCTTCTTGCCCGAGACAAATTCCTTGTGCTCGTTGGCGAGCTCGATCTTGACACGAATTGTGCTCTGAGATTCATTCACGAATTTGATGTGCGAGAGCAACATCAACGCCGATTTGACGGCATCGTCAGAACCAGTAACCGTGAAGTTCATCTTGTCAAACGAGATGTCGGCATCGGAATTGGAGCTGATATCGCAGAGCATGGCGCGTATCTCGTGGATGTTGGGAAGCTGCGCTGGAGTGAACTGCTGCAACCACCAAGCCGCGAAGTAGAACTGGCCAGCCTACATCGCTAGTCAGCATGAACCATCACCAATGAGATCGGAGCCACCCACAAGAGACATGATTTCCCTCATGGTGCGCTCAATCTGAAGTCCTTCGACGCCTTGAACACGTATCATGTTGCGTTGGGAAGCAAGCGGTGGGAACATGATGAAGGTGCCGTTGGTCTCCATGATCTTTCGCACCTTGTCCATCCGGCCCAGAAGGACGCTATCGAGCTTCGAGGGGGAGACCACACCATCCTTCATGAACAGTTTGGTGCGGTTGACCAAGTCGTGAATTTTGCGTTTGGCCAATTCGATGCCTTGGGGGTTCTCGCCCGTGATGGCAATCTCGTTTGGATCTCGGCGGTTTGCACCTGGCGGGCAATATCGGTATGGCTGGGCGAAGGGTGGGAAATAGATCGCGGTATTCGTTTGCGACTCGATCAATTTGATGTTCTTCCGCGAGCGACCACAGACGATAGGGTGGAGGGTGCTCTCGACCTTGAGCAAGTCGACTTTCCGTCCAAGCTAGACGCTACGTTAGTAATGCCTCTCGAGTACCATATTGTGTTGGCCGCACCAATTGATCAATGAAGATGAGGACATGGGTCTTGGCCTGCTCGGTGTACTCGATGTCACCGTAGATGGCCACTCTCCATCTCTGGTCCCGAATGACCTCGACGTCGCCATTGAGGACATCGACGGTTGGGGTAAGCTTCGGGCCCAGTACAAAGATGTCGACTCCGCAGAAGGCCGCGGTCGTGTCTAGAGCGGACCTAAACTTCTCATTCAGCGCGCCAGCCCTGGCATCGACTATCAAGCCATATTCGACGTCGATGGTAGCGCATCGCTACAATATGCAGTTTAGCAAAATCAATGGATTTCACAGTTTGCTTGGGACCAGAACATGCATACCAGTGCCAATGGAGTGCCACTCAAAATAGTTTCACGACTCTTGTGGACCAGCTCCGGGGTGCCCGAGAGACAGACGGTGGTAATCTGGCCCTTGACATGCTTCGGGGTGGTCGAGATGACGTGGGCATCAACGGGCAGAGGGCCTCTGGTGATCTCCATGCACATGTTTTGCAGAATGGCCAGGTTCTGGGCGTGGACGGGCAGCTCGTAGATGGGGATGTCGTCGGGGGCTTCTCCGGGATGTGTCCACCGCATGACCGAGTTCCCAGTCGCGTGCAGGACCTCCTCGGTGTTGGGGCCGGCCAGGTCAGAGGCGAAGGGAACGTTGAACGCGAAGTGAATGGTGGTATCGGCGGCGGGCGAGGGACTCAGAGGCGCAGCTCCCGGAGCTCCGACCTTCTGGTGAGGGTTCATGGCGGTCATGCTCATGTTCGATCTCGACGACATGCCGAAGTTGGGAGTCTGGATTCGATCGCCCCAATGACGCATGCCCATGTTGGCGAGCTTTTGCATGTTGAAGGGGGGTGGGTATCTCTGGGGGGCGTGGTCTCGGAAAAAAAGAAGGATACTAGAAAGAAGAGAAAATGAAAGGGACTATTAAGGAAGGAGGAGAACAGAAGACGGGGTATGATGTTCTCTACCTGGCTGCTACAATAGAACCCTCTACCACAACTGACGGCAGTGTTGGCTGGTAGTGTGGAGAGGAGAGGGTTGGAAAATGGTGAGGGTAAGGGTGAGGTGAGACGAGGGTGAGGAGAAGTGGATGATGGGATGGATGGGATGGAGATGGAGACGAGAGGAAGAGGAGCAGGTTGACCCGTCGGGTCGTCGAGGTGTGATGGTGGTGTGGTGTGCCCTGGAAGAATCGATGGAAATGCCGCCCGTGGACACTGGACCAGTCCCGCCAGTGCTTGTCAGCAGCAAGGTGCACTGATGCAGTCAGCAGCAGCTGTCAGCCCAGCGAATCAGAAGCCAGGACGGGCCAAAAGGCCCTGGCGCTACACGGTACGTCGTCGGGCTAGCGCGCTTCGATGCTTGGTTCAGTGGCAGAGTGGCTCAAATGCAGTGGGCCAGTGGCCTGGAAAGATCGGTGGTGCTCCCAGCACTGCCCGCGGGTCGGTGGGCAGCAGTCCAGTACGAGAACCACCAATTTGGCGATCCTGGTACCGAATCTACAGTGGGCTTCAGGCATGAATTGGATGTGTCCACAGGCAGCGTCCTCCCGCGTCATCGCTGGTAACACCGAGGACATCTCATGCCAACATGAACGATAAGACTGCTGTCTACGTACTTACATGAACCTCATATACGTCTGTAGTCGAAGGCTTCGAACCACCCAATACTGGGAAGCTGTTGTGCCCTTCGAGGGAGAAACATGAGCCACCCAAGCCGACAATGGGACGATGGCACGAGGATGCATGTGAGCTGCATTTCTGGTGGGCAACTCTACCCCCGCCGCTTACCTAATCAACCGAAATGTTATCTTAGAGGTACAACCACAATATTATGCGGCGGCTTCTAGCGAGCGTTTATTCTGCAACCGGGAAGGTCAAGATCACAAGGCTTGGTTGAACAAGCCTCTTCCGAGGATCCATGATCTGATTAACCGATCACATACATGTGCTGCGCGAATCTGCTAACCTTAAGAGCATAAAGGCAGAAAGGTAGCCACGGTCTACCGTTAGGTAGTCTGCCGGCAGCTACGGCTACACATACGCGTTCATGTGCCTGTCTCCATAGACCGAACCCGAACCCCGGCCGCGTCCATGTGAGAGCTGGAATTCTAATAATGCAACTTGGCCTTCCAACATCAATGGCACGAGCCCGTCAGCCACCGAGCTCGGATCAACAGCTTATTATTACTCAAATTACAGACTTCCCCTTTGAGACAGCGCGTTCTGGCAACCTTGCTATTTCGATAAATAGTCTATCTCGCGCGTCAACAACATGTATCAGATGCCAACTCATTCCCGCCTTCATCCTCTTCTTGCTCGCTTCACAACTTGTACCCGCCCAATGAGGGGGCTACCGGCACAGACTTCGGGCTGTCCTGCATCGGCGTTACGCACGGCACGGTCTAGACGTCAGCACTCGACTGCCGAAGCCCACCTCACCTGCAGCAGTTCGTTCTGCCGTGCAGAGCTACGATACGAGTCTATGGCCTGTCGAACAGCAATCCAGACCTTCAACGTTAAATGTCCCCTCTTGAACCCGTACTATCCCGCGGAGCCGGCACTGCAGATACGTAATCTCGTTTACCCTCCCAAGGACGTGTGTGATGCAAGAACGGGGTGATCCGGTGGAACGACGCATAGGGCTGGCTAGCCCCATTCCGAGTCAACGCCGAAGAACCATCCATGGACAGCTTGAACCGAAAGGACAAGTAACGTCAAATACTCGAATGCCAGGTGAGCATCGAGGTACAAGCACAGTCAGCAACGACAGTCCGTCAAAGTATGTCTCGAAAGCCTATCCCCAGAAAAGCCCCCCAAAGCCAAAACCCAATTTCGAGAACAGCCAGATAGCAAGCGGGCAAGTCAGCCTGGCAAAGAGCAAGAAAGAAGAACCTTGATAAAAAGGACCACTCGGTACCTGATCGACAACCCTAAAACGTGATACTGTACATAAGCCGATCAATATTAGGTACTTCCCAACACAAGAGGTAGAAAAGTGGACGAGACGAGACGGGCACGCGGATGATCCATGACGGGCGATCTGCGCGGCAAGCAAAACTGCAAAAGCAGGTAATCGGAGCCGGGAGCGGTTCGGTCCTGGCACTCGACCTGTTTCCTGTCGGCGGCGATCAGGATCAGCCCTGTAAAAGACAATAACAAAAAGTTGCAACTTGCCAGTGATCGACCGTACGTGACGGGGTTACAGCACAGCACAGAAAACTTGTTGCGCCTCGTACAGGTTTCGGCGTTTCGCTCGACCAAGGTATCGTCCCTCCTACAATACTGGTCATGCAAATGCCAACTCCGAACCTCCGCCTAGAGATGATAAGATACCAACATCATACACGACATTAAGGCTCCAAGCGGTCGAAATAGTTGATTATCTTGTTGCCGGTTGAAACCGCTGTCGTTAATCTTGGAAGGATCACGATGGCGTCAACCGTCGCGCGAACCCGGATGGCAGGAAAGCAGTCATGGCCACCAGATGCTTCTCCAAGAAGCCATACCAGCAAAGCCAGAAACGCGGTTGAAATAATAGATTCACATAGAACAGATGGCATAAGCAGTTCATCCCAGGCGCACTTGACTGGTATATATTCACCCGCTTGGGCTTGATAATAAGTAACCGAAATAGACTTCCAGAGCCCCCCGTAGAGGCGTCAGCGTTTTTTAACATCAACCCGTCCATCCTGCCATCCCGTCATTCTATCGAGCTCGTGTCCCGACCACAAACCCACCAAACACAAACACAAACCGCAGACCAAAGACCAGAGACCAGGGATCGACTGTTGCAACCCATCCGCCCGTGCGACGCCTCCTGTGCCGGCTCGACTTACCTGTTGTATGGCTGCATTGCTGCCGTCCCACCAATATGCCATTGTCGATATTGCCAGATCGTGTACATGGAGCTGGGCCATTGACCTCGATTTGATGCCTCTGCCTCTGTTTTGCCACAAACTGTATTTAGTGGTTCCCAAATCAAAGTTGGAATTTACTTTGCGTTGCATCTAGTCACATCAAAAATGTATGGGAGTTGGTTGCGAATCCGAGAAATTTTGTACCTGTGATTCGGTATAATCCTACAAAAAAGATGCATTGCATCCCTCACGCATGCCTACGATAACAACGTCCAGCTTTCTCAAAATAGAGGTGCTCCAGTCACCCTCCATTTTATCAAGCATAGCATCTAGAGATCTCGGCATCCGTAAAGCTCTCCTTGCAATGCACAAAGGCCCCCCATGTTCCGCTCATACTTCTGAGCGGCATTGAGGCCATTGACGTCCTCTCCTAATATTTATAGCCCGAGGGAAGCACGCAAATGTGCTTTCCACTCCACTCCCTCCTCTCAAAGTCAACGCAATGCCTCTGTGCTCATTGTCGGCGCACGCTTACTGGTACACTTGCCTTCGCCCATCATCAGCATAGACTATCTCTTGCTGTACTGTGCGGGGCCGATCGATGTATTTTACTTCCTCATCCCTCGGGGGCGGTCGATCGTAGTAGCGTTCCGCTGGCCGAACGCTGTATTCCCGTCGTGGCATTTCCGATTCAGCTGGTCTGACGCTGAACTCACGAAGCACATGGGGAACCACCTCTCTTCTTCCTTCTGTGTGGACACTGGGAGCGTACTGTCGATAGGGCACTTCTGGTCGAGTACTCTGGGGTCTTTCGTAGTATTGCGCAGCGTCCACTGGTCGCACACTGGTCGCTCTAGAGAGGTATTCACGAGGCATCTGCTCAGAAATACGTCGCTCCGCTCCTCCTCGAATCTGAACCAAACCTTGATCAGGAGGTCCCATGGGCTGGGTAGAGTAATCACGCTCTCGATAACTTCGGTAGTCAGTGCTATACTCCGGCTGGGTGATGATGCGTCGCGGAGCAAACGACGGCGACGCAGCACGCCGGTAGAGAACACCGTCTCCTTCGAAGCTCTCGGAACCGGGCATGCGAGATGTCGCGCGGATTGGTGCTCTCTCATAGATGACCTCGTGATCGCCCGGTCTTGCGGAAGGCATAACTGATCGTCGAGCGACAGTGCTGGCACGAACAGGCTCCAAGTACTCACGGCCGTATTCGTCAACAACGATGCGAGAAGGAGGAGGGGCGGAAGGAGGTGCCATGACAGGGGACTGTGACCTCGCTCGGTCGGCATAAGGGCGTACACTCATTCGTCCTTCGCGTGGATAGGTAGCCATCTCGCGCAGACTTGGATTCGTCACCGCGTAAGATGCTGAACGCATGGGACGCGGCTCTCCGGCACCGTAGGGAACTGAGTATCCTGCGGGTGACTGGACGCGGCGAATGTATTGCACAATGGTACCATCCGGCCTTCTCTCCTCATACAGCTGAGGCTCTAGTCTCTCCCTAACTGGCGCGACCGAGTGACGTACCTGACGCGCATAAGGATCATCCAGTCTCTCATATGTAAGAGGCACTCTTTCGGCGGGCATGGGCGCCTCCGAGTATCGGTCATGTTGAAGCTGTGAGATCGGTCGTTCGAGACGTGGCTCGTCATATACCACCAACTCAGCCTCCTCCCTACCAGATGCTCGTTGTCGTTTTTGAGGGCGAATGAACATGGGGGCAGAAAGGGGAGAAGGTGAGCGAGGTTCTGGCTTAATGTCAGGAGAGCCTGGGACGTCTTGTGCTCGTGCTTTCTTGTTCTTCTTCTTATTCTTCTTCTTGCCTCCCTTTTCTCCCTGCGGAGAGCTTTCGGGGCTCGTGATGACTCCATGCTCTTGTCTCAGTGCTGTTACTTGAGCCGGTGCTCCTTGTATGATGTTGGCGCCAGGCTCTAGCATAGGTGGCTGTCGAGCAGTTGCCAGCGGCGAGACACGGGCTGGCCGTGGGGCAAAAAGTGAGAGGTCATGAGCGCGTACAACAGGGGGCGATTCGCGCTGTCTGAAGTTGTTGTTAGGCAGGAGCCGCTGTGAATTCTGCGTGTGGCCGTGATCAGCAGGCTGCTCCAAATCTGTGTTACCAGAATTATCGGATCTACTAGCAGGTCCACTGTCCGAGCTGATGACTTGTACTTCGGCATCTCCTTGCTGTGTTTGACCCAACAAACCTCCTGCACCTGCACCTGCATTTGTTGCAATACTTGCGCTTCTGTTCTGTGATGCCATGCCTAAGCCTGCTGGGGGATATTGACTGAGTGTGCTTGGATTCTGGCTTGTATAGGCGTTACTGGCGTTACGACCAGTATTGGTTTGTTGGGGGGCTGTAGTCGGAACGGACTGCGATTGAGCAGCAAACTGGGTCGGAGGGGGAGGAACATAGGAATCGGTATTCGGTTGGCGCTGGAGCGGAGAGGTGTTCTGCATCTGTACGTCTTCTGGTGCGGCCCGGGCTCGAGGTGAGGCATGCGATTCTGGCGTGTCATGTTGACTAGAATAAAATGTCCTCTCGTCAAACGAGTCACTGGCATCGGAAGCATTAGCAGCCATGGGAGCATCAGCAGCAGCAGCAGCAGCACTAGTAGTAGTAACAGGTGGCGGAGCAGTTGCTTGCACAAGAGTCAGAGCCTTTGCTAGGATATCCGAGAGGTTCAGATCAGGAAGTTGCTCGGAATGTGACAAAGCAGTCCTCGAGGCAGCTTTCCGCTGATCACCCTCATCCTTGATTGCCTTCTCGAGTCTCTGTCTCTGCAGCGAGAACTCTGCCTTGATGAGGTCGTCTGACTTCTGAAGCAGTATGGGGTTGAACTCTGTCTTCCCACCAGTTACGTTTCTGGGGACGCCATGTATGCCAGCAGCAGGGCCAGTCGGCGCTACGACAACAGCTGGCTGCTGCGAATTCGCCTTGAACGAGTGCATATTGCCCATCTGATAACCGTTGACAGGCTTATCACTGCGCTGTGACTGCATGGGCGACTGTGCGACGCGTTCTGGTCTGTTGGATGCGGGTAGCTGGGAGGAAGGGGAGGGTTTTCCAGCTGAAGGTGGCACCTTAATACGAGGGTGCTTTCCCGACACCACTGTGTCTCGAAACTGAATGATCTTCTGATATTCGCGGATATCACTGAGATCAGAGGCAGCTGTCGGGGGAGCAGATGGACTTGGCTGGTAGCCAGAGAACAGGTGCCCCTTTGCCATGCCGACCTGGGCGTGGGCTTGAGCTTGAGCCATTGTGATAGGTGAATCAGGTCAGCACAGATCCATGGATAGGTCAATTCAGACGCCCGTAGAGGATGTTGATGAAGGATACAATCACAAAGAGAGGATTGATGATCAGTGATGTGGGAAGAACATTGAAGTTGGCTGGTTGAGGCAACCTTTCCAATGTTTGATAATATTTTCGGGTGTGAAGGAGCAAACTTGGAAGGTGTCGCACCTCAAGTCGAAGCTTCATTTTATTTTCGAGTTGCCGGGTGCACGGTCCCACTGATCTACGAAGCCGCCAAGCCGCGCTAGCACTATTGGCAGCATCCTAATGTCTGACTGCCCATTGGTTGACTGCAGCTCATCCAAAGTTCACTCCCTTGCCGGTGACTCAAGATATCAAAGACACAAACCTCGGATTACACATACAGTGCTTCAGTCAACAAATAATAAGAGAGTGAAGAAGGTGACTCAACCAGGCATATTTAAAGGGGTCGGTTGTCGCGATTGTGATGATATGCACATCTACACGCTCAGCCATTACCTATCATCAACGTCAACCATTCCCGTCGAGTCTCCCACAACTTTATTACACTAGACTAATCTCATTCTGTCATTATAGCCCGTTGAGAGGCCGCAAACCATACCCATACAACCAGAATCTCAAGCCGTCTGTCTTATATCGAGGCCACACGAGTCTCAAACTGTCTAGAGACATGGGATCACAAAGGACCGAGCCTGAGGGCGCATCATCATCATCATCATCTCGGCCTGTCTGGTTTTTGTAAGTGCTCCATGTCGTTCAGTGTATAATGGATACATGCTAACACTATATACACAGCGACATAGACAACTGTCTCTACCCTAGAAGTAAGTCCAAAAAATTGCTCAATATATCTAAGATATCATACAATAGGGGGATATATCCATTATTCACACCAGCTAACCCCCAAGTCAGGCAGCAAAGTCCACGACCTAATGGCGCAGCTAATAGACGAGTACTTCGCCAAGCACCTGGGCGTCTCCGAAGAGGAAGCCATCCGGCTGCACAAGGAGTACTACAAGAACTACGGGCTGGCGATCGAGGGGCTGGTGCGGCACCACCAGATCGATCCGCTCGAGTACAACGCCAAGGTCGACGACGCCCTGCCGCTCGAGGGCATTATTACGGAAAACCCGCAGCTGCGCAAGCTGCTCGAGGACATCGATACCTCCAAAGTGAAACCCTGGCTGCTGACCAACGCCTACGTCACCCACGGCCGCCGCGTCGTCCGGTTGTTGGGTGTTGAGGACCTGTTCGAGGGCCTCACGTTCTGCGACTACTCCGAGATGCCTATTGTTTGTAAGCCGCACAGGGACATGTTCCTGAAGGCGATGAGGGAGGCCGGCGTGGAGCGGGCTGTGGACTGCTACTTTGTCGGTATGGAATTTACCCCTATATATGCTTGCTATACTGGGCCTTCGAAGCTGACGTGTGTAGATGATTCGTATGGCAACTGCGTCGGCGCCCACCAGCTGGGTTGGAATACAGTCCACCTGGTAGAGGAGGGACTACCCGTGCCGCCGACGCAAGCATCACAATACCAGATCCAGCATCTAGAGGAGCTGCGAAAGGTATTCCCACAATTCTTCAAATCGTCAAGCTGAAGGCCAGACAGACATGAGCATTGGACCATGGGGACACATTGGAGGGTTTTGCAGTTACAGGGGCGTTGGGTTATAACATATCAGGGACCATAAAGTTCTCGAGGAAGACATTAGTAGACTAGAAAGAGAGCAGTACATAGACCCCAAAAGTATGTCTACCCGTACGCAGATAGAGTATTTGTACAATGCTCAGCCCAGAATTCCGGAACGCCAATACCGGGTTACGCCTTTGCCTTCCTGGGTATCTAACTTCATGTAACTTTTGTGGTCCATCCGCGCATGTAAGCTACCGCCCGGCCACCCCAAGCAGCGCCCAGCCAGTAGAAAGCCAGAGGACGAGTTATTCATCCAAAGCCGTGTATTCATGGTCGTCGAACACTGCGAATGACAGCATCCAGCTTCGCCATAGCCTCCTCGCGCTCGCGGACAGCCTCGCGGCGCTGCGCATCGGCGGCCTTGAGCTCGTCCTCGAGCTCGCGGATGTTGCGCTCCTGGTCCTGCTCGCTGTTGTCCAGGCCCGGCAGGATCGAGATCAGCAGCTCGATCTGCTGCTCCTTGGTGATGAGGTCCTGCGCCAGCTCGACCTGGGCGGCGCGGAAGACGTCCGGGGGGTGCGGGGCGACTGTGGTTTCGGGGAAATGCTTCGTTAGCTAGCGGACGGTGGCCTGGATGGGGAGTTCGGGTCGGTCGGTGGTTTGTTTGGCTCGAGGTATTGCAATGAAAGAGACTGCACTGGACCGGGCTCACTCACCCTCTTGCTGGTCCTGCTCCTTCGGCACGTCTCTGATCATGTCGTTGGGCCCCAGCGTCTCGAGGTTGTGGTGTCGGTTGATGTAGTGGATGCATGCGACGAACTGCTGCGCTAGCTGGAGCTCCGAGGTCAGCACCTGTCCGTCTTCTGAAGTTGGAAGGCGCGCAAACCTGGTCGACAGCATCCTGCAACTGGGTGAGCCTATCACCCATGATGAACCTGACTGTGAGCTCAACTCGCGCCGTGTTCGTGGAAAGCCTGTGTTCTGGGGTCTGGAGTTCTGGGCGAGCTGAGGGAGGAATCGCGAAAGCTTTGGTGGGGCTGTTTTCCGACGGAGCTGGGATCATGCACCTGCAGGGGTCTAAGTACGCAGCGACACGGTCATAGCTGCTTCATATCTCAAAGATCAGCTCCTTTTCGTCAGTTCACCAGACGCGCTCTCATGCCGGACTCACAAATCCTGCGGAATTGGATAGGAAGCAATGTGGAATGTGGCGCTCTTCAACCTTCAGCCGGGGCAGGTTCACGCCCTCGTCATCGCGAAGTCTCGTAAACATCTTTTTATCGCGAGTACATGACCATGCCAGCATCTCAACCTCACAAACATCGCGTGCCCGCTCAGACAGCGAGCTGCACTACCCAGAAGCCCCCAGCAATGAACACCACGACGCAACCTCATACGCCGCCTACGCAGCCCGCACAGGTCTCGACATCGCCTCCAAGACATACGTCGGCACGCACTACGAGTACACCGTAGCCGCCGCCCTAGCCCCCCTCGGCTTCACCATCAAGCGCATCGGCGGGCGGTCCGACCACGGCATCGACCTGCTGGGGATCTGGGCCGTGCCGTCCGCACTGCCACCAAACAAGACCCTGCGCGTGCTCCTGCAGTGCAAGGTCTCGTCCAAGAACACGGCCATCGACCCCAAGAACATCCGCGAGCTGGAGGGCGCCTTCGTGGGGGCGCCGGTGGGCTGGCGCGGCAGCGCGGGCGTGCTGGGCCTGCTGATCGCGCAGAAGCCCGCCACGCGCGGCATCCGGGACGCGCTGGGCCGCAGCCGCTGGCCCATGGGCTACGTGTCGTGCTCCGCGGACGGCCGGCTCGAGCAGATGATCTGGAACCGCAGGGCTGAGGAGGAAGGGCTCGACGGGATGGGGGTTGCGGCTCAGCTTTCCGAGGACGCTGGGCGCGAGAACCAGCGACTGGTTCTGACGTGGAAGGGGAGGCCGCATGTGGCGACCTTGCCGCCTGTGGATGACTCTATTAAGTGGCCGGTTGAGGAGGTCAAGCCGGCTCCCAAGAAGACCCGGAAACCCAGAAAGTCCAAAGCTGCCAAGGAGCTCGAGAGTGCCGATCTGAAGCCCGAAGAGGGTATCCCCACCCTAGCAGCAGCGCCGACGAAGGAGGATGTAAAGTCATGAAGAAGTCTGCCGATGTTCAAGGAGATACACATTGGTGGCATCTTGCTCGAGTGCATACGAAGGTCAATAGTCGGCCGCTACCGACATCTTTGACCCCTTACCCCTGAGTTGGTGGATGTTTCGAAGCTCGAAGAAGCCCCGACCAAGAGCGCCGAGGGTCCTCTTCCAATCCTGGGTGTTGCAGAATCCTAGGGACGCAAGGTTCACCCCCAATCGTTGGGGTTTATGCGGGATAGTAAGAAGACATGATGTTTGTATTGAGCATCGTCAGGAAGTTTGACGAGTCGCTGCTTGTCCTAGCACTTGGCAGGATAGATAGTGCTTCAGTTCAGTATAGCAAGACAAAGCCACGCGCGCTTAATCTTGAAGACCAGGATATCTTGAAGACCAGAATATCTTTCTGGGCGCTGGCTGGAGATACACTCAGCCCTCATAAGTCTCCGTACGCGCGTGTTGACAAAACTTCAGATTCACCAGTGGGATGTTTGGATATACTGGAATAACACCCTGGAATAAGCGTCAAGCATGGCCAATAAAGATCCAACTGATTATTCTGGCGTGTTTATTCTGATTTGATGATTTTACTGTTGTTTGCTGGAAGGGTCGTATATGGAGACTTGGGAGGGTTCAGTGTACCTAAACACTACACGAGACCGAAGAAAAAAGAAGTCAAGGAGTCCCTCCTCAGTGCCACAACTGAGTGGTTCAAAGCCGAGCATAACTTGTGGGTGCGAGCTCTCCAGTGGTCGACATGCAAAGACTGAAAGAGCAAGTGAGAGAAGGCGGCCCAGTCAACTCTTGGGGACTGGGCTCGTAGTAGCTGGACCAGTGGATGAGACACCTGTGATCGAATAAAACGCAAGACAGTATGATGAACGAAGTTGAGAGCTCAAGAACATAACGAGAAGGGTGAGCAAGTTAAAGGCAGGATCCATGCTCGATGCTTTTGCGGGGAAGTGGGGCAACGATTGATTGCCGACTGCCAGACTGCCCGCACTTCATCTCAAACTGCTCCAAGTCTCGAGTCCATTCTGCCATCCTGCATTGCATACGACGTTGCAGTTCTGACCTCGACTCCCTTACTTGCGCCCGTCAGCCCGTGCTCTCATATATATGCGCATCTTACCATCCATAAGCTGGGCAGTCTGAGCTGACTTTATCAACGTCTTCAACCCGTTTTCCGACTCCCTTGGTAACAAGAAAACTACCCCGCCATAGCTTCCACTGCCACCGATATCCGACACTGCGACGACATCGACATCACCTGTCACACTCTGGCCCGGCTGTGACAGAAATACGTATATATAGTCCTGCAAGGAATAGCCACCATCGCCATGGCCAGCAGCGAGACCTCAAAAACGGCAAAAGCCATGTCGAAGCTGACGCTCGACCGCTCCACCTCCCCGAAAGCGAAACCCAAACCCACCAAGGAAACACAACCCGTAGCCGACTCATGGGAAGACGCCTCCTCCTCATCCTCCGACAGCGAAGAAGCCGAACCACTCTCAACATCTACCAACGACAAAACCAGCACACCCCGCCAAAACTCAGGCTTCGAAGCGCCCCCTCCGACCCCAAGCTCGCCCTCATACCGCAATCACAGCGGCAGCGCGCCGCCGTGGCAGCAGCAGCAGCAGACGACGGCCCGCGGCTCCGAGGCCGCGGACGATGCGCCACGAAGGCCCGAGAAGACGGACGCGGTGGCGCGGCGCATGATCGCGAGCGCACTGGGCGTCAAGGCGCCGAGGCCGACGGAGGAGCAGCGGGCGTACGACCGTGCGTTGCGCGAGAAGGAGCGCAAGCGGAAGGAAGAGGAGCGCGCGGCGGAGCGGCGTAGGCTGGTGGAGGCGGAGAAGGCGAAGGTGGCGATTTGGGAGGATTGAAGTTTTTGAGGGTGCTGAGTTGCCGGACTGCTGGATGGATTCGGGAGTACGCGGAGGGGAGGGAGTGGATTTGGGACTGCTTGGCGAATATACAAGGCCCCTTCTGGTGTCTCCAAGTGGTTCAGCGCAACGTGGATATCGACTGTATTCTTCTCCTCCAGGACTATATGTATACCACGGGATGTCGGAAGCTTGAAGAGCGTGGCGTTAATGGGTCTTGAAGGTCATATTCACAAAGGGTGCTCTCTTTGCTTGATGTCCATCATGCCAGAATCTGAAACTTGGACTATCGCTGATATCAAGCGCACAGCGCCATACATACAAATAGCTGAGAACTTCAGCAGAGCCATTGCCGTCGGAGCCGCAGACGAAATGGCAAGATCTACCTAGGCACCTCTGCCGACGACTGGGCTTCGGGGCGCCTCCCTAAGGGAGAGTCAGATAGTACCTTATTCTCTCTGGTGACATACATCATAGCAGGCCAGGACACACTCGGCATTATAGCAGACGATGATGTCGAACAGACTCGATGTCAGACGTTTTCGAGACAACAGCTCCCAATGCGGAACACCACCGCCTCGGTGCTTACTGCTCAGCCTCAAAGTTGCAGCCCAAATGACTCGATCTTATCATCTACTAGGCGGGCCAGCTATCGAAATGAGGAAGAAGCCGTCTGTCCGACTCTGGAAAAGGAGAGCTACCCCGTGCTCGTCTGCCCAACAGCTGACCAATAGGCACCGGCCGGCGCTGTCGGGGATGCTCTCTAGAGGCTAATCATCTCCGTGGGGACCAATCAGCGACATCAGATCAGCTCCCCACTGGATGTTGGCAATTCCTTTTCCACGACGGCGACGATTGGCCTCACCTGAGCTAGACCTACTGTCACCTACATGAACCCCATGTAGCCCATGAAACACTGCAGATAAGGCCTGCCGCAGGCCTTTTGCGTTGTTGTTACATCTTCTCGTGGGCGTGAGGGGTTCGTGATCTTGAGATCGGAAGCGTCAGTGAGCTCCAACTCTGATCCAGCCTCTCCAAGTCCTCCCTCCACCAGCAGAACAGCAGAGCCAGCAAGATGGCGCGATCCGCTCTCCTCAACCTCACGCTCCTCGCCGGCACCGCGCTCGCCATCCAGGCCTACCCGCCCGCCGTGACGACACCCACGCCCACTGCCGCGCCGCCGTTCAGGGTGCCCGGCCACATCAAGCAGGCCACCGTGACCTCGGTGGCCGCGGGCTGCTCGACAGCGTCGGCCGTCCTGGACGCTTGCGCCGATGTCTTGGCCGGGTACGACGAGGCCGCCCTCTCGTCGTGCCTGTGTTGTGCGGGAACGACTTACATGCCGGATTACTTCAATGACGCCGCGTCTGAGTGTGCTAATTACTATGCGACGGCGCTGCCTGAGGACTCGGATGATGCTGATAGTATGTGTTCCATACTTATTCTCTTCTCTATGGCCTCGCTGTCAGAACTGCACCCGCACCCGCACGGAGTAGTCTCACGAGGCCTCATGGGATTTTTTCCCTCCGTCAGAATCCCATGTGCCCGTGTGCCCATGTTCTGCTGTCATATCAACGTCCTCCGACGACCAAAGTTGATATGACATGTGACGAGGAGATACCGAATTTCATTCATCCCGTAGCATATACATATGCTCACACCAGAAACAGTGTACAGCGCCCTAGCCAGCTACTGTGTCCAGCCCGGCGACAGCGCCGGAGACCTCTGCTCTTCGCCGCCAACCATAACGACGGACGTCTCCCCCAGCACTACGACGTTCGCCGACGCGTGCTTCAGCGCCGCTGATCTCGTCCAAACCTGCATCTCGGAGACGGCCAGCTTCACCGCGCTGCCGGCATCGTCGCAGGCCGAGTGCTTGTGGTGAGTTTCGCGCCCCTTCCTACTCTATCTGTCTGGCTGAGAGGCTGATGAGATCATTGTGAAAAGCTACCGCTCCGCCTTCGAGGGCACCAACACTTTGACCACTACGTGGCAGCCGAACTACTTCGATGGTTATGTAAGCGAGTGCGCTGAGTGGGCTAGCGATACGAACACTGAAGTTTATTCCGGTAAGGGCTTTCTCTTTCCTCTGCCTCTTCTTCCTTCCTTTCTTCTATCCCCTCCGCGGGCCCATGTTCTCCACTCCCAGCACTCACCTCTTGATTAACACCCCTTCCAGCCTACACCTCCTGGGAAAACCTCTGCTCCAGCTACGGCGACATCCTTTCCGTGGGCTCGATGACGATATCCTCCAATGGCTCGGCAACGACATCCTCCAGTGACTCGGTGACGACATCCTCCAGTGACTCAGAAAGCACCACAACCACAAGCAGCAGCAAGACCAGCAGTAAGACCAGCAGCAGCACAACGGCATCGCAGACCGCTACCACCGGGCCCGCAGACGTGCCGCCCTCGCAAGCGGTGGCGGACCGGGGCGGCGCTGCGGCCGGCGTGGAGGCGTCGATGGTCGTTGTGTTTGGAATCTTTGTGGGCTCGCTTTGGCTGATGTTGTGAGCGAGCGAGCGAGTGATGAAGGTGCTTGATTGGGGGAATGAACTGTTATTATGAGTGGTTGATGACGATAAGGCTTGCTTGCTGTTGCAGAAAGTGGCAAGGAAGGAAGGAATGGAGTGAGAGAGCGAAATCGATACCCTGCTTTACCAGTGCCAGTCAGCTACACGTCGTCAAGACGTCGCTGCGGCACCGTTTATTTTGTATACGTATCTCATAATTCATAATGTTCATAGAAAGCATGTCTTCGATCATACGAACTCAAGCTTTGGCTGTCCGCTTCTTCCGCTGGTAGTGCAAGAATGACTGAAGGCTCACGGTAGTCTCTCATCCACCCGCAGAAATTTCACGTTTTCTGCGGACACAGGATGACAGGTATTCAAGTATCATCTACCCGTAAATCTACACCAACTCCCCGCAGGGCATCAACTGCCCACTCGGGATAGTCAGCCTTGTCATCATACAAATCAGCGAAGAACCGCCTCAGAAATGCCGGATATTCATCCGCGATGATAGCCGCGCGGACCTTCCTCATGAGGTTGAGCTGGTACCACACATTATGTATACTCAGCAGATGCGCCGCCACGGTCTCCTTCGCCGTATTATGATGCACAAACGCGCGCGTGACCCCTACCCCTATCCCTCCTTTTCCGTCCTCCCCGGCGCCGCGACAACACACACACCCGCACCCGTCCTCCAGCGGGCCGAAATCGTTCGCGTAGCGCGCATTCCGTATGTTCAGCACGCCGCGGCGCGTGACGGCATTACCAAACCGCGCCGTGCGCGTCGGCCACACGCAGTCGAACATGTCGGCGCCGAGCGCGACGCTGACGACCAGGTCCTCCGGGTAGCCGATGCCCATGACATAGCGGGGTTTCAGTTCCGGCAGCAGCGCCGTGCAGGTCACGACAACCCTACAGAAATCAGCTTTCGCCTCACCCCCAGAAAGCCCGCCGATGGCGATCCCGGGCGTGTCGCGCGCCACCATGGCCGCGCAGCACGCGCGCCGCATGTCCGCGTCGAGCCCGCCCTGGATGATGCAGAAGAGGTTCTGCGTGCGCGGGTTCTGGTGCGCGGCTATGCACCGGTCGAGCCAGCGCACGCTGCGCTCCATGGCTTCGCGCATGCGCGCTGCGTCGGGCGAGGTCGTGACTAGTACGTCGTCGAGCTGCATCATGATGTCGCTGCCGATGGTGTTCTGGAGTGCGATGGAGTGTTCTGGTGTTAGCAGCATGGGCGTGCCGTCGTGCGGGCTGAGGAATTTGACGCCCTCTTCTGTGATGTTGGCTAGCTTGAGTAGGCTGACCATTTGGAAGCTGCGGGTAAGAATCAGTCGCCGGGCTCTTAGATGGTAAGGTAGAGTCGTGAACGGCAAACATACCCGCCGCTATCAGTCAGCAGGTTGTGATCCCATCCTTGCAGCTTGTGCGCGCCCCCTATCGCAGCGAGCACCGTTTGTCCCGGCTTCAGACCCAGGTGGTAGGTGTTGTTCAGACACAGCCGACAGCCCGTTTCCTCCAGTTGCTCGGGGGTAAGGCCCTTGAGCGAGGCTTGTGTCGCCACGGGCATGAATATCGGGAGCTCCACCGGGCCATGCGGCAGAGTCAAGACGGAGGCTCGGGCGCGGGTTGTCTGTGTCCGCGTCAGTCCGAGACTGGTAACCCGAAAAGGCGGCTACGGATCCGCAGCCATGCCACTTCCACATTGAATCCACTTACGGAACATCGGGCGATGAGGTCGAACGTCAGGGCCGCGGAGGAGGCAGAAGCGATGGGGTTGGCCATCGTACAGCATTCACGACAGTACCGGCGCACTCACTCGCACTCATGTGACCAGACTAGTATTCCTTGGGCATGGATCGGGAAGGTGTTTCAAGTGGAGTCGCTGTCACAAGTCGCAGCTGTGTCGTGCATGAAGAAGTAACAAATTGCACGAAGACATTTTTGGCGACGGCAATGCATCCACGCCTCTTTGCGCCTCCCGTCTCCAATTCTAATCTGGGGGCTGAATTTTCAGGCGGCATTGCCTTGCAAGCACAACGGCCCAAGTGCCCAATATTTATCCGTGTACGGATACACATCTGTATTATATACCACACATGGAGATTGCTTTGTTATGGCAGGAAACTCGGAATTCATGAGCGTATTGGAGGTAGTTATTAGTTATTAGGTGCAGTGTTCTAGAGGTTTTGCTTGTGTAAGGCCAGAGAGTCGGACGTTGTGGTAAAGTTCGGTTTTATATTTATGGCCGTTGGTCTATTCTCAGCGCAGTCTAGACTCCTGCAGTTTCGATCTCCAATTTATCAAAAGACGGCAGGAGTCTGGAGATCACGAGGAGATCACGAGAGGGGCCACTTAAACACAACTGCAGGGACCAGGCAAACAGTGGATTTGTGGCCTGATCGATGACAGGTTCTGACGGCTGAGCCTTGCAAACAAGGCCACCCATCGGAATTCCTCGGGCATCAACACGATCCAGCCCGCCATCGAACGTCCCCATTCGTCCAATCCGTCCTCATTCGTCTTCATCCAAGACGTTCAGCTGTCCTGCATCTTCCCTCGAGGGAATCCACGGAGCGAAATCATACGATCTTGACGGCTGCGACCACTCCACTCCCTCGAATGAGAGGCGCCAAGGTTGAACAGGAGAAGAGGATGCTCCCTCGCTGGTGAAATGACCGTTTCATTTCACACTCGTGAGAATTTGATGGCTCCTTCTTCCGCGTCTCCAATGAACCAAAACCGTACAGGCTGCCAGGCTGCATACATCCAACATCGGGTGTGTTTGTATTTGTGTTACGCTCGCTCTCGTAGCCTGTCTGAATGACTGTATGCATACTCCAACGAAGGCAATATCGCAATGCCTCTCCGGCAGTTGCCAAGTCTGTGTGCGTCTGCGCAGCCAGTCCTGTTTCGCCTTGGCCTCGAAGCTTAATAAGTGAGCTTCCTCACCTGGTTTTCGCGGATCTTGTCCAGCGTGGCAGTCCACGGGTCGTGGCAGCCGCGCTCAGGAAGGCAGCCGCTGGGCTCATCCCGGCAGACCGGCTCCGTTGCTGGACTCCACGAGACGTGGCCCAGTAGTTCTGGACGATCATGTTCCTTTCTTTTTCTTGGCCGTCCGTCAATGCGGTTGCGTTGCGGATTCCCTGCGCTGCCATTGCCATGACTAGGGGGACTGCAAGGAACACCCCTTCCTTGTGGGCTCGTCCCTTTATTAGATGAAGGGCATCCCTAGATCATATTTTTCTGGCTGTCGTTTGTTCGTACGTTGTAAATGACAAATGCCTGGCCTGTGCCAGCGATGTCGCTCTGGGGCAACCTCACTTGGTCGAGTTGGAGCTCTCGTCGTTCCTTACCCTTGGACTACGCTTCTCCTGTGTACGAAGTAACAAGATCGTCACGATGTCTTCACAAGCCGCCTTCACTCTCTTCCCTCTACTGCCAGCCGAGCTGAGGCTCGACATATGGCGACTCTCATGCCACCAACGAGTCGTCGAAGTCTTCTACGACTCGGAGCAAGACCAATGCACCACGACAGCAACACCTCCAGCCGTCCTTCACGCCTGCCACGAGTCTCGACTCGAAGCCCTCCGCATCTACAAGATGTCCTTCGGCACGAAAACCCACGAGCCGCGGATATACTTCTGCCACGACATGGACACGCTCTACCTACCGCGCCCGCCCTTCATGGGCTACGATAACGACTCGCGGTCCTTCACCGAGCTCGTCATGGACGCCGATGACATCGTCAACCTCGCAATCGACCACGTGCAGCCCACCGTCAGGAGACCGTGGGAGACCTACAGCAAGTACGCTCTCATGCAGAGCTTCCCGCGAGTGAGGGAGGTGTTCTTGGTCCTGGACACCGGGCTGCCGGCGGATGAGGACTGCCACGGAGACGTGGGCTTGGCTGATCCGGCTGGTGATATGTCGGATCTGTGTCGCCTGCTGGCCGACGTGAAGGAGTCGTTCACCTACGAGGTAGGGGGCGCTTACAAGATCGGGGAGAAGGAGGATGAGTTCGTTGAGCAGCCACGGCTACCTCCGCTGGTGTTGAAGTCGAAAGTTATGTCTGGTCACCAAGAGTAGGCGATGGCTGTCCGGGCTGCGGCTTGAGGTCGAACGAGGATCTACTGAGACAGTCCACTCCGCGGCGGACGATCGCACACATTCCTACGAACTTCGAACTGGTCTGCCGAGACCTGGCAAAACTGCGGAAGAGGGAAGGTCTCGGGGTCAGGTACCGCTTGTTCACACGATTCCTGGGCTCTTGCACCTCACGAAGCTGTCATTCTGCCGTGGCACGATTGCGAGCATGGCATTGGAGGAGGTCGATGTTTAAGCATGGCGCTCGCGTTTTACAGGATATCCCCGGCGTGTTGTATCGTTAATGTTATGCCTAATACCATGCTGAATGGCTCTTTCTGGCCAAGGATTCTCGTGCCCTTCGCTTGCTGAACGGCGAGGGTGTAGATAGACTTTTAGAGGTTCGGTGTAGCCATGTTGTCGACTGCTGTTCGATCTAGCTACCGGCGGTCTGTCACAAGAACAAGACTGGGTCAACATCACTTGGATGGAGGTCGGATGCCCCTGACCGGATGGATCAGTTGCTGGGAGACACATATCAAGGCGATACCCTTAGGCCCTTCGACAGCTGCATTGTGTAGGTGAAGGCCCAATGCAGCCTTGACTGTCTGCAGGGGTATTAGATCTCGGGCTCCGTCCCTACCAAAGAAATGCACGAGCTGACCCCTCCCCACTTATGGCACACCCATGCTGTTAGATACTAGCACGAATGATGTCACGTGTGACGGTGTGCAGCTGTATCCATCTGGCGGGATGTTGAGTCATCAGGTCACGTGTAGATTAGATAAGGAGACCAGACCACCTTTTCTCCTGTTGAATGGGAGCCGGAGATAGACACCGGAAGATTTCCAGTGGGGCAGAGACGCACAGGGCATCTGACCCACCAAGAAGACAGATGATCAATCTCTACACGCAGAGCAGAACAATCAATAGCATCAATCAACATCCGTGTCTTCAACATCTCTCACCTGGTCATTTTTCGTAATCAACATCCGTGTATTCAACACATGCCACCCTACACTCACGAATATAAATACTTCATACCCTTGCCACCTAATTTCAATGCGCTAAATATGTACGGACTATATCCGCTCATGATCAGATTAAAATCCGTTTATAATCCGTTTATAATCCGCTTATAATCGGATTATAAGCGCCGGTTAAAGTTAATAGTTAAAACTAAAGTCGGTTAGTAATTAAGGTTAATAGTTAAGGCTTAAAGTTAATAGTTAAAGCTTCAAGTTAAAGTTAAGGCTTAAGTTTGTTTTTAATATAGTAAAATTGTGAGAATATTGGTATCTATCAGGTGTGCTGCAGCTGGCAGCAGGCTGTATGAGGGGTGAATGAGGACGCCAAAGGGGTGAAAAGAGGAGTATTTGGGCGTTGTCTGGCAGGTCTATTGTCTGGTGTCAAGCAGACGGCCATCAAAGGTCTCTCACAGCTGTATTTAGGTGTGAATATCCCCTATGGATCTATAACTAAGACACCAAACCTGATCCATCCCATCCTGACCCTATTTAACCTCCTGAACTTTACAAAAATATTATTAACAACTTATAAGCGGATTATAAGAGGATTATAGTCAAATTATAAGCAATATATATTTAACGCATTAAAATTAAGTAGCAACGATATAGTTAGCGCATATCTAGCATACTAGAATAACATAAAATACTTATACCTTAAGTAAATACGAGCAAAGGTAAATTTAAAAGTAAGGAGGGGTTAGCCGGAACATATACTTGGAGTCGGAGCTCTGGAAGGGCTCTGTTAGAACAGGCTTGAACAATCAATCATAATACTCGAGTATTGGGTCAAGGTCCTGATGTTGCTGATGGTTTTAATTGGGAGGTCTAGCTGGACCTGAAGGTCTGGCTAAGTGACCTCGCAACCCGGTATCTAATCTCTTATCTAATCATACATGTGGATCCTGGTATAGATGGTTTGCAGGCTGGAATCGCATGGATTCAACAGGCTCTCTAAATCGCTGGAACTCAAGCATAATTATCTGCAGTGGCTTGCATAAGCAGCGATTTAGTGCTTATTCAAGCCCAATGCCCCTGCCATAACTGTGTCATGTCATTGTGTAACTTTTATGTCCACAGCTTGCCATTGAATATTCTTTGGTGACGTCCTTCGCGGGTTGACTCATATCGATTGCGACAACCCTCCACAGACCAAAGAACGGCCGCAAGACCACGAGCCACTGCCTCGAGCCACTGCCTGCCGACACAATGCCGAAGGACGAGGAAAAGAACTCGGCGGCGCCGCGACATCTTCCGATTCGCAGTAATCCAGACATGGAGAACTTCGAGTACGCAGCCCGCCCCACGATGCCCTCCCCACGTACCTGGTGAAGGCTAACCACCACACCCCTCTCCCAACAGCATCGTCAAGACGTACAACCGCCTGCTGGCCGACGACCCGGAGCTGACGATGCCGGTGGCGGCGATCGAGGCGCTGATCGAGGCGCTGGGCGCGAGCTCGGCCATGACCGTCTTCGAGACTATGGACCTCGTCAAGACGCAATCAGAGAAGCTGCGCGCCGCCTTCGCCAACCCCGTCGCCCTGTCGCACGGCACAAACCTGTTCCAGCAGTACCTCGTCATGTCGCTTAAGCAGCCCGGCGAGGCCGCCAGCAACCGGAACTTCGAGGTCGTGCGCCAGCACCTCATGCGCAACGGCCGCCTGTTTGCCGCCCGCGCCAAGGAGGCCCGCGAGAAGATCGCTAGTGTTGGGAGGTACGTTCTGTTCCCATCTCCCTATGTCGACTAGTTTCAGTGGGTTGAGGGGGCTGCTACGCTGTTGGTACACGTTCTAGGAGAGACGTTCGGAGGCTGACTCGACATGTCCCGCGCAGACAGTACATCCACGACAACACCACGATCCTAACGCACGGCGGCTCGCGCGTAGTCGGCACGCTCCTCGGCCGCGCCGCCGAGAACCTCCCTGGCGACCCAAAGCGCCGCTTCAAAGTAATCTACGTGGTCAACGACGCGCGCCGCACGGAGAGCAACCGCGTCGTCGCAGCCCTGCGCGCGCGCGGCGTGCCCGTGGCCACGATCGACGACAGCGCCGTCGCGTACTGCATGCCAAAGGCCGACATGGTGCTGGTGGGCGCCGAGGCCGTCATGGCCGACGGGGGCGTCGTCTCGCGCTTGGGCACCTACTCGATCGCCGTGCTGGCCCGCGCGCACCACAAGGACTTCTTCGTCGCCGCCGAGCAGCACAAGATCGGCAAGACCTTCCCGCTCGGCCAGTTCGACGCCGGCTTCGAGCAGAACCTGCTCGACTTCCACGCCAGCAAGGCACAGGAGGGCGGCGGCGCGCACGAGGCCCCAGCGCCTGTTGCTGATCCGGTCGATTACACGGTATGTTTTGAGAAACCCCCAGTGCGTGACTGGGCTTTGTCTGCTGGGGATTGTAACTGACTTATGCTTCTTGCATCCAGCCCCCTGAGTACATCGAGGCCTTCTTCGCCGACCACGGCGTCAAGGCACCGTCCGCCATCGCCAAGGAAGTCATCGACATGCTCTTCTGAGTGCTGCTGCTTCTTCTGCTTCGATTACGAAGTTGGCATAAGTATCACACGCTCCAAGGACATGCATGCGAGGCTATTGTTTGCTTTCGTCATGCCGATGCGCATATACAAGCAAGCAAACCAACCTACACTTAAGCTAAAGTGGTTATATGCGGCAAATGGCAAGGGCAAGCCCCCTACTGTCGACCGACACACCCCGAGGATGTGTATCGAGGAATGATCACGATATCGGCATAGCGGCATCTGTTAGCCATTACACTATGTCGTTCGATAGAGTGGGGAGGATGGCAAAGGCGTCAGCCGGCAGAGTGAATGATGTGCAGTGAGTGGGATAAGCGGCAATTGGTTCTGAATCCCGATGAAATGCGCATGGGATGATTGCTGGATTGGGTGGCTGTCAATCAATGTGGACCGGTTTAACTGGAAAACTGCCGACATTCATTGTTTTACACGAAGAATGATCATGATGTACGAGCTTCTCCTCCCAGCAGGCCGGTGCCTACCTATATATACTGCCCGCCTTGGTTCCCACCGTGGGCGTTACATGGATGAAAGAACATTGCAGTTATGCTACACTTTTGTCCAAAGAGTGTCTGACCTTTGACCAGCTTTTGAGATGTAGAGCGACCGATGCAAAATGTGAAATAAAATCAAGATGCTATGCTGAAATAACTGAAATACAATGAGGACACCACAGGTTGCGGGACAGCTCGGTTCCTTTTTGACCCCAGGAGATACATGTACCTCGAATGTGATGGTGAGATGCGTAAAACAGATAAACACCCGTGCATGCTTTTTCCCCTCCTCAAACTGCCCCAAGCGAAGTTGAGTCGCGTGGGTAGATGCGAACAAAACGAATCGACTACCAGAGTTGAGACCTGGTTTAAGATCGTCACCAAGACAGAAATGCAAAAGTACAAAAGTGACATGCCATCCTACTTGTCTCGAACAAGTCTCGCGCCGGTCCAGGCGTACGGGTAGTTGCGCTGATACCAGTTGACACTATTGACACGGGTTAGATCCGAGAAAACCGATTTGAAGCTTGGTCCAGAGATTCGCTTACAATGACTTTCTGCCGGCAATTCGGGGGTGCGTGGCCCAGGAGCCACCGAGGACCACGTTGTGCTTGTCGTCAAAGAAGTCCGCTATTAACCACCTCAAAGTCAGCCATCGATCCTCAACGCGTGTTGTAGTCTGGTATACGCACAGGTGTAGGCCGGGTACAGCGACATGGGCTTGAAGCCCTCGTGCTTTCGCAGCGGCGAGCTGGTCCACTCCCAGACACCTCCCATCTCGCCCTGGCCCGCCAGGCGGTTGCCGTGAGCTGTCACGGCGGTGGGGTGCCAATGCTGGAAGCCAACATTGGCACCTGTGAGGTCGATGAAGAGGTCGTCTTTTGCGGACGACGAGTCCCCATCGACAGCTTCTGAAGGGTTGGATGGCGGTGTCTCCTCGACGCCGTCGTTCAACAGGTGACTGAACCAGACAGGCAGGTCAGCCACGGTATACATATAGTTATGATTCGACATGAGGCATGACTTACGCATTGACAGCAGGAACGGTCTTTCCCAGTTTGCGCTCGGCTTGTTTTCCCTTCGCGATGTCAACGTATGTGTATATGCTCCGAGCCTCCTCGAGCGTGGGGATGCGTCCACCCATCCACGCGGCGCATCCGGCAAGTTCGTCGAAAGAGGCGAAGACAGGCCAGCCAAGGGCATGCTCAAGCGGTACTAATCCGTAGACCGTCTTTACCGCCTTGCCCTTGAGGAATGACGAAGGTAGAGCGTTTCCGTCGGACGTGTGACCATTCGAACCCCCATCGATGCTTCCATTTGCGCCATTGCTGTGATCGATTTCTGCCTCCGACCACGATGCAGGAAGCTTTGCTGTTTTTGTATTATACACATACCGAGCATACTGCGAGAATTAGAAAGGCTCTTCGGTGTGAACAAATGCGCACTTACCTCCTCATTCGTAATGGGCCTTCCCATGGCTTGGAAGCTGTGGACATGTGCACTCCTTAGTGGCTTCTCGTTGTCCCTGTATCTCAGTCAGCTTCTTGATGGTATCCAGCAGCAGCTTGGGACTGACCATCCGAAATGCCCCTTGGAATCCAATACGTCCTCAGGGTCATCGAGTCCTAGCTTGATTTCCTGCTCAGGAATATCGAACCACTGATTATCGACCCGTGACGCATACGCCTCACGGGCCAATGCCTCGAAATCTGGGCGTGAGGTATGAGGCGGTGGGAGCGTCTTCTCACTCTGCAGCATCATGTAGAGCAGAGTCTCCATATGCATGGCTTCATGCTCGAATCCCACCCAAATAGCTCTCCCAACATTTCTCGGGATCTCCCCGACTCCGTTGACATATTGGTCCCTCAGTGTAGCCCTGACTCTGTCCTGGTAATCCAGGATATCGTCGACGGGAGGCCACTCCTCAGGAATCTCCGAGTGTTTGTGGCAATGTGCAGGATTGTCGACATCGGGGTCAATGCCTCTTTCAAACATGGGCTGGAAGGAAGCTGGTTGCGTCGGAGCAGCCTTCGTTGTCTTGGTCAACTGTATATCCAGGAATGCTGGGATGTGACCAAGGTAGAATATGCAGGCATTCCGCAACTTGATGGGTTGGTCCAACAACTCCTCGCTTGGTAGCATCCCACGGGTGACAATATCCCAGGTGGCCCAGAGGTTCTCCCAGTCACTCAAAGGAGGAATGTTTGTCCGAGCGTACTCGTGCGGATTTAGGCTGAACGACATGTTGGATTTGGCGAGCAGATGAAGACCTGCATATCGTTAACTGACGTGGCCGACGCACACGCTCGAATAGCCCTGGATTGAGAAGCCCGCCCCGCCTTTCGATACCGTGGCAAAGGCACACCAGGATGGTGGAAGACCAGGACCTCTTAAGTGGTCTGACGTCCGCTCAAAGTTGGGGAAGCCCTTCCGGCCTGCCTATTCGCGGAAACACGACGATCGCCTGGGCACGATGCTCCCATGTTTCCGAGGCAGAGGTAGCATGAAATAACGGTCCACTCACCATAGTCCTCATCTTCCGTCATCCACCGATCGACTTCGATCATGCCTGCCAATGCCCAGAGCTTTACGCAACCTTCCTTCGAGTACTTCAGGCTCTGCTCAATCTGGACACGCTCATGGGCGTGAATGGTTTCCCCCAAGGCGACAGTGTCGCGTATGGGCGAGTAAAATGCCTGGTGACGCCCTCCTTCGCTGTCGTACACATACTCGCCAATGACCTCCCAATCATCTAGCACGAAGGCCTGCTCCCCGAGGATCTCGTTGGCATGGCGCAAGCCGTTGTGGATGAACCTGGACCAGTCAGCATCAGCACAGAGGCCGAATATTAATGAAGTAGCAGCCCACTAACCTGTGCGTGGTGCCTTCTTTGTCTGCATTGCAGCATACGAATTTTAGTAGAGCTCAACGTGCATATTCGCAATACTGACCATTGTACGCGTGACTGGACTCAAGCGTCAGCGGTCTCGATGCAGGAATGAGCCAAGACAGTATGTTCTGGACCTACAATACTTTGGAAGGGTTGGTGCATGAATCGATACCAATCAGGATCCGATCCGTGGCTTGAAGGACGTCGGCGAAGCCCTTCAAAAAGGATGCAGCGTCATCCCGGTGGAAGTTTCCTAGTCACATGCGTTATTCCTACAGCACACGCGAGTGTTCCTCGTGGGGGCCCGTACCAATGCTCGACCCCAGGCTCAATATACACTTGGGCCTCGCCGCGATCGACGGGGTCTTCAGCCAGTCTCGGCCGTCATCATAGGTACCGAGAAGACCGTGACATCGAACATGTTGAAATGTCGGAAGCTGTGCCAGAGTCCTGTCAAGCTCTTCTTTCGACAAGTCCAAAGCATAGTAATCGACCTCTTTGCCTGCATCTTCTAGAGCTTGTAGCAGGAACAGAACCTTTCTAAGGTTGCTAGGGAGTATGTCAACCGCTTGCTCCTCACATCTTGGGGGCAGTTTCGTAACCTACCCACTGCCCAACTCGATGAACATGCACCCGGACGGGATACCCCTGATTATTGCGGCGGCAGAACGCCTCAAGACTTGAATCTCATAATTGGTCAAGTAATACTCCTCCAGATATGTGATCTATGTCGTCTTGGTCAGCAAGCGAAGCTGGAGCGGATGGTATATAGTTTGCCGACCTCTTCAAAGAGCTGCAGACCCTTCTCATCGTAGAGCAGGAGAGTGGGCAGCTTTCTAGGTCCGTCCTGAGGGCGGAAGAGACTGTAAATTTCCTCCTTGACATTGGTCTCGACAGCAGCCTGGCGGATATCGATTATATCGGGCTTGTGTTGCCCTTCGGCAGCCTTCTGGGCTCCCTTTTCAAGCTGTGGGAGTGAGCCGGCCGGCTGCGCGTCCTGCGGAAACTCGACGGCGGATGGCATGATTTGCTGCAGCTGGTACAGCGTTCGGCACGACAAAGAAGCAGACAACACGGGACCCGGAGCAGGGAGTGGCCGAAGGGTAAGGCGGTAAGGTTGGTGTTATATGAGGCTCGTGATGTGACCAGCAAAGCTTCCGGGACAATGGGGAGTTACAAGGTACCTACGACATAGACGCAAAGGATATTGTGAGACAAAAGCTTAACCACGCGGGACTGACTAGACTAGAGGCCGCTGCGGTGGACACTGGACAACCGACTGGACAACCGAAGGGCGCCAGGGCCGAAAAGATGATGTCAGCCCGGGGGGAGGGAGGAGAGGGAGGAGAGGGAGGAAGCTCTGAGACTCTGGGACTCTGAGTCGCCATGCTGTCCCGAACTGCCCGATCTGTGGCATCCAGCTGCCTGCTAGTGGCGAACAGGCAAAGCGGCGGCGAAGCAAGAGGTTGACCCCCATTGTGTTTGTTTATTAGACAGGGTACACCACGCACAAGGACTCACGATGGTTGCCTCTGTCACTCGACGAGTACGTACTGTAGGTACTGTCCACTGCCTGGCACGGACCACGGCACGGGTCTCTGCCCGCGCCAGTGAGGCGGACAAGTGAGACTCGACAGAACTGCTGCTTTCGGCACACTCGAGGACAGAAATATGGAAACGTTCTGTCATATTTCGCGGGATGCTGCACGGTGGACCAACTTCTGGCCGTGGGAGTGGGATGTCGAAGGAGAAGAGCTAATCAGGGGCTGCAAAAGCCACGAGAACTCGACCACAATGACGACCCCGCAATTATAGCGCCACCACGCCACCACGCCCCATGTCCACGCCGTGTCAGCGTGTGGGTCCAGGGCCTGCTGCTGCAGGGGCCACCGTCAGCTGTCCTGTCTGCCTGTCTGCCTGTCTGCCTGTCTGCATGGGGCATGTCTGCTGTTTCCATGTTTGTGTTTCATTCTCCTCGTGCCTGCCTCATCTGCTACGCTGTTGCAGGTGATTACTACGACCACTTATTTACATTTGTACGTATTCGAGGCCGCCTCCTGTTCCTGACGGAGACCCCCGGCCGTCACCAGCTTCTAGACGACGTCCATGTTCGACACAGGCAGCATGCAGCATCCGAGCAGTCACCAGTGTCCCCCACGGCCACGCCAGCATTACATGGTGGAAGACTTCGACGTCGTCTGTGCATCTCACTGATGCCTTATGCCATGAGGCACAGCGTACAGGACTATCTATCATTAAGAGTCCCAAGCACACGGCGGATCTTGCGTTGGGTCGTACGCGCCACTTGACGTGCCTCCTCGCATCACCACAGCTACATCATTTTTGACACCCGACATCCATCTGACATGCCGAGGGTTTGGTTTATCATTCCATTGATTATAAAAGGATGGGACAGTCAGGCACTCTGCTTATCAATCTATACCCAGGTACTCCCTCTGACAGATACGGCAAAACTGAAGGGACTTTCCCCACATCAAGGTTTTATTCTTGTCCGTCCGGGAGTCCCGTTACGGCCTCTTGCGTTCGCCATTCTCCATGTGTCGCTCTACGTCACTTGCATGTGACCATGATACGTCGACTTGTCCGACTTGTCCTTCGCACTCCACCATGACCGCTTATTATCCCTCATCGTCCGTCATCACCCATTTCTTGCCTCGTACTAATTATTAACCACAGGGAACATGTTCCGACATATCTTGGTGAAATGGCATAATTGTTAACTGTGGACAAGAAGCACGAAATCGTAAGGTCACACTCCAACCGGAGCCGTCCTGCAAGCAATACTGCAGGTAACATATCGGACCGGGGATGTCCTCACATGATCTGTGCCGCCCGACGTGGTATCCGGTGCGTCCTCAGCCTGCCTTTCTGGTCACAAAAACCGGACACTTGCGTTCAAGAACGGATACCATCCCCCAATCACACTTGTCGGGTCGCGGGGCATCTGGAGCCAGCATAGTATCGAGTAGGTAACCAGTCCTACATCGTGTCTTCTCGTATGAAAGTGGGAGCGCTCTTGGGTCATACATGGACGATCTGCTGCTGTGAACTAGGTAACAGACCGGGGCCTTATCGCCAAGGTCCAACCCCAGACAAACTCCAGCGAGTCCAGTCAGCATCCCACGTTTCTTTACTGTATGCTCGTTGCCAATCGTGGATTTATTGACGCCAACCGGAAGGTATCCGACTCGCCACGGCCTGCCTGGCAGCCCCGGCACTCGATCTTCTTCCTGCAGCTATGATCAGCATGCACAGCAGGTCAGGTGATGTTATGTTCACTTCGTCGCCTTCATCATGATGCCGCACGTGCCCTCATACACTGGCTGGTATATGACATGCATATATATCTGAATGCTGTAGATGGAGACTATATCATACTGGTAACGGCCATTACACTTCAGGCCCTCCTTACCGCGGAGGATGCTACAAGTAAACACCCATGTTCATCATCAAACATAGGACTGACTCTGGGCTTTATGCATGGAGGAACTATGATGTGTATACGGGTAGTTCACCGATAGTCTGCTTGGGCGGGACGCACCCGTATCTAGGACTACCACAACCCGTCCACGAAATCACACGCGATAGAATGATATATGTCTGGGGAGCTCTTCGCCGGTTTCGATCCACGCTGCTACAGTACAGCCATCTAGCCATCCTCACGACTTCAAGGAGTTCTCCTGTTGGCAGTTAATTACTTGGCACCCCGTCAATACCCATACTATAGCATGGACGGACCACTCATCTTGAGCAGCGGGCTTGCCTTCTCACTTCCCACGGCCAGCATGATTGCTAATGAGGGACTATCACCCAGTATTGACAGAGCCCCTCGGCAACGGTTATTGGCCAAAATGCCGCTACTCAAGGGGTTGGTTCGCTTCGGCCGCTTCTGGCATACAAGATGATACCCCATGATCTTGGCTAGCTCAGAGCTGGGTGCATATCAGAGGTGCGGCTAATCAAGAACTAACGTTACAGTATTCAGGCATTCATACGCGCGCGGAAGATCAACGACGCTTATATACATACAGTGCTATCCTACATCTCCAGACCAACTACATCAAAACTAATGTATCCATGTGCCCCGCGCACGCGATGTTCTATTCCGGTGCCTGCTTTATCGCTTCAGGTAAGTCACGTACATGAGTACAGCGTCGTCACCATCCTCGTCCGGCAAGTCATGTGACCCGCCTTTGTAAACGACGGTATCGACCTTTTGGATACTGGCGCTCCCGTATATGCCTGCGTATTCATGCAACGACCCTTGGACTCCCCCGAGAAGACGGTTGTTAGTCATGAGCTCCTATAGCCATCGTCTGGTCTCCCATCCCTGGCGCCCTTAACCCCACGAGAGTCTCGCTATGGATAGTCGGATGAGAGAGAGAAAACTCACAGCCCACCCTATCTCGCCCGGCTCGAATCCCGTTATCTCCTGAGATTCATAGTCCCGATCACGGGAATAGTTATTACCGTCCACATGACTCTGGCTGTGAAGGGCGCCAGACCCGCCTCTAGCTCTGAAGGCTGCCTTGGTCGCCTGTCTAGCACCTGGTTCCTCGACTTTGTTGAAGAAGATGACCTTCAGGTCTTTCGCGTCTTCCTTTCCCGTCCATGCCATGTAGTTCGCCAGCCGCAGGTCTCGGGCCCTGAGCTGCGTCCTCCTCTGTCCGTTATCATCAACTATCGCGATGGCAAACTCTATATAGGCCCCCTCGGTGACCCCGTAGTCGCTTATGAAGACATCCCCGTTCTTCTTCACGTTCCCGAACGTTGCGGTCTTCGCGTTCGGGTGCTTCAGGAACGGCGGCACCAGTCGATATCCTCCTCGTCCCGCTCATCAACATCCACTCTCGTCAAGCCATCGGCTTTCACTCTTTCTTCGAGCTGTTCCGCCTGAGAGGTGCGACTGCGAATCGTGTCAGCTCCAGTCAATGGCAGGTGAAGGCTTGCCAGCAAACCGAGGCTTAGCTGGACCGCGATTTGGAGCCTCATCGTGGCGGCTTGGTTATGGTGTCCTGGAAACTCCGATCTTGAAGTCCTGATAGGAGGTCTGGGGACTCCTGGAGAATGACGATTGATTGGGTGGTAAACAGGAATGCGTGTAGAGATGGGAGATTTCCCGCCCAGACAAGGGAATTTCTCTAGATATCTAAAGGCGATGTACCCCTGGGGAGCACAACCGTCATCTAGTTGAATCCATCTCGTCCGTGCCTCTGCAGGAAGTCAGCCCTGTTACAACCCGGTAAACGGCTTTGGGCAAGTTCGCCCGCCACCCAGTTACAGGCTTCAACTTCAAAAGTTCGGAAAAGCTCTACCCCTGGAGTGTTCGACAAGCTTCCTCGAAGCTCGCTTTGGGCAAGGCTAACGCATCTTGAATAGTACCTGAAAATAGGTGGCATTGCCACCCAAAAAGGGGTGTCATTCATAACACTGCTCCGCAGCGAGCCAGGCGACGCCGAAGCGCCTCTGCTGGCCTAGGAGGGGGTTGATACCGGAATGATACTTAAAAAAAAGGTGCCATCACTATGTACTTAAAAATGGGTATTATTCATGGAACGTTGCTACATACTACGTGAACGCTGTTTCGCCAGGCAACACCGAGTTGTACGTATTGGCAAACCTTTACGACTCCACACGGATCACCTGCTCATATTCCTAAGCATCATTGGCTCAGGATTCCAGGGAACCTTGTCGTACGTACAGGTGTCCAGGATAATAATGGTTAGCGGTTCCACGTGTATCTGCAATGGTAATAGGTAGAACTTTACGCGATAGGAACTTTTCATAAGATCCGTCTTATAAGAACTTTTATAGGAACTTTTGTCACGGCGAGCATACTGAGGAGCTGGGACATGGCCTGCAACAAGCAGCTATTACTCTATTGACGAGAATATCAAGACTAGAGAGGAAAGGAAGAGAGAGAGAGATAGGTACAGTGGGAGGTTGCCCCTTTAAGGGGATCCTCTGGTCAGATCCTTCCCCTATTGGGAAGTATCCACTTGTCATGTGGGAAGGTCTGTGCAGGCCGTCACAAGCATCTCTTAAGTCTTTCTCTGTCACTGCGGACAAATATAGACAGCCTAGCAATGGAAATGGGGTTATCCTCCGAGGGCCTATGCGTAGGTTTAGATTGTGCTTTCTTGGTCAGCAAGGTAAACTTGCGACGTGAAATTTGTCCTTCCTTAATGCTATAATAGGTAATGATTGCATTGATAGCATCGTCCCTTCGTTAATATTGGCCATAGAGAATAGGGTTGACAGGTGTAATCAGGGCCTTAACTAGTCGTTTCTGTGCTAGAAGTTGCGGACGATGGGCTATGTCTACCGGTACTGGCTTGGTGAATGCGACGCCTTGCAATTGGTGTTTGATGTCGTCTGTGGCCTGCTCGTTTGTCCAGTCTTCTCGGATCTTTTGGAGGAGCAACCTCTTTAGCCTCTACTTTAGATTTTGAAGTTCTTACTGCGCATTAATCTGCTGTTTCGTCCCTAGTCATAGGTTCTTGAGTTGTCTTGTAAGCCGCCTCATATTGGGATCTGTGTTAACAGACGCTGCTTGCCCAGGAGTAAGATCTATTGGCCACCGCTTGCTCATCAAATGACCGATACTGTAAGATTGTTTTAATAGTGCTTGTTGCGGCTTCTGGCTGTAAAGGATTCCCCATAGTTCTGCACAAACAGCGCAACCGAGGTAATGCTTTTAGAAAGGGGTCGAGTTGGCGTGGTCTAGCATCAGTTTACGAAGTGCTTCACTAATGTCGGCTGTATTGGAACATCAGCACAATAGATTCCTTAGGAGTACAGGTAGAACGTACGGCTCTGGTCCAATTTGTTGCCTGTATTATAGCACAAGGAATATGCGATAGTTAGATATTGAAGGCCTAGAATCTCTCTAATCCTCTTAATCCACCCTGACATCATGCCATATATGATAGGTTTTGCCTGTGATATCTGCAGCCCGGTAGCGGTTGTAATGGCTTGGCGGAATATGTATACGCCTTTGAAGTCGTCTCTGAGTGGCAAAGGCAACTCTTTTTCCCCAAGATGGATATCAAGATCGACTAAATGGCGAGGAGAGATAAGGCTAGGAGCCCTAAAAAGCTTAATATTAGAACAAGATGCCAAGGAGGAAGACATAAAGGCTGGGAAGCAAAGATGGATCAAATATAGTCTCAGGGATCATAGAGGTCTTACTAAAGTACCCATAATATCAATATAGAAGAGCCTTAAGTTGCTAGGATAGAACACTTACGCATCTTTTGTCCCAAGATATGTCTTAATAAACTCGAGAGTAAATTTGATCAAAAGCTTGTGTAGCCCGCCGTCAGAATCTCTCATTAATACAACCCAAATATCTCCAAATCGGAGCCGCAAGATAGATTTTGAGCGCGAGCCGGCAGAAGCCAGGAAGAGAAGAAATAAAACGGTAAAAATTCGGAGCTCCCCGAGGTCAAACGACTTCCTCGTCGTGCTCAGTATCGTCTCAATCTCCGCTTTGAGGTCGTCAATGGTCATACAGCGATTGTCCCTCTTTTGGTTGCTCAGTTTGTATTTCTTTGCCAGTGATCTTAAGACCTGAAAGAAAATATTAGAAATAGGTCTTTAGTAGGTCATTAAATTCCTATTTACCTTATGCATATTGCGGTTTAATTTCGTATCGAGCTTCGCACCCATGGCCGTCTCATACACAAGACAAAAGACTTTCCAATTTGTGCCTAGTGAACTGCTCTTCTTTGTTCCTCTTTTTTTCTGTCCATTCTTACCAATCATCTGGTTCAAGGACTAATCAAAAAAGTTGTAGAGGAGACGGATATTAATAGACTCGAAGCAAGTCTGGGGATCCCGTCCCACAACGTCAGTAAAGAACCTGCCAGAAAAATATTATTAGCATGAGAAGACATAAAGCACTGGAATGACTTATGTCCGCCACTGCTTCTCGATTGCGTTAAGTTATATAGTGCTTCCAGGACTATAATCTCTGCCATCAAAAGCACACTCCTTGAACTCTTGTAGCGCCCTCTGGTAGTACTCCAGCGGATGAACATTCCCTGCAAAGAGGTAGACTTGATCTGTAACATTGGAATCGTCATCACTGAAGTCCTCTATATCCGGCATGTCGCTTTCTAGGCTAGATACATCCTTGTCCACGTCAAGGAAGTCGTTAGCATCCGCATCTCCTACTGCGGAGAAAGATGCGTCTGTGTTGTACAAGTCGCCGGTGACTTATGAGTCGTATGGGTCATCGTTGGCACGTTGGCGGGCTATGCTATTAATGCTATAAGGAATAATCGATCATAATAAGTGCAGTTCATTAGAAAACGTTGCGCTCATTTAACTGGAGGTAATAAGGAAGAGAAAACCAAAAAAACATTGTTGCCAGAATGGAGCGAGAGAACTGGTATTTAAAAGGAATATGTGAGCCATCTCTGGTTATGCTGCTGACAGGCCGAGCAAACAAGGAAAGGAAAAGAACACAGCATCGGTGCCAGATACCAAACTGAATAAGAGTCTAGGATTTGGGTCGTGATTGTGGACATGAGTACTCTGAACGATACATCAAAGTACAAGGCCCATGTGTATAGGGGCGCATGGTGGGGTATGCAGCTTAAAGCGGCAGCGGATCGCTGGCAAATGCACTGCCAGATTTGGAGGCAGAACATGCCGAAATAGGCAGCACACTTGCCGTCTCTTTATTTAAGGTAGTAAAAAAGGGTTTAAATTTGATTTAAAACTAATACTTATAAGTAACTTTTAAGATATTATCGCTTTTAACCTTATTTTAATTCATTATAATAACTATATAGGGTGAAATAAGCACGTTTAAACGCATTATACAAGCTTAATTAAAGGCTTTTACCATACGTTAAATATATGTACTTAAAAAAACTATAAAGGGCGATTTGCATAATATTAAATAATTGTAACGTTAAAAAAGTATTATATAACTTTTAAATGTTTTATTTAAAATCTTTAAATTCTTTCTTTTAAAACTAATTAACTTTAAATTGATTTATTTTTAAAGACAAAATATTGATATAATGAATTACGAGTAAATTACTTTTTATAAAGTAATAAACGGCATTATTAAAAATTGAACGCTTAAAGCCGAGCTTTGAAAAAGAATTTTAAAAGCGCTTTTATTATTAGTGAAGGCTTTATTTAAAGCCGTATAAAGGCTTTTTAAGTTTAATAATTATTTTATTTATTAACTATTGGAATTTTTATAAAGATATATCGTAAAAAGTTCTTTAAAGCGATTAAAAGTTTTTATAAAGATCTTTTAATAAAGTTTTCTTATAAAAAACGTAAAAACGGCGTTTATATAGTAAATACTTAATTTAAAATACCCATAATATTTAATAAAAGCTTTAATAAGCTTTTCATACTTTAAAGGCTTAAATCTCGAAATAATTAAGCATATATTATTATATAGATTTTTGAATAATAACTTAATACTTATATCGCTTAGTTAAATTAACAATCAAGTTTAGTTTATGTTTTTATACGTAACGCAACGTTTAAGGCTTTTAATTATAACGTAATTTTAAGCGCGAAAAAATTAAAAAAGTTTTATCTTAAAACTACGCGCGGATTTTAACGATTATACTTTTGAATCATAGGGACGCTTTTATAAATACCATTACCTTTTAATAATCAGAAATATATGTTTATTAAACTTTACTGTATCCTTAAGATTAAACGAAAGCTAGAGAGTATATAAAATTTAAATCCTCATATATAGTCGTATTTTAAAATATAATAAATTCTAAGCTTTTTAAGTATATATTAAATTTTAAGTCGCCAAGTAGATTATAAAAAACGCGATATATTGAAAGAAGTTTAAGTCGGCTAGTTATAGTAGCATTTTACATTTATATACTTATCCAGATCTTTCAAATTCCTTAATTCGAACTATTAAACCACTTTAATTTAAAGACTAGATCTTTTAATTTATTTATTGAATTATTTGTATTAATACCTCAATATTTAAATTAAGGAATTATAACTATTTAAATTAAGGCTTTATAACTACTTATTAAAGCTTTACAAAGCTATTTAATCATATTTTAAACCATTTATTTTAACATGCTTTTTAATCAACTAATTATATATTTCGAGAATAAACAGTATGTGATTTTATTATAATAAAGTCATATTTAGTTCAAATATATATATTTATATACTTCTTATAAGCTCTAAAAGCTTTAAAAAGCACGAAACGCTTAAATCTATGATAAAATAAAATAAAAATACTCTTTATTTGTTTTTAAATAAGTAAGCAATATATAAAGCTACTTTAATAAGATTGCTTTAATAGTAAACTTTTTAATGCTTTATTTATGTTAATTTACAATTAATATCTATTTTTTCAAAGCTTTCTTTTTATTATTTCAACTAATTTTTTAAGCCTTAATAAATGTTATGAACCAACGAACAGTGCGGCCTGATAGCAGGCCAAGAGGAGACGATTGGAAACAGGTTGACCAGTAAGTGGGGTGCTGATCAGTGGAGAGATCGGAGCAACGGAGCAACGGTACACAGATCATGTGACCAGCAAAACCTGGGTCACGTGACTAAGAATTTGGATCACTGGATCACCGTGGTGATCCAGTGAGCAGGATCACCTTGGATCACCGGTGATCCAGGGTGAGCCACCTAATCAGTGAGGGAGAGTGTGAGGGCAGTGTGAAGGCACACACCAGCGCAACCTACTGCGCCCCACATCACACCCTGGCCAGGGGTTCATCTAGATGGCTATGTCTCCCACCTGTATCTAGCTCTCTTTCATTCCTTTCTTCATCTTCGATATTTTCGTCTATAGAGTCGGTTACCCCCTTGTCGTCTGCTTTGTCTCGTCTTAGGTGCCACTCGCCGTGACAGAGAGATTGGATATATAAGGAGAGACATTTCCCAACCAGATAGATAGACAGTCTCTACCTCAGTGATCAATCTAAGCATCTTAGCCAACCCTAAGGTGGGAGAAATCTCCTGACGACTCGACTACACAGTGAACCCAGTTCAGACCAAGCCCCAGCATCTGAGTGTCTTCTAGTTGACAGAAGCCTCTATCGTCCTTTGTGTTGACTTACCTCAGAACATAAACCCTATAGAACCCTTTAGCCTTATAGGTTAGACGGCTCGTCACACCTTAAAAGACTTTTATAAGTAGCTATAAGGCCTTAAATTAGGCATGGTGCAGTATGGTATTTAGCTTTAGATTAGCCCTGCCGAGCATACTTGAGAATGACAACAACATTTGTAGCGACCGCTCACACCCCCAAGGCTTGTGACCCTTCTAGAATCTCACAGCTTTTAAATAAAAAGCTAAAAAGTGAATAATTTAAATAAGTACTTTATTTATTAAACTAAAGCCTTTTAATTAGATTTGCCGACTAGCTTTTAAGAAAGTAGTAATTGTTGATTTAAATATAATGTAATAAGTAGTATATATGTAAATAAATAGCTTATAAATCTTTTATATAAAGGAATAAATACGTATCGGAAAATAATAAAAAAGCGACATGAAAGTAATTAAGCTTTATAAAGCTATTAGAAGATATAATTACTTAAATAATAAGAACGATGATATTAAATAGTAGTAAAAGTTTATAAAAGGTTTAAAAATCGTAAGAGAAATATTATTATATAAGATTATTAAGTGTTTTTTATATTAAAAAGAAGAGGAAACAGTCTTTTAAACTAAGGGTGAAGCTTTTTTTTTAATAGCTAAGAAATTCTTTAAAATCATTAAATAATTATAATAAATACATATTATTTAAACTAATTAAAAGCTAGCGTTTACAATGTTATAAAGGTATTATAAATGCTTTAAAGCTAGCGCTTTAATACATTTAGCTTTTAAAGCTATTAAAAACCTTATTTAAGCTTATTATACGCTTATTAATGTTATAATATTTAATAATAAGTCCTTATCTCCGCTCTTAGTATAATTTAGAGGCAATTAGTTTAAGTAAAAAACTATGTACCTTAATCAGCTAGCTTAAGCGATTATAACTGGAAATATTAACCAGTATAAGTGCTGAATAACTACTTATTTCACTGCATATCATTTCGACCTATGCCAGCCAGAATATACATAGCTCTGCCATATAGACAAAGGAGCCCTAGCAGACATCAATCTCATCAGCTGGGCTGGTGTGATCTCTAACGCGAGCCTTCAACATCCATGTCTTAACAACATAGTTTCTAGACTAACATTTTCAAATAGCGCCTCCCTCCTTTTAATAAGCTAGAGCGTAATGTACCTACCGGTATACCGATATTTTTAGGTTGCGAACGATCTTATAGGCTTGCGCCACTTTTGCGAACATTATCTCCCCAAGCCATGCCACAGCCTCTTCGACAAGCGGAGACCGATCAAACCTTCTGGGTATCCGCATGGAGGCGCTTTTATTTCCCGGGCGCCTCACAAAACTTAGTGATCAGTCTCGCTCCTAGAAGCCCTTGTACTCGCTAATATGCTCACTATACAGTACTATGGCACGGTGGATTAGGTATGACAATACACGATGGTAGTCTTGTATAGGTAACGAAGGCGTAAATGTTGAGGTTTACAATGTTAGAGTTTCGAAGCGGTTGAACTATTGTTGGAATCTAGGGGTTCTGGTTCACCCTGAGGTCTCAACGTCACCAATCCTACCAAAACCCCATATCTGTCCTTTGTGCTAGGATTGCTAGAAAAGGACACACTGGCCTTTTCACATACATTCTTTCTGTATTCCTTATATATATAAGGGCCTTCTGCCCTTCAGGAACTACTCCTGATTTCTCTCCTTCAATAGAACACTTTGAAATCTCACAACTATTCACTTGGGCTGAGCAGTATTCCAAGGGCCAATTGATTAGCGCGCCCCTTAAGCTGATACTTGTTCTCTTCTAAACATCTCCGACATGCGACCTGGTAATGAAGATGCGCAGAGGGCGATGGGCAACCTTAGCTGTATGCCTGAGGGAGAGGCGTGTTACCGCTACAAGATGTCAGTTGATAACATTGGCGGTTGTAAGTACCAAGGGGAAGAAGGGCTTGTGCAATCTACTATACCGAAAGCAAAGTCAGATAAGGGGCCCAATGTACTCCAGCAAGCCACGTCGATATATAACTGTGTCGAGGTGGCTTGGTTAGAGTTTCACTAGTTGTAAGGTAAGTGAGGTAAGTGCAACGAGGCAAATAAGGTTGCTACATACCACAGCTAGTCCCGCCAAAAGAGCTAATTCTTCTCTTGACGCAAGATTATATAGTTACGGTTCACGTACTTGCTTCATTCTTCCTCTTCCCATTCCTACCCTACTTTGAAACCCCAGCGGCACCCCAAATCTTCCTCAACTCCCAGCCGACAAGCCCCTCAGACTTGACGAAGGAATCCAACCGCAATCCACCACCATGTCGTGGCACGGCCTCCCAGTAGAACTGAAACGGAAGGTCTTTCAATACATCCATGACGATGCCTCAAAGCCATCTTCGAGAGCATCGTGCTCAGTGGTATGCAAGGGGTGGCAGATGGTCATCGAGGAGAAAACCTTGGAGACGCTGGAGGTCACGCCCAAATGCCTCTACGAGTTCGAGAAGATCTTCTCGGGGAGCCTGCGACGTCAAGGCTGCCTCAAACACCTGTGGTTCCGTATCGAATTACCAACATATAGTCGACTGCCCAGTGATACTGGGGAAACATCAGAAGAGGAAGACACGGAATTGTCGGTCTCCTCGGACGCCCTGCTACGGCTATTCACCGTGCTGAGCAAGTGGGATGCGGACCAGGTCCTGGAGCGAAACGGCCGTGGCATCAATCTGGAGCTTAGCGCACACTCTCCAAGTGACCAGGGCAACATGTCTGGGGCAGCGGGTTTGACGTCGATGGGCGAGGACAGGTTTCTCCCTGTGGAGGTCTCCCTGGTAGGCGATGAACTCCCCTCGGTCAGCAACGTGACTGGTTTGAGTTTGCTGCGTCGCAACATGCGCAGATTTCGCCACACGACAATCTCCGACTTGGTTGCCTGTAAACTCCTTCGACTTGATGATATCCATCTCGAGCTCTGGCACCACCCTTCCGGATTGTGGGCCGATATCTTTGATTCTTGTGAGTATTCCGCGATGCAACATACTGAGTGTCGTCATAAGCTAACATGACCTTGTAGGGCTTGCTGAAGGGGTGAACCGTTGGGCAGTCTCGCTGAAGAAAATCAACATCTTCCAACACTGCGAGACCTTCCAAGGCCCACGAGCAAAGAAAGACGCAACCCTCGCCAGAAACATTGAAGATCTTGGTCGACGCAGCCACTCCCTGGAGGAGCTCGGGCTCTGTAACTTGATAGATGCCCGACATTTCTTTGAATCCTTTTCTCGTCCCCGAGCAACACCTCGCCTACCAAGCTGGAAAAACTTGCGACACCTTACCCTGACTTCGGGGCTCATAGCGAAAGACGCGGACTCGGCTTCTCCTCGCGATCTTTTGCAATCAGCTGCGACGGCAGCGAAACGAATGGTACGTATAAAAAGCATCCCATCCCAAGACCCCGAGCCTTGGTTTCGAGAACAAGCTCTGTTGTTCCCTTTCCTTCTTCATCTAGAATTTAGCCATACGGGTTTAAAGACAAGATGTTAACGTAGTAGCCAGCATTGCACTCCCTAGAGATCTACAACGCGACCACGGCCGGCGCTGGCATCTTCCAGTACGTAATCTTGGACCCGATAGCCGTGATCAATTGGGCAAGTATCTGGCCTTATAACCTCGCGGATGACGTGAAGCGTGCGTGGAAACAAGTCGCACAGTGTCATCGACTGACGCCCACGACTCTCGAGGAGACGCTGATCCACGGCTACGAAGGCCCCGCGGTCTTCGTCCACTGCTATGTGGTATCGAGGGCCCTTGTCCTGCACCCTTCATCTTCAGAGGCTATGATTGGGGATCGAGTATTCGAAGATCCGCTGGTGAGGATGGGACTGAAGCGTTGGGCAGTCACTTGTCTACACAAGGAAAGGGAGAATGAGGCTCTGGCGTAGGTTGCCATTTGGACCGCCAAACTGGCAGCGATTCGAAGGGAAGGGGGGAACCATTGTAGTGGTAGGTGAAACTCCATAGTGGCAACTAGGCCTTCGGAGGGACCTTTCCCGACTTTCTCGTCTCAAAAAGAGGAGTGTTCAGTTGATTGACAGTCTGATGAGTGAGCGAGACTGGGGGAGTACGGTACTCGAGGCTTCGCATCACGAGCGGGCTGCAGTGAGACGTTTCCATCCGTTTCAACTGTATGTAATCAGTCAGCAGAACACGACGGGACTATCGATCGGGCCACAGATTAGTAAGCTGTGTACGGTGGGAAGGCCGGGCTGTGTACCCGGCTGATGGGGGGTGTTCATCTCGGCGGGCAGTAGTAGTAGTAGTTGTAGGCAGATGCTGACCTGAGTCACTTGATTCAGTTGTTGGAGAAAGAAGATGATCAGGCTACCAGCCCTACCTAGGTACGTAGCCCCTTGTAGTCATCCTTTGGTGCAGAACAGTAGTGAGGGGGAAGGAGCTGAGATGAATTGTTAGGTGAGATCTGCGTATGGGGCTCACGGAAGGAATCCCCCCCCACGTTGGGGCCCTTGGTGGCTCAGCGGGGCCCAACCTGGAATGATGCAGGTGCCGTGCTCTCCATCTCTTTATTTGCTGTTACTAGGCCACCTGCGAATACGTACAACGTCCATCTTGTCATCTTGCTTCGTGGTGTGTTACGTTGTCGTCTTCTTCGACCCGAGGTAGCCAACGCCTCGCCTTGATTGCCTACTTAAGGTTACCTTTTACTTCACTGATTGCGCCGTCTTTCTGATCTTCTCTACCACCACCCGCGAGACCGCGAGACCTCGGATTTACGTCACCAACCGCATCTCAACTATCCTTCTGCCTTCTTCCCTAAACACAATCACTGCCCGCCATTAAACCGGAAGCCAAAATGTAGGTCCAGCCGCATACCCACATAACTTGTGCCCATGGTCAGAGACGCTGACAGCCCTCATCAGGCGCATCACTCTGAGCGTGAACAACCCCGAGGTCGAGGAGCAGGAGCTGCGCCTCGTCACTCTGGAGGTCTTCCCCGACATGACCCTCGGCACACTGCGAAGTTCCATCGAAGCCGAAGGCATACCCGCCCCTGCCCAGCACCTCTACCACGACGGACAGCTGATCACCGACAACAACAAGACCATGCAAGAGCTCTCTATTACCGATGGGGACATGCTAGCGCTACACATCCGGGACATGCGAGGCAGCGGTGTCGCACCCGGCCCCCGGGAGCAGCCGGCAGCGGCCCCAAGAAGACAGGCCTCCGCGCCCCAGGACCCCGAGCTCATTCGACTGCAGGTGCTAGGCGATCCTAGATTGAGAGCCGAACTGCAGCGGATAAATCCACAGCTTGCTGCCAACGTGGACGACTCACAGCGCTTCGCACAGTTATTCCAACAAAGCACAAACCAGCAGGATGAGGCACGTCGTGCGCGCATGCGGGAGATTGAAGCTTTGAACAATGATGAGTTCAACCCTGAGGCCCAGGCCAAGATTGAAGAGCTGATCCGCCAAGAAAGCGTGATGGAGAACCTCCAGAACGCCATGGAGTATAATCCGGAGTGTACGTCTCCCGCCATCACCCATCCAGCACCCTGGCGGCTTGGCTTACTGTTGCTGACTTTGATGATAGCTTTTGGTCGGGTACACCTACTGTACATCGATGTCAAGGTCAACGGCATCAAGGTGAAGGCTCTGGTTGACTCGGGTGCTCAAGCGACAATCATGTCCCCGTCGTGCGCCGAGTCCTGCAACATCATGCGTCTCGTGGACAGACGGTTTGCTGGTGTAGCTCGAGGAGTGGGAACTGCGAACATCATTGGTCGCGTTCATTACACCATGCTCCAGGTCGGATCTAAGCATCTGCCAGCCTCGTTCACTGTCATGGAGGGTAAGGCAGTCGACCTGTTACTTGGCCTGGATATCCTCAAGGGTCACCAAGCAACCATCGATCTCACCCAGAACTGTCTCGTCATTCAGGGCGAAAAGGTCGAGTTTTTGGGCGAGTCAGATATTCCCAAGGAGACCGAAGATGCCATGAACGAGGAGCCTACCGTCCAGGGACCGGGAGGTACGACAATCGGCGCTCGCTCCGGCGCTGTCACAGCACCCACGACGGGGTCATCCTCAACCCCCCCTGCACCAGCAGCCGCCGGTCCCTCCTCGGCGGCGCCCATGGCTTCGCGGCCTGCCGCTCCAGCAGCTCCCGCTCAACCCCCCGCTCAGGCGCAGCCTCGGAGAGCATTCCCCGAGCAGGACATCTCCACACTGATAGAACTAGGCTTCGACCGACAATCGGCCATCAATGCCCTGGAGGCAACTGGCGGTAACGTCGACTACGCCGCTGGCCTTCTCTTCCAGAACTAGCGGCTTGTCAGTTTCATCACTTGCATCCGCCACGGACCAGAAGACCTGTATCTCGGGGTGGAACAGCAGGCAATGCATAGGCACAGGTATGGCGTGACTGGAACTCTGGATCATGGGACTCAAGGTAAATTATCAGCGAGCGGTTCGCCCTTGTGGGTTGGAAAGGAGTTTTTTCGTGCATGCTTCGGCGGCAATGTCATTGTTCGGGCAGCGAGAGGGTGAAGCTCATGCGTTTCAATCAAAGAGCAACGGAGGGGCAGGCCTACCTATAATCGGATTTCATGAAGCTAGCTGGAATGCCGCAAAATGCGGCGACATAAGTGGTAATGCGTCATGGCATGGCTCCTCCTCCACACCGTGCTATATCGCGTGTGGGGAGGGAATAAGACATGGCATTGCAAGACAGATAGCTAGTTCACAAAGAAGAGCTATCGCAGCTTATAGACACAGGGCTTCAGAATGCTGCCCTCATCCGCTCCCGCACCCTGCTGCTCCTCCGCATCGATGAACTTGACCGCGCCCTTCCTGTTCTTATTCATCGCGCCTCCTCCCCCTCTGCCACCAGCTGCCTCTCCGCGGCCCGACTCCTTCAGCGCGACGGCCCCCTTGCCGACCGTCGGCGTCGCCCCCTTGACGAAGTGCATCTTGACGAACATTTTGTTGCTCAGATCTATGGCGGCCGCCTCGGTCTGCCGCTCGCCGTGCCCTTGCAGCACGAAACCGCGCTTCCGCAGCGCCTCGACGAAGGCCGACACGTCGGTCTCCTGGCGGCGGTCCTCGGCGCCGTCGATCTCGACGGCTGCGAGCTGGGCCTCGTTCTCGTCGTCTCCCTCGCCCTCCTTGCCTCCCTTCTTTGGGTTCTTCCTGCGGTTGCCGACGCTGTGCTCGACGGGCGCGTTGGCGCCCTTGGCACTCTGACCATGACCTTTGCCCCCCTTGCCCTTGCCCTTTGAAGGAGCGAACCGGCTCTTGATCTCGGCTACCCACAGCTCGCCCTTCCAGTGCAAGACGCGGTAGGCCTCGTCCACAAAGTCGAGCCAGTTGGTGCCCATGAGCGCGAGGCAGAAGACGGCGACGTTGACGCTGCCGTCGGCGAGGGGCAGGGCCGCGATGTCGGCGCGCGTCACGTGCGGGCCTGGGCTCTGCAGGTCGTAGCTGAGGACCTTGACGTTGAGCTTCTTGGCCTCTCCGCCGGCGTGTAGGGTCGTGCCAAGCTTGCCGTCGCCGCAGCCTAGGTCGGCTATCGTGCAGGTGCCGCTTGTGCGCGGGAGGGGCTGCACGGTGTTGCCCGGTGCTGAGAGGCCTCCGCTCTTGGACGATTTCCCGCCGTGATGAGGTGCTTTGACGCGCCCGCGCGTACGGATGTCGGCGATGTACCCGTCGACCGGGTTCTCGGGCCACACGTCGACCTGCCGCCGGAAGCCCTCGTGGTACTCCGTGAACATCTCGGGCGTGTCGGCAAAGAGCTCGAAGGCCTCGCCCGACGGCTTCGTGTAGAGCGTCTCGTTCAGGTGCCGGAAGCGCGCCGAGACTAGCTTCTCGCGCATCGCGGCTTGCATGGGCGTCAGTTTGGGTGCGGGAGGGGCGGTAAGCTTGGTGGTTGCTGCTGATCTGGATTTTTCTTCCTTCTTGACGGGCTCGTCGATCTGATGGTCCTTTGCTTTCTTCTTCGGTTTCTTGTCCTTCTTGCCCTCACCGGCAGGCGCCTCAGACGTGTCCTGCTCATCTACATCCCCGGACGCCTCCTTATCTCGCTGCTTCTTCAGCCTCTTCTTGTCTTTCAGCGTCAGCCTCGGGGTGCCATCTGCGGCAACGCCCCGCTTGCTGACGGGCCGCGTCTCATCGACGACGACGGCAGGCTCGTCGGGCTTGGCCTTCTTCTTGGCCGGCTTCCCTTCTATGACCTGCTCCCAGAGGTCGGCGACATTGGAGGCGGTGACGTTTTTGCTCGGCCTCTTGCGCTTCTTGTTGGAGCTGTCTGGCTCTGACGGCTCGCTCTGGCTTGGTGTGGGCTTTGCTGCTGCTGTCTCGGCCTTGAGACTGTCGGCTGAGACGGACCAGCCTGGTACGGCGAACATGCTGTGTGACTGATGTAGAAAGACCTCAGGAAATGATGAAGCTGATTTCAAATGCACTCAAATCAGTTCAACTGTTGGACGCGGTGAAAGCTCAATTGAAATGAGGCGGCTGTACTGTGAGTGAGGTCGCTGTTGAAACTTTTTTTCTTGAAGGTAGCAGGGATCGTCCACTGGGCGAAATCCAGCCCCACCTCCCCACGTAATAAGCTAAGGTTCCATTATCAGGGATTGGAATAGAACGCTTCCTATCACGTGGCTCCCTGTCTTAACAATATTTGCAACATTATCTACGTTATGCTCACTCCGCCCTGTCCTTTACAGAGCTCTTCTTTCATCTATTTGTTCGTTTTTTGTGTCATGTGCGGATGCTCATGCCGAGGTGTTTATTCTACATATGCCGAGGCGGGTGGGTAGGTGGGCGGAGACTTGTGATGGGTGACTGTAGCTCCGAGGGGCGCTTCAGTTAAGGTAGGTATCGCAGCAGTTGCTACTTCCTTCCCCTCTGATTCTGGGACAATGGCATTCCATCTGCCGACGCTCACGTTTTGCCCATGCTTCAAGATGCTCATCACCAGCCAGACTGAGGCAGGCTAGCAATGGCGAAAACAGTTTGCTCCTGCAGCTTCTGCTCCCTCCCACGCTCCTCACTTGAAGTACAACCGACACCTTACTTCGTGGACGCCGAACCACAATGGCAGAGTTCATCAATGACCTGCCAGACACTGCTTCCCCCACATGAGGTTGCTAGCTTGATGAAACAATGGGTTCATCAGACGGGATGACAAGCAGCGGCGTCTGTTCGATCTATGTCTGTGGTACGGGCGGCTAGGGCCCCGACTGGCAAAGGCCTCCAACTCCACGAAAGCACCGATGGAGCAATGTGGTGAAGGGCGGCGCCGCAAGCATTTCAGGTCACCGTTGCCGCAGTGTAACCATCGAGGCTCGTGCCCAGACCTCTGCACGGTACTTCGGTCAAAAGAGCTTCATGTTTGTCTCCGTCAAACACAAGGCCCCGGCATGATGGACAGTCCCGCGGGCTCACTACCGGTGCCATCAACCACAGCTTGCGCTCGCTGGTAACTTCCATCGACGGAATGCTGCGATGCCGATCAGACACGGCTGGTATCGGACCATCATATATCTCCCTGCGTCTGAGACAGTGTTACGCTGCCGTGACAGGGGAAATCCTGGGGCTTGCACTTTCTGTATGCACATGCAGCTGGGACAGAAGCCACCCAAGTCTCTCGAAGATGACTTCGTCGTGCTACGTGAAGGGGGCTTTTGCCATGCAGATTGATGCGTCCAGCATGGGCGCTTCAGACTGAGTTTCCCGAGACAGGCAGCAGGTGTCAGGCCCGATCCTGGTCCACCCTATCCGCAGCGGGTCCGTGACTATTTCCCAGGGGCACTGATGAGACTGATTGTCAAAGATCTCTGGGGTGATAGCTGGTGCGGTTGCGGAATGAGCACAGCACGATGCGAGACCAAGCTCAACTGATGTGGTGTTTCCCAGCACTCCATTAGACATGCTGCGGCCTCAGCGCGGCAACCGGATCAGCGATGGAACGCTTCCTATCCGGTCCTACGCCCGTTAGGAATGGCTTGGGGATGTTTCCGCGTTGTGGCATCTGTTTGTGCACCTTGCCGTGCGAGAACCACCGAGCCTGCCTGTTGTCATGTATGTCTGGAAAGGCAGAGCGGCGACGGGCCAACAGAAAACGACGTTTGCGTCGGACATGTGTTGTCGACGCAGCGAACGCGCACTGTCGGTCGGACAGACAGGGTGGTGCAAGTGATTGGCCTTGGCCGCCGCGGCTGTTCTTTCGGTCGCAGCGAGATTGAATCCCAGCTGCGCATCCTATGTCACACTCCGATCGTGACTTGGAAGGGTTCGGGCAATCAGCTGTCGGTGCCGGAGTCTGGGGTCCCCCTAGTGCTCCTGTCAACCTACCTTACCTTCTGTATACTCACCCTTCAAGTCTTGTACAGCGGAGCACGGCGGCCGCCACCACCACCACCACCACAGGGACACCATAGCTTGCCTGGTCCAGCCTATCATATCCGTTGTTTTCAGCTGATGGTAGGTTGTCAGTACTGTGGGGTGCAATAGTTCGGACGACGGACTGTGCTATCATGACCTTGTTGGAGTTGGGCGAGGAAAGAAAGGTCGGCCATTCTCGCCCGTTCGACGGGCAGTTCGAACGGGCAGTTGACTGCCCACCCGAGACTTGTTGGCCACATGGGCTTTGACAGGCATGCAGGATGATGACTGATCTCCGCTGCTGCAGGCAACCGGGAGGTCGACGACCTTGCCCATTATGAAGATCTATGGGGTGTTAATAGCAAGCATGTAACCAACCTTATTACCTGTTTAGGTTCCTGGGACTGTTCCATTTAGTCCAGATGATGGATGACAGACCGACGACCCGCCGTTGGAGCCCGGAAACATGTTTCCTCCTTCTCTACCTACCTTACCTTACCTACGAGTAGGTAGTTGACTGTGGCCAGCCCTGCTGATACCTACCCGAAAGGCACCGAGTGCGGCCGGGAACAAAAAAGATGAAGAACCAGAGAAGATTCCCTGCCTTATAAATTGTTCATTCAATACTACCCTACCTCACCAGTAAAGATCGTTCGGCCATCTCCATCTTGCAGCTACTCTAGCTATACATGTACTTGGTACTTGTACCCTGGCCGTACCCCACGTTTCGCACGGTGGGCCGCGTCCGTGCGTTGATCTGCGGAGGTCTCATTCGTCAATATCCGACTATCTTTAAAGGGCCCCCCGGAGTCTAGCCCGCTAGCCAGCCGCTGCCTCTTCCCATCGACCTTCCGGCCTTCTTAAGTTCTTACAGACATACACAGATACAAAGCAACATAAGCCCTGACTCGTCCGACTCCCGGCAACGTTATACGGCCTGCTCGTCCGCCGGCAGGCAGTTACACTGATATGTTCTCGATGGTCTTGATAAGGTAGACCATCACTGCAAGCGCTGTTAGGCGCTTCTTGATACCCCTGCGTCTTCTTCGTCCCAGGCTTTCGGTTCTTAGCTACACGTGTTGAGCGCCGTCGGTAACGAGTACTACCATCCGATACTGGGCTGAACGGCTATCCCAGCCCGCTAATCGAGCGGCATTTTGATCCTTCCTGGTCCTCCTACGCGTCACGCAAGACCACTCGCTGTTCAAAGCCAAACCCGATATCAGCTTCCGAGCATGTATACTACTCACGCGCACTGTTAATTGGCAGTACTCCGAGACCCGAGCCAGGGTTGAGAGCCCTTTTATGACTTTTCATGTGACCTGAACAGCTGGGCTACAAGAATCGCGACTGAACACTCCAGAGCAATCGACGCGGCAGTGGCCAGCGATAATGGCGTCTACGGAGATGGCGTCAATGGGCGAACCTAATCAGTCTCAGCCGCAGCGGTCCTCGTCCCCGGACGGTGGGGATGATGCGAACTCGGCCGCAAAGAAGGCGATTATACGGAAAAGGACGAAGACTGGCTGTACTAGTGCGCATAGCCCTTCATCATAGCTTTCTGTGATACTCATATGGACAATTTGCTGACTAGTCCAAAGCCTGCCGCAAGCGTCGCATCAAGTGCGATGAGGGAAGGCCTACGTGCAACAACTGCCTGAAATCGAAGCGGCAATGCGAGGGATACAACCAGCGGGTCATCTTCAAAGACCCTCTCGGCTTTGCTGGTTCTCCCTATGGGCCAATACATTATCCCGCGCCATCGCCCCAAGCGCTCCTCAGAGAACAGCAGTTGGCGGCCGCCCAGCAAAGAGCTTCGTCGCAAGCTTTGCAAATCATCGCCCCGAAGCCACCGATACTTGGATACCCCCTTATGCTCGGCACCCAGTTTGACCAATTCTACCCTGGCCAAGCTGGACCAGTGGGAGCATCATCAACTCTGACCTTTGAGGAAGCCCAGTTTGGCGTGCCACCGCAGCCTTCGAGGTTCACATTCTTCCCTCCAACGACTGTCGATGCCTTCTCCCAGGGCCAGTGGAGGCAAGAGTCTTCGGAGGACCTGCATCAATCCTCACCTCCTACTGGCCAGAAGAACACCCAGGATGTCGGCACTCTCGTTCCGCCAAACCCAAGTGACGCCCAGCCTGGGAAAGGAAAGGCCGTGGTAGTGGTTGAGCCGTTGACTAATGCCGTGGAACCGCAGCTTGAAGATTGGGAGTATCCGGACTTCGATGACGATGCGTCCATGGCGGATTCAGACGACGAGCCAACGCTCATACGGCGTGACTCACAACTAAGCCTCAATGAACTGGGTCTCGTCATGTCCCAAAGGATTGATCTACCGTATCACATGCATGGCACACATACCAGGACATTCTCAGCCTTCCACGAAGACGTGCTTGCCTCTTACGACCCCTCACCAGCCAACTCCCCCCTGAACGACAAACAGATCGCAGCCGTGTTCTGGCACTTCGTCAACGTCACTGGACCTAGTGTGTCTTTATATGAAAGGCATCCTCTCGATCCAACTCATATCTTCCACGGACAGCCAATACCGAAGTCCCGGCAACACATATGGACCTGTAAGCCCCTCACACCCATGTCATGCGTCTTCATGGCTCTAATGACTCCACAGATGCATTTCCGATACTGTCTTTTGGCCATCCGGCCCTCCTCCAAGCCATCCTCGCCCTCGGCAGCTTACAGATCGCCAAGCTGCAGAGGGTTCCGCCAACGGCATCCCTCAAGCACTATCACCTAGCGTTGAGAAGAATAGCGAAGAATGTGTCTCGTCCGGCAAGGCGTGCCCAAGCCTCAAATCTAGCCGCGACATTGTTACTGGGATTCTACGAGGTATGGAATTCCGACCACGACAAGTGGAGCAGGCATCTACTGGGAGCGCGTTGGATCATCAAGGAGATTCCATATGCAAGAATGACAAGGTCCATGATGGCCGTCAAGTTACAACAGCGACAGCGAGAGATGGCACAAGCTCAGATGGATGGCTTCGGGTATTTCAATCCCTTGGAGGAACCCGGTCCTCTGCATAAAGACTGGGACGCGATCGACGTGCCATTATTGTGTGCGATCACTGGTAGGAACATCTCCTACGACGACTATGGGATGCTACCGGAGGATATGAGCTCGCATCCGCGACCGAAGCATGCCGCTACCCACAGAGATATGGAGAGATACGAACAGCTCAGTGACCTTTTCTGGTGGTACTGTAAGATGGATGTCTATCAGAGTATACTGGGTGGAACTCGCCCGTTGTAAGTTGGTTCGCATGCTGTACTAAGACCTGAGACTGATTATGAACTTAGCATGGAGTACGATGCGTGGACTCAGTGTCCACCAAGGGCTCCAATGGGACGACTGGACGCTATGTAGGTGCACACCCTATACCTTGCGAGTATCTACTCACACTAGATAGATATGGCACTTACGATCACCTGATGCTGCTCCTTGGCCGCCTCATGACTTTCGCATCTAGAGATATCGTGCGAAAGCGGGAGGCAATCAAGGTGAAAGGAGCCGGCCCTGGCAAGCCGCCGCCGGGGATGTTCGTCGGCATGATGCCCGCGTCGGAAAATGTGACGCTGCCCATGGGATTCAGCCCGCCGCGAGAGGAGTCGCCGCCGAGCGACGTGCCACCCAAACCCGACCTCGACACTAGGACTGCCGAGGCGTGCCGGGAGTGGGAGAGGATCAGGCAGGCGTTCGACGAACTCAAGAACCACTTCGGTCCCGAATTCGAGCCGCTCGCCGCCGACATCCACCCTGCAGAGGCCACGCCTTTTGGTCTCGCCGCTCACTACCGGACGTATCCCATCGCTGGCATCTGGATGAACTTCTATATGGGTCTCATCGTGCTGCACCGCGCGCATCCCATGATGCCACCCGTGGCGATGCTGGCTGCGGGCATGTCGGCCCAGGCCACCATGCCCTATGCACTGGCCATAGGCCGGATCGCCGCCGGGCTGGAGGCCAATATCTCCCACCTTCAGGTCGTCAGCACCCTCACGGCCGCCGCTCTCATCGAATGCTCGTTCCCGCTCTTCGTGGCCGGGATACAGGTGAGTTTCCCGTCCAAAGCAGATACCGCCGCCGTTGTTTCTTTCGACCTTCATTGTTGTATAGTGCAGATACTGACCAGACCTGCTCTTGGCTTCTAGTTCCGAGACACACAGCAGCGCCACTGGCTAGTGCGCCGCCTCCACGATATCGCGCGGCTGACGGGCTGGCAGTCGGCGCACCAGATCGCCGACGGGTGCGAGTCGGCGTGGACCAAGGCGGCGCAGTACGGGCGCGGCCCGCCCTACGAGCGCGCCGCCGACGTTGATGACGACTACACGCTGGCCAACTACGCGCATGTCCAGGCCCGCGCCCGCGAGGCCGCCGATGCTCGCCGGCCGTCGACGATGGCGCCGCCCCTTAGTACTAGGGGTGGTATTAGTGTTGGTAGGGGCGGCAGCGGTGGCAACCCGCGGCGCATCGACCGCCGCATCCACGAGGTCGACAACGACGACGGTGGCAAGATCGTGCTGGCTAAGGGCGAGAAGGCCTTCTATGCCATGGGCTTGTTGGCCGTCGAGCATGACCTCGAGAAACTGGACCTGGATGCGGCGGATCGGGAGAGGTGAGGTGAAAGGGGTGTAAAGGGTTAAGGATTCAGGGGTCATTCGGAATCTGGGACTGCCCTTGATTGGTTAGTAATGGTGTTTTGCGGGGCGAACGGATAACGCACGATGTCTGGATAATGGTTTTTGTACAGATCAGGAGAGTATTGGGAAATGGAAATGGGAAAGTGAATTGGCAAAGAAATTCACAAATGGATGGATGGATTGGTTCTGGTGATCATGATGAGGAAACTGACGATACCTGGTCTTGGGCTTCAAAAAATGTAGGGGGCCGGATTGGGACATGGAAATGCTTCTTGTGGCGGAGCTAATCCAATGGGCATCGGAGGGTATATGTCTAAAAACGAGCAAAACTTTCATCGAACGTGGACAGTATAGACTCCAGGATATGTCCCAGTTAGATTTTTGTTTTTGTGTATGCTCTCTTCCGCCTTGCTCCCCGCAGCTCGCTCACTCACTGCGTAATTACACCTAATGATATACAGAGCATGGATGATAACACTCGAAGACCTCAACCTGATTCATGATGGCTTGCAGTTCAAGCGGGTGATATCTTGAGTCTTCTTTCCCCCGGTCTATTTGCCTGCCTTCCTGTGATACCGGAACACCAAGATTGCAGGATGTAGTAACCTAGTTCGCGGGTAGTCTCTCGACAACAGCAGCCATCTCCTCGTCAGTGTATATTCTAAAGCCCTTCTCCTTCGTCACGCTCGCCAGCTGGACGTTCTTCGAGTCCAGCTTCTCCTCCATCACCTGCTTCAGCGTCTTCAGGACCAGCGTCTCGGCATCTATGATCGTAAGGGACTGTATGTAGCACGTTAGCAATCGGCCGATTCTTACTCAAACTTGACCGCGGCCGGGTGTCCCAAGTTGAGAATTCACCTTGTGGTACTCGTTCTGCAGCTCGGCCTGGGCGCCCTCGCTGCCGGACCCGATGGCCTTCGCATCGTAGCGGTAGAAGGTGCCGCTGGGCTCGGCGTGGTAGAGCTGGGGGCCGTCCTCGTCGTAGCCGGCGATCAGCAGCGCGACGCCGAAGGGCCGGCTCATGATGCTCTCCTCGCCGTCAGCGCTCTCGCCGAAGCGCAGGGCCAGGTCGCAGATGGCCTGGGTGCAGCTCTCGACGCGCAGGTTCTCGTTGTAGTTGAAGGCGTGGGACTGGCACTCGACGCGCGCGTGCTCGACCATGCTGCGCGCGTCCGCCTGCAGCCCAGACATGGCGCACCCGATGTGCCGGTCGATCTCGACGATCTTCTCGACCGACGAGGTTTCCAGGAGGGTTGACGTCACGCGCTTCTCTACGCCCAGCACGACGCCTTCCGAGGTTGCGACGCCGATTGCTGTCGAGCCTAGCTTGATCGCCTCGAGCGAGTATTCGACCTGGAAGAGCCGGCCTTCGGGCGAGAAGGTGCTGTGGGGGGTTGGAGGGTCAGCATCTTGGGGGCCACGAGACGAGTGGTGTCGTGGGTTATAAGCCGGAGGGACGGGAGGAGGGCCGACAGAGCTGCGACACTCTTGACTAGGTCTAGACGTACTTGATGCCCCGATCTGTTTGCCTGTGTTAGCTACCAAACAACTCCTGAGCTTCTGGGATGTACATGTAGCATAGCTTACCGTATTCAGATCTTGCCATAAACATCTTGGCGGATTTGTGAGGGTAATGTCGGGTGTATGGGAAAAGGAGATGGTGGTGGGTCGCAGGATCTTTACGTGAGGTTGTAAAGAAGAGATCAGGCTGGGGGAGAAGGCTGGATAAATTGAGTGAAGTGAAGTGAGGTCAGGTCTGGAGGGAGCTCCTAGAGCTCAAGGCTGCTACGCCGTTTACGAAGCTCGGGTCTTTGGGGCTGCAGGTGGTTTGCCAGGGGACAGCAAGCTTGGACCACCCTTGCACCCGCTGGACGGATCCCCAAAGTAGTTGCGCCTCACTGTGGTTAAACGCGCCTGCCCCACGGATTGACGCGACCGACTGACTTACTGGATTGATGGGACGATAAGGTCGCGATAACGACCCAATATTGAAAGTCAATACAACATCCAAACGACCGACTATTTCGCCAAATAGACTGATGCTGTGCTGTGCTGCGCTCTGAACTGCGCTCCTGCCCATGCCATTGCAGGACCAGGCACTCCCAATGTCGTCGCCTCGCGATCATGTCCTCAAGACTCTCCAACAATGCAGAGAGGCGCACGACTGGCACCGCCGATAATGACGGCAACCCGAAGCCCCGCGCTACTGCCACTGGAGGACGCGCATCGAGAGGCTCCCAACCCGACTCACGAAGCGCCCGCTCACCGCAGACCGGCTTTACCAACCCGGCACACAAGCGCACCGCCTCGGGGAACGCGCGCCCAGCTAGCAGGACCACCGAGGAGCGGAGGACGGAACGATTGACGGTCACGACGAAGGAGAAGTTGACCACGCGGACAAGGAGTCCTGAGAGACGCTCTAAGGAGGCACCTCCACCGCCGCAGCCGAAATGGAGACCGAAGGAACAGCCCAAGCCTCGTCAGCCCGAGATGAAGCCGACGGAGACAAGGCCTGAGCCACCGCCGAGTATGTAGTTCCTAGCATATGTCTGGATCTGTCTGGTACATTGTCTAACTGTGTATACCTGCAGCGACGTGGGATCCGGTAGCTTCCTTGAAACCACACACCACAGCTCCCCTCGCAGTTCGCGTATCGATACCCCCTTTGGCTTCGGAGGCGCCGTCGTCGCAACCCGAGCCTCTACATGAACTGTCATTGGAAGCCCAGGAGGCGGCGATAATAGAAGACCTGCTCTTTGTGTTCATGGGGTATGAGGGACAGTACATCCGTTACTCCTATTCATACAACCCTAGTGATGAGAGAGACCGACTTACGGGCCCGGCCTTCAAGGTGCTTCCTGGCCTCGACCCAAGCTTGCAGGACTTGACACTGTCGATGCTGAGGATGGCAACTCATTATGCCGCCCTAGAGACGTTCATCGACGTCCAGAGCCGGGAAGAGTTTGGGACGGTCAATCATGCTCTCTGTGCTGCTATCAGGAAGTTTCTGCAAGATTACCTGATCATGGTCGCTCAGTTGGAGACCCAGTTCCTCACCAATGAAACCTTCACTCTACACCTGCTTAATGTTTACACGCTGCCTACAAGTCAGATGATGTTTCAGCTTTATACCCTAGCTCAGGAGCTTCTCAAACGAAATGCCCTGTTGGACGAAGAGAGCGAAGAAGACTCCGACCCTGATGATATCGAAAATATCCTTGAGAATCTCAAGCGAGGCGGAGACCTGGTGCCCGGAAACATGACTGGGAAGAAGATCTGCAAAGGTGGCGTGGTGATTGGCCTGGTCACCAAGAGGCTCGAGTCGATGTCGGGTGACCCGGCTGCCAGATCACTACTTACCTCCCTATTGCGAGATGCGAGCCGACCTTACATGACGATGCTAAATGAATGGCTACACCATGGTGAAATTAAAGACCCTCATGCCGAATTCTTAATTAAGGAGCAGAAGAGTATCAGGCGAGATAGGTTGGAACAGGATTACACGGACGACTACTGGGAAAGGAGATACACAATACGCGAACAGGACATTCCTCCCCAGTTGCTCGGTGTCAAGGACAAGGTTCTCCTGGCTGGAAAGTATCTCAACGTTGTGAGGGAATGTGGAGGAGTGGATGTCAGTAAGGTGGTCCAGGATGTCCCGACATCCTTCGACGACCAACGGTTTCTGGACAACGTCAACAATGCCTATGCTCATGCCAACGAGTCGCTTATGAAGTTGCTGTTAACCACGCATGCACTCCCGGCAAGGCTGCGGTCACTAAAGCACTACTTCTTCCTCGACCCGTCCGACTACTTCACCTACTTCCTGGAGCTGAGTGCGTCGGAAATGCGCAAGCCAGTCAAGTCTGTTAATATCGTCAAGCTGCAGTCGCTTCTCGACCTGGTGCTACGCCAGCCAGGAAGTATCGTCTCATTGGACCCTTTCAAGGAAGACGTCCACGTCGAGATGAACGAGGTCAGCCTCATCAAGATGTTGCAGCGCGTTGTCAACATTACCGGTATCGAGCAAGGGGAGTCGCTTCAGCCTCTCAGCAACCAACCGATAGAGAACGACAAGAATGCAGTAGGCTTCACGTCGTTGCAACTAGACTACAACGTGCCTTTCCCAGTATCGCTGGTTATCAGCCGGAAAACGGTCTGGCGATACCAGGCGCTGTTTCGCTACCTCCTGTCGTTGAGATACCTTGAGTCGCAGCTGTCCACGACTTGGCATACGCACAACACTGGGGTTGTCTGGTGCCATAGGTCGTCGGTCAGGAGTCTTGAGATATGGAAGAGGCGAGTATGGACATTGAGAGCACGTATGATAGTCTTTGTCCAGCAGCTGCTCTACTTCTGCACTCTTGAGGTTATCGAGCCAAACTGGCAATCGCTCATGGCAAGACTAAAAGCCAAGGACGGCAGCTTGGATGGTTCGGGCCAACCTGATCGCACTGTCGACGAGCTGATGCAGGATCATGTCGATTTCTTGGATACTTGCCTGAAGGGATGCATGCTTACCAATGGCAAGCTTATCAGAGTGAGTAGTACTGATCTACTGCTACAACAACATTGCGAGTCCTAACATATTCCAGATCCACTCGAAGCTCATGCAGACCTGCACTGTCTTTGCAGCGTACACAAATTGGTTATCGCGCGAGCTCGAGAAGGCCGATCCCGACCTGATCGGTCCAATAAAGCCGCCGAATATGCCGGACGAGCAGTGGAGGCGATTCCAGACTCACAAATCTCAGAAATCGCACAATGACAGCGCCCAGAATAGCCAGCTTCACGACGATGAGGCCCGGATCAATAACTTGTTCGAGATCATCAAGAAGTGGGAGACGAATTTCAGTCGCCACTTGCAGATCCTATTGGATGCTCTCAACCACTACGCAGCGACGGAGACAGTAGTTCTGCTGAGTTTGTGCGCGAGACTGGCAACAGCCAACCAAGGCACGGAGTACGCAGGGCTACGGACGGAAGAGGACCTCGCGGCATGAGGAAGGACTCTTCAATCCATAATTGTACATATTCATGCCATGCTTCAAATGAGCCGGCTGTTCGAAAGAAGAATTGGACTGGCACCTGAGGCGTTCGGACGGGGCAAAACATAGGCATTGGGGAGACGAGACTTATGAAGAGATACCTTGATTGACAGTCAATAGTACCGATACGGCCATTGACTACCTATCCGACTGACTGCCTGACTGTATACATGAGTGACCAGCTTGCCTGAAAAGAACGACTACCTAATCAAGTTGTGTCTTCAGCACAAGTGCCAAAGTAACCGAAAAGAACCGTCCATCTATCAAACCATCCTGATTACTACCTGAATATTGCCGACCAAGCCTGCAAAGCGTCAAGGGTATCGAGCCAGTATTGACTACAGTATCCACTGTGTATGGCACGCCGACCGTCCTGCAATGCAATCGTGTCGTCTTGTCGTACCGTAATCCGTAATCTGCAAAGTTGTTGTACCGGGAAAATACGCGGGGAAGGGAGAAAATGACCATCGCCGGTACCAGTTCTTCCTCGCCGAATCATGTGCCGTCGTGAATCGTGATCGTGATCGTGACTGTGAGATGAGAAAGCGAAAAAGCTAGAATCGGTTGCAGAAGTGTCGGTGTGGCAAGTTTTGGTACTCGTAGTTCACGTTCCGGTGTCGTGAAGACACCGTAGATGAAGAGGGGGGGGAATTGGTGGTTTGGGAGGTGTGGCGGTTGATGTGTTCTCGTGTGCGGTGTTGTTGTCGATGGCATGGTGGAGATGGCGATGGAATGATCAGGAGATCAAATCATCGATGTTCCCATGCATCGTGCATACATGCAGCGCGTCGAGCAATCAAGCCACCCAACAGTGACCGGGCCCAGGCTGCTGAACTTGCTGAGCCTCCTGAACCTGCTGGACCTGCTGAACCAGCCGAGCAAGTCGAGCCTGGCGAGCCTGCTGAGTCCGCAGAAGCCCAGGAATGAACTGACTCTCATCGACCTCCGCATCATCGTGGTCATCGGCGGTGATACCAGGGCCGCGGAAGTAAGCTTTGAGAGAAGCGTTGAATTCAGCGTCTGCAACCAGGCTAGCGCTCGCATGCATATCAGCACCATCATCATCAGCGTGGATGACAGAGCTGTAGTACGCGTCGAGTTGAGCGTCGGATGAAGCAGTGCCCTCGCGCATATCATCGTCCGCGTGCATATCGACATTAGCATCCGCGTCAGCATTGTTGTCTTGGTCCTCGTCCTCAGAGTCGTCCTCCACGTGCATATCGGCATCGGCCTCAGCACCATCGTCGTTATCGTCCTCCGAGTCGTCCTCCTCGTACTCGTGCTCGTGGTAGCCGTTGGCGGCCAGGTCCTCGAGGTTGTCGAGTATGCCCCGGAGTGTGCGCATGACCATGATGCAGTTGTGGCGCTCGGCGAGTTGTGTCATGTGCATGAGGGACTGGATGCACCAGGTGGAGACGGCGTCGTCGCCAAAGCCATGCGGTCCCGCGGCTAGCTGGAGCTGCTCTTCGGGCTGTATCTGGTCGATGGCCCACTGAAGGGCGTCGGCGAGGATGCGGCGCGTCTGGTAGGGGCGGGCAAGCTCGGTCTTGCTGCGCAGGTAGCCCTCGGTGATGTCGAGCACGGCCTTGAAAGCCTGCTCCTTGATCTCGTACGAGGAACAGACGTCGACGTCAACCAGGATCTTGTTGAGATTTCGCTCCAGCAGGAGACCAACTGCCGCAACGGCCTCATGAGGCAGGAGGCCGGCGAGCTTGCCCACCGGGTGCTGGTTGAGGATACCAACCTGGCTGAGTGTTAGTGGGTGCCGTGTCAGGAGGGGGACAGGTGACGGGTTTGTCCGATCTTGGTATTGTGGTATTGGAGATGGGAGGTGAAAGGGGAGAGGAGAATGATGCAGGTGAAGATTTATCTGAGTATTATGTTTGTTCATTGCGGAGGAACATCCTAGTGGTGGTTTTACTCCTGGTCGGGTCGTGGTGGGAAAGGGGAAACCATCAGCGAACGACAGACGCCTTCTAGCGAGGGCATAGGGAGTTGCGCGGGTGACTGGCTAAGGAAACATGAAAAGGAAGGATAGAAAACTTACGGCGCCCTGAACACACTGGTCGAAGTCGACCGCGTCAAAGTATCCAGCAAGCTTCAATCTCGAAGTGGCATGGAGACCGATAGATAGCCGAGGGTTTCTCTGGGCCTCCTGACAGGTGTAGATCTTGAACTCGTCGATGGTGAGGCTGTTGATGTTATCCATGATCTTCTCCTCTCTCTTGCGGGCGGCAGACTTGAGGCTTTCGCCAGCTCGGATGGTCACCATCTTGTTGGTTTTCTTCCTCGTAAAGTATGCACAGAAGAGATGGTGATGGTGTTGTTGAGGGATGAAGGCTGAGTACAGAAAGTCTGGTACGAGGTACAAGTAGCTGTCAAGGTACCAAGTGGTGGGTGAGTGTGGGAGGTACAAAGGCAGAATACCGAAAGAGAGGTGTGAACGAATGTGGGATGAAGGTGTCAGGAAGGGTGGGAGACCTCGAGGTTGGATACGATAGCTGGTCGCTTAGGAGAGAGACCCTTATCGCACAAATTACCGATTGCACACAACAAGAATTGTTGAATAGCCTGCACGAGTCCGGTTTGCAGTCCGCGTTCAGGATTTGTGCTTGCGGTCTGGAGGTAGATTTGTGAAAGAAGGGAGTGTAGAAGAGAGTGTGGGGGAGACTGTGGGAGAGAGTGTGGAAGACGTGCTCGACCGCTCAAGATATAGTAGCGGTACGTACATGTAGGTAGCTACCTGAGGCGGCGTGGATTTTTTGTTTGCCAGCTAATGTGCTCCCGTAATATTGCAAGGCCCGAGCGCAACTGCAGTGAAGAGCTCAATGGAGTGTAGCGCTCACCTCACACAGGTAGGCGCTGTAGAGGTAGGCTTGTGGCGGTGTTGTGGTGTAGAATACATGTGATATACACAATCGGCGGAGTGAAGATCTAAGTTACCTGCTACCCATGCCTTTCCAGATCTCATACACCCCTATATGCAAGCCAACCAGCAAATCTCGTACAGGATAATACACACACACACACAATGTTCTTACAGATCTCCATCGAAGGGTGGGATGCCTGCATTCCTACTTGCCATCAACCAGTGAACTCTTTCACGATCTTGGCCAACTCGCTTTTCTCCACATTCTTCCCTTCCAGGGGCCCGCCCGGCGCAAGCAGCTTCTTCATGACATCCCCCATCTTCGCCCTACCACCCTCGACAGCACCCTCGCTCGTCAAGGCAGTGATGACGCCCCCGACCACCGTCCGCAGTTGCTCTTCCGAGGCCTCCTCCACGCCGCTGCCGGCCACGTACTCGTCGAGTATCTTTATCTGGGCCTGCTCCTTGTCGACGAGGTCCTGGCGGCCGGCGGCGCTGAACTCGGCGCTCGCGTCGCCCGAGGCCTTCTGCTGCTTGCGGAGCAGCGCCACCAGCTTCGCGTCCGTCGTGATGGGGCTGGCCGTCTTGGATGCGTTGAGCGTGGCCGACAGCACGGAGCGCAGCACCGTCAGGCGCGCGGCGTCTTTGGCGCGCATTGCGGTCTTCAGGTCTCCTTTCAGCTTCTGCAGCAGGGGCGGCGGGGGCGCCTCGCCGCTGCTCGAGTAGAGGCGTGCTGCTGCATGTGTACGGCTGGGGTGCGGACACGATGTGGAAGGGTTGAGACGTGACCGGAGCAGGCTGGAGGTCATGCGTTGGGATGGTCGAAACGCCATGGTGTAGTAATAGGCGGAAGGATGGGTGGGTGTCGGAGTCAACGTGGGCCTTTTTTTTTTGGGTGTTACTTGGTGGCAATATTCTTTCCTTCCAGTATCGCTGCTAATTCGGTCGGACGAGTGAAAGTGCTGTGGCAGTGAGGTCGCGATGTTCGATGGTCGGTCGGAGTGTTGAGGTTGTGGTGGTTGCACCTGAGAATTGGAAGCTGTCGGGATTGGCCAATGAGATGGCAAATTGGCACAGGCCCGCTATCTTAGCTGCAGGGATATACTTAGCGTGGGGACACCAGTGGGGTGCCATGCGTGGGGCGGGGCCGTGACATGGTCAGCCGGGATTTAACTTTAAGCTTTATCAATACCTCCAGCTCTTACACTTTCTACTCGGGCTGCATCTTCATCAGTGTTGTTCTGTCGTTCCGTTCCTGGCTGTCGCTCGCACTATCGTCGACTCTCTACCTGGTAGGAATTCATCCACCAGTGTAGGCTCTGCTGGGCACATGTGGCTGTCTAGGGTTCGCGAAACTCTGTAAATTAGGGTCTTGAGCAACACTCGCATCACCTGGACGTTCGCCAATGCTTCAAGACTTGAGATACGAAGTCACAGACTCATAGGCGCAACAGCAACAGTATTCATATCGCTCGCTTGTGCGGGGTTCGAGCTCGTCATGTCTGCGCCCTTTCTCAACAGCAGTCGGACATTGAGAGAGACCCCCAACTTCACTCCTGAGTCCCAACGGTTTGAAGGAGCCTGGTACTTCAAGATTGCATACAATTACAGGATGGCGAGAAGTGAGATGCCTGTCACCTGATCATGGGAGCCAGCGAGATTGGATATGTCACGAGTCACAACAAGGGTCGGAATGTTGTCCTACATCCGCGGCCGGCCCACATGACCTGCACTCACCCAGTCAGTGGCAGGGCAGTCACCCAGAGCCACCCAAACGGTGGCTGCTTGGCGGTCATCAAGTCTGTTACACAATTACGCAGTCACACAGTCACCCTGCCACGGGCTTGGGCAGCTGGGCCTTGTGACACAAACTATAATCTCCATTGCGCCTCATCTCCAAGGACAGGGTCACGATAAGCCGTGTATCACTGAAAGGAAGTCTGACATGCAAGCCCTATCCACCAAGGGACCTGCAGCTGTCTAGATCCCTCCAGAGAAGAGGAAGGCCTGTTGCCAGTGTTGATACCTAGTGTGTTGACAGCACGCGATAGTCCCCCAGCGAGACTGGGACGAGTCACGACTGTCGAGGGCCCACCAAACGGTTGGTCCGCCTGCAAGGGCTTTAGTAACGCATGTGCCAGAGAGTGAGTCTAGAGGAGAGGGTAGGAGATGAAGCCGGTGCGGATCTAGCCGCCTTACATATGCACTCGATTCAGTCAAGCCTCCCGTAATCTTGGCAACGACATTCTGCTGCCTGTGCATGCACTTGTCAGGGCACCCCGACCGCTCGACTACCTACCTTAGTATACACAAACGGCACGGGGTATGGGCCATCCCATGATCCCACTAGAAGTATTCCCCCGGGACGAGGAGAGGAAGACAAGCCGGACGGGACTGCCGACCCAGCGGGCCGGTGTCGGTCCCACGGTTGGGCGTTGGGCGGTTGGGCGGCCTGGGCGGTTGCAAAACGGAAGGAGCCCCTTTGATTCGTTCCCTCCCCCTTGGGCCTTGGGACTTGGGTCGTTGGCACCTGCGACTAGACTAATCTGAAGTCTGGGGCAAACCTTAAGCTGACATCCTGTCTCGCGCTCTTGTCCCTCCCTCCTCTTTCCTATCTCCTCTCCCCTCTCTCCTCTTTCTCGCTCCATCCACCAGCTGTCACCCATCTCCCAGCGCCATTGCTCCATTGCTCCATTGCTGCCGCCCCCTTGGCCGGTCTTCTTTCCATCACCCCAGTAGCAGGCGATAAACATCACGCCGCTCAACCCAACATGGCAGGGTCGCTTCCTGTCTGCCTTGATGGAAATGGGCAATATGCAGTGACAAGGAGTCGCCCACCAACCTTTGTCCTTGGTCCCATCCCCCCATATCATCCTCCATAACGAGCTACAGAGGCCCAACGACAACATACAGATAAGCTGGACACCCTGGTTAGACTAATGCTCCAACCAACTGCCCAGGTCGTACCCCGATGAGCCTATGCTCAACAACAGAGTGCCCAGCCCACGACTCCACGAGCCAGACCGACGTCCTTATCTCCTCGGTTTCCTGCCGACACATACGTATCTATGCGCGGGGTCATGAGTAAATAATTCATCCAAACCTCTGTCAAGCTTCTCGAGGCGGGACAGACTCACAATGGGAAGTACGGCTGGACAAGACATCGGTGGTATTAGCAAGACTTGCAAGTCGCTTCGGGTAATCGAGTTCAGGGGCAAGTCCGGACATCTCACCTTCAGTGCAGGATTGCTAGCTTCTGCTCTTGCCTGGGCGACCAAGACATGGAACTCAGTAATCGACATACTGCAAAACGTTAACAATGTCGCCTCGTGTACGAATCCTTTCATGTCGGCTCGAGCACATACCCAAGATAGTGGCTAAATGGATACAACGTTAGGGAGGACAGCAACATTCGGACGTTCTCCTGGTTCGCCGTCCCGATATTCAATTCCCTTTGATCTATATCTACCGTCAGACTTGATCACAATACCAGAAGGGGAGTCGTTCGTACTGTCAGACCAACCACACATTGGTATCGGAATCATTCGCTCGTCGACCTCGGTGAAACCCGTGCTCCTCAGCCAATTACCGAGACGTCGAGGTGCTCGTGGGTTCTTGCACTGCTCCATCGCCTGGAGATACATCTGAGACCACTGCCGAAGGGCGGAAGCTGGTAGTTCTTGAGCATCGTTGCCGCGGATACACAGGCAGCTGAACTCACTCTCTGTCAATGTGCCATTGTCGGACTGGGCATTGAAGTCAATCTCGACCAACTGGACCCAACCACCCGCGCGAAGGCATTTAAACATGTCGCGCAGGTATCCAGTCCACCGATGACTGTTGATACCCCCCGCTACTAGCCTGCTGTTGATCAGGTCGAAGTGATTGGACCGGAAATTGAGCCTGCGAACATATGTGTCAGAGCTGTTTTAAAGACCTATCCAATCGACCTTACGGCATATTGAGGTCATCGATGTCGAGATATAGATTGTCGACACTCTCATTAGGATTGTGGTGATGCGGACTTATGTCAATACCGCGGACCTTGTTGCCTCTCCGTCAGCAGTGGAACAGACTCATGGGAGTGGACATCACGCCGATGGTATCTGACTGAAACTTCCCACCGAGTACCTTCACCTGCGCGAGTTCGCATGGACGGATCAGGCCGGTATATCTTGATGACAGAAGGTGCTTCCCAGAGCAAGGGCATCTTCCATTCGGATATCGTCCTGCAGAAGGTATGCTCAAGGAATCGGCAACATTGAAACGAATTGGCGAAGAAGTATCACGCACCTCACAGTTCGGATTCTCCCAGGCCACCTGGAATGCCCACTACAACGTTGAAGTCAGTGTTTGCTACAAGCGAAGGCTTTGGAAAGCCAGATGTGCTATGGACCGAGCTGCCTGCTGCTGCCAGCAATATGTGGCTCGACATCTTCTGAGAAGGAGACAAAGGGGTAATCAGCATATGTGGGAAACTTCTTACCGATCCTGTTCCGAATCCACAGTCGAGAACTCGCCTCAACGATTGTATGTGCGGGAAAATCAACCTCCCGTCGAACACCATAGACAGGACATCCTGCTGGGTTCGCAAACGAAGCGTCTCGTCCTAGTAGATATGGGTTAATGCGGCTTCAACCTTTTGCTCGGGGTGTCGCAACGCACCTCATCGACTGGAGCGAAATAGGTATTGCTGTTGACAGCGAATCGTTGGTATGTTCGGTTGTGGTGGATAAACGTCTCTTGGACTTCGTCGTTGAGTTCTTCGGTGTCCGCTTGACTGCAGTTGGGTCAGCAGGTAGAGGGAATGGATGGGTCGGGGCATCGACTCAGTCATTTCCACTGGTGATCTCGCTCTTCGCTCACTACCAGCTTCTTACGGTCATCGGTTGGCCTGGATGATCCAAAATCGCACCGCTATCATCCTGTTCGTTAGCTTGCGTGCTGCGACAAGCTGTCCGTGTCTACCGCCCGGGGCTTCACTGACCTTAGATGGTTTGAAACTTTGGACGTCCACACATCGATCTAGCAGAAAGGGCTACCCAGAAGTACTCTATCATATGCGCTTCGGACCGTTAGCGGCGACCGCATGCTGCAGGAATCAACGCTGTTCATGGCCTCAGGCCTATGTGGAGCTGTGACCCGGTCGAACAACCACAGCATATTGGTCATCGGCCACTCACCATAGGGCTTGCACCCCACGATACTGCTGGTGCTACTGCCGATCATGACTACTACGACTACTCCCCGAGTGGACTCAGCACCAGGCACCCCTCTTGGGTGCTCGGTTCAGTAAAGAAGGTACATTACCCTAGTGCCGGGTTCTGCATAAGGGGGCTCTTACATCTTGGCCACACCAGACTAGAAGGATGCTGGCACCGTTGTCTGCGGATTTAGCTCCGGAAGTTTGATGAGGAAGCACTGCGGTCCAGAGGGGCCACGCATGTTAGGCTTCGTGTGGACAATACTTCATGGCAAGCTGACTGTTGGATCAGTTTGCTTTTGCACCCCCAGGCATCCAAACTTGGGTCGCGAAGGCCAGATATTTGGTCTGACAAGGATCGGGCGGCTGTGGGTGACGACCAAAGCAATAAGACTCCCCCATCTTGCCCAATACTAGCTCGGCCTCCTGCGTCGACCCTGGTTCACTACGCAGTAGCAGCATCCACATGCCTCTACTGCACTTTGTGGTGATACAGGTCAGGTCATTGGCCACCGCGGCCCACGGTTCAGGGGATCGCAATAAAATCGAACACAGAGGAAGTTGTGACGGAGGAGCTCACAGAGTAGTTGCAAGAGGCTGGAGCACGAGGTGACAGGAACATTGTAGGCTGGTTGCAGAGAAACATTCCGTAAAGCTACACAGCAGTCGGCAGCAAACGAGGAGCCCGAGCCAATGGTTCGGCCGTAGCATAACCTGTCGTACGGGTTGTTACATTTACCCAAAGCCACTCCAGGGACGTGGAACTGGGACCACGCCGGCGGGTGTCTTCGTTTCTTGCCTCGAATCTGGCTAGTACACACGCATCAACGAGTCTAATCACTTCCCTGCGGTCGGCTGGTGAGGAGTTCGGGCTGCCAATGGGTAACAGCGGTGCAAGGCGTCCACCGCAATCAAGGGAGGAGGGGATTGACTCGCTTACGGATGCCGTTCATCTGCTGGGATCTTGTGGGTGCGGTCAGTCGTCGACAGACCTCCACGTAACGGGCCATAGGAGCAAGGATTGGGACCTGCAGAGCACGCCTAATCTGGCTCGTACGAGGAGAAGTGGAAGCAGGGCAGGTGTTGATAATCGTCGACCAGCCGCTACGCAGGCTATTATTAGTGGCGAGTCTCTTGTCCTGCGAAGACAGAACTCTCTTCTGCACTTCGGACGGCCAGGTTATCCATGATGGGGTTTTCACACCGCTACACTGTCTGACGAAAGTCTCGAGGCTGACAGCTACTGGCACGAGACCAGGTCCAGGCCAGAGAATGATCCAAACACTGAGACAGAGTCATTCGAAGCACAACTCACAAGTAGCCGAACAGGAACCTCGGCATCATCGCATGGGACCAGCGGAAGGATTGGCTATTGCATCAGGTCCGCGTAGGCAGGGCACCTGCATGGCGACAGAAACTCCTACAGTACAGTAGCCAGCAACGGGCGGACCTCGATAGTGGAGTCGTTGTTGAAATAGACACGCTGCGCTCTTGGGGGTGGCGCCGATCTCTAGGACGCCGGTCACTGGGATAAATTACAGCCCCGGACTTGATCGGGAATACCACGTCGTCTAGGCGAATCACTTTTTTCCAGAGAGCTGGTTTCCACAGCCAGATGCTCCAGTTCGACAACGGAGTATAAGCTGTTGCTCGGCGCCTCTCACAAGGACATGGAAGCAAAGCGCGGGTGGGTGATTAATGCTACTAATGGAAACTGAGCATCTCTTGGGAGGTCCTTTTGCTCAACGCTAGTGAGTTACCCCTTGTTCGCAAACCATACTAGAAGTCAGGGAAACCCCGGCACAACACCGCGGTTCAGATTTGCGCACGCACGCAATTTTCCCTGCCTCAATAGCGCCCGAAGCAAGAACCAGACTGCCGGGTCTCCAACTTGTTTCAGTGAGTGTTCAAGACAAATTCGCAGCCCTATGGGGGATTCGCGAAGCGGTTGAGATTTATCGAGCATCCCAAAGCTCGAGCCCGATTTCGTGCTCCCATCAACGCTCAGTCCTCACGATTCACTGCTCAGCGATACCATACCGCCTGGGTGGAACGCATCTTCATCCTTCAATGTCTCACTCCAGTGAGCATGCATTAGCGTGTACCAGAGTATCGGGTCGTGCCGGTGGGTGTGACTGTATCCGCATCCCAAGACGGAAGAGGAACGCCGCTGCTATTATGAGGCACGCCAACGCAGAGTCTTCTCTGCCGTTGTAGCTCCCCTTGTTATTAGTCTCTCACCGGCACTTCAGCAATGGGGGGCCAGCCTCTGGATCAGACACTCTCCACTTGGCGTGCGGCTACGTTACAACGCTACTCATCAAGCCCGGGAACACCGCTCGCTGCGGTGTGAGAAGTAGCCATGTTGTCAGCTGCAACCTAGGAGGCATGGCAATTCCCAAATCGAGTCAGCAACCCGAGGAGATTGGCTTCCCTCCGATGGGGTTGTGCTCGCTCAACCCGCCAACCTGGTGTCGGGAAATCCTTGAGCGCGGGTGGGATCTCGTCGCCGGGGTTTACATGGACGCCACCACGATGCGACTAGCTCTCACGGGACACTGTGACACTGGGGACTTACGATCAATCAAGGATGCTATGGCGGCATTTCTGCTTGTGACCGTGAGTGGATACGGGGTGGTATCTTTGAGCTCGCCCAGCTACTTTAACACGAAACACAGATTTCTACGCCGACTGACTGCTTCCGCGCTGCTGTATCATTACAAGAGCAGAGCGAAGTCGACGAATCATGACTGGAAACGGCCTGCGCTCGTGTCTGCATGCAGAAACAGCAGCCAAAGGTGGCCTGCAGACGGTTGGTCTGATTGACGTGTCCCACGAGCAGACATTACCTACAGATAGTAGGTACACGGCCGTTGCAGATCACCAATGCCATGGCCCTGGTACGGTACGGTACGATCTGACTGGTCATGCACCACATATGCAGCTCGCGTTGGGTCGAAACCATGATGGCTTATTCTTGAGGACCGAACTGATTCGACTTGATGGAGCTGGCCTCCGCAGCAAGGGACTGATGAGGGGGTTGGGCACGCAACGACGTTGATGTGGCCAACGTCGCCGCAGTGGCTGTTTGTTGAGATATCCCCTCCCACTTGCGTATACCACCACCACAAATCACGGCCTTTGCTAAAGGTGGGTGATATCTTACAAGTCTAAGCAAAGTGCGGATGTAACGTCAAATGGGATGGGGCCAGGTCGGGAGGTACAGCTCTCACAGAACCAGACAAAGTCGATTCGATATCAAGGGTGACTGACTATCTCAGGTATGTCTCCCCCCTCGCTTCCTATCACTTAGTACAAACTGATAGACTGACAAACAAACAAGCAAACAGCGTCGTAGCCCCATGTGATACCATGCCATCTCATGCAGAGATGAGCTGTCCAAGGGCCCCCAATGCGCCCCAGATTTGCTGCTGCTGCTTTTCCTTTTCCAGTCCCCATCCCTCGACAGGCATACCACCGGCACGCGGCAAGTTGTCCCTAGATATGGGACGTGGTTTTGATCTATCTCGGTGTGCTCACCAGGTCTCATTGGCGCGATTTACGCGGCCCTCTTCGATCTGTCTGCCATAGCTTGCTTGGTTGCTTGCTCTCTTACCTTACCCCCCTTGACCCCCTCTTCTCCACCCATCGACCCGTCCGTCTTTGGTTTCCTCCATCCAGATAGGCAGCTGAATGGATCAACGAATGGGCGGCTTGGATCCGCAGAAGGTGGCCGGCAGCCGCGAGGCCTAGCGGGCCAGGCCGCCCCCTCTTCCTCTCCTGGTTGGCTGGTGGCTTTCTTTCCCCTCTATCCCTTGGCCCCTTGAGGACGACAGGCCGGCCGGCCGGGGCCCGCGGTTGGGAGAATAGGTCACGTCACGTCACATCACATCACGTCGCGAGTCAGTTGTGATGTTACGGTATAGATGCCGCGCGCATTTTCATTAGTGGGGTCTGATCGGAATGGGGGCTACGGATCTGTCACCTGTCACCTGTCACCTGTCATATTTGCTGTTGTGCTCTTGTTCTTGATACTGATCTTGTTCTTTCTTCTGCTGGCTGTCTCGATATCTTGTCTGCTAGGTTTTCTGGGGCTGGATCTGACACCCCCACCCCTTCTCGGAACACAGACAGCCCGGCCGAACTTCCAAGTCTTCTCTTATGTACCCTCGTAAAAGAAAGGGACGGGAGACTGTGGTATCATCTTTCCCTTCCTGTTGAGCGTCTAGCGGGGCGCCGGGAAAGCCCATGGACCGAAGCCGCCCATGATGCAGGTAGGAGGCAGCTGTCGTCGGGCAGCTATTTCGTAGGCAATGATACACTTGACGGAGTAGATAGACGCCTATAGCGATCCTTCAAACCCATGCTTGAACCATCAAGGCGATAAGCCCGTGATTCCACGCCCATCCGATCGAATTGATCTGTCCTGCGTATGTCGGAATGCATGCGATGCTCGTTGTCCATGTAGCTCATATGCCACGTGCAGCTGATGCAAAAGCCCATGATAAAATAAAACCTCGGGTTTTACAAGATCTCATACAGTGCCGGATGCTCATCCGTCTTAACACCATGTAAAGACCGGGTTCCTCGTCTTGACTGTCTCCAGCCGCTCCACGATCACCTTGCGCCTGTTGCCTTCCATGCCCTCGGCGGCAGAATACCCTAGATCGCCGTCCATATCGTCGTCCTCGTCCTCGCCGTCGCCGTACAGATGTTGAGCAATCGAATTGCCGTGTCGCCGCGTGGCCGAGTGCGCAAACGAGAAGCGCCGCTCTTTCCGCGGTGTGTATAGATTAGCTTGTGGCCGCGCCGGGCCTTGATAGCTTGATCTGGGAGCTGCCTGGATGATCTTTGGGCGCGTGCTAGCCGAGTCGACCGCTTTTATGTCCAGCGGGTGTTGTGTGTTGCCGTTTGCCGACCCCGGAGAGGTAGGCTCAAGTCGATCTGGTGATTGTGTTCGCGGTGTTGCAAGCTCAAAGCGGCCTGGGTGTGGTAAAGGGCTGGAGAGGCCCAGCAGATCATGTCCTTGGTGAGCGGGCGCTGAAGACGAGTTGGCAGCGCCAATATCAATCTCCTCTTCGATGGCGTTACGAGCCTCGGGTTCGGCCTTGCGGCGCATTTCCGAAGATGCGACGCGCATGGGCACTGCGACGGGAACTTCAACGAGATCATCCCATACACAAACCCTCGCCCGCCGTGTAAGTTCCAGTGGCCCGTGATCAGGCGTTTTCAGCGTCTCGACCACGTTCCAGGCTTGACCTTTCATCACCGCCATCTGCCTAGAGAACATCTTCTCTTGGAAGTCAGGGTCAAGTTGGAAGACTTTCCGGAGTTCAAGTGATGTTTGACTCCACCACTGAGTAGAAGTAAGAAGAGGTAGGAAGTGATCCCGCGTCTTCTGAGAGAAAGGACGACCGATGAGATCTACCGGTAAGAAAAGCCAGCCAAAAGGGAAACTAAGCAAGGGGTAAGCAGGACATCCCATTAAGCAGAATCTTCGATTGGACTTACCTTCGCCATGCATCGGGGTGTTTCCAGGGCCAAGATAGCGAGTTATCAATGGCTCCTATTGACATCTTGGGATCCGGAACCTTGACAGAGCCCGTCGCGTTCATGGGCTTCTGCATCCTATAGGGGTGCGGCTGAGGTGTTCCAGGTTTGCTTCTTTGTGACAGATCGACGGGCCTTGGAGCTTGTTCCTCTTCCTCTTCTAGGTCCATGTTGAGCTGTGGGGGTTCGGAGGCTATCGAAACCTCCTGACTCTGCCAATCCACCTTGACCATCCAATTGTCAAGACCCCTGTCGGTGTTTCGCATGATGTAATCCAGAATAACCAGCTTCTCGAGCTGCTCTCGAAACTTCTGCTTGAGAGACTCGGTCCACATGAAGTTATCTGGTCCGAGCGGCGGCTGTTCTGGGCTATCCTGCTCATCATCACTTTCAAAGCCACTGTGACCCTGTCTACTGCCTGGTCGACAGTTGTCGGCCCATTGCTTTCGCTTATTTCGATGTGTGTCATTTGAGCGGTAGCCTGACCAATACTGGTCTGGCCATGGATGCTCTCTCAAAAACACATTAGCATCTTTAAACCCCTTGAGGAAGACCTGGAAGCTTCCTGGCTTTGAGGGATACGGCTTCTTCTTTCTGTTGAACGCCCGACGATCCCAGAATGGGTAATGGAAAGACTTGGAAGACAAGTAAACCACGTCCGTATAGGGCACCATATTGGTGCGAAGCTGGCAGTCAAGGGTGTATGCCGCTGCTTCGCTCACGTACGATAGGTTAGGAATCAAGCTGCCTACCAGTTAGACGCAGGACTGCATGGGATACCACGGAGACGTACCATGCCCTACCGAAACAGCAAGGGAACAGGTTTCGATGAATCCACTTGTTCCACTTCGGATTTCCAGCGGCATATGGTTCCTCATCCTTGGGCTTAAACACACCCACGATCTTACCGTCGGTGTTCCGCGCAAAGTAGCTTCCAGAGCTACCTTGGGTAATCATGCTCGGATGCATCCCTTGGTCAATGGCGACCCTGACGCTCTCAACTATGCCCTCAAACTCGGCTTCCGACATAGCAGGTCCGGGCATGGCGGCGATAGTCTCGGCGGTGGCGGGCCGCACACCTTCCGGGGGCTGGAAGACGCTGTAGTGAATCTCCAAGCGCTCGTCCTCGCCAGGTTGGCCCTGCCCCTTCCCCCTCTTGAACTTGGAGGCGATCTCGTCAGCCCATCGCTCCAACCGCGCGTTTATGGCTTTCAGATCGACACCGGAGTTGCTCCGCATCCGTCTCGGGCGTTGCTTCTGTTTAGAAAGGGCTTTCGGTGAGGTCATGCCCGAGTGAGGTCTCGGCTGGGAGATGGGGGCGAAGCGGGGAGCGTTCTGCGGCTGGAGCGAGGCGGAACTCTGGGTGAGAAAGTCATCGTCGGAGTCGTCACTGAACTGTTCGGCCTGAGCCAGGCGTTCGTAGCCCGTGGTACCCGGACGGTTCCGCGGCATTATGACGGCGACAAGTGAGGCGACGAGACGAAGGTTGAGGTTCTGGCTTTTGGGGTGTCGTAGGTGCTATTGCATGTCTCGCACAAGATACACGTTTGGTGGGTTTCGGTTCGGAGGGCGAGTCGCGAAAGGGGTCGAGCGCGCTTTGTGCTGTTACAAGCTCGGGCGGTCCTTATCAAAGTAACCAAAGAATGTTTTCCAATGAGAGACAAGAATGAGACAGTGGACTAGTGCAAAAGAGGTTCAAGCTACAAGTCAACGAAAAAGAGAAGAAAATGGATGCTGTTGCTGTTGCTGTTGATGACAGGCAATCGCTTCACCTTGGTTGTAATTGCTCGCACCTCTCAATCATTAGGCCTGGGGTTGCCGGGGTTGGCCTCGGCAGCACCACGTCAGTCATGCCTGTGATTGGCCGCCTTGACTGGGCGTCCACTGGCTTACCTGATACTCCAGCTGGCCAGCGTGCTGCAGCAAGCCCACGCGTCCCCCCAAGGCCGGCCGCAAGGGTGCTCTGAGCTTGGCCTGTGCATCCCGTCATTATTACTTACACAGTCACCACTCGAAAGTCTCCGTCTTCGCACTCGAGACTCTTTTGCCCTGACAGGATACAGACAGTATTAATAAGCACCTTGGAAGAAGCAGTTATGTTCTCACGAGCCATGTTAAACGCTTATTCCATAAGGCTTATCCCATAATTATCCCATACATAAACAATATCGCTGAGTATCCAAGACTTTGATTGCGGGGTGTACGGAGACTTCTGAGCGTGCAGTGTACCTACCTTAGGTAACCTTCAATAGTAGAGTCCGGCTTGACGCGTTTTGAGTCCCGAGTCTTGGGGCCTGACACCAATATCGTGCTGCAGGTAGTATCTTCTCCAACGAGTCCTTTGAGACCGCCGCAAGGATATCCCTGCCTTCCAGAAGCCTTCGACGCCGGGACTGCAGTACCGCCTATCACCCGCGAGCCTTCCCCGCATCCTTGGACATTCAACCTTCTGAAGGTCTGAAATCAGTCTTGGTAACGAGCACACCATGAATCCATGGTCTTGGAGGATTTATAATCCATACACATCTTGTTGCTCGGTCACCATGTATGACTCGACCCATCCTACACCCGAAGCCCCGTAGGTTGTCTCGTAATCAGGGTTGGATATTGGAGGCTCCGTATGATACCATTTGTACGTCAACAGTAATACATGTACGTACCAGCCAGGTTGGCTGATAATCGGAAGAGGGCTCTGGTGTGTGTGGCTCTTTCGACGAACCGGCCGTCGGAGTCTCCCGCATTTCAATTTACTCATCACTGTGGCACTCGGCATGCCCACACGGCGTGGCGTGTATGCCCGTCAGGCGAGAATTATGAAACGGCATCTGTCGAGATTCTAATCACTTATGCGCCTTTCCAATCAAACCAACTAAGCTTCGTGAGATCACCGTCAATCAAGTCCAATGGAGCACCCATCACACGATCCCTCGCGTATTGCCCGTCCGCCTGCGTATTCCATAGGTTGAAGGACCCGACCAAATATGCAAGCCGGCGCTGTGGGAGCTGGACTGCCCACGACACGCAGCTTGGCATGCTATCTCCAACATAGTCTCCAACGGCCAGCGCAGAGACACGCTCGACTACATCACACCGGACATCCTCGCCATCCAGCTTGGACGAAATAGCGGCTTTCAGAACAGACGGATAAAGGAAGTCCTCTGCCGGACTCGACGCCATCCATTATAAATTTCCCCGGCTCGACACTGACTCTACTATACGTCAAGGCCCGCTCACCTAAGCTGGCTTGGCTGACCAATCGCATGGCATCCGGTTGCCGACTCCGACGCTCTGTCTCGTGTTGAAGATCACCAGGAGCAAGCGGCGATCATCATCACCTCTGCATTGACATTCCTGACCTGGATGGGATAGTCTCGCTGATCCCTTGTTTCTTGAGACCCGGGGTCTCTCATGCACAAAGGGGCTCGGAACTCTTCAAGCACTGCATTCTCTCAGGAGGGAGATCACTCCTCCCTTTCCACAGCTCAGTCTCTCATCAACAGCACCATATTCTACAACACCTGCATGGAACCTCTCAAGAAGCCGGGACGTCTTTGCTGTTGTGCCAAGGACGATATTGTTACAGAATTGGCTATTGCCAGTACACATACCGGTGACGACAGATAAAAGGCACGTTGCCATCCTCTGGCCCGAGTTGCTCAAACACGCTTTATGGATCTGAGAACCGCCGTATCCAAGATGGCCGCTTCAGCCGGAGCACATGAGAACTTACTCGACATCACGATTACCACCTTCTCGTCACCCGAACCAGACAACCAGCGAGGACGCAAGCGACGGCGCAGTTCACCACAAGACACTCTGCAAGTCACGGCAACCCAGATCCCATCCGGAGAATCCGCAACCTTCCGCGGCCGCTGCCGCCACCGTTCGACCTCGCGGTTCGACATGTCGAGGACGCCGTCGAGTATCAGACGCAGCTCGCTGTCCCCGACGCGCCGCAAGCTGCTCCGAGTCCTCCACCTGAACCGGCACCGGAGCCAGTCGCCCTCGAGGTCGAGATCTCCGTACACCCAGGACCCTCCCAAGCGGAGGCGTCAGAGAACCAGAAGTCGAAGCCGCGACCACAACGGCGAGTCGAAGACGGTCGACGGGGCCGTCCTGGCGTCCTTTGCGCGGCCCGAGATCGTCATCCGGAGCGAGGGGTCGGCCGCACAGAACAAAGAAGGCGGTTGAGCTTGCTAATTTGGTTCCAATATGACGGAGCCCGCGTGAACTTCGTCAAGGGGCTGCGGGAACAGATACTAATAAGTGAGACGAGTTGGAGTCGGTATTGCCGGGACAGCTGGCCGCCTCTCTTTTATTGTCGTTACTCGCACAGTGAGATATGTCTGTCATGTCGCGTCTCTGAAGAGCGCGATGTACAATACTGTAAAAGTTCAGGCTGAGGCCGGTGTCACCATGTGTACTTTACTGTACTGTCACCTGTACATGGATGGATGGGTATGCTGTCGCGTAGCCCATCAGAAAGCAACGGATGGAGAGACACGGACTTTGTGTTAGGTGTCCGAGGCATCAGATGATCCGAGATACACGGTCGCCGTTCATCTCGGATGCTGGCAAGGTTGGGATGCCAAGAATGCGACCGGCATCACGTGCAAAACAAACCGGTGGTTATGGAATTTGTGGGCGTTTGGAATGAACGCTTAGTACATGCGATTATGCAAATTATTAATTCAAGCACTCACGTGGTGGCCTGTATAAATGCATAGGAAAACTGAGACTGGCTTGAACTGCGTGCCACATAAAGAGCGCGATAGCTTGCCTTCTAAGATGTTGCTACCCGTATCAATGACCGCATCATTTGTGAGCAAAATCAACTGATAAAGAATACGCAGAGTGGGAATGGTGGGTGGTGGGAATGGCCTCAAGACTCACCCCTACCCTCAACACGGAGGTGGAAGAAGCAAAGCAAAGCAAAAAGAAAAGGGAAATTCCCATGCGCAAGAGGCAAAACATATACGACTACCGCCTGATTCGAACAGACGCCCCCGAAGGGAATAGATTTCAAGATTATTTTAAATTCTAGTCTATCGCATTAGACCACTCTGCCAGGTAGCCCAGGCCCCATCACACAACTGTGCTTTGATGAGTAATTGTTGGAAATTCTGGATTTTCGTGGGTCCTATATCATTGTTGCAACCGTGTGTGTTGTCGGTGTGTGTCATATCATGGCTTTCTTGCAGTCTTGCCGAAGATAGGGGCCCAGCCCGCTGCCCCTCTCAGGCTTGCTAGACGGGATCTGATTCATCTGAGCCTCTGAGGGTGCATGCCGGTGCATGTCACGGGACCAATCAAGCCCGCCTCTCACTGGTTGCATTTTGCTGCACGTGCCATCCGCGGGGGTGCGCCGGGACTTGGAGCCGGTGGGGAAGTTACGCCTATCAACCGCCGCTATTGGCGGACAGTGGCTGCTGCTAGGGTTCAGATAGAGCGATAGGTAGGTGCCTTATCACATACCGTCCAATCAGTCCGTCAGCCGGCCAACCAACTCGTGAATGCCTTCGCGCATCCATCCCAGATCCGTCCCTCCCTCTTGTCCACTTGCCTGCCAATGATGGCCTCGTGACACTGCTGATTTTGCAGACCGTTGCAGTCAAGTTCATGCTGAAGCTCAAGCTCCATCCCGCGTCCCGCATCCCGCTGAGCCTGCATGGTCCTGCCCGTCAGCCTCGAGCCTTTGCGCCATAAGGTTCATCCCACGTTCGCCGCCTTCCATTATCCACCTCAGGTATCATCGCCAGCCTTGCGCCACTACCACTCTACTACACCACCGCCGTCCGTTCTTTCTTTGTTCCTCTACCTCCCTCACTCCTTGTCACTACCTACTTTCTTCACCTCCTCTTCTTAGGACGCACGAGCATCGCCAATTTGCCTGCACATGCGCGCCTCACTACAACTACCGAATCCTTGGGCCTTTGTCATGAAGCCTTCACTCTGCATTCGTACACCCTGAGCACAAGTCTGCACATAGCCGCCGCTTGTCTGTTGGCAACGGCGCATACCCAAGGCAGGCGTCATGGCCTTGAATAACCACCTAAACGGTAATCGCCACCTTCCCCGGTTCCACGCCCTATATATGTTGCGCCTGCACAAGAGGCGCATACCTTAGCTTTAGAGTGGCTTTCAACCTTTGCAGTCGAGTTCGCCTAGGTCTCTCCTTGTGAACACGTCGTACTGACTCTGCACTTTTGCATACAGGATCCGCCCCCAAGGGATACCAAACTTTCGAGACCTCTTCCTCGAAAGCCGACTACAACCCCGCCCTTCTCCTCAACCCCAGAGGTTACGTCCCCTCGCCTACGAACAATAATGCACCCCAACCTTCCTTCAGCGAAGCGAACAGTACGGCCCCAATGGAGTTCCAGTTTGCGACTGTCGATGAGCAATACGGGTTTGGGGGCTCGCTCAGCTTCCCCAAACAGCCTTCCGAACAAGCTGCACCGCACGTCAGTGGTTATGGCAACATGATCGAGCGCATGAACAATGTTGAGGACCGACCATCTGCCCCGCAGAAGCGCCGGAGACTTGAGACGGAAGATAGCGCCGAGTCCACACATGGATTTGCGGCTGGTGGCAGCGGCATGATGGGGCAATACATGAAGGACAAGCAGCATGAATTTGCTCAGAGACCCGCCAACAGACCTACTGAGACAGTTGACCTGACAGACGCTGGTAGGTTGCTATCTCTTCCACCTTGCCCTTCGGCGGTCGCGTATTAACGGTCCATAGCGGATAACGGCGATGTAGTCGTCATACAACAGCCGAAAGATGAGGAAGTATGCTACGGCATGATCCAGCATGCCAAGTTGAACTGTGATCTCGTCCCGAGCCCGAAACCTGGTGCCGTCGCGGTAATGGGGGCAAATTATTGGCCCATCGTCAAGGTTGTGCTCAAGAGGAAGCATGGAGAAACGACCTCCAAAATTGAAGCATATGACCACACCCGCCAGATAGTTGGCCGCGTAGATCCTATCACATCTGGCGGTCTCGCAACACTTCTCGATTCCCCGCGCATGCAAATCAGGACTACTTGTAGAATCCTGTCGAGACTAAAGGAGCCAAATGAGGAGGTCGGCAAGCATATCTCCAAGAGTTACCCGCTAGATCTGGTCGTCTATGGTCCTCGTAAAAACGCCAGGGCAGTTGGCACGCACCTTGGTCGTAAAAACATATGGCTTAGAAAGCCTTTTGTTTACGACAATGGTGTCAAGTACGAGAACCCACAGGATAGGGAAGCACCAAGACAGCCAGCACCCGCTGCCAAGGAGCAGTTTACCGATGCCCTGACTCAGGGGCCCCAGGCGTCGCGAACAGTCGAGGAGATCCGTTCTGAAGTCATGGGGGTCTTTGATTCACTTACCAAAAGCGAGGATCTTCCAGAGATGACACCGGGTCCCCTAATTACGACGGAACTGCTCAAGCACCAGAAGCAAGGCCTTCACTTCATGACCAGAAAGGAACAGCCCCGTCAACTAAGTCTTGATGGCAACACGGCCGACTCCTTTTGGCAGATCCGGCTGGGTAACAACGGCCAGAGGCTCTATCATAACGTAATCACGGGTTCCACTCAGCGCGAACAGCCCACGGAAACACTCGGTGGCATACTTGCTGATATGATGGGCTTGGGAAAGACCCTGAGCATCTTGTCCCTCGTAGCTAGCTCACTCCAAGACGCAAAGACCTGGTCACAAACAGCGCCCGTCCAGCCTCGAGCACCTCCCCCCAAGAAGAACGGGGATTCTTCCAAGAAGTTCAATGTGCCAACTCCGGAACCGCTTGGTCTGACGAGGCTCAGGGGAAATTCGAGGGCGACTCTCCTGGTCTGTCCCCTCAGCACCATCACCAACTGGGAGGAACAGATCAAGGCACACATTCAGCCAAACAAGCTGAGCTACTACATCTACCATGGACCTAATCGCATCAAAGATGCGAAGAAGCTTGCCCAGTACGATCTTGTAATGACGACCTACGGATCTGTGGGCAGCGAAGTGGCAGCTCGAAGCAAGGGTAGGGGTGGGCCGTTCCCACTTGAAGAAATAGGTTGGTTCCGGATCGTATTGGATGAAGCCCATATGATTCGAGAACAATCGACTCTACAATTCAAGGCCATCTGTCGTCTGCAGGCCAGCCGTCGCTGGGCGGTTACGGGTACCCCTGTCCAGAATAAACTCGATGACCTCGCTGCACTTCTGGCTTTCTTGCGTCTCAAGCCATTTGATGAGAAGGGCAAATTCAGTCAGTTTATCACGGCTCCTTTCAAGATTTGCGATCCCGAGATCGTGCCCAAGCTCCGAGTCCTCGTCGACAGTGTCACCCTGAGACGCTTGAAGGACAAGATCGATCTCCCTCCCAGGACGGACGAGATCATCCGACTGGACTTCGATGCCAAAGAGCGCAAGCTATACTCGCTCTTCGAGCAAAGCGCGCAGGACAAGGTTCAGGTCTTGGCCGCTGGCAGGGAGAAGATGCTAGGTGGCAAAACTTACATCCACATCCTGCAATCAATTTTGAGACTTCGTCTGATATCCGCTCACGGAAGGGATCTTCTCAATGATACGGACCTCGAACTCGTACAGGGCATGACCGAGGATTCTGCCATCGACCTCGATAGTGACGAGGACGACGAGAAGCCGGCATTGGCTCAGTCAAGGGCTTATGAGGCATTTGCACTAATGCAGGAAACCAACAATGACTTGTGCATCTCATGCCAAAAGAGAATCGGCGCAAATGGGCCAGAACTCGATCTGGAACGCGAGGACGACGTGATAGGTTACATGACCACATGCTTCCATCTTCTCTGCACTGGTTGCATCACGGCATACCAACAAGACGTTGGCCATCAAGACTCAGGTACCTGCCCTTTCTGCCGAGCCCATGTACGCTTTGCGCACAATGAGCTTCGCAAGAGCAAGACAGCGGTTGAACATGAAGGGCATCGGCAAGACAAGCATGAGTCTAAAGCTGGGTCGAAAGATGGATACATTGGCTATTCCGGACCTCATACAAAGACGCGTGCGCTGGTAGAAGACCTCCTGAAGTCGGAAGCCGACAGCAAAGCGAAGCCCGATGAACCTCCCTACAAGTCGGTGGTCTTCTCTGCGTGGACTTCTCACCTCGACCTCATCCAGTTGGCGCTGGACAAAGTCGGCATTCATTACACCCGCCTCGACGGGAAAATGACACGTATAGCTCGTACTGCTGCCATGGACGCTTTCCGTGAGGACAAGTCGGTACACGTCATCCTGGTGTCCATCTCAGCCGGCGGTCTTGGGTTGAACCTCACGACTGCAAACAGCGTCTACGTAATGGAACCTCAGTACAACCCGGCAGCAGAAGCCCAGGCAGTTGACCGGGTACATCGACTTGGGCAGAAGAGACCCGTCCGCACGGTTCGGTACATCATGCGCAACAGTATTGAGGAGAAGATGCTCATCCTGCAGGACAAGAAGACGAAATTGGCAAACCTCAGCATGGACCGGGCCCGTGTTATGGACAAGGCCGAGGCTGCCAAGCAGAAACTCATGGACCTGCGTGACCTCTTCAAATGAGCGCACAGCATGTCAGTCCTTCCCTCGGGTGCTGCTTCTTTGCATGCTTCTCGTTTCGCGGTACCTTTTAACATCGCGCTGAGTTTGAGGGCTGATGATGATGATTGATGGATTGGGTGGTTTGCATCTGCAGGGCGTTCCGGACTAGGTTCGGTTGTTTCTTTGCGACGCGCACTCGCGACGTCAGGTACCCCATATACGGCCCATGTCATGTCGTTGCATGGCATGCCACCAGTGGGTGGCGGGTTGGGATATACTACAAGGGTCATTCGACACAAACACCAAGCCACTTTCGCAAGAGAGTGGTTGGCGGCAATGGTTCTGGAGTTTCTTTCCTACCCCGGCGTAGCAATCTGGGCACTTGACCTGTGCCATACCGGAAGGTTGATCTCGCATACAGTGGATATGAGTGATAGATTCGATGCATGGATGGACAACCCCTTTCATTCCACACTTCAGTAAACAGACAGCAATTCTCTGTACTCGTGGGATGTTTGGAGGAAGTCAGGCAGAAAAGGACCGAGAGAACTTTCTTGTCTACGTTTTTTCGCGTTGACTAGATCCCTTTCATATTGATACCACGCGTTGCATTCATCATGCCCAATTTCTCTAGATAGACTCACTACCTGAAATGGATCGAGGGATAAACAAATCAGTAAAATATATCTTGACTCGTCCTCGTGAAATTCTTGCGTTCTTTATGCGACAAGTGACATATAGAAGACGGACTGGTGCACACAGAGTCCATCATTACATCCATCCATTCAACACGATACCAACGACAACCCAGTGAGTAGCAATTCAGTCTTGAAAATATCAACCCGCCCAGTCATGAATATCAATGCACTCAAGCATGTCTCCAGACCTACACCATTATCCCCCATTATCCCGTGAAGTAAGTGATTCCAAATCTACCTAGTTAGGTAGGTATCAATCTAGACCTCAAGTCGCACACAGTACTTTAGTTACCCTCCCACCCAGCCTTTCCGCCAGCCAGCCAGCCAGCCCATCCATCCATTAATTCCCCTGGATCTGAAGAAGAGGCCAACACACTAATGCACTCATCACTCAGCCACCTTACTCAAGCACTAGGTAGACTAGACCACGCCCGCTTTCTCACCCAGTGAGCAAGCCCCTTTCCCACCAGTAGTGCCTCACCAGGAAGTCCGTGACACCGCCGCCCAGATACAGCAAATGGTGGATATACACATGCCCGCAACCTCCAACAGGCCGGGTTAGATTGATGTGGAATAGCACAGAAGTCGTCTGTCTCGCTACAGGTTGGAGTGTTGGCCATCGGTAACGAATCTGGTGGATCGGAAAGCACAAGCTCGTTGCTAATAGATTACCTGAAGTCGGCGGCTGAAGACTCGTTCAGTGAGCGTGCGTGCGCCGTGTGCAGAGCACGCATAGGGACGCCTAGGATAACCCAGCTATGCAAGACTTCAAGTTCAGAAAAGCTTGTGTCCTTGGAACACTTCGGTTGGTCATGATGTCTACATGTATTCATGAAAGTCACTTTGATCCATGAAAATGAATAGAGATCTCAAGTCACAATCACAAAAGTTTCATATTCAGCACGATGAGTAATAATTTGTTTCATTATCCTCGTGGGCGATTTCTTCACCCAGAGCTGACAATCTGTGTAGCGTAGGGATGTATATAATCAATGCCAATCCAAAATGATGCGCCCCTTTCGTCAATTCCCCGGAACGCCAGACGATGGGTCACACCATGTGACATGAGCAACTGAACAGCCTGGCAGGAAAATATGTGCGAGTTCGCCTACCGTGCAAGGCACAGAAGACGCAATGGCTGCGGTAGTCATTACGCAGTGATATGCTGTAGTGCTTCCGCTAAAGCAACTGTAACTCGACTTGCATTGTGTAATCCATGTGTTGGTTCCCATGAACATGGTTGATATGCGCTTTGCCCTGCATCACTTCATGCGGCATTGGCGCTTGCAGTTGGCTGCGCAACTTTGGTGACTTGGTCGCCAGCACGGACAATACGACGGCCCTCCGAATCGTTGACGTAGGTGACATCCTTATTCTCCATCTGAGCTCGCTTCCATATCTCAACTTCGCAGCCACCGCGGAGGACACCAACGCGCATCGTGGAAAGTAGGTTGTGAGCAGCGTTGGAGTGGAGGTATACACCACCGTTGAAGATGGCAGTGGCATCCTTGCCAATGGCCGAGGAGATAAGAGCCTTGCCACCAGGATGCTCCTTGACGAAGTCGGTCACATCATGGATAACTCCGGCAACGGCCACGAGAGCCTTTCCATTCTTGGCCTCAGCAACGAAGTCATCCCAGTGGATAACGGGAAGCTGCTCAAGAGGAACACCCCAGTCAAGAGTAGCGCGCTTCTGGTCGAGTTTCTTCTGGAGCTGTTGAAGTCTGCCCTTCTCGATCTCGTTCTGGCGGAATTGCTTGAGATCGTAGGCCAGGCCGAGCTTCTTCCAGGTGAAGATCATCCACTTGGTCGGGTCATACTGCCACCATTGGATGGCGTTGCGGTAATCAGAGGGGAATTCGTGGTGGAAGTTGTGGTATCCCTCGCCGAGAGTGACCAGGGCGGTGATGACGTGGTCTCGAGGAGAGTTGCGGTCGTCGAATGGTTGGTCGCCGAGCCAGTGAGCGAGAGAGTTGACGCAGAAAGTTGCTTGCTGGACGAAAAAGATTCGAAGAATCCCAGCGTAGATGTATCCGCCGAACCAATCACCCCAACCAAGACCACACACAAGAGTGGGGAAGATCAAAGCCATAGTGAGGACGCAGCTTAGGTAATACCTGTGTTGGAACACAACGACGGGGTCCTCGTTAAGGTCGGTGATGTCGCTTCGGCCTATGCGCTTGGGGTTCTGCTGCATAACCATCCACTGTCACGTTTGATGTCAGTAAACCGCCTTCTGGGAAGATAGTGAGGGTGTGGGAGCAAGTAGAGCTCGCTGATGAGGTAACTTACACCAATGTGAGAGTACAGAAGTCCCTTTCTCACACTGTAGGGGTCCTTCTCTGTATCCGTGTATCTGTGATGGGCGCGGTGACCTCGACTCCACCATCTACAGCTGCCCTCGACGGACGCTGCGCCCATAGCGGCGAGATAGATTTTCAGCGGCAAGGTCGCCTTGTACGAGGTGTGTGCCCATAGTCGATGGTATCCTTCTCAAGATTAGCTTTGGCGTCTCAAGAGTATGTGAGGGTGTGAGATTGGAACGAACCTGCAGTTATTCCGAGACCGCTGTTGAAGTAGTAGAAGACGGCGAAGGCGGCGGTCTTCCACTGCAGAGGAACCCAGTAGGCACTGATGAGACCAAGCATGGGGATACCGATGATGAAGAAGGTATTCAGCCAGTTGACGTGTTTGTACCAGTTATTGAGGGTGATGGGAAATTCGGTGATATGAGGCTTCCGCAGATCCTTCGCGGATGATCTGAGAGGCGTATAATCGACAGTACCGTCGGGAAAGCTGGCGGCAGTGCCATCGGGCATGGTCGCCGCGGACGCCATGCTGGACGGTTGCTCGAATGAGGCGTGGGATATCGTAGTGAGCCCTCCGGTTGCGTGAAGGGTCGTCGTGGGTTGCTGGAGGTGGAAGGTGACGTTGGAAGAAGGGAGGCTCAGTAGGAGTGAAATAGGCGGGTTGGGGGTGAGTATTTATGGATGGGATGCCGATGCAGCGGGTGGGTACCAGGAAGTGGTGGGACGCTGAACCCGGGCCAGTGGCAGCACCAGCGGCAGCACGTCCCCTGACAAGCCCCCTGGCAGCCTTGGGACCTTCAGGCTTCGGTGGCGGGCGAGGCGGGGAGCGCTGGGAGGCAGTGGGCCAATCAATGGCGGATGAGGCTAGGATTCTAGGAAAGACTCGAACCTTGACAGCCTACGTGGTGGTGGCAACATTCGATGTTGGTTCGGTTTCTTGAGGAGCGTTGTTGTTTTTGGGGATGCTTAACTGCTCAAACAATGGGCAGCCGACCGAACGGGGGCTGATCAAGTGGTGCTATCAGCAGCAACTGTGGGTTGTTCCAGTCAATTGCTCGTCGAATCACTGCTTATGCCAGATGATAACGGTACTGGGTACATGAATGCAACTTGCACAATTTCAATGAGTAGGTATGCCCCAGGATGACTCTGGGGTAGCCAAGCCGACGACAAAGAATCAGATGTCTCTGGCAATGGTGAATGGGCACATGCGAAGGCGGGGCTAGATAATCGGTCGGTACTTTGCAAGTTTGCAGCGGCCAGATTGCCCGACCCGGCGCTTGCCATGGCCCATGTGTTTGGGTGTCTTCCTGCAAGGTTCAGCCGTTGATCTGCTCCTTCTTGCCGCGTTTCGGAATTTGTTGAATTGTTGGGACGAAGGGTCCAGAGTGGCGGTTTGCCTGACAGGGGCTTCAACCCAATGGGAAGCTCCCACTGGGCAGGGGCCCTTCCCGATTTGGAGCTGTGAGGTGTGCCACAAACAACGTCCTTTGTTTTCACCGTCATGTGTCAAACTGACCTTCTTCGTCGACGACTCTTTTTACAACTAACGATGATGGCCAGTTGCTCGTCAGGCCACTTTCAAAGCTTGAACTGAATTTCTGTTCGGCCTTCACCTGTTGCGAGTAGAACTTTCACAATCTGTTGGTCTCCAATTGAGTTTTCAGCCTCTGGAGGGGTTGCAGTATTAGCCCCGCGACATCTTTCAAGCCTTCATCCAATCTGCAACGCGCCAGAGACCATGAACCCTATCGACGGCAATCCGTGATTACGGTAGCTTTCGCCAACGGTGGTGGCTTGAAGCTCGAAACTCTGATAGCTGAGGTATTGTACGTGCCCGCCAATCGAACCCCTGACGTATGCCACCCTGCAGAGCACGGCTACAGCCAACCACACTATCCTTGACTTCGATGTCCAGAAGAGCCTCGGCATCACGCGAGAGACCCTTTCCCCAGGGCTGCGGGTTCGCAATGTCTGGATCGTGACGATCACGGAAAATACTACAGTAGGCCGAGCCGAGGGAAGGAATGAAGGAATGGCCCTGCCGGTTTGAGGCGAGGACCGCATTCCCGCCCCCACACTTGCTCCCAACAAAACGGCTGTGACGCACGTGCCACCCGGGCTTTTCTGTCTCCACTATTCCGACTTCTAGAACGATTCCATCGTCGGCTCTAAACTCCGCGGAGACAAGCTTGGTCGGCTAGAGGAACGCCACGTCCGTGCCGCGAACCCGTTCATCAACCTTGCCAAGATGCCGGGAGTCACCGCTCGTAAGGTCAGGAATCATCCGTCCGATGGACGGCGCAGCCCCGTCAGGCGCTGAACAAACTCGTCGCCGGTGCCTCAACTCTAGGCCAACCTCGACAGGCGCCGACGCAGTACGCCGCGGCGCTGGTGAGTCAGAGAAAAGGATGGTAAATGACGTGGTGCATCCTAGGCCCAAGGGGAGTCCATCGACACGCCTCCCGGCTGGAAGAGGGGAATTCATTTGATCCGTCCCCAAGCTGGAAATAGAGTTACGCCATCTTGCGCACATTTTACACATGTCTACCGGTTTGTCTGGTAGCCGGGTTGGTACGGCCTAGCGAAATAATCTTACAAAGTATTCTTAAAGGTATTCTTAGGCACAGCAGTTCGATTCCCCTAGCGGCTGACATTATTTTTTTGTCGCCGGTCCTTCGGTTCGGCTTCTATGGTGCCTCTCCGCCTGGTGCTGCTGGTGCGGCGGCCACGGGCGGCATCGACAACCACCAGGAAAACTCCAGGGAGCACGGCGACCACCTGGGCGGGTCGCTCCACGGCCTCGGCGACCCAGCCGCCATACTGGGGCGCCGTATGCGCAACCGCGGCAGGCGTCGCTGTCTCTGTCACCGGGGTTGCCTACTACTCAGCCGAGCTATGGGCCTCGACCGTTGTCAACGGTTTGACGGCGAGTCTTGCTGATATGAGACGTGTGAGCATTCAGCGCGGTGAGGATTCATTCATTTCTTGCTGTCGATCCACCGGTTTCAGTACACCTGCTCCCGCTGAACCTGACCTCCACTGCTCTTTAATGACGCCGGCAGCTGGCAATTTATAGCTTGTGGTCCGTTGCTATTGTTGCATTCTCCAGCTGGTATGGCACGAGGTTTGTTGGAGGCCTGGCTCTGTCCTGCGTTTGATGATTGAAATGGGCTGTGTTATGGTCAGGTGTCACTCGACGTTCCGTCTGTGACCACTCGTTGGAGGTTCTCTCATTCTTTCTCCCGACACGAGGATCAATCCTGCTTGAAACACGCCTTTTCCGTGTGCATAGCCAAGAGCATGAGGATTCGGCAAGGAGAACCTAGCAACAAGGTCGGTACTCTGAGGGTCAGGTGGTGTTTTGACTTGAGCCGCCATACCGGCTGACTGGCCCATCGCACACTGTGGCTCATCTCGGTAACATGCAGGTTGTCAACTTGTCACCAACAGCCAACACAAGCTGCAATCTGAGAGGCTCTTCAGTTCCAACCCTTGCCCGCGTGTGCAGGTGTGGTTTGACATCGCGTCGGAATAAGAAAGCTCCTGGCAGTCGGGAGCCAAAAGGGGGCAACGTGGCTGGGTCTTCATGACGGGTCAATCGCCCCGGCCCCCTTCCCCCCAGCCTCTCTTTCTTTCGCCCTCGCTCTAATATTTGCGAAGTGAAACTCGGGAATGTCCACAGAAACGAGTACTCAGACGATTAGCTGAACTGAGTGAAACGGTTCAACACAATGAGCGGCCCAGGAGAGCAACCAGACTGCAGTACGGCCGACTACACAGACAAATTCTTCGAACCGACATCTCAAGACACATTCCATCCAGGCGACACAGTTGAGATCTCGTGGTTCGCGGAGCCGCCCCAGAACATTACCTCGCTGAGCGAAGCGATCTGGGCCCTGACACTGCAGCGTTCCGGCTACACTGGAGACGAGCCTAATAATTTCTCGTTCACCATCCAAGGTACGTGACGAGCGGTGCCAATAGCCACTGCGCCTGATCGCGGTCCATAGCGAAAACTTGAAGTCCTAACTGGGTGCTAGGGTCCTTCTTTTCCTTGTACGGCCGTGCTACCGGCCCTGAATCCTGGACTATTATCGACGAGTGTGACGATACGGCGCAGAATTACACGTGGTACATCCCCTCTGATATCGACATATCGTTTCCCAAATTCGCTCTCGTCGCTCGAAACTTAAGCGACGGCGGCCACGCCCGGACGAGCGATCCGTTCTTGATCGAGGCTACTGTTCCAGCTCCCGAGGTATCTTCCCTGACCGCGGCCACCTCGACATCTTCCAGTTTGGCAACCTCCAATCCGACGTCTTCTGGTTCGGTATCCCCTAGCACGACGTCTACATCCGCAATTGGATCGACACCCACCTCGTCACCTTCGACGCATCATGGATCTGCAGGGTTGTCTACGGGGGCAAAGGCAGGGATCGGTGCCGCGGTGCCCCTGGCTGTGATAGCCGTCGTGGTGGGACTATGGGCCTTCTGGAAAAGGCGTCCAGTGAAGAAGAATGCCCAGGTCGAAGACGGTCCAGTTGCTACGAGCACTGATATGTATGAAAAGGCCGAGCTACCTGCGGATAACCAGACAAGGATGGAACCCGTGGAGCTTGACGGGGGAGGAATAGAGCCGGGGGAGATGGATACAAGTACGCGCCAGGTGCATACAAGCCCAAGCCCGCAGGCGCCTGTTGAGCTATCGCCATAGTGTGTAGACAAGGCCTGTGTAGCAACATGGAAAGGGGTTGACATCCTTCGAGTCAGCTTTCCAACACCTCCCAGCACTTGCCACTTTTCGGGGCCGAGACCTGCACACGCGAGGTGCTTGGCCTGATTAAACGTCCTTGCTAGGTCTTACTCAGTCTGACGATACCAATGCGAACAGAATGCCCGAGTACACGTGTTCATACATAACAAGAAGGACACGCCGCATGTCTATCCTCCACTCCAGCCTACCAACCACGTCCGTCCCCCTCTACCACTACACCGCTCTCAAGACAATAACGACGCAATGTCTTTTGTATCACACTACGAGACACAGAAGCGAACAGCGCAAGCCGTCATCGGCGGCTACAACGAAGGCACTCCAGATAGTCTGTTGAGATACAGAACGCCAGAATGCAAGCATATGATCCATCCGGCTTCGGTAGCCAAGGCCATGAGCGTGGAGGAGATAGGAAACGAGGAGTATGCGTCGCATATTGCGCGATCGGCGGGGATGTTGCAAGATGTTAAGGTTATAAGGCGAGGTTTCTCTACTCTAGTCTTTGGTGATGTGACTTGAGGTGAGGGGAGGTGATATCTGAGGGTAAAGGTAAATGCTGACCACCATGCGGCTGTTACCTACCTAATTGGAGCCCACGAAGATATTCCATGATACGGAACAGAGATTTAGCACCGTCCACCTGAACGGCACCGTTACATCTCTTATTGGGCCCTACGCGGATGAGTATATCTTTTTCTTGTAATTTGATGAGAGTGGGGAGAAGTTGGCGAGGGTGCAGAAGTTTGTGGATTCGGGATATACTATGGAGTTCCTTGGGAAGTTGGGAGAACACGTGAAAGCGAAAGCAGGTAAACGGTGAGCGTAAATTCTACGCACAGCCGTTGCGAGAGCTGGGAGGGTGTTCAAGGTTCGCTGTTGTCCACCGCCCGCGCTACCAATCTGTAGGCGACGCCACAGCCGGCGGCCTTGAAGTTCGGGATGTCTTCAAGCTGTCATTGGATGACTTTAGATAGATGCTGCCACTGGCGACTCTATATCGAAGTCCGCTGAGTTTCGGAACAAAAGCGGCTGATTGCCAGTGAAATATTATCCCTAACCAGGTACATGTCTGTAAACCCCCAGGACCCCATCACCTTCACGAGGCCGATCACTCCGCATGGAAGTTAGGGGCCGGCAGCATGATCAGACGGTACGGTTGCTTTTTCGATTTGTTGCAGTGGAATAGTTCATCTGTGACTATCCCCTTTCCCAGCCAGGCTGACCTCCCCAGACTTCCTCATCTCATAAGCAAATTCCGCTTAGCCATCTCAAATATGTCTTCGTCGAAAGGGCATCAACTCCCTGTCTTAAAACAAAGCACGGGTGGCGCTCGCAGTAGCACTCTGAATGTGATTACCGCCGCAAATATGCTATTATAATTATATTGACACCAAATGCCACGGTGGAAATGCGTTATACCAAAGTCTCATCCCAAGAACGCCAGAACTGGTTATTGAATGTGGGCATGCACTTGACCAGGTCGGGAGGTGGTTTCCACTCGATCTTATCCTCTTCCACTGCGCCGGCAACTAATTGTGATGTGTAATCCATCTTCTCCTTGACCTTCCTGCCCCTCTCGTTTGAGTACTCCAGGTTGACGCTGGGCACGACGGCGATCTTTCCGTGGCCGTGGAACCACATGTCCTCTTCATCGAGCAGCCCGAGCATTCCATCTTCAGCATTGCCATCCACGCAGGCACCAAGTCAAGCACCGTTCTCTGGGGCCTCGAGCTCAGCTGCTGCCACGACGGCAGCGAGCTCTTCTGGGCCCAATACTAGCGGAAACAATGACAACAACAACACAGGTGCTATCGTTGGAGGCGTCATCGGCGGTCTGGCGCTCGTGGGCGGTTTTGGAGTTGCCGCGATCTACGTCTTCCTGGAATATCGTCGTAACAGGGCGGCGGATACTACGCAGGAGGAGGAGAACAGGACCCTCGTGACTCGAGGTACCTTGTTACCACCGACGGCTGAACAGGAAAGGAAGCAGCCGGCATGGGTCGCATCCGTGGAGCTGCCCGCTTTCCCCAAATCTCCCGCCGAGCTGCCCGCCGGGGAATGGCGGCGGTAGATGATATATACTTCTCGTTTAAAAGTTTTCAATGTTTATTACTGTCCATTGCTTGTGAGGATACCACTCATCTTCCTAGACACCGGACGAATATGCCAAGGGGGCGGTTCTGGCTAGTGTCTTTCAGATATCTCTGAAACCAAGCACATCAACCTTAGGGGAAAGCTTTACTTAGACGGACAACACAAAGCTTATACACAACTAACGAGCCTTTAACCTATCACGCAAAAGCTCTGGCAACTGTAATTTCGCTTTCGGTATTGGTGGGATACGCAAGTTATTACCAGGGGTAGAGTCATGGAAAGAAGGCATGATTTATCAGCCGACTCTGGATATCATGAGTCCTGATATTTGCACCTTACCTCAAGTCCTTATTTACCCCTTAGTGGAGTCTTGCATCTAACGTCCGTCTGACAGCGGGCTGCCTGTGTACTAAGCTCAACGAGGTCTAACAGCCTATAAGTTAGGTCCAGCTGCGAGGGATATGGTGATCCGTATCGAAATGGCGTCGATATACGAAACACAACCGCGCTGGCAATCGAGCTTGGGAACGGGTTGATTGAACGCGACCGATAGTCATCTAATTGAATGCAACTAACGGCCATCTGTGAGGGACATGACGATCTGACATTGTATGTCATTTCCATATGAAACCGATCGCGGTAGCGTACTGAAATAAGCAGCTCGCAACCATAGATTTATCATTGATGCTTATTCCAGACCACTCATTCCACATATGTTAAATTCTCCCGTAGCTTGCTAAATGAGGGGTGTACGGAGACTTCTTAGGGTTTAGCATATCCCATCCCTCAAGACTACCTACCAGACCTAGGCGAGGCCATAGGTAATTAATGTACATAGCCGCCAACATATCACACATACCTTTGAGTCGAGGACGCAGCCATAATGACATACATAACTCCCACACGAGTGCGGGCATTCGTACTTTATGTGTCACGGCAGCCAGTGAGTGCAAGGCTGGCCACAGCGCTGATCCCGCCGGCGCCAAGCAGAACCTCGTTTCGTTGTGAACTGCCTCGAACTAGGCCCACAGCATCATACATACATAGTGCTATTGCACACTGACTACCTATCTACTGACTAACTGACTGATTGACGATACGTAAGTATGCAGTGCTTCGTAGCCCATAGCCCATGGTAGGCACGAAATCCTCCAGGCCCCGGAACTTCCGCTCCTAACCAAACCCATTCTTACAGCCTACTAAGCTTCCGAACACACAGCCCCAGCCAACTCAAAGGACCCTCAAGAGCAAAGAACCCCTCCACCTCGTCCCTCCATCACCTCCCCCCAGCCAGCGAAATCCCCGCGATCTCTGTAATCCCATGACACAGCCGTGCAACACCAGCAAACGTCGGCCCACGAAAGGCGTTCGCGACACAACAGGATGGACACGCGGGCCCAGGCAGCGACTCCGACGCCGACCTCATACGCCTTCCTGGCCCTGTGCCTAGCCGTCGGTTCGGTGTTGCAGCGTCTCACAAAGTATCACAACCTCGAGTGAGACCGAATCCTGCTCTGTCTCCGCTCAACGTTATCTATCGTAAGCTGTTCAGCACAGAATGTCAGACAGCCCGGAGGCACGAGAATGAGGCACAGGGCCTAGCTTGTCTACATCATCATAAGAGTCTTCTCATTCATTCTACATCCAATAAATATCGTCGTATCGAAGAATAAGAAAATCAAGGTGCTTGCTTGCTTGTCAAACCATGCTTTCCCGTAGATAGTACAGATGCTCCCACTCCGGATGACATTGCTGCCACACACGCATGGCGAGGTGCCCAATGCAAAGATCGAATCATGATAACGCCGGTCATTGAGAAGTTCGTCAGATGAAAACAAAAGAAAACATTCGTCCGAATCATCATGAACTCCTTACTCGCTTTGCTGTACACAGACCTCCATCCGAAGCATATGAATGCACCAGGGCTGATCTATCAAGCCTGAGATGTCACGTTCTGTGTGGCCGTAGTAGAATTGAGACCCAGATCTTCGTCTGAGCACATCGACTGTCGATATTCCTCCTGCTTCGTGTATGCTGACCCAACACCTGTCAGTTCAGGCGGCAGGTCTTCCCTTCTCTGGTGGGTGTAATTGGGACTGGAGTCGCTGTCCCCGTCTTCCAGTGCGTGTGAGGCTTCTCCAGCCTGCGCAGCAATTTCAATGTCACCTTGGTTTTGTGTTCCTGTGGGTGCTGTGATCCCCATTTGGTTCTCCATTGGAGCACTTCCCGCTTGTCCTAGAACGTCCACACTGGGGGTCTCGCCCAAGATTTCTGTGGTGGGTGGCTCTCTGAACGTTGTGGCAAGCTGTGAGCCGTTGCCACTGGACGATAGCTGCTTCTCGACGCGGTCGATCCTTGCAGGAGGTACCTGGTCAACATCGTTCGCTAGCGATGCCTCGTTCGTCTGGCTTTCACCACCAGTCGTCAGAGCCTGGTCCTGTTCCAGATCGGCCTGGGGATCGGCATCGAACTTCTTGAGGTCATGCGCCATTTGCTTCGCTATAGCATCTGCTGCATTCTCTCTTGGCGTCTCCACCCTTGCCTCATCCATTCCAACACCACTTGTAGAAGGGACGACATGAGATTCCGACCATATTACTTCGCGTTCAAGGAAAGGGGTATCACATATGCCGTGACTGCTCGGCAGTGGACTAGGCGGAGAACGTCCACGTGGAGGGTAGTAGCATGGCTCGTCAGACAGACCAGGTGAGGTGGCCTGCGTGTCACCCACGTCTGCGTGTGACCACCGAGGCTCGACCGTTCGAATTTGTGGGCGTCCTTCACGGCCGTCGACCAAGTACTCCTGCAGTGAATAGCCGTCGTCCACAGAGATCGACGGCAGTTGTTGCAGCTCGGGCCTGTCGTCGTACGATGATTCGGGAAACTTGGCAAGTAGTGCCGTGGCCTGCAGTCTGACGCGGGGATTTTCGTGTAGGCAGTTTTCCACCATCCTGCGGTACCACGGTGGTACCTCTATCTCGGGATCCAAACGAAGTGGTCGGCGGTGGGCCTCGGGCTCGTCCTCCAAGGTCGCAAGCGCCCACAGCACCATACCAAGCTGATAAAGATCCGATTTGACACCAATGTACATAGAAATCCGTTGGTTGCTGTCGATGAGTGGGGTTGCCTCCGGAGGCTCCCAGCCGACCGGGCAGCCTCGCCTGTTGATGTCTATTATTTTGGCGTTGTGATAGTCGTCAATGACAATGTTAGAAAGAGTGAAATCGCCCTGGACGAACCCGGCTTCGTGAATGTCCGACAGACCTTGAACAATCTGCCTTGCCCACCTCTCCCGGGTCGACCAAGGCAGATGCTCCCCGTATTCTTGAGAATCGTAGATCTTGTCAATGAGCGCACCTTGGTCGGCGTAGCTGATGAGAAGCCCTTTGACGAATTGATCATCATCGTCGACAACGACGCCGAAGAATTCGATGATGTTTCGAGAAAACCGCAGAGAATTGAGAGCATTTACCTCATACAGAAATTCGTCTACCGTGTCTGGTCCTGGAATCTCCTTCTTGATGAGCGTCTGCCCATCCACGCGGACTTTGTAGACAAAGCCAGACATGTGCGAGTCAAACTCAAGATCTCTCTCCCTGACACGCCGACATCTCAAGTGCTGTACCATACGGACGGTTGGGTAGTGGATGATCTCCTGCACGGAAGATTCCGATCAGCATGAACCTATAGCCTCATAAAGACTTGACCTACGTTGACATCTTCCACGACATGGACATGTAACCTTCCATCCGTTGTCTGCAGCTTGAGATTGGTGACGGTCTCGTAGAACTGAATGTCCTGAAGACTTTCGCGTATGGCTTCATAAATCTTTGCACTCTTCTCCCTCTGGAATTTGATGTGGAGGAGATCCTTCTCGAGCGAATCCTCCGGTGCGTCCCGGTAGTCCAGGGAGATGGTGACCCGCCTCCACATGAATTCCTTCTCTCGGTACGTAACAAAAAACTTTTCTCTTCGAGACTTATCTCGAAAATGCATGCTGAGATTCAGTATCCACCGATGCTCAAGCTCGTCATGTATCATTGCGTCGTAGTGAGATGTGGTGATGGATTGGACATCAGCAGCCGTTGAAAATGGCTCGGTGTAGGTAGGGACTTGGTTGAACGGGTCTTCCTGAACCCGTTCTACGTTTGGCGTGCTGAGGTCGTCAAGACTCAGAAATTGCTTCTCGTCGACGGGACTCTGAGGGGCCGACATATTGTCTGATATGACCGTTTGCGGGCCCACGGAAGAGTGCGAATCGTCGAAAAAGTCGGGCGCACTTGCGCGAGGAAGAGGCTGGCCCGTGTGGGAGACATTGCGTCTGGGATGCAAACGTCGATCAACAGACACAGCTCTGCGTTCTGCAGGCGTGGGCTTCAACTCCTCCAGCTTCTCTCTGACCTCGGACTGTTGCCTCTTGAAGGTTTTGGCTCGAGGCAGCCCCGGTACAACCTTCCGCGATACCCTTCGGATTAAGCCTGAGCTAGGCGAGGCTTCTCGAGTCAAATCGGGCTCTTGCGCATTGGTTGTAGATGACGTTGGTGTATGGGCCTTGCTGGTGAACTTCTTCCACAAAGAGGCTCTCCAGCCCTTGTCCAAAGGCGAAGGCGGCTCGTGTGACGGTACATCTATGGGTGCTGCCATGCCGGCGGTATCTTAGCGAGGTCGGTATTGCTTGTTCAAGCTGCCGTATAGACGTGTCTTGCTCGGAGTCGTTGCTATGTAGAGGAAAGGGAAGAGCCCGGAGCGGCCATGTATTCGGATGATGTCGCAGTTATCATGGGTCGGTGTGAGACTGTCGGTCAGGCAGGCAGATGGCCCAAGACGGCGGAAAGGCGCTACGGCGCTACAGGTGACCACGTTGGCGTTGTCGTGGGTGCAGGGTGACTGAGGCTGAACTCGGGCGTGAATCAGGCTCCAATGGAGCTCGCGAAGGGTCACTGCGGCCGTGATGGTGTGTGGTGTTTGGCACAGCTCGCGCTCGCGGGTGGATGACGGGGAGGCAGAACTGCACTTTCGCGGGACTACAAGGCTAGCAGGCGAACGGCAACGATGCTATAGGCAGAGAAGATCAGAGGCTGGTGAGATTGGGCTGGACATGGCTGTCTAGGGCATGCATGGGTTTCAACACTTCGGTAAAGCAGTAAGAAATGGTCAAGGGAACAGAGCGAGGGAGCGAGTGAGGCTTTCGAGCCGTTGACTGGTGGTTGGCACCTACGTGTGAGATAGGCAGTGCGCTGGCGGGAGCGATGGGAGAGGGAATCGGGTAAAGTGCGATCTCGCTGTCCCGAAAGGGGGCCTCGTCTGAAAGATGCAAAGACAGAGGGTGCAGCAGAAATATGCAGGAGACGAATGGAGCTGGAGTGGTCCGCTCGAGATCAGGATGGTGGACGATTCACGAAGCAGTTGCTAGGTACTGCAGTATGCGCGAATACCTCCGGCTCCATGTTCAAACACTCAACTAATTTGAGCAGGCACAGGCACTTCTAGGCACAATGCGTCCTAGCGGCGCTCGGCAGCGCCTACCCTAGACCAGGGCGGACAGGGGTAGCTTGTGCGGTAAGGGCAGAAGGGGTCCACTTGGCTAGTCCCATCCATGGATCAGTGATCACGATCTCGATAGTCGTTTTATGTTAATATTCCTTGCGTCTTGCGTAGAACACGCCACAGGTTCTGAATGGTGTATCAACTTACACCACTCTGGCTGTGTTTCTTGGTTCCTCCAAATTGGTATCATCACGGCGACGATTGAGGACCAATTGGCCTGCACTCCGAATGCAGTGTACGCACAGCAGGTACAACATCACTATCGTCATGTGGTTGCTGGCGACAGCATCGCCAGTATGGTGGTCACTGGTGGGTTGTGTGTGGAGGGGCTGGCGCATGCGGGGGCACGCTTCTCCCCATTCGACAATGCGAAATCCAAACACCAGAAGGGTGGAAGGACATTGGGCAGCTTGGCCGAAACGATGTGTTGTACAAATCCGCCGGTGGACGATTCCGGGATGGATCAATCCGATGGAGCAGTTGCAGCCTGTCACCGAGTGCCACCAAGCCCACCACCAATGACGAAGAGACTGTCATCTTCAGGCTGCTCTTGACTCTTGAGGTAGACATTGCAATATCAGATATCAGATCGGGCATCCCATCTTGCAATGACATACGATATCGGACTCCAAGTCAGACTGTGAGCTGTGCCTCACTGCTCACAGGCTGTGAGCAGTGAGACCGACGGAGTGTCCGGCCTCCTTCTATTCTGGGCCTCGAAGAATTTGGAGATGTGGAGAGGCGGACAACTCATCAACACCCATATCAACCAGCAACACAATCCTTCGCGATGAATGTTCGTCATTGTGTATCTACACGCACACCGTCTGCTACTAGCAAGAGTAGTTCATGTTGAGGTAGCTTGAGCTAGGCAAGCGTTGTGTAAACCCAACGGCGTGTCCATCATCATTTTATAAGCCGAATATCAAGGCCACGATGGGAACACAGCAGCGCAGCACGCACGTGAAGAAGACATCGAGGCGGAAACCCGTAGAGACATATACACCGCCGTACAGACCTGGTTAGCCGCATGACATTCTCGTCACCGCCCGTTTGAAGTTTCAACTCCATACAGCGGGACCCGCCCACCGACTGAGCGTAATAAAGATCGATCCATTATCCATCCCATCTCATCGTCCTATTGTTGTCTCACCGACTTCGACAAAACACAAAAGTTCGAGTCCACCACGAACAGTAACACTAAACAAATAGGGCCCGTACAGTAAACGAATAGGGCCCTAACCCAATCTGGAAGCCATCCCGGGGATTCAATTGGCGGCGCACCGCCCACCACATCGCAAGTACTTCAGTTTGCGTGCATTCTTACCGAACCAAAGATATCTTTCTCGAAGGCGACGGGTTAGGAGGGTTAGGGTTAGGGTTAGCCGGGGGTTTGGGGGGCGGTGCGAGCCCCCCATCTGTGAATGTGTCCTTGTGTGCGCCGTGGTGGTGGTGATCATGGTGATGGTGTTGAGGATTAGTGGGTCGTGAGATGGATGCAGGTGCTGTGATTGGTCAGATTGGGCCCTATTCGTTTAGTGTTACTGCACCACTAAACCCTAGAAGTTCCCAATTAATTCGTGATCGAGCTAACAGCCCAACTCTCCCAGGATATTCCAAGTTCGCCCAACCTGACAGGTCATAATGGGGATGGATTATCAACGGTGCGCTGACCGCCATGGCACCCGCCTCTTCTTTTTCATGTGCCTAGCAGCAACAGCGCCAGCCAGCACCGGCGGCAGTTGTCGAACGTAGGACTGCATACATAGGGGCTAGATAATCACTAGATCCAGAAACGCATGCAGACGGGACAGCGCCTCCAAGTGTAGAAACCACGAGACCGGGCCACCGCAGCGCCGCCCAGAGCTTAACCCGAGCTTCAACGTTCCGCGAACCTGGTCAGGTGCTCGCGCGGACACGTATGTAGTTGAAGGCGCAACCGACTACAGCATCGACGTTGTACGAGATGCGTGCGAGGACTCGACGAACGACAAGACGAACGCCTGTTCGCCCCTGTAGCCTGACATATATGCGTACTTGCATAGGCATATTTCGTGCGCTTGCACTCGCGTGTCGCGACTTGCGAATTGCCCATGTTCGATAACAAAACGCCCGGATCCAAAGTCCAACGGCCGGGACCACGCAATGGACCCTTTTCAAGGGGTGTGAGTGATGCTATTAGGCCAAGTGACATCCATATGTACGGTAGGGCTAGCATGGATCGCAGCGAATGCAAGCGCCGTTGTTCGATTCAGCCCTTGAGGCCGCAATAAAAAAGGACGGATGTGTGGGATCAATCGCAAGGTGTTGACGACTTCAACCTGCTAGGAATGAGGAATTGGACCCAACAGCCACCATCACCGTCGCAAATGCGCACCTCGTACGAGAATGCGATCCCAAGACCGCAAGCAGGGCATCGGCATCGTCATCCTCAGCATCAGCATCAGCCTCCCTTCCAACGCAGGAGGGAGTAGTAAATTGGGCAGCGATACATTGCCTACATGTCAGGAGTCCACGCAGACAGCAAATCGCAAAGCAAGGCTGCCGCCAAAAGGTACAGGCCAGCAATGGCTGGATGCAAGTAAGGTACATCAAGTAAGTAGGCGGAAAGCCTCCGGGCCTGCTGCATGAGAAATAGTCCGAAATGGCCCATGGGTGCTTCGGTGCTTCCTATTCGCGAGATGAGACTTTTCTTCTCCGGGGGGCTGTGAAGGTGTATGCGCATACACGTGTAGATTGGGGACATTATTTTTGAGCCTGCTTCCAAATCGCAATGACTCAGGACTGCTCAGATATCAGATGTCGACTGCGTTTTGTCCATTAGTAGTAGCTCGCGCGAAAGCAAGACGATCTCCATCAAGCCCACCCAGCTCCAACGTAACCGCGAACCGAACCGCATGGCCGCTTGTTTAGATGCCGCACATCGTCGAGTTTGCTAAAAGGTAGTCGCTGCACTCGCAACAGGGCCTATCCTTGCTCCATGATATCAATCTGCACTCTTTGCTTGTCCCGCGAGACCAGGCGCACCGGCAGCGAGTCCTACCTCTCCTCTCTACATGCGGGCAGCAAATGTCACTGAGCGTAGGTATTGTAGCAAAGACTTCTCGGAACCGCAGCCCGGCGTTGCATCGACGCTTTCTGGCGGTTCGGAATGGGCCGCCGGGCATGAACGACAGGCGTTAGATTCTCCGCTCTCCATCGTCTACAGAGTTACCTACCTTACTACATACCTCAGCACCCACTTGTGAGCTGCTTAGCCTCCATTACCTGTTGACAGGCAGCTACACCTTTCCGCTCTTTGGCACCAGGGGAGAAAAGAAGCCTTAAGCAGTCGGGCGGAGATGCGAGCTGAGCTGAGCTCAAACCTGCCTACCTATCTCCATCGACAACAAATTGGGGCGCAGCGGTCCACGATGTGGTCTCTCATGCGAGGACTCGCATGCTGCATGCACACTGCCCGAATGTCTCAGGGCTACACATCCCCCCGGGACCGCAGTCGTCCAGATGTCATCCATTCGTCGGCGAAGTGGCCCATCACGCATTCCAAGCGTATCAGTAGTGTTTTGACACGTCGTCGCGGTGGGCTTCAGATTCTCCATTCGATGCTTGCTTTTATTCCCTTGCGACGAACGGGTGGTCGGTCATCCACCACGAAACCCGACCACATTCGACTATACGTACAAGAAACTAGATTTGTATGGTACATTGATTGACAGTTGTAGGTGAGCGAGGAGATGGGTACAGCGTTGTTGGGTTACTTCGAACCACTTTCGTCGAGTCATTGCGTCGCCGCCTGAACGCCTGTCTGATGGACCAATCCCGCAAATGCTTCCATGTAAAGATCTATATGCACACGTCGATGGCCGATGGGGCTGTGAGAATGTATCAGTCGTCCCCAATCCTACACGGCTCCTATTCGTCTTTGTCGCTCTCCGTCTTTGCGTCATCCTCCTTCTTCGTGTCATGCTCCTTCTTCCATTCGCAGATTTTGCATCGCTTTGCCTGCTCCATATCCAGATTGGGGAAGACGAGATGGAATATGTCCTTGTACCAGTTGGCTGGGTAGCCCTCAAGGCCTTCTTTGATGTTCTACAGCACAGTGTTAGCAATCACCATCATTACGAAAAAATTGTAAATGTTGAGATAGTACCCACCTCGGGGAGCTCCAGCCAGTCGGACATGTTGTCATCCGGGAAGATGATCTTCTTGCACCCAGCACGCCTTGCTGCTACAGTCTTCTCCCTCAAGCCACCTATCCTGAGGACCTTGCCGGTCAGGGTGAGTTCACCAGTCATGGCGATTGTGGGGTCAACTGGGGTGTCCAATGCCAACGACAGAAGAGAGGTAGCCATAGTCACGCCAGCTGACGGACCATCCTTCTGCACTGCCCCCTCGGGTACGTGTAGGTGAATCTTCGCCTTGTCGAAGAAGTGGTTGTCAGCAAACTCATTAGCCATGTATGCCTTGGCAAAAGAGTAGGCGATCGTAGATGACTCCTTCATTACTGTCTTCAGGTTACCGGTTATTTCCAAGCCGGCGCGACTGCTGGGACGTAGAGCAGACTGCAGGATGGATTCGATGTACATCGCAGAGCCACCCATTTGGGTCCAGGCTAGACCCATGGAAACTCCAGGTGGTGTTATGTCGTACAAGCGATCAGAGGTGAAGATGGGAGGACCGACGTAGTCTTTGAGGTTCTCTTGATCGATCACCACATGGACCGAATCGGGAACCTTCAAGGCAACACGTGGCTTCTCTGTGGTTTCCTTCTCGGATGCCTCTGGATAAGTAGGGTCCTTCTTCTGCTTCTCGTTCTCTGACTCTTCCATGGCTGCCTTGCCATCCTCGGTAAGTGCTTCGGACTCTGGTAAGACCTCTTCTCCGAGATCTTGAACGATCTTCAGAGCTGACTTGCGGTAGACCTTTTCGATTTGTTTCTTCAGGTTCCGAACGCCAGACTCTCGGCAGTACGACTTGATGAGCTCCTCGATAGCTTGGTCTGATAATGAGACATCCGCATCCTTCAGTCCTGCGAGTTCCTTCGCTGCTGGGGCCAGATATCGATCCGCGATCGCCTTCTTTTCATCGGATACGTAACCGGAAAGTCTGATGACCTCCATACGGTCAAGCAGAGGTCGAGGAATAGTGTCCGTCATGTTCGCTGTGCAAACAAACAGAACTTTGGAAAGGTCGACAGGAACATCCATGTAATGGTCCAGGAAAGAGTTATTCTGCTCCGGGTCCAGTAGTTCCAGCAGAGCAGATGAAGGGTCTCCTTGATAACCACGCCCGATCTTGTCAACTTCATCTATCAAGATCAGAGGATTCTCGGTTTGGCATTTCTTCAGAGCTTGAATGACTCGTCCGGGAAGTGCGCCGACGTAGGTTCGACGGTGACCCTTGATCTCGGCAACATCTGTAAGACCCCCGACGCTGAATCTGTAATACTGTCGGTTCAAGGCTCTGGCGATTGACTTGCCGATACTTGTCTTGCCGACACCGGGGGGTCCGACAAAACATATAATCTTGCCTTCAACTGTACCACGGAGTTTGCCGACCGCGATGAACTCCAAGATGCGATCCTTCACGTCTTTCAGGCCATAATGGTCCTCGTCCAGAACCGTCATGGCATTCTGGATTCCAAAGTTTTCCGCACTTCTCTGACCCCAAGGGATTTGCGTCAACCAATCCAGGTAGTTTCTTGTGACGTTGAACTCGGAAGCAGCTGGCTCAAGATGAGCGAGTTTGTTAATCTCGTCATCGAACACTCTTCGGACCGCCTCTGGCATGGCCAGTTCGTCGGCCTTCTCCTTGAACTTCTCGACAAGCTTATCTTTTCCGTCAGACTCGATACCCAGCTCTCGACGGATTCCCTTCATCTGCTCCATCAACCAGTACTCGCGTTGTCGTTTCGTGATCTTCTGCTCGACGTCCTTGGTGATCTTGGACTGCAGCTGCGCATTCATGAGCTCCTTCTTCAATACGACGAGAGCTTTTTGCAAGCGGTCTTCGACATTGAGACTAGAAAGAACTTCCTGGAGCTCAACAGGCTCTCCGGCTGACACTGCTGCTGCGAAGTCTGCCAACTTGGACGGCTCTGCCATAACATTGCCAGATGATTGACTCATGGAAAAGGTCGATATCTGGTCTCGGAACAAGCTGTTCATCGCAGCGACCTCCTTGAACACGTTGACAATCTCATTTGTCACCGCTCGAACAACGGGGCTTTTGGGGTCGAACGGCTCTTCGGTGAGGTTGTCTACGTTGACCAGGCTAACGGCATATTTGCGCAGGAAAGACGTCGGCTCATACTTTTCGGGGGCCGCGTCTGACTTCGCAGCCACAGTACCCTCCTCGAAACTCGCAACAACGTCGCCTTTCTTCTCTAGCTGCGTCTCTTCTTCCGTCTTGATCGGTATGGGCTCCGGAACGGGTTCCGGCTCGGGCTCGGTCTTCTTCGACTCGGGTGCTGCGGGAGGGATCAGGGTAGAGAGCTTGATCCGTCGATGGGGGTATAAGATAGCTGTGAGGCTGTTCGGTTCGCTGTGTACGGGAAAGGCACTGGTGACTTGCGCAAAGACACCAGTGTCGTAGACATCATTCGGATCCCTGATTACATCCTCGTCGGCGTTCTCGTCCTTGAACAAGAATGCGCCGACGTATGGTTGCCCCCTCTTGATCATCTCCATAATTGCTGCCGAAACCTGGGGGTCCTTTATGGTGATAGCCTTGTAAAACCCGGGAAACAACGGTCGCTTCGCTATAGGTATCGCCATGACCTGTGGGTATACATCGGGCACGACAGGTTTTTGCAGCGCCTTATCCGCGCCAGGTTTACGGCCTCTCCTGCCTCCGTCACCAGGCGCGTCGTTGCCTGACCCAGAGGATGCACCACCCAGCGCACTGCTTGCTTTGCCATCTTGAGCATCTCCCTGCCCTTGGTTACCCGAGGGTGGTGATTCAGCACTAGAGGTTTTCGTTTCGCTGACGTCCTTCTCGATGTCTTCGGTCTTTTTCTCGAGATTTGCTTTTGCCTCTTCGTCAGACAACGGCTCGGTCGGTTCGGCTGCGGCATCGAAGAATTTGTTGTCCTTGTCCTTCTCTTTGCCTCTGCTCGCAGAGGTCGAAAAGCTTGCATTGGACGGAGCAGCGCTGCTTAGAGCTATTGGGGGTCTCGAGCACGCGAGTCGGGTGTCGCTCGGCCGGCCAGGTGTGTTTATCGAGTATAGTCGAGAGAGGGTAGGCAAGCGCGCTCGCAGCGCATATCTCGACGAACCTCTTACAGCAAGCTGCCGTGAAAGGTGTTGGCGACACAGCATGGTGGAGGGCTATGGATGGGGAAAATTCGTCGCGGAGGCGAAGACCCGAATTTGCGGAAGGGCGTTTGGAACCACAGCTGAGAAAACGACGACCCGAAATTATTAATGGGAATGGTAGAGAGGATTCCAGATGAAGTGAGTAAAGATGGTCTAGGTATCAGTGCGACGGCGAACCCGAGAATATGCCCATGCCCTCATCCGACTGTAGCCACAATGCGCCTTGATGATTATTTGACTGCAGCTCTCGAGGCGATACTGACTAATAAAACGCGACGGAATACATCATCACCAGCTGCCTGCCAATCCGCTATTTCCGCTTGCCTCCCAGGTCGGCCCGAGCACCTGGAGTGGACCTGACCTTCCGTGGACCGCGGGCTCAGGTACATACCTCTCGGAGAATCCTCGGCGACAAACTCGGTCCACTCAGAGGTCCCCCCTATTTCCCCTTTGGCCACCATCTTGTGAAGGGATGTCTGGTTAGATCGTCTTGATACAGCGCAAACACTTCTGCTTTTCCAATATTCTCCCTAAATCTGGTAGCTGGTGCGTTTCTCGGGTTTACCGAGCTCTCTCTGTCCAGAGCTACATATCGTATCCTCAAGGCTGTGAGGGCCTATCTTCCATGGAGCAAGCCGTAGGAATCTCGATATCATTCAATAGGGAGATTTTCCGCTTCTAATAACATACATATTATCGCAGCTGCATCATTCTCGGTCAATTATCATCGCGTGAAGTCCCACGGACCACCCACTTCAAACCTTCCGCAATCGGCTTGTGTCTCGCAGCCATGGTAGCAACAGCGATATCTACCTGCGAAGATAACTACGGTTGGACTCCCTTGTCCATTTGACTTAGGTAGCCAGCTGCGAAACAAGTAGCAGAACGGCCTTGACATGCGCAGGCCGTCAAATGGAGTCCAGCTTGGCTTGAAAGCGATCTCCCTAGGGAGACCCTCAAACAAAACGGTCCGATCAAGACGCCGATCAAGACGCCCAGCAAAGGATGGTGTTGTGTTGGTGTATGGTAATATTTTAATTTGGCTGTTGGCAGCCTGGAGACCTCCTGACTTTGAAAGCATGCTTACCGAGCTGCCAACAAGTCTGGAGAATTTGGAATTTGCCCCTGATTCACCGTACCACAGGGGGTATCTTGTTCGTCTACCGGTTACACAATTCGCTGTGTACATGTACCATTTTCGAAGACACAGGTGAATAAGATACTCACAATGAAGGGTTCCTATTCTCTCGGCCATTCAAGAAAATTCAAGTCGAGTCACTCGCGAAGGAATACAGACTGTCAGACTATACGGTCGCTTTCTTCGACTCGGGGGTAGGGGCTATGGAAAGACGCCCTCCGGACCCAGCGTCCCATTCGAATGTAGTGGTAGACGCCTGGACGCCGTGGAATATTTGCAGAAGACGTGTTGGTTCCTAGGTATGTGAATTTGCCAACTCGGCCGAGCAACCTCGGATCCATCAGTAGCAACGAGATTGTATAACCAACACGACATCCTGGACACGTGGTGGTCAGGAAGCTACCCTCAGCAAGATGCCTCTGGCAAGCGATATCTGCAAACGGCCATCAAACCTTACACGCAGCGACCAACGCCGCCTGTTAGGTTGGCCACCAGGCATGACTGGAACGCGTGCTTCGACTGCAAGCGGATTGTTTGATACGGAATTATGGTGCTATCTCGTCGTTTCATCAACCCTCATGATCACCTCCTTTGTTCACAAAAGCAACTTGTCCCTCCATCTCGCCAACATGATGTTGAATTTCCCTTTGATTTCTGAGCCTCCACCAACACCGTTGAGGTCCCATCAAGCACCCCTTTCGCTGCCTGACAAAGAGAAAGAGTACTTCGAAACCCTGAAATACCTGTTCAGTATGTTCTTGCGAGGTATTCTTGCCGTTGCTGGGAAAAGTCAGTGGTGGCCGTGGTGCAGGACCACAACGGTCACAGATACATATCCTGCGTCCACGCCCGGCTGCTACACCAGCTGACTTTCGAAGAACATGTGCTTTCAGTACCTATTCGCCTTCGATGCGTCGGCCACTCACCGGCCAACTGGTCAAACAAACAGGAGACAGATGACCGCGTTCGGTTTCGAAACTTGCAGATGACCTCGACTTCCCCATTCTCGGTCCAACACCATGTTGTGATACGCTCGAGCATGTTGGACTCGTTTGGGAGATGCTGGCTCTTAGCTCGCGACTATAAAGGCAGTGTCCAGACCAGATTCCCTTCTCATGATTTACCATCAGAACCATAGTATCCAGATACCCACGACACTCATATTCTATCTGTCTTCAGCAACACCGCGAACATGTCCCTCAGGATCGACGATCAGCCTCCCTCGCAAGTCGAAGTCGGGACTACATTAACACCTCCCCTGGTCGTCAGTGCCCTCGACACGGACATGATCAGTTTCTTGACTGTCATCTTGCTCAATATGAACGACAACCCTGTGGACGGATATCAATGGCCGGGTTCCCTGAACAAAGATTCGTCTCGGGAAGCTGGCCACGAATACGCTACTTTTTCGAACATAGTCATTAACGAGGCTGGTTACTACAAGCTTCGCATTCAAGCCATAATCATGGTCCCGGGTGCAGCAGCATATGACGTCCAAGTGTATACCAACTTGATCCACGTCGAAGAATCTGAATAGTCAATTCGCGTTTCAGGAATCCCCAGTAAGTTCATATTCAGGATCCCTGATTGGCCAGTGGAGCTAACTTATATAGGCATGGATGAAAGGGCCTTGCTGTCACGACTGGGGGCATAACCGATACGGTGTGCAGGATCACAGTACTCGGTGGCGAACGAAACTTTGGCTGACTACCTGGGGAGCTTCAGCCACTGCACTCATTACTATTACCCTCCTTGTGTCCGGAGTTTGGTTTCAACAACGGGGTGCGGATTTGGATTGGGGGCGTTCTCATGTTTTGCTTTACTTTGCTTTTGTTCCCTTTTCTTACAGGTTGATTTCTTCATTACACAGACGTGCACGTCTTTCATACTCACTCTTTTACTCTTTCCTTAGAAAATTAAACTCGCGCTTGTTGGTTCGCAGCTTGTGTTTCCGTTACAGTCTGCATCTTGTGACCTCATGACTGCTACCATGAGACCCACTTTACCCCTATTTCATGTATCGCCTATGGGGTGCTGCCTCCTGACACCTCGACGCGCTTCGGGCGAACACTGTCGCCCTGCATCAGGGACTCTGCCTCTCATGCGCTTATATATGGGACTGTACAGTTTGAGATGAGATCAGCTCTATGGTCTCCGGTTATCGGGGGCCCCTCGGTCGTCAGCGACCACCCTATGCTGTGCCACCATTCTACATCCCATCAATTACCTAGACGCTTGCGTAAAGCTCGGCTGAGACACTATCGACGCCGCCACCTGTTAGATTTCAAAGTGTTCTATTAAGGAGAGGAATTCCAGCTACTCTGGAGCGGCCAGAATGGCCCTATATATATCCAAGATACTAGAGGAAAGGATACGTGGCCTTATATTGGCCACGTATGTGACAGAGTCACAAATGGGGATGGTGATCCTGAAGGATGACTATGGATGGGCTAACGTAGCCCAGAATCCAACACCACCTCCACTTGAAACCCTTGATCAGGATTTCCGGAAGATTGCATATGTTCATCTCATTGATAGCGATACTTCCGACCTCCCATGATACTCAGAGAGCCGCGCGAGTACCTCAAACATACAAAGCTCAATACCTAGGTACTTATCCTGGCAGAGGTGCCGACTGGCATATCCAGAGCACTACTTGTATGCTACGTGATGAGACCACTCGCGATTATCTGGCCATAGTTTGTTTGTTTGTTTTGTATTTAACGTGGGGGGTAGCTCCTCAGTAGTGCAAACTACGCCTCCCAGAGCCTCTGTATAGCAGGGTTGTGGAGGTCTCAAGATAATAAGTACATTCAGTCCCGCTCACGGGCCCATCCCCGTTGTTACGGCGGTATGACCTTGGGGTTATCCATCTGATCCTTCAAGAAAAGCTATCTATCGGGGACAAATTGTTAAAAAGAACTTGCTCTTCTCCATGAATTTTGTCCATTCTGTGCTCCTCTCTTTTAAGTATTATAAACAAGCTGCCCTAGGCGAGTACCTAGACAGTAGCCGGTTTTTTCCCAGTCTCTTACAAAAAAAAATGTGTTGTGGTGTTTTTTTCTTACCACAGCTGTAGTGATCATTCGAGTCTGTATGCCCAAAGCGTTCATGGTATCTGGCAAAGTCGCCATGTCCAGATCTGGCTGCTAGAAGTCTGTGTAAAGTACTCCTCTTAAAAGATATAAGGTCTCTTTTAGTTATTATATGTGAGTATACTTCTTGGTACCTAGATTCTGATTGGTCTTTTTATCATTGGTTGAACTCTTTCTTGCCCTTTCTTTTGAGATCTCTCTTGACCCAAGAGATTGTAAGAAGGTTTGTTATGTCTGTTTTTAGCATGGCACCCTCTTTTGCTAGTGTGTTGGCAGCTTCATTGCCATTAATATCTCTGTGTCCAGGAATCCACTTAACGATCACTCCAGGAGTGTGTGCTGTGGCAAGTTCTTGAAATCGTAGAAAAATGTTCTGTGATGTCTCGGGTGGAGTCCCATTGAGCCCATCTACCATTGCTGTGTTGTCTAGGTGGACATATAACTGTTTTCTGTGTCCAATTACGCTGGCTGTTACAAGCCCTTGGAGAGCACCATGGACTTCAACATATATTACTTCTGTTTAGAGAAGTCTGCCCTTTTCCTGGTATACTTCTTGTGTAGTGTTGCTTTTCCTGATGGTGTAGCCCCATCCAGTACGGGTTGTGTCTTTGTTGTCCAATTGTGATCTATCTGAGTAGATAACAAGGTCAGTGTTCATGTTTCTCTTTTGTAGCCATTGCTTAAAGAGCTCTATTTCTTTGTCTTTGTCTTTACGGATTGGGGGCTTCTTTTATGATGGCCTGGTAAGTATTGGTCTCTGGAAGTCAGGGACTAGCTGGAAGCTCCTTTGTAGCCTTGTTGGATTCTTGCAAACTTGTATTTGGAGCCTGCTAACAAGAGGGTGTCTCTGGTCTATTCGTCCTAATCGGAGGCCGTAGCGTCGTCTTATTGACTCTGCAAGAACTCCTGCTGGGGAAATCTGTGATTCAAAGTGTAGGATATGTCCAGGGTGTGTTTTTTAGACTGGCAAGATAGCCCTGATCGCTGTTTGTAGTACGGCATCTATTGTTCCAAGAAGCCCCTTAATGCAACATACTGATGTCCTACCTAAGCTCCCAACTTTCTCGATTCTTGGGTACCAGGCCTCCAGGCCGTGTGTAAGAATAGGAATAACACAAGCTTTCACAGTCCTCTTGGTTGACTTTACTGGAAGTCCTTTGACTGTATTGCATAGTCCTCAAAAGTGATTTGCTACCTTATTAGCTTTCTTGGCCCAGTAGGAAACGTGATCTTTGAAGTTTAGTTTTCTATCCAGGAAGACACCCAGTCATCGCATGGAGTCCTTTGTTGTTCTGTTTATTGTCTTGTGGCAGACTGGAGGGTTGTCTGAGTTCTTTTTCTTTGAGAAGTGCATGATCTCAGTTTTGTCAGGGTCAAATTCAATAGCGTTATTATATCCCCATTGACTGAGTAAGTAAAGATTTTCTGAAGCCTTTGTAGCTGTTTCCTTAAGGTTCTTTCTAATGCAGAGAGTCATTAGGTCGTCTATATATCCAAAGCGTCTCTTTTTCATACCTAGACGGGCACAGATTGGCTCTGTATACAGCATATAAAGGATTAGAGAGGCTGGTGAGCCTTGTGGTAGCCCACAAGTGAGAGCTTTAATATCGGTCACAATACCTTCAAATCGAACCCTTGCGGACTGCTTGGACATGAATGACTGGACCCATCTTATGAGAAAGCCTAGCCAGCCCTGTTCTCTCATGCGAACCACCAGCCGTCCCATTAGGGCAGCATCAAAGGCCCCTTTCACATCTGACGTGACTACTGTTACAACGAGGCCTTGGTCGAGGGCCTGCTCAATATCGTGTATGAGTACAGCTACCTGGTCAGTGGCAGAGCGCTTTGGTAGAGCTCCAAAATATTGTGGAGCTAGAATTCCAAGTTTGACAACAAACCAGGTAATTCTTTTTGCGATAAGTCGTTCTAGGCCTTTGCCAAGACACGACAATAGCGATATTGGTCTGTAGGCCCTGGGATTGGAGTAGTCTTTCTTTCCTGGTTTTGGGATCATCACTACCTCAGCTACTTTGAATGATTTAGGGTGGTGTCTAATCTGTAGACAGGTCTGGAAAAGGGCTCTAATATGTTCCCCAATGAATGGCCAGCAAGCTTTCAGAATCCGTACTGTGAGGGTATCTATTCCCGGGGAGTTGCTCTTGGTCCCTAAAGTGCACCCTTCAGCCTCTTCCAGTCCGACATGGTATTCAAGGGGGATATATGGCTTGGGTTGTGTGATCTGAGCGGACCAGGGGTCAATGATATCGTTGTCAGAGGTACTTTGTTCAGCGTGGCTGAGCGTAGTGTATTTGCCTTGCTCTCTTGTGACTCGAATATTTGGTTTTCTATGATGATTAGAGGGGAACGCAATCCTGTTGATAGCTTGTGCCAAGAGATGATTCTGTATAGGTCCTTTGGCTCAGTTGCTGAATTGATTAGAGTCTGCCAGTACTCTCTCCTAGCTTTCTGAACCACGCGGCAAAATTCCTGTCAGGCTGAATTCCGTCTTTTTTTGGTTTATAGTCTGTTTAGAAAGGGCCCTGTATGTCTGAACAGCTGCTTTGCAGTCATCATTCCACCAAGCAGTGGGCCTAGATTGACGGGGCTTTTTGCCCACTGTCCTGATACAGCCTTGGATCATGTTGATCAAGCTTTGTGTAAAGGCATCCACCTGGCCAGGGGATACACCCAGCCGGGGGAGTTCATGAATCCTGGTTTGGACATTATCTACCAGCTCTTGTAGTTTATCGTCCGGTATTATCTAATGATTGGCCTTAGGGACTCAGTCCAGATCTCCCTGAATTGGAATGACTATTCGTAATATCTTATGATCTGAGGTGCACTGAAGTGCATCATTGACTGAGGCTTCAGCCATGGGGACATCTGAGAACACCAGATCTAGTATATTTCTGTCATCATGTGTTGGGACATCTGGTTCAGAAATCAGATCCAGTCCGTGGCCTGTCATAGTCTGTGCAAGTATGACATCACCATGATATCCTGGATTGCTCGAGTCCCAGGATGTGTCGCCAGCATTGAAATCTTCAGCTATAACACAGCCAAAAGGTGGAGTCTATACTTCCAGAATATCATCCACTCCCTGTGGGTTGTCACATGGCCGGTAGATACTGGCAAATGTAATGCCTTGTACCTTGACCCAGGTGATGTCTTGTGTAGCATAGGGCCAAAGTTGATCCGCTTAAAGATGTTTTCTCATATAGATGAGAGATCTGGGCCGTGTAATGTCGCTGTCCCAGGAATCCACTGGGGAGTATATATCGTAATTGGGTGTGTCTTTACTCTCATTCTCCTGCCTGGTGGTATGCCAACCCAGGGCTCTTACATCAGAATGATGTCTGCTTGTTCTCCTTTGTAGTCAGCCAGGTTGATAGCTAACTCTGTAGGGCCTGCACTCTTTTGTCCTCCTGCTGTATTCACAGAATGGATGACTAGATGCCCGTGTTAATGTGTTTTGTTTGATGTATCTAGCATTGACTGACAATAATGGTGTTGGCATCTTTGGGATGAGCTGTATCTATTGTGTCGATTTGCATTGTGGTGTCTTCGTTATTATTGCTAGGTGTTGACCCAGCTTGGTTTCTGCCTGTTTTATTGAAGGCCTTGGATCTGGCTCTTTCTCCGGCCAGCCTTATTTCCTGGATTTGCTCCCATGTGTGCTTATGGATGATGCCTTTCACAACCTTGGGGCGTGCAGGGCATTTGTCGAAGATGGCAGCATGAGGTCCTTTACAGTTGACACACTTTGGGATTGGTTTTTCACACTCCCCTTGGTGTACTGTACTGGCGCAACGTGCACATACTTGTTTTTCACATCGGTAGTTCCTATCATGGTATCTGAAGCAGCTCGCACACTGGTGAACCTTGGGGGAGTATTGAATGTGCCTTGAGGTCATTGAGTGAGCAAAAAGTATGAATGGTTTCTTTGCTGCACGGGACAGAGAGATCACCCATGTGTCTCCGGATCAGAATCAACTGTGTTCCTTGAGAGTATGCACCTTAAAGGTCTGTCACCTGTTTGGGCTTTAACTTCATCAGCAATAGCAATGTCAGTAATGTCAATTGTCAATCTTTCCGCACTGATGACCTTTCTTGGGCATCTATTGACCTTGTAGTGATGCCAGACTGTGTGGGTCTCGATCTTTTCTGTCTTAAGAATATCAGTGATTTCTTCTTGGAAGGCCAGGAGCTTAGTCTGAATTGGCTTGTCCCTTATGTGTAAGGTAAATCCGGAGGGGCACCGGGTCACTTCTCTAAGCTCTTAAGGGTGGAGCTTAAGTCTTCTGTTTAGTGTAGACTTTATTCCGTAAGGCTCTAGATGGCTATTATCTATATGGACAAAGACCTGGAGATCATCCCGCTTCTTCTTCAGTTGGTTGGCAGTGATACGGGCGCCAGGCTGTGTTTTCTTTATGGTAGTGTTGACTGTCCGTGGATGCTGTCATTGGCTAGAGGAGACAGCTTGGGCGAAGGTCATGGTGGGCTTTACTATCCTTATCCCCCTAGGGATGGTCTTCCTTTTGGGCGGATCTCGGGTTTCCAGCCACTCGCTCAGACATTTAGAGAAGAAAGCGCTGAACTCCTTGGCATGAGAGTATAGTTCGGTTCCAGCTTTGTCAAGTATCTTATTGTTGGATTAAAGGTGAGCACAGAGGGCACCTTGATAGGTAGACACCGGAACCTAGTTGTTCCGTCCCGATCCAGCCCCCTCTAGCACAAAACTGCCACGGTCGCACAAGGACACTCCAGACACACAGAATACACACACACACTTCAACCTCACGATTGGCTCAAATCTGACATTATCAACCGCTGCAGCACACTCCTGAAACATTGTCATCCTGGCTTCATAAAGGTGCTTGTCTTTAGCCAGTATTCTGGCAACTTGGTCCTGGCACTCTGAGGAGGAGGTTTTATTCCCTATATCGCGTGTAATGGCTTGGTCTGTCGAGATGTCGTTCAATTGAGGTCGTTTCATTCCAGTGGTGCTGTTGTTATTGATATTTCGGGATTTTCCTTTCAGAGGGGAAATAACGGTGAAGTCAGCCTCAGAGACCTGTGACGGGCTGCTGCTGATGTCGTCAAGCAGCGCCTGGCAGAGCCTGTTTGGAGTTGCTGGGCTGTATGTCTTTCTAGGGGCCGGGGATTTGAGCATGCCGCCGGTGGTTGTCTTTGGGACGGCCACGGGCGTATTTGGGGGCCCGTCATGGAAGGGTGCCATCCGGCTTGTAAGAAAAATTCTCTTGTGTCTTGGCAGAGATAGTCAGTTACTGAAAGAAGTGCCTGCTTTAGTGCAAATATCAAGGTTGCGTCCTAACAGCGGGGCGCCAAGAAAAATAGTTGTTTTTGATCTGGCCATAGTTGTACACTCTTTGACCCAGTCGACGCAATCACCATCCAGATGCTTCACGAACCCCGCCAGGAGGCCCAGGTCCAGCGAAAGCGAGGATATGGATACTCTGGACCAGACATGGTTGGAAGTATACATCGCTCATTCCAAGCCAACGTACTTGTCTACTCCGTCCATTTACTTGGTATATCTGATAGATACGATTTGGAAGAAGCGAAAGCTGAAGCGAGGTTCTGAGACCGATCGAAGGAGGATAGACCGGAAGCTGCGGAAGGTGTAAGACAGGCTGGAGGGATCCAAAGCAGCTATGTAGAAGTGTCCGGTGCCGTTGATGGTAAGGGGAAACACAGTCACGACATGGCCACGAAAAGAGTATGGGAGATAAGTCCAACGACCAGGAGCACCTATTCGTGTCGTCCCATGTCTAGTAGAAGCGGCTTCGGGTTGCCAACACACCAATTTTATTCTGCCAATTGCTAGCTAGTGGTTACTAGAACCATGATACCTGAACTACTGGGTAGTCGGTTGACAGGGGCTGTTTCAGCCAATTCTGTCAGTGGTTTCTAGAGACTTTTTACCAACGAACAATACAATGAGGAACAACGTATTCCATCCTGAAGAGGGCCATCGTGAAGGGGAAATTCATCCAGCTCTGACCAGGAACAGACCAACAATCAAGCAATTCTCATCAAGCTGTGGAACAGTCTCGCGGTGCCACAAATTTCAGGCCAGGGAAGTTTGCACTGAACAACCAGATGTACTCGGTGAACGTCGAGGTCGTGCGGGGGGAGCACAAGTCTCCAATTCGCGAAGAAGGTGTGGAATCGCCAAAGTGATGCACTTCGCGTTTTCAGAAGGTTGGTCTTACACCTCGTCCTGGACCAAGGCCTCGTCCTCTTCCACCTTGCCGTACGAGTGCACAACAGAGGCTTGTCGCTGTAGTTTCTCGCCAGAGGCAGTAGTCTGGTGAGAAGAGTTCTCTAGGCCGTTCATGATCTCCAATGCCTTCTGAAGCTTAGTCCGCTCAGTCTTGAGCTGTTTGCGCTTCTCGGCGGTCTCATAGTCCTCTTCCATTAGGCGATCATAGGTATCAGGAGCTGTGCCTCGGTTAGCATCAGTTAGTAACGTTAAGCTGAAAGAATTTGCTTACAAGGGTAAGGGAATAGTCCCAGCTCTTGGTCTAGGTGGTTGTCCAGCGTGCCTTCGCGGAAGGAGCGGAACAGGTTGGAGTTCAGGTCCATGGTGACCGTGTCAATGAATCGGGTGGCAGCAGTGAGGTAGTAAGCTCTGACTAGAGCAGCGACCTCGATCTCCGCCTTGTAATCATCTGCGGGAAGTTTGGTCATAAACTTATCCAACATCTCAGTTTCCTTGGCCTTCGCTTCGGCTGACATTGTCTCCCAAGAAAGGAGCGCTTTGCCATCGTCAAGCAACGAAGCAGCCTTCGCCCGCGAGAAAGCCCGGTGACGTTCGAGCATGCCCTGCTCTTGGACCTTGTAGTACTCTATAGAGACTTTGTTCATGGTATCCATCTTGTACTTCTCGTTGTCAAACATCTCGACAATTCTTTTTCGTTGGTACTCCTCACGTTCTTTGAGAAACTTGTGGAGATGTTCCACGGACTCCTTGAAGATAAAACGGCGTTGGAGCGTCCCAAGTGACTTCTCTAGAGCTTGGTTGACTGCGTTTACCAGCATTGCCATTGATTTCTGAATGTAGATCTCGAGCGGATCTTTCCACGTTTCCACGGCACGTAAACTGAGCGTCTCGTGTACTTCGACAGGCACAATGTGAGACAAGCCTACGCGGGTCTTGGCCATGATCTCTTGACGGATGTCTCTGATGTCCATCTTGGACAATTTACCCAGGCACTGGATAAATGGATTTGAGCCCTGCTGGTGAGGCAATGGAGATTCTGCAACGTCGGGCGACTGGTACAGGTCGTTCCTTTCCGTCTTGGGTTTGACAGGTGTTACCGGGATAGATCCCAAGTCGACCCTGCGTTTCTTCTGTGCCACGATTACACGCTCCACTGATTCGATGGGTCTCTTGTTGTTACCCTTAACTGGTCCCGAATTTTCGCTGTCGGAGTCCAGGATCTCAATGGGCTGCGACTTGGGCTTGGTGTCCGTGGCAATGATAACCCTCGGCTTCATCTTCACAATACAATCCTGGAATTGTACGTTGAGTCTTTTCCACTGAACCTCGAACATCCCACTTGTGACAGAATCTCTGACCTGTCGGTAGAATTCCTTGAGGCTCATGCGAACCTCGTGCTCGACGTTGCTGGGCAGCAGCGGCAGGTTCTCTAGATGTTGGTTGATACCCCGAAGTCGGTCTTTCACCTTCTCCTTGATCTCGGGCAATCTAATACATGTTAGAGTTGCTCACATGACTAACGGACAAAGGGGATATGTCGTACCTTTTCTGAAACGCATCACCGAGTTGCTGCGTGATGTACTTGAGCAGTGATTCGACACCACATCGCGGTGCAAATTCGGAGAATTTCCCCGGCCAGTTTCCTCCCTCGAAGAAAGACTGCTCCATCAACATGAGAGTATCGAGTCTCTCATCAGGTGGCAGTGAAGTGCTGAAGAAGCCGTGGCCAACCTTCTGTTTTTGGCCCTGAAACACAGAGAGCCACACGTCCTCGCTGTCCACGTTAAGTTTGTCCGCTTTGGTGACCACCCCAATGGTGCGATCTTCTGCATTAGCGTCGCGGATGACTTTCAGCGTCTTCGAGTTGTCCATATCGTTGTCCATTGGGAGAGCAAGCATGATGATGGCCTCCTCACGGCAGACGTAGCTGAGGGTTAGGTTTCTGACTACGTCAACGAGATAGTCGTCTGCCTTAGTTTCGGCGTTGGCAAAGACACCAGGCAGGTCATAGAAGCTGAGACTATACCATTGCGTCAGTGACTATGTTCGAATGAATTCAGACGTGACTGGTGCATTGCTTTCCGCAAGGGTCGAAAAGATGCAAGTGAGTTTTCTTGAATCATGCACTGGGGAACTGGACTCACGTAGGTATATCCGGACCCTTCCACTCGAAGGCAACTGTGTTCGGCGAGAACTTCGCCTGTGTCTTCTGCTTTGCGTCCTCGAGCGAGTGCTCTTTGGCATACGATCCTTCTCCTGGTACGAATTGCTCATGGCTCATTGTAGGGTTTAGTGTCGCGATTTGGGCCCATCTCAAAACCTCTTCGATCTCTACAGCGTCTTGTCCAGGGACAGTCTTGAACTCTTTGGTCTCGCGTATTGGTCTCTCAACCCAGGGAGGGAAGGGGTTCTTCTTGGTGACATCGGTAGGTTTGATAGGGCGATTGAGCTGCTTGTACTCATAGTCCTGTTGGAGAGTGACAGTGAAGGACCAGTGAGGACTGTTGCTCATACGGATGTGGAAAGGGCACCGGGTACAGATACCGCTGCTTCGAGGTAGATCCAATCGGGCCAATCCCGACATCAGGCTTGACTTCCCCGACGACTGGTCGCCAACCAGTACAAGCTCAGGGAGACTTGCCACATGATTCAACCCAAGTTGTTGGAGGGTGCCCAATGCGTCATTGAGCGATTTCATGATCTTGCCGATCTCGGCGAGAGCAGGGTGGGCAAAGTTTCTATGCGGTGACTCCGGAGCATTCTCTGTGATCAATGTCAGCATCGAGACTGTGTATTCACCTAAGTGATATGAACTTACGCGCACCAGAGTGCGAGCTTAACTTACGCTTTCCGGAGTGAGAGGAGTTGAGAGACACCACTTCCGTGGGTGCGGGATATACACGCCGGTAGACTGGCGAGGTCGACGCCATGGTACCTGCCATGCCGCTCATGACAGATGGTGAAGGGGATCCGCGATCAAGCAAGACCTGAGTCCGCTTGTTACGTCTTCCAGACATGTTGAACACGCTGTACGCTGTTAGCTGTTAGCTCGATCCGATCGGCTCTGAGGGGAAGAAGAGGGTGAAGGAGGACGTACTTGCAGTACGATGCGTGGGTGCGCTTTCGGGAATCGTGTGGGTATGGTGTACAACGACGTGACGAGGAATGGAATGGTTGATGTACCAGTAGCAGAGGTACAACGATTCAACCCTCACAGAACGGGTGAGTACAATTAGGCCAGAATGCCTTGCGTTCAGCTGGTGCTGGATGATGGAGGTTGACAAGGAAAGGAGGGAGATGAAGGAGAGTGGGTTGCTGATCCAGAATGGTTGAAACCCCAAGGCACCCAACGAATGTGTGGTAAGAGTTCGCGCGTGTGTACCTATGTCTCTGGGTGACCCTAAGTTTTGGTCAGTGTTGGCGCGGAAGTGGCAGGGCAACGGGGACGGCGCGTGCAGATGTACAGAGAAATGGTCACGCACGAAGATAGGTGATGGACCGGCCACTCGGACACCAAAAACGAAGGTGTGTATTGGTAAAGTGGTGAAGACTGAGGTGGAGAGGTACGGGGGAAGAGGTACCTTACATTTACACCTTATGTATCCAGGTACACGTGCAAGAGGCTGAAGGTACCTATGTATCACAACAATTGGAATCAGTTGGCACAACCACGAAATCGTTCCTTGTTCCAGTGCAGACCAGGTATGCTTTCAACCATTTGATGGGTGGTCCATGTGCAGGTGCATAGGTAGGTAGATACCTTAGGTACGAGGTACTTCAGGACTGGACCTGCGTCTGATGGAAGCTTCCTAAGGTAACATCTAGGAGGTGGAATGTTATTCTTTGGTGTACTCACAATGTGTTCACATGTCCAGTGATTTGTAAGGTTCCAGCACGTGTCCGCCAGGCATCTAAACCATTGTCTATAACAATCTATATCAGACGCCACGAGGTCGCACGAGTAGTGAGGTCAAGGATCAACATGTCCCTCGCCTACCACCAGGTGCTGCCAACGCGATACGTAAGCCAGTATGCCTGCCTGAGCCTGCCGACGCAAATGCCTCTCTTTTTATCAGTATGTCCGACCCGTAATATCATGTCCCCACAGCACTCGACGATCCCCTATTTCCCCGCCCAAACCGTCTTGAGAAAGTCCTCGACCTGGGTGAACTCGTAGTCCGGCAGGAGCTTATTCCACTCATCCGAAACGGTCCAAGCACCGCGGCCAACGCTGAGGAGGTATCCCCTATGGACGAGCGTAGAGAACGGCTCAAGCGCATCCTTCGGGACAGAGGCAAACGGGAGGCGAGCGTAGTTGTCTGTCTTCAGTTCGCCAGCTTCGAGGTCCTCCTTCTTGAGCCACTCGATCTCGAACGGCTTGCCTGCGAGATGTGTCAGTATCGAATATTCGTAGATTGTAAAATGAGGACTTACCTCGGATCCTTCCTCCCATCTCGAGGATCTGCTTCACGGTGACATTACTTCCACGTATGCCCCCAACAACCGGCCACTCGCCTTCGTACTCCAAGGCGCCAGCGATTACATTGACAACGTCATCAACGGTTGTGAACGTGATCTGGTCATCCAGCGATCCCTCAACCAGCAGCGCGTGCATCTTCTCGAAGTTGAACTGCACAGGAAATGTAGTGATGTATTTCGATGTTTGGTGCGGATAACCGAGGTAGTTGGTGTACCCGCCGTACTGGAACTTGGTGTACTCGATGACCTTGCACGGCGAGTCAGCAAAGAGTCTGAGCCTCCACCGCCGGATACGGGCCTGGGCGGATTTCTCACCTTCTTCTCCTTGTTCAGATTCTCCAGGTAATGGCCGACTTCGATCTTGGGCGCATACCACGAAAGAACATCGAGGCAGGCCTCGGTCTCGACGCCGCTATGCTTCGGTCAGCACCGAGTGTGCCATTGCATCGCCCTTGTAGTTACTTACGTTCCAAACTCGGACGGTACGTAGCGCCTGACCCCGGCATCGACGGCAGCGTCGATAAGCCGCTTACTGGTTTCAGCGTCCCAGAAGAAGCAAATGACTGTGTCTACGCCCTTCAACAGCTGGGAGAGTTCCGCTTTGTCCTCGTAGGTCGTCTGAACCCATTCCACGCCGGGCGAGGATGGAAACTTCTTGAGGTCCTGGGGTTCTGGGTCAGACCATTCAAATTGTTATCGTAATAGGTGGAAGTTCTGCGTCTTTACCTGTCTTACCAGTGCAATAATTTCGTGCTTCTGGGTTGCGACCAGCTTATCCAGGATCTCCTTCGCCAGCTCTAGACCATTGACTCAGCTCAGCATCGTAAAGTGCAAGAACAGAGAGATGGCGATGGACACTGCGGCGAACTGAACGTACCACTTGAGGCTCCTGCAAGGGCTATCTTGACCATTTTGAGTCGTAGCTTTCGACTGTGACGGGATACGAACTTGGCTTTGGGTGTTGGGAATGCCTGGTGATGACACAGGGGAGTCCATTCTCTTGAGCGACGGCCATCCTTATATAGACCATACGACAGTCTTCACAGCCCCCGCAAGGAAGCGTGGTATCAGCTTCGTGCCCCGAAGCTCACGTAACGTACCAGGGCTGCCAGGTTCCACAGAAGTATGGAGTCTGCCCTCGAAACCATAGTGCTCCGGGATGACTTGGGGAAAGGAGCAAAAGTAATCGGTGGAGTACGTTCATACTTATGAATGAAACACATAATAACCGCAGGCCTGGCGGTCGAGGAGGACTCTGCAGCCGGTGTCCCCGGGCCGGTTATGTAATCGGACGAACTCGGCGCCGGCGCGACAACGTCAATCTACCATCTGACATACCTTAACCCCGCCCTCCGAGCGAGACCACTCACGTAACCAGAACCGCCGGTTTCGTATGCCCGGGTCAACATACCGACCGGCTTACACGTCGGCATGCAGAGGCGGTGATTCGTGAATGCAGATGGCGGCGGGATTAACATAGGATACAGAACAGATCCCAACCCCCTCGGGCTCTGTCTCGAGGCATCAGCGGCAGCCTACCTGAATAAGTTCTGTTCTGACCAGTGCCAGCGCCGAGGAGAGCGCTGTCGTCCATCCCACGCTACTTAAAACATTGCTGGTGCCGAGTAGCACATAAACGGCCATGCTACACTCAGTCCGCATAAGTCTCCGTGCGTGCCATGTTGGGAGGAATCCAGATCATACGTTCAAGTTTAAGAATACTAACATAAGCAGACAGGAATAAGTAGCTTTGGTTTGATACGCCACTTTTAAAACTTATTCTATGGTGATTATTCCGATTTGATAAATTTACCGTTACCTGCTAGGATGGATGGTATATGGACACTTATAAGGGTACAGTATACAGTCAGCCCTTATAAGTCTTTATATATACCATCTTAAAAGAAATCTAACCATATCTAAGAAATTAAAAATATTAATATAAGTAGATATAAATAAGTGTCACGGCGAGCGTACTGAGGAGCTGGGACATGGCCGGCAGCAAGCAGCTATTACTCTATTGACGAGAATATCAAGACTAGAGAGGAAAGGAAGAGAGAGAGAGAGATAGGTACAGTGGGAGGTTGCCCCTTTAAGGGGATCCTCTGGTCAGATCCTTCCCTTATTGGGAAGTATCCGCTTGTTATGTGGGAAGGTCTGTGCAGGCTGTCACAATAAGTAGCTTTTAGTCAATATGCTACTTTTAATATTTATATTATATTACTCATACTTATTACGTTTTATATACATAGCAAGACGTAAAAGCCTGGTATTAATTATATAGGTATAACCATCTTTTATAAAATGAAATAAAAAGTTCCAATACCGCAACTAAATATAATAAGGAAATAAATGTATATACCTGCCTTATAATTCGAGGTTTAAATAAAATTAAAATAACTTATCGTTCGAATAGTTACGTGCTAGTTACGTAATATTGAAGTGTTAAAGCTACTATTATTAATAGTATATATAGCTATTATTATAATTCTTTTTTATATAAAAGGCTTGCTTTAAGCTGAATTTAAACCTAGGTTTTTTTTTAACGCGTATTAAATACAGTTAAAGACTGAGCAAAACGTGTATTTTACTAGTTAACTAGTGTTTAAATAAATGCTTTATTTTAATAACGCGGGCTAGCGAGTAGCCGTTATAAGGTTTACTTTTTTATTATACAGGTTATTAAAAACAAGCCGAAAATCGTGTAATCGGCTATTTTTAATATACGTTTTATTAAAATCTTCGAGTAGTTTTAGAACCGACGATATAATATATAAAGGCCTTAATTAGTAATACTTTATAACTTTTATAAGCCTTTTATTATTTAAATAAAGTTGGTTAAACTTATCGTTTTAAGCTGCTTGCAGCTATTCTACTAGTTGTAATAAAGACCTGGTAGCCTTTAAATATTCGTTATAATAGGCTTAAAGTTATTAACAAGGTATTAAAAGTTATCAAAATTTTATTCTTTTTAAAAGCTTTTTAAACTAAATCCGTAATAAAAGGAATTTGTAAAGCTTTTATTTCTTTTTATTTAAGTTAAGGTTACTTACCGTTTTTAAGCTGTTTAAAGCTTACTTAAGCGCGGGGTTATCAATATATTTACGTAAACGATTAGTATAAAAGTATCGAAATTCTCGCTACTAGTCTTAAACGTATTAAGCCGGTTAAACAATTTAGCGATGATTTCGTAATATCAACGACTTATAAAGTAGTCGAGCTTATTATTAAAGCGGTTATTTATCGTATTAGTTTTTTTTAAAGATATATATACGGTTATTAACGTTAAAACCGGGCTTATAATATTACTTATTAACTTAATAAACTATTTATTTTCCTACTTTTTAAATAAAGCTATAAGCGTATTTACTTTAAAACTAGATTTAACGAGTTATTTTTGAAGCCTGAACTTTTATAAAACGCTTTTATTTAGAAAGATTAGGAAGGTTTTTCGTTTAAATACTTTGATTAGAAGATATTTATATTCATTATGTTATAAATACTTTATATAGCAAGAAATTATTTGAAGATTTATACAAAAAAAGATTTAAACGTAGTTTATGACAAAGATTGTTTTTATTTATTTATCTAAAAAATGGTTTACAACAAGGCGTAAACGCTAGTCAAGATATTCGTTTATAATCTCGACCTAGGTAATAAACTACTTATAACTTATAAATAAAAACTTTAACTTTATACCGTGGATTTTTAAAAGTTTGCTAATGAATATCGGAATAATCTAAGGGTTTTAATTATTATAAAGGTTTTAAACTAGTTAAAACTCGGTATATGTGGGAACAGGCTTGAACGATCAATCATAATACTCGAGTATGGGGTCAAGGTCATGATGTTGCTGATGGTTGAATTGGGAAGTCTAGCTGGACCTGCAGGTCTGGCTAAGTGATCTCATAATCCGGTATCTAATCTCTTATCTAATCATACATGTGGGTTCTGTATGGATGGTTTGACTATGGAATCACATAGATCCAATAGTATAAGCTTATATTAAACACTTCAGCGGCGTTTTTAATTATAGCCGTATTAAAACATAGCGTAAACTACGAGATTTAAAAACAAACCAATTAATTATGATAAATAAGTTATTATAATAGCTTCAATTTTTTAACATACTTTTAAAGTTAGTAGTAAGGTCTTTTCACAATTTTTTCTATAAATCGGAAAGAAAGTAAATAATTTTGAGGTCTTATTACAAGTAGTCTTTTAAGTTCACAACTATAGTTGTTAATATATTAATTTATAAAGCCGTTAAAACCTAGTTTTTAATACTGATTAAAAACTAATTAACGCGTTTTATTTCGTTTCAAATATGTTATTATTAAATACGCGCACGCTTTAATAATAATATACATACGAAGATTCTTAACATAAAATATAATAAAGTGACAGTAACAAAGTACTAAATTACCCGTTATAATTCATTAAAAGTTAACTCATTGTTTGCAATTTTTAATTTTTTAAAAACAGATCTTTTTTATTTACTCCTAATATTTTGTTTTTTAAGATAATTTTTTAAAACTTTGAAAAGTTAACATTGCTTAAAAGGAAGATTTCGGCCGTTATTATAGAGTTAGTTCAATCGCGATTTACCGGCTTAATTAAATAAATATGTTTTAAAAATTTGCGTTGAAAAAAGTTTAAAGTATGTACTTATAAGAGTGTATTAATATATATATATATAAGTTAAAAATATTAAATTACAAGGGCTGCGGCAGTATATATTTAAAGTGTATACATCGTTTATATGATTATAGTAGCCTTATTTACGTTATCTACTTAAATATAATGAGGACTTTATTTATATCTTTTAATAACTTATATTAAAATGTCGGTTATAAAAGGAAGCTTATACTATCTTTAATACGTTTATTATAACTTGTTTATTTGTTGACATATATCAGTGCTTTTTTTCTAGTTGTTAAAGCAGGGACAGGTGTAATATTTTTACAATGTTTATTGCCAAAACGTTTAATAAAAGTGTTATTTATATTGAAAATATCGCACTTAGTATTAGCTTTAACGAGGTTTTTAATAACATTTGAAACAAGCTTGTTTATCATTTCAATAGCTTTTTAAACGGTAATTTATTTTTTAACGTTATTAGTAACTTTTTAAAAGCCGTATCGATTTTTATAGCTGGCGTTTAGTTTTTTACCGTTAACGTTATAACCGTAGCTTTTTTATTTAGTTAAATATCTAAAGCCGTTTTTAAACGTTAAGTTTATAGTAAGAAACGATCTTAACTTCGCATAAATTGTTTGAATTATTGTCTAAATCGTTATTTTATTCAACTTTTATAAGTTTTTAAAAAGCTATAGTTTAAGAAAAGGTTTTTTATCATCTAGTTCGGCTAATAATTAAGCTATAAAGATAATAAGATAAATGCTAAGGGTGTTAAAAAATAACTTTGTATATAAAACGCTCGATTTACTTTTTTACTTTTTAAATGTTAGCATGTTATTACAAGTATCTACGTAAAAGATTGTTAGAAAGATAATGTTTTTATAAAAACGAAAATAAACTTCGTTTTTAAGAACTCGATTATTTTAATTTTATCATTATATAAAAATTTTCATTTAATTAACGTGAGGTTGATAGCTAGTTCAACGTTTTTATAGATATGGTTACGAAAATTTTAACATTTTTTAACGAGTTTATATCGATTTAAATAAGGTTGTTCAATTTATAAAGGTCATATTTAAAAACTCATTTATGCGTAAAAGATTTAATTAAATTAAAATACGCTAGTTGAGATTTCATTATAGTTGAAGTATGAGATTTACTTAATTCCATTTAAAATATATAAAATGATAATATTAAATGATAATTTTAACGGTTTAGTTTGTATTGTTTAAAAGCGCCGTTTTTTATAGGTAATAATCGGTCCTTATAA